CTGCTCCTAGCCACAGGCAAGGTCGACGTCGATGCAAAGGATAATCTTGGCCAGACGCCGCTCTCACAGGCTGCCAGGAACGGGCGCGAGGCTATCGCCGAGCTGCTCCTAGCCACAGGCAAAGTCGACGTCAATGCAAAGGATGATTCTGGCTGGACGCCACTCTCATGGGCCGCCAGGAACGGGCATAAGGCTGTAGCTGAGCTGCTCCTAGCCACAGGCAAGGTCGACGTCGATGCAAAGGATAATCTTGGCCAGACGCCGCTCTCACAGGCTGCCAGGAACGGGCGCGAGGCTATCGTCGAGCTGCTCCTAGCCACAGGCAAAGTCGACGTCAATGCAAAGGATGATTCTGGCTGGACGCCACTCTCACAGGCTGCCAGGAACGGGCGCGAGGCTATCGCCAAGCTGCTCCTAGCCACAGGCAAGGTCGACGTCAATGCAAAGGATAATTCTTGGCAGACGCCGCTCTTACAGGCTGCCAGGAACGGGCACGAGGCTATCGCCGAGCTGCTCCTAGCCACAGGCAAGGTCGACGTCGATGCAAAGGATAATTTTGGCCAGACGCCACTCTCATGGGCCGCCAGGAACGGGCACGAGGCTATCGCCGAGCTGCTCCTAGCCACAGGCAAGGTCGACGTCAATGCAAAGGATGATCTTGGCTGCCGCTTTCATGGGCTGCTAGGAATAGGCACAAGGCTGTAGCTGAGCTGCTCCTAGCCAGGAACGGGCACGAGGCTGTAGCCGAGCTGCTCCTAGCCACAGGCAAGGTCGACGTCAATGCAAAGGATAATCTGAGCTGCTCGAGGCTATGGTCAAGCTGCTCAGACACTAGCCACCACCCCGCCCACCACCTGCTGCCCACCCTTACTTGTATACCTATGATGTGGCAAGTGAAATGACAAGTGGAATATGTGCTTACTAATGTTTGTTGGATGGTGGCGGCTCTACGCGACAATTCGCCGCGTTGCTGGACTTTAGGCGTCTTAAACCAGCTACGCGCCGGCAGCTCGCCCTTAGAAAATGACGTCCGATCTCGTATGGGCAGAATCGCAGCCAACAACTCTGCGGACCCCATTGCCTTGCGCCTCCCGTTGACCACGTTGAGCCCTCCGTCCTGATGCACTGTGGCAGTGCCAGCTCCTGATCGACCGCTCACACGTGGCTCGATGCTCGCACCCTGCAGCGCTCATTCCTTGGCTGGCCAACCTGATTTCCCTCTATGGGAGGAGGGGCGGCTCTCCACCCAACATGGAAATGAGGGCTTCACAAGGCATCCCCCAGGTCTGAACCAGGGTGTGCGGTTCTCCGCGCTGTTACTAGGGGTTGTTCTGGTCGTCGATTGTTGGTCCATAGCAGTGACTAGAGTGGGAGGTGTATCAACGCAACATCATTTGCACACTTAGTTTCGGCTTTCATGACCAAATACTCTCCAACAACCCCACCACCCCTCCAACCCCCATAGTTCGGCGACGAGCCGAGCGACTGTGTACGTAGATAGAGGTGTCTGCGAACTACATTTCTTGAGGCTGCTCATTATACGTCACATGGTCGTCGAAACCCTCGAATGCAGTGAGCTAAAGCGCCTTTCTATTCAAACAGGTAGATTTGATGGCCCAAGGCTGAAGGTCTCCTAAAGTCACCTCGAGATTGTGCCAGCAGAATGCGTCGGCGAAGTGGTGCGGAACTGCGCATCGCGTGGTGTCTAGAGTCGATGGGGGATTGATTAGAGTATGAGGCTTCTGAAATGAAAAGAAATGAAAGGAAAAGGAAATGATTGGAGCTGAGGGTATGGAGGGTATTTATCAAGAACATTCGACATCCAGGATCGCGGACAGGTCTGCGGTCTATGGTCGAAGAACAACGACCCTTCAAGACCAGGGTCGTGATTGGCCAGCCCGGCAGATCACGTAAGCGAAATGGAGGAATACGGCCTCAGTGACGCCAACACTGGACTATACATCGAAGCCTTGCTGAAGATATCATAGTGCCCTCTGTCTTTCTTACGGCGCAGGGGGGGTTGGTCTACTCCTCTGCCATACCATTCAATCCAGACAAGATGGGGGACTTTGAGAGAACCGTCCTGGAGTTCTACCAGGTATCCACGCCTTATCCAGTGGAATGGCCTGCAGACAAAAACAACAGCGATGTCTCCGATGACGAGACCACCAAGAGCAAGATCAACAGGCGAAAGTCGAGATATCAGGCACTGGAGCGCGCAGTCATCAACAGAGGCAGTGTTGTGCCTGGATCAGAGAACTCAGGTAGTGGTGGGGTGGCAAACTTGGTGCAAAAGGATGAACCAGATCCTCTAGGGACAACGGACAGTGTTGTGAGGACGTTGAAGCAGATGGGATTGCCATTACAAGATGATCCCCGACTTCGTAGGCCATCCTGTTCCTGTAGCAGCCCCTTTTCTATTGAGACTGACCAGGACCCATTTAGGCAACCGGTTTCTCCTCTCCTCCACGACATTCTCCCCCGCCTTGTTCTTGTCGCAGATGCACGCCACCGCCGATACCCAATCGCTTCTAACAGGTCTTGACGCCCTTTCTAGATCAATCGATCAGAAATCAGCCTCCCTGAAGGTTCTTGTCGAGTCCAATTTCGAACGATTCGTCCGTGCAAAGGCCACCATCGACAATGTCTACAAAGAGATGAAATATCGCGGAGCCGATCCCACGCCAACCCGGAGCAAGGCCCACTCTCGCCATGCTAGCAGGAACAGCTTCCGGGGAAATACCGGGGTAATGGGCCCTACTAGCCCCTTGACACCAATGACGGACAGCCGTAAGAAGAATGCGCTTGTCAAGGAGAGCGAGTACGGCGTTATGGGCATAAAGGCACCGCTACTGGACGTATCAGCAAAGGCCGAGGATGTTTGGGGCCCAGCGCTCGGCGGGAAGGAGAGAGAGGAAAACTTGAAGACAGTGTCCTCCTCGGTGGATCGCTTCAAGGTCTACGTGGAGACGAGCTCAGCGATATCAGACAGCATCAGGCGCAAGGATTACGAGACCCTGGTTGAGGAATATATCAAGGCAAGGAAGTTCGCAGACGAGGCCCGGAAGCTCACCCAGGATATTGGCTCATCACAGCCTACCGAGGCCCAACTATACCAAATCCTACTCGCAGCTCGCATGTGGCACGATGTTGACGAGCAGATCCAGTCCTTCAAGCGTGAAGTATGGAGGAAATTGGTATCTTTGCACAACATTTCAAAGGCCGATTCGGTCCCAGGCCATCCCCAAGACCAGCATATGGAACTAATCACGCTACTTTTGGAGCTGGGCGTCGAGGACAACCCAATATGGGTATGGCTTATCAGCCGATACGACTATCTGAAGGGGAAGATCCAATCTGCCGCAGACAGGTCCAAGGTTGAGATAGAGGTCTTGCGACGACGCCTCGCCAATGCCGAGAAGCCTGCGCCCGAGATCATCGCTTCTCATATGCGGTCGCTAGGACGTCAGTCAATCGAGAACAAGTCGGCAACTTTTGACTCTGCCGACATCGTGGAGCTGTGGGAGAAGATGGTCTCCTTTATGGCAGCATTGCTATCATCTCAAGGCATCCTTGGGGAGGTCGTAGAGTTCTGGCAGACAGTCCAGGGCTTTATCGACGGCAAGACGCAACGGACCCTACCGGTGGGCTACAACAGCGAATCGAAGGGTCACCATCGGCTCTCCCAACAAGGCACGATCGATCTGCAAAAGGCCACGGTCGAGCTTGTCGACATGATACGTGAGCACGTGCTCATGTTCTTCGCTGGACCTCCGCCAGAAGACATTTCCCTTCTCGTCTCTCCATTACCGCAATCGCCAAACACGCCGATGCACGCGTCAATATCTGGTTCACTGACCCCGACAGCACTCAGGGATCCTCGGTTCAACTTCGACCCCAACAACCTGCCCCCCCCGTCCCCGAAACGGGGCGAGGCGTGGGAGAAGTTCGCCTTCTGGCCGCCCTGGTCAAACTCCATCAGCGGGGTTCATTATCTTTCCAAGATGCTTGCCCTCGTGGGGGCAGGAGCGTCGGAAATGGCGAGCATCACCCCTGTTGGCCAGAGCGGATCCCCGGAGCTGGAAGGTTTGAAGACTCTCGTCGGCGCGGCAAGAGAGCGTTGCGTTACGGCAGTCTGCGCCGCGTGGAACCGGGACGCCGAAAACATCAAGTTTGTCGAGGACTGGAATCGTTCCCCCGACCGCAAGGACGTCACCAAGATGCCGGCGAGCTTCTCGGCATTTGAGGGCGCGCTGCTGAGCGGCATGCAGAAAATCCTGTACATCTCGGAAGCCATGTCCAAGCCCGGAGCGGGGGATATTGTCCTCCCTCCCCCGACAAAGCTCCTACAAATGGTCCGCAGCCAGTACGTCACGACGCTCTATAAGGCGCTGGGCGGTATGGTTGAGAACGCGGAGCGATCTCTCAAGCAAGAGGATGACGAGTGGACTACCGATGCCGATAACTTTGTGGTTTTGAATGGCGCGCGGAGTGAGCGAGCCTCGCTGGTTGGAGGCGGCACTATCAATGCTGGGGACAGGGTAAGCCCCTTACTTTTTCTCCTTTCTCTCATTTTCAAACGCAACCGCTAATTATCACCCGCAGAATGTGCGAATGCTTCTGACTCTCAGCAACCTCCAATACTTGCGGGCACAAGTGGTGCCGAGTCTCAACACGCAGTTTGAGAATGCCTTCTCGGTGAAGCTGACGGACGAGACGAAAACCATCCGGGACGTCCTCGGACAGATCGACGCCCGGCTCTTCCAATCGTACACGCGGCCGTCGATCGAGAACCTGCGCAAGGTGATCGGCAAGGGCGTGACAGCCCCCGACTGGGCGCCAGCGGCGCGCGAGAAGCCGCGCGAGGTCAGGCCGTACGTGTACGAGGCGCTCCTGAGCCTCGTGCTGGTGCACACGCAGGTGTCGACGACGGCGTCGTCGCTGACCAGCCAGGTGCTCTCGTACCTCCTCGAGCAGGCGTCGCGGGAGCTGCTCGAGGCGCTCAAGACGCGGCCGCGGTACCCGCTCGAGGCGCTCATGCAGGCGACGCTGGACGTCGAGTTCGTGGCGCAGACGCTGTCGCAGTACACGACGGACCGGGCGTCGGAGCTGCAGGGCCAGATCTACCAGGAGCTCGACGGCCGCACCGACAACGACGCCCGCGCCCGCCTGCAGGGCCAGCTGCCCGAGATGAGGAGCGTGCTCAAGAGGCTGCGCGAGGCGAGCAAGAGCGAGTTCGCGTGCTTCAGGAAGCCGAAGAGGTCCCAGGTCGGGTCCGGGTCCGGGTCCGGTTCTGTTACTAGTCCAAGTTCCGCTGGGTTCGACAGGAGGGATACGGGCTTCAGTGACCCGTCGGGATAGGCTGTTTGGGACGGGAGACCATGTCCTGCCCCCTGTTTGAATTATTTAATAAGATACCACTGATGCTATTGCTACCACTCATCCCACATTTTTACTCTGCTCTTTTACTCTATATACGTTTTGTGTCGATGAAGCGTAGTCGCCTCACTCAGCCATTGCAAGACTTCCTTCCGGTGTTAACTCGAAACACCAATGGCAATCATTCAAGGTAGAAGAGGAAGAAGCCTAATTCAATTGTCTATGAAGAGCTAATGTAATCCACCAAACGCCTTGCCTGGAATGTCCACTGGGTATTTTGTCTATAGACTGACTGACTCCCTGGATCCCCCGTTTCCCCTTCCCTTTTTTATTTTTGCCCTTCCGCGCCCTTTTAGACGGGCAGGTCTCTAAAGCAGTCTCCCCGTACCCTAAGAAGTTGGTGTGGGAGGAAATCAAGACCCATGAGGGCTGTGAATGAGCTCATAAGCAAGCCCCTGAACGCCGTCTGATCTGCCGTTGTCGTACAGTTGCTACACATGAGTTCGTATTATCATCCGATGTTTCTTCTTTCTTTTCGTTTTATTTTCTCCCCCTGTCGTTATTATTCTCTCTTTTTCGTTTTCTCTCCCATGTCTCCTGTCCTCTTGGAAGCAACTCCCTTTCATGCCAAAAGGGCCAGGAGTGCCAATGTGTCCAATGGACCATCCAGGACCAGGACATTACTCCTTGCTGGGGAGGAGGAGGGTGGAGCAGAAGAGCAGCTCAAAGGAGCGTGGATCGGTCGGGGAGAAGAGTGGCTGCTCCTGTCTCGATTGGACCAATGAGTCTGTGGGAATTTGTTAGCTAAAATTTCCAGAGGGTGAGAAAAGAGGACAATACTCACAGTTGAGACGCAGGTTCTCAAAATAGCTGCGGATGACTGGATCCTGCTCCAAGGTGACGAGCATCCCAGTTGACTCATCACATGTCGTCCGGGGAAGGGCCTTTCGGATGCCCAACAGCATGCGCAGAAGATCTGCAATGACATAGCCTTGTGAAGTGAAATTGTTTGGCGCCTTCTCGAGTGGCCACATGGGTCTTAGGTTGTCCTGCTCCCAAGCCTTGAAGGCCCAGGTGGACTTCTCGGCGCAGTGCAGCAGGATCAGTGTTGCAAAATACATGCTGTAGCCGACCTTTATCTTGCTGTCCTGCAGAGCACGCTGCATCCCAGCCAGGAGGTTCTTGCTTGTAGAGGCTGCCTTTCTCTCAGCAGCAGCAGAAAGCTGCAGGCAGATGGTGGTGAAGACGTCCACCTGGGTATCATCTTTGATCCAGCCCGAATTGTCGTCGGTGGCAGGGTCTGGCTTGACGCGAATAGACCACTGGCGCTCACGGTCTAGGATTTCCACAATGCCCCACAGCTCAAGGGCCTTTGTGAGCAGGTCATCATTGGTCTCCCTGGCCATGGCCAGAGATGTGTCCAGGGTGACGCGCATGAAATGAGAGGGCTCACGCTGGAGAAATTCAGGCATAACCTCTCGCATGTAAGCCTCCATCAGGCCAGGGACATCCTGGTTATCCGTGTCGATCATAACACTGGTATGGAGGTTTTCATCGGGGTTACCAGTGGAGCTCTGGGTGCCAATTGCCTGGAGGACGTTGAAAGACAGGCGGGTTGGTCCATCTGGGAAGTGGCAGGCTTCCATGACCAGTCCATAGCCGGCAAGAGCTGTGGATGCCTTCAGTGCGTTGACGCGGTGCTGAGCAAGAACAATCTGAACGCCAGCTGTGTAGAGATCCAGCTGTTCAGAAAACTTGGTGCGCAGGCAGCCGGAACGCCAGACCCGGGGAGAGAGGACCTTGCGACAGGTGTCACATGGGCTGCCAGGTGAGCAGGTCTTTCTCAGAATCCGGCAGCGGATGCAGGCACCAATTTTCCGGACCTCTTGGACCTCCTTGCGTCGGACAGCATCGAACCGGGCTCTTGAGTGGCGAGCCTTGGCCCCATTGAGGCTATTGCCAGTCTGCATCTGAAAACCAGTATGAGCTAGGGCTGCTGCAGACTGGGCAAGGGCCTCGCCTGGATTGGCCTGATGAAGTGAGTCGGACATGTATGTAATCTCTCCCCAGGGCTGCGAAGAATTCGGAGCAGGAGGATTGGCCGACTCGCCATCTGCCTGTTGTTCAATTGACTGAACTGGTGTATCCGGTGTGGCTGGCGTAGCTTCGTCTCCGGCAAGAAGTTGAGGGTCGAGAACAGCTGGCTGGAGTCGAGCAGCGGCAGCAGCAGCCATGGTCAGATTCGCCGAATCAGTGGCAGATTGGATGAGTTCGGCGAGGTTTTCTTCGGCAAGCAAATCTTTGCCTGCCTCGGGGGAGGACTTTGGGCCTGCTGGGGAACTGGGGTCAGCCATAGTGATGCAGCAGGTGAAGAAGCACCAAAGCTCCAAGTAGGTATGCAACGCGTGTTTGGGGTGGGGTGTGTTTTGTGTTTTTGTTGTGCTGTGGTTGGATTGTTTTTGGATTCTGAGATAATACTCACTTTTCTTATCTTTTGGCTGACGGTTCTCTTGGTTGACCGGCGGATTGTCCAGAGTGAATTGCTCCTGGAGTTCAAAGTGCTCTGGCCCATTCGGTGCAGGTGTGGCCGGTGCCTGTCCTGGCCCTGCTGTAGATGGCCCGGCATGATTTGTCTGACCTGACTGACCTCGGTCATCGTGCTTTTCACTGGCTTCAATCTGCCTAGACACCTCGGCAAGGGTCTCAAGAGCTGTCCAGTCACGCTGGATCATTGGAAGGTCGACAGATGAGCCATTGGCCTGGCCTGGTGGGGGTTTCTGGCTACGCTGGGTAGCATGATGAATGCCATGAAGGGTTAGGCAAGCATTGATTCGGTCAGCCTCAGAAATGGCAGGGCATTTCTTAGTCAAGTGGTTTGTCAAGCTGTCAATGCGCCCCTTGGGGAAGTTCTCGCCACAGGCTTTGCAGGTGTGAGGGTATCGATTGCTGTTGTCGGCGAGCTTAGGGCCACGCTCAAAGTATTGCAGGATGAGGCTATTCGGTCGCCGGCCCATTGTGACATTCAGGAGTTCCCCTTGGGCACAAGGGGATTTGGGCAGATTTGTCTCAGGTTTGCCTTTGCCTTTGTCGGGGGATTCGAGTCGATGACCTGTCGAGGATGACGGTTGATGGTAAAAGAACTGGCAGAAATTTCACCGCCTGCTCACCGGTATGGGGCTAGACATGGTGGCGGGCTTTGGAAATTCACGTGGAAGTGGGGGGGGGGGGGGCAGTGGGTGGGGAGCGATAATGAACATGGTCCGTGCTATCGATAAGCGGTGAGAACGCGACTTTCAAATCCGCGACGGGATTTATCACGTGAGACAGAGACACAGAGGCACAAGCCCGGACCACCTGCAGCTCGGCAGTTTGGAAAGAGAGCGAGGCCAGAAGAGGCAGGCCACTAAAGATTCATGTGAGCTTGTCATCCCCATTTCCCTTCCGAGTCAAATGGAGCTTCGGGATCTTGCACGAGGGCTACAGTTTGGCTGCTAATGGTCTTAACACCTCCATCATCAATAGGAGGGTCTCTCTTATTGTGACTCCTGACTCCTGACTTCTAGGTCCTGACCTCCACCTCCCAGGCTCCTCTTTCCCTCGTCTCTCTCTCTCCAGTTCTTGAGCCAGCTAAAACATCCTGGTGGCACTGGTGGGGGTCGAGGCTGGCCCTCTCATTTTGGAACGTGTTGTTCAACAGCAGCCAAGTGGCAGTCACTGAATGCTGTGATACGGATAGCACCTCGAAATCCCCTTGCTTCTCAAGGTCTGAGAATCTTTCTACCGCCGTTTCAATGCACAAATGCACCGGAGGAAGAGAACCCGCTTTCGGCCATTTCCTCCATTATGCCGCCCGCAAAGTTACGGGCACCCAGCAGTATTAACTTCCGTATGGTGGTCTCAGACATTGACTTCTCCCATTCTCCCTGGTCAGCCAGTCGGCCAGGCCAGTCTTCCTGTCTGTCTGAGGGTTGTCTGTCACACCAACGGAGGGACTGACTGCACAAAGTTCAGGTGTTCAAATTAATATATTTCGTGTGTTGGACGCCATCAACCTGCATTGTCGTTTGCTATCCAATCGAGTACTACCATCTACTGCTGTAAACCACCCAAGTTACGCCGGCTGTTTATCGTCATTTAGACTTCATGCTTTGGGTTTGGCCAGAACGCCTCCCGCTCTACCCATCCCTTTTTGCGGCTAGTCTGCCGGGTGTGCATGGCTGAGATCCACTAGTTATTTCTTATTCTTCCACGGGGGTCTGTTCTTGGACAAGACAAACCAAGCTCAGGTTGGGAATGGTGCCAGTACTTTCATAAAGTTCATACTTTATACTTCCCTTGCAGACTAGGTTCCTGCTTCCACACTCTGATCATTCTATCTAGCGCGGAAAACTCGAAGGTTTCGTAGCAAATACACCATGGATCTTGTGCCCTCTCTCTGCTCATAGTGCTGTCACGTTCAGTCCCACTCATGATATCGACAGGTGTGACTTGCAGACCCTAGTAATAGGCTTATGTGCTGCATCACCGATCACCGAACCCACCTTCTTCTACGGTCTCCTCTTTCCCATGGATACGGTCCTGCCAGAGTATATATGCGTTCCTCTTCGTAGCCACGCCGTTAGACGGGAGTGAGGCCAGCGCGACCATCTATCATCTTCCTGGGACACGGACATCATGGCAATCACACAGGCACTGTGGCTCTTAGCCTTGGCGGGACCTGTCTTGTCCGCTGACCTTGCAAGCTATGTCTTGACGGATGTGAGTTCCCCAGCTTCACTGGAAGTGTTCCCCGCAACTGATTCGCAATAGACTGGCTCGACAAATGGAGGCAACACCTTTCCTGGTGTTAGCCGCCCCTTTGGGATGGTAAAACTAGGACCAGACCTCTATACTGGGAGTGACAGCTACTCCGGTTACCAGCCTACTGGCAACTTTACTGGGTTCAGCATGCTGCATGAGAGTGGCACCGGCGGCGCTCCCAAGTACGGTGTCGTCTCTCAGATGCCTGTACTTGGAGATATCAGCAATCCCCTCGATGACCACCATGACACGAGGGCTGCTGCCGACCAATCAGAGCTTGGCTACTACAAGTCATCCTTAGGATCAGGTATCACGGTTGAGCTCGCCGCCACGGAGCGAGCGGGTGTGTATAAGCATACATTCCCAAGCTCGGGCCAGCCAAGCATCATAGTCGATGTATCCCATGTACTGCCGTCGTACCGTGGGATGGGTTTGGAGCAGCATTACCTCGGAGGCAGTATAGAAGTGAGCAAGGACGGCGGAAAGACGGTCTATCAAGGCTCTGGTTCTTATGACAACGTAAGGGTGGCTCCTCAACCATTCGACTGTACAGATATACTGACCTTGGGAAGGGCTGGAACCGGTCACCAAAATGGACCGTCTACTTCTGCGGCTATTTCGACTCAGAGCCATCGTTCAAGACCTTTGTCGGCCAGGACGGCACCAGCAGCACCTTAAAAGAATACTCTACGGCCTCTAGTGTTACTTCTACGGCGCGTCTGGGTGCTGTATTTTCCTTCAAGTCTACCACGGTTACTTCCCGCGTTGGAGTCTCTTTCATCTCGACGGCTCAAGCCTGCAAGAATGTTAATGACCAAATCCCCTCTGGAACGTCTCTTGCAACCCTACGAACCAAGACTCGGGATGCCTGGAATTCGGAAATCCTGTCAAAGGTTACCACAACGGACACAGACACAACTAAGCTACAGCTCCTGTATTCGTCCCTATACCATATGAATCTGATTCCGACAAACAAGACCGGGGAAAATCCTCTCTGGAAATCGTCAGAGCCATACTACGATGATATCTTCACCCTTTGGGATCTGGTATGTGGAGCCTGGTTTCCCCGATGGCTGCCTCACCTCTAAACTAACCCTTCGCCAGTTCCGTTGCACTACATCACTCTTTCATGTCATACACCCTGTTGCATATGAGGAGTATATCAGGTCACTTATAGACGTCTGGAGGAATGATGGATACATGCCCGATGGCCGATCATCCTTTTTCAACGGGGCAACCCAGGGAGGCTCGAATGCCGATAATGTTCTGGCCGATGCGTATGTGAAGGGAGTCCGGGGTAAGGTCAACTGGGACGACGGCTACGCTGCGATGGTCAAGGATGCCGAGATCCAACCGCCCAACAATAACGATCCGCGTGACAAGTCTGCGTCAACCAAGGAGGGTAGAGGTGCACTGCCAGACTGGCTCAGCCATGGCTTCATCACGCCTACATACGGCCGATCGGTCAGTCGGGCAGTTGAGTAGTGAGTCAGCCCCCTTATTGCGGTCAGGATAACCAAACGCCGCGCGGTCCGGGAAACACGTTAACATGTAAACCTACAGTTCTGCCAACGATTTTGCCCTATATCAGGTGGCCAAAGGGCTGGGCAAGACCAAAGATGCGGAGAAATATCTAAACCGAGCAAGATTCTGGCGGAATCATTGGAACCCGGACCTTACCTCTCTCGGCTTTTCAGGGTTTCTGGGCCCGAAAAACGCGGATGGCTTCCTCCCGCAGGATCCCCTGAGCTGCGGCGGTTGTTACTGGGCGGATTACTACTACCAGGGGCTCCCTTGGGAGTATTCCTTCAACGCCCACCACGACATCTCCACGCTGATCGCGCTGTCCGGCGGCGAGGACACGTTCGTCAAGCGCCTGGAGACGATCTTCACGCCGGGCAAGAACCCGACCGGGTCCGCGGCCTTCAACAAGACCATCTTCAACCCAGGCAACGAGCCCAGCTTCACCAGCCCGTTCCTCTACAACTTTGCCGGGCGCCAGGACCTGACCGTCGAGCGCAGCCGCTTCATCGCCAAGTCCTATTACCACCCGACCCCCGGCGGGCTCCCGGGCAACAGCGACGCCGGCGCCATGGAGTCGTGGGTCCTGTGGGTCATGCTCGGCCTCTACCCGGTCACGGGCCAGACGACCTTCCTCATCGGCTCCCCCTGGTTCTCGGACCTGACCATCTCCCTCGCCGGGGGCCGCTCGCTCCACATCACGACCACCGGAGGTTCCGACAGCGCCTTCCACGTGCAGAGCCTCAAGGTTAACAGCAAGCCGTGGACGCAGTCGTGGGTCTCGTGGTCGGACGTGTTCGAGAAGGGCGGGACCATGGAGTTCGTCCTGGGGCCCGACCCGGTCCCGTGGACGGCCAAGGGCCCGTCGCCGCCCAGCCCGGCCAGCGAGTTTGCAAAGGACGACCCGCCGGCCAAGGTGCTGGCCGCGCTGCCCGGGCCCAACGCTGGTGGTGGGGATGGGGCCGCCACCGCGCGGATCGCGGCGCGGTGCGACAAGACGTATGCCATCCCCGTGGTCGTGCAGGCGGGGGCCGGGTCGGTGGGCGGGTTTGCCGGGGCCGTGTTTGGGGTCTCGTGGTGGCTTAGGAGGAGGAGGAGGGCCGCTGCTGGGGAGCGGCGGCTGGACGTGGAGCGGGTGAGTTGGTGTCCCCGTCCTATTCATTTGTATGATCTATGCTAACTCGATTCGCCTGAAGGAGGTCGAGATTGCTGCTCAGACGGCGACCTGTTTCGACTCCAAGTCCGATAATGGCGGCGTGGTCACCCCAGACGCCAAGATTTGAGCGAGCACTCATTACTAGAGCTTCGTTCTTCTGTTTTCTCCTCCAACCAGACGGCTTGGTTTTCTTTTGGTAATACCCATCATCTTGTATATGACAGGACAGGCAGGGGCCGCGGCCGAACAACGTCCCAAGAGCTTAAATAGACTTTGCCTTCGGATTGTTTTATATCTCTCTTTTGTTGATTCTCGGGTTCTCGAGTTCTCGTAGAACGTCTACAGACCGTTAAATAACTGGCAAAGGAGCATAGGGCAGCAAGAATAAAATAATGACACGTATGGTTCCTGGGAAGAAAAGCTCATCAAGATATTGCCCTAGAGTATACAATGCATTTATTTCTATATGTATATACCCCAAACCGGGGCAAATGCTGAAGCCAACTCCAACAACGCCATGATATGGCCATCTATATTATGATGACAGACTGTGGGTATCTTGTTACTCCCATTGTGACATAATGGGGGCATGTCGTCCCCCCACTCCCCCCCGCAGCGTCTACTTGCCCCAGACGTTTCTGAACTCATCCTCGTCACCACCGATTGAGAACGTCGGTGAAGGTTCGCTCCCATGCTCGCTCGACCTCTCATCCTGGCCAGCCTCCTCCCCGACAGGGGTTCCGTGACCTGGTGATGATTCTCCTGATCGATCCATTGCTGGCTGGGGATGATGCATACCGCCCGCGGTGTCGACTTCGAAGTCGTCCTCCGTTATGACGGGATCTGTGCCCACGATAGGCCCGTACGCTATCTCCAGCGGATCCTTGCCAGCTCCTTGGCTTGAGCCGGCTTCCCCGGCGTCGGACCGTTGCTTCTGTTTGCCTTTCTTCCTTTCAGCAGCCACTTGAAGCCCCTCGGGAGCCAGCTTCTTCCGTCTATCCAGTGGCGCGGAGGGATTGAGAGAGGGGACGGGGGTCGATTCCGTCTGTCGGTAGAAGCTGTTTGTCGGGCTTGCTTGATAGAACGGGTGTGGGGAGTGGTACCGGTCCCGCAGAGGCTCATTCGCTGTGACGACGGGGTACTGGCAGATAGGGGTTAGCGCGCAGCTTCAACGGCAAGGGTATCGTTTACTCGGAGCTTACATTCCAATCGCCATATTCCAGCTTCCTGGCCTTGGCATAAAGCAGCTCCTCGTCCTGATCCAGAATAGGATCTTCGGGACTATCGCCATGCGGAGAGAGTAGCTCGTTTCTCCTGCTGCTAGGCCCGCCATTCGCGCCGAGGAGCGGCGTGGTCTGGTTGATCTCGTTCGGCGTTGGGATCCAGTATTTCCCCTTGCCTCCTCGCTCGTATCGCATGCCGTCCTTGATCCTCGCCAGTCTCGACCGAGAGGCTTCGTGGGCCATGATCTTGTCCCCCGAGTCGAATATGCGGTATCCGTACTTGTCGCCCTTGAACGTCTCCTTGGAGTCCTCAATGAGGTCCCTGATCCCAAAGGCATCCCTCATGGCATACCACACCGGCATTCTGGCCGACGAGATCCGATTGTCGGCAAAGTCATGCCAAGAGAAGGCGTGCCAGTGCGCAATGGCGAACCCCGGCATCTCGAGGCAGATCAGGAAGTCCTGAATGGCAGCGGCCAAGTTGTCCGGAGTGTACCCTTGGACATCGTCGGGGATGGCACCGAGCCAGACGAGGATGGAGAGAAAGAAACCTTGCCAGTACGAGGCGAAGATGATCAACTTGATGCAGAGGAACTTTGGAACCGGCCGGAAGGGCTTCAAGTCGTTGTGCATACACACCCAGAAAAGACCCAGCGCATACAGACTCACGGTGACACTGAGGTTGTAGATGATGCCGCTCCAGAAGTAGCCGGAATCGAGGCTAATATAGCCCTCCTGGTATGTCCCAGTCGCCTTCATAATGATGGCGGCCAGGCTGAGGATCGGCTTCAGCCAGGCGTACTGCAGGATGCCGCGCTTGATGGCGAGGAAGGTGTGGGGATCGGATATATCGACGCGAGGGAGGACATGGTTGAGCGGCCAAAGGTGCTGCACCGGTTCTCGACCGTGGGTCATGATGATCAGAGCCCGCTCGCCGCCAAGGTAGTTGATCAACAACTGGAAGAAGGTGTAGATGGTGAAGGCCTGTGAGAAATACGCGTAAGCTGGGGTGTCCAAGATGTGAAGGCGGCTTAGGCGAGGGTAGCAACCTCATAGATGTCCCTAATAGGGGTGAACCAGAACGCCAGCCTTATGGATACGATACTCGACCACGAGGAAACCGAGTATATCGGTACCCTAGGGTAGTCAGAACGAGAACACGAACACGGACACTATTATTCACACGAAGGGAGCGCACATTAGAAGGATCCGTACGACATATCGCTGGAACACCGGCTTCCGGTAGTTTTTCCTTGGGGCGCCCATGTCAGCGTTCTATCGTGGCGGGGTGGGAGCTTGCCTCTTACAGCTGAAACCATATCGACCTGTTCGACAGTGGGGTTAGCAGAGGTTACGAGGACATGGGACATGGGGCTTTGGACCCTACACTATGGAGAGCAGTGTCGCGGCGAGGGACGCGACACCCGCGATCACAGTGGTCGCCGAAGTGAACTTCTGACCCGTGCCTCCAGTCATTTTCTCCCCATCAGCCAGCACGCGGCTGAGCAGGTTAAGAAGCAGAATCTCGGGCGAGAATGACGATTCTCTGCTGCTTAGAGCATCGCGCGAGGTCTAGGGATGGGATTTGGAGAGCAACAGCAATAAATGTCCACCTCAGCTATTACGTAGTACGTAATTGGGTGCCTGAGGCTGGCCGCCATAGGTTGTATGGCGCGTGCTAATTAAACGGCTAGCGGGAGCTAGGAGCCCCTGCAAAGTCGCTGGCAAAACACGCGTCATTGGCCAGCACAATCATGAAGTTGTTCTACCATCCCCAACTTCCAGCCTAGACGACCACCCAAGAAAGTGCAATTCGGCCACGGTTTCACGGCTGTCGGCGACTGCGACCACAAACAGCATGGAGGACACACTTACCGGGAATTTGACCTGTCGGTAGCCCTCGAATCCAGGAAAGGAAAGGGGAGCTGGAGCTTGGGGTTGCCCAGTCTAGGAGCTACCTATAGAGGTACCTTACCCACCTACCTAGGTACCTAATCGGCCATGATGCCCTCCAGTAGGAACGCATTCGACCCCGACAATCGTTCTCCGTTCAATGGGGAATTCCTCGCATACCTCATTGTCTGCGGAGCCTTGTCCATCTTCTTCCTGCTCTACTTCAACCGAGTCTTTGCATCCGTTGTCTCGTGGGCCATTCGGACTTGGACCTGGCATCAATACCGAGTCTATATCGACATCCAAGCACTCCAGATATCTCTGCTCGGCGGGCGAGTCTTCTTCACGGGTCTCCGGTACCATGGGAACAACGAGACCGTTCTGATACAGAACGGATATATTACCTGGTCATACTGGCTACGCCGTGTTCGAGATGTCGACATCAGGAATAAAAAGGAGAAAGCGGCAGAAGAAGCGGCAGGTATTCAGGGAAACGACTCCGGCCCCTCTTCGCGACTCCCGTGCCGAGTAAACGTATCCGTGCTTGGAGTCGAGTGGTTCGTCTACAATCGCACCCCAGCGTATGATACGGTCCTAGCAGGATTGACGGATGATGGGGACGAGGAAGGCGAGCCATCGATTGAGCCACAGCAAGAGGCCGGCGGAGCTTCTTCGAAGCTGCGACGGAGGCGGTCGAAACGGGGTGAAGGTTCAAACGGACTACCTAGGGGGCGGTCTTCGGAGCAGACGGAACTGAACGAGTCCAAACCGGAACTTGGCAAGCAAGGAGAGAATGGGTCTGGCCCCCACAGACATTCAGCCTCACACTCCTCCAGCTCGAGCGATGACGAAGCCAGAGGCCCGGACAGTACAGATCATGAATATGCTATCCCTCTCATGCTGCGGCTCTTTCCGATCAACGTTGAATGCCAAACGGCCGGGCTTGTCATGGGGAACGAGAACACCAAGGCAGTGCTGATTGTCAAGGCGGATGCCGTGTCTGGAGACATCGATGCGTCTGATACGGATACACCAGACCCGTACCGGCAACTCTTCAGGCTGAAATTCAAGCACCCGGTCATTGAGATGAGAGATAACCAGGACTTCAAGGAGAATCAAGCTGACCGAGCTGTACGAGAAAAAGGCGTGGCACAACACCGCGAACCCGTACAAACAAAATCCTACTTCCGTCGACAGCGGCGTCGGATCATGGGCCAAATTCGTGGACTGGTTCCTTACTGGAGGAAGTCTGTCGAGTCTTTTTCCTCCGACTCGAGGACCGCCCCTGGCGCCGCCGGTGGCCCCCACCCCCCCGGTCTAAATCATTGGCAGGGGCTCTCGAGATACCTTGACGACAGCGAAGATCAGAAGGCCCGATGGGCGTCGGTGGAGTATGCTGCTCTGCCGACCATCTTGGACAGCCCGGAAGCGTCCATGACCATTTATTGGGATGTAGTGAGTAAGGTTGGTCTTGGACCGGCCCGGAGTGACGACGCCGAGAAGTTTGCGGACAACATCAATGGCGAGGAGCCGCCAGCTTGGGCCATCAACCTGTCAATCAAGGGCGGATCAGTCAACTATGGGCCCTGGGCGGACAGGCAGCGAGCGGAATTGCAGCGGACTTTCTTCCCCACGATGTGCAAAGACGCACGTCCTGCGAAACATCTTCCAGTCGGTGCGGCCCGGGTCCCCACGCAGTTCAAGCTCTATATAGAGCTCGAGGAGGAGACGACCATCCGTGTCCCAACCAGGGAGGAATCCAAGAATTGGAGATGGAAAGGCAAAGAGCCAGAGCTAATTCCGAGCCGAGGACGAGACAAGCGTATATTTAAGGGCCTCAATAAGAAAACCCAACAAACGCCTCAGACCCTTCAACGACCTTACGGCTGGCTGGACATCAAGGTTGCCGCAAACTCGACAGTGTCGTACTCGATGGACATGTTCGCGAGCGCCTCGGGCTACTCCAACACTCTGCATGTAGACCTTCCCAAGACCGAGATCTCAAGCAGCATCAACCACGAACTGCTGTGGAGATCTGGCGCCCAGCGTATATCTTGTGACTTATCCACGCCGTTGCGGTGGAACTCCCTCCGTCAGTGGCACTTCAAGGTGGCCAGCGAAGATCTCGAGCTGTTCCTCTTGCGAGACCACGTCTTTCTGCTCATAGACCTGGTGGATGACTGGACCACGGGCCCTCCTGCCGAGTACTTAGTCTTCGCTCCGTTCAAGTACCATCTGGACCTTCAGCTTCAAAACGTCAAGCTCTACCTCAACGTTAGCGACGCGAATATCATCAACAACCCGACTGACATGGAGGACAATACCTATATTGTGATCGGAAGCCCCCTTCTAAGCTCTACGACTTGCATCCCCGTCGACAAGTACAGGCCGAGCAAGAACGCTATTCCGTTCGATATCCGGGCAGATACTGCCACGGTAGGGATCCATGTTCCTCCCTGGAACACGCAAGCAACCTTCCTGCCATCCACCGAGATCGGCGACCTCGAGAACCTTCTTGTTGACGGTTCCTATCACTACAACGCAACCACTTCGCTTGCTAATACCGATACCCTGGTCTTGAACGTAACGGCGAAGTCCCCAGCCGCATGCATCCACGGGTTCGTCCTCCGGTACTTCCTCAAGCTCAAGGACAACTACTTTGGGGACGATATCCACTTCCGGACGCTGGAAGAGTATCAAGAATCATTGAGACTGAAAGAGAAGAATCCAGATTCGGAGACTGTGAGCCGCCCTCCGCACAAGCAATCAAACGACCTTGATGTCATGGTGAACCTTCGTCTCGATGATTGCAAGGTCCTCCTTCCCAGCAACCTGTACGCTTCGACGCGACATGCTCAGATTGACACGCCCTCGCTATCCTGTGATTTGCGCTTCACAAACTACTACATGGATATGGAACTCGTGGTTGACCCGCTCAGCCTGTCACCGGGAAATTCTGATGGAGGCATGGAGACCCCTATAAGCGCAACTTCATCGACACAGCTCTTCATCGACGGCATTAAGCTTTATGGTCATCGACTCTTCGGCCTTCCACCAACCGAGCCCACATATCTTTGCAACTGGGACATTTCCGTGGGGGATGTTACCGGAGAGTGCTCGGCAGACTTCCTCGCCTCCCTGATCAGTGGGGGAAAGGCATTTGGGTTCTCGTTTGACGACGATGAGAATGCCTTGGTATCCTATTCGTCCGTCATATTTTATGATGTCACCTTCTTGCGAGCTTTCGTGCAGTCAGTCAACCTCTGGTTGCATGTTGAAGAAGCCGCCTTTTTGCTGTCTACCGGATTGATTGACGTGAAATACAACGACTGGGCAAGATCGCACTATTCGAGACGGGCCAACATCAGAATCCCGGATGTCAAACTCTCCTGCGTGAACTCCGAGTCCGTATCGCGGAGTAAATCAAGGTCCCACCGCGCAGTTGAGGCCGACGCCTTGGTACGGACCAGCGTTCATTTGGCCATCATTGGCCGTAAATTCGACTTCTCCAATGAGCGAAAGCTACAGCAGGAGCTTGTGCGGAGAGAAGATCAGCGGACACACAGGACAGGGTTCCTCTGTCTTCCAGGATTGCTGGATGAACTGATCCCCGATCCTGTCGACCCCCCTGCCCAATGCTTCCCCGATGTCCCCCAGCCGACGGGGTTAGAACATGTTCAGGGCGATGGGTCGTCGCACACATCGTCTGCGCGGTCCCGACATCCCAGAGGTCTGCGCCACAAGAGCTCTTTCCTCTCTTTTTCGAGCGCAAGCGAATGCAGTATCGTGAGACCCCAGAGTTCTAGGCTGTCTGGTGCGAGGGGGAAACGGCCGGAATATCTACAGCCTTTTGCCCCCCTCGATCAGCGCCCTGGCCGAGCTGGGCACCCCGCAGAGCGCGACCGAGAAGTATCTGCGTCAACTGGACGGCATTCTGCATTCTACAGCGCAGCAGGCGACGTCAACGACCGCCATGATGCCGGGCACAGTTCGGTGGCTTTCCCAAGCCAGTATCTTGCTCCCTATTTTCCCTTTGAGCGTGTGAAGCCAGACGCTTTCGAGGCGAGGATGCAAGGCATGGAAGATGACGATGACGATGCTGGGGATGATACACCTGACTCTGTCGGATTCGACTTGGAGGACATCGACGCCGACATGCTGAGCGAAGATTGCGTCTCTTCAAGCACTCTGGTGGAATTCCCGGCAGGCCTCACGGCATTTTTCAATCCGCAGTCGTTACGGTATGTAGCAGCCCTCATAGCTGCTCTCCAGCCTTCTGAGCCCGATGACATTCTCGACGCTATACAAGTTGATTCCATGGAGGAGATCTTCGGGATGCAGAGAGCACAGAAGATGAAAGGCCAGGTCAAAGACGTGTTTGTCAGGCTTCCGAGAGCAAATATCCGGTTCATAAACGTCTCGGATCTAGATAGTCCGGAGCCCTCGCACGAGGAGCAGGACCAGTATGACTTCTCAATAACCAAGCTGGTACTGGCGTCAAGGTCTGAAACTAAATGGCTCGACGCCTTCAAGCCCGAGTCAAAGAAGACGGATACATCCTTCCACCTGCGCCTGAAATCCGTGGAGCTCTCTGCAGCGGAAAGATTCCACGACATGGAGGGTCCTCAAGCAGCCGCCTTGGCGCAGATCGAGCGCGTCGTGGTGTCTATGGGGTCCAAGGACTTGACCTACCTCGACGCCGACATAGGCAGCATCCAAGGCAATATCTCGTCGATGAAGCTCGAATACCTGGCTTCCCTCATTCACAGGACCAACATGTTGGCCTCGGATTTCGGGAAGCTCTTCGCGGAAACCGCGTCTCGGGAACGACATCTTGTCAGGTATCTCGTTCATCGCCTGATCAAAGATGCGCAGGCTGCTCCAGATCCGACTTTCCTCATCCGACCTTCGGCCGTTCTGCGTTCTGCCCGGCAACATCTGCGGACCTTTGACTCGTGGAAGATCGCCATGCGCCTGCGTGAGATGTGGACAACTCTAGATCCAGATCGAAAAGAACAACTCACACTCGACTGTCTAGGGGATTTGCCATCCCTTCCCGATGACATTAGGCAGCAAGCCGTCGCTTCCTTCCAAAGGTGGAGGAGCTGGGACCTCAGAGATGCGTCGGCAAGCGTGCTCCTGAACAAGATATTTGGCCGCTCAGGGGACCACCTCAACCCCCCATCCGACGAGGGCCCAGTCATGGCGGTTGTAAGGGTTGCAGAGACTCGGTTGGTTCTCGACCCAGGGCCAAAGCAGAATGAGATCACCTTTTTGGATCTCACAGCGCGGTTCGAGACAAGCCATGCACCGCGGGAAGAAGGGGGAAAGGCTGCGACCGACGTCCCTAACGGATCTCTGACGGTCTTGAACATTTATTGCGACGATGCCTCAATCAACCTGAACTGGGAGCTATGCGAGCTTGCAGATGATATCCTGAGGCTGTATAATAAGATACAAGCCAAGCCAAGCCCTCAAAGCCCTCCTCCAGTCAAGTCGCCTCCGTCTCCTTCTCCAACCGGCCGTCAGGAACGCACGATTCATTGTGTAGTGTCTCTCGGCCGAGGCTTAATTGCTCTAGAGACAGTCAATATCCATGCATCCTCGGTCGGCAGTGGTATGAAGGCCTCGTTTCTCCTCAGATCAGAAAGGGAGAATGATGTCTCAGACGCCAACTTTATCCTCAGTTGCGATTCGGTGCAGTCAAGACTTCGCAGCGGCGCCCAGGGGCTTGTCAAACTGGTCCTCCACAAGTCGAGTGTGCTTGTTTCTCATGAGCTGCAGGCGGGCGAGACAACCGACAGGCACACGATCAAGGCAACAGCCAGCAGCCAAGACATGTCGGTTGTTGTAAAACAGGATCCGGTCGTCCTGTCAGAAGTTCTGGATGCCGTCATCAGGGATGAGGTCGCCCAGCTCCACCGCCTGACGCACGAGCTGCCCTCGTCGCCGGTGCCATCGTCGCCAACTAAGACAATAATCGACCGCCTCTCTGCCTTCAGAGTCAATGTCGCCATGTTTATGGATCGGTACACCATCAGCATTCCACTTCTCCGTTCGTTGACTTATACCGTCTCCGGGACGGTATCCAGAGCCGCAATGGCAGCCAATTTTGGCAGGGAGATCATCTTCGACTTTGACGTGAAGGAAAACTCGCACGAGATGCAGATCATCGTGGACAATATGCCTCGAAGCATATCTCTGCTACAGATACCTCCAACGAATGGAAGAGTTACCAGTCACATGGGCCATGGTGGACACTCCATCACAATCTTTGCGTCGGTAGAGCTGGTGCAACTGGACGCCTCGGCTGTCTACAGTCTGCTCACGGCGCTGAATCGACCAGAAATTTCAAGCGTCATCAACGATCTGCAGCAACAGAGCGGGATCATTCGAGAGCGAATTACCGCCCTGTTCGGCACAGACGGTGGCCAAGTCACAAAATCGAGCCACCAGAAGAAAGCCGAAGTTCTGGGTTATGGCGTCCACTTGACCTTTGCTGGTCTTGAAGTGTTTGGGTCCAGCCCCCTGAAGTCGAGCATGTCCCCAATGGCCCATATATCGTTTTGCCTTGATAGTGTTAACCTGGAGATGACCAATCGTGTTGAGCATGACGGACCGATCCTCGCCTACCCAGAAGTGCACATCAACCTACGCAAGGTTGCCTTTGAGATCCGGAGGGGGACTCCCGACTCTCTAGGTTCTTGCGGAAATCTCGTCTTTGGTGCATTGGTGACGACTACCTCGAGACTAACCGATGATGGGGAAGTTATGAGATTCTTCAACCTCAAGAGCGACGGGTTTGAAATCAGCCTGTCACCAGACACCGTTTCAACTGTTGTTGATGTTCTTGGCTACATGGGCGACAAATTCAAGGACCTCGGGACGTCTCGGGAACTCGAGTATCTGCGGAGAATAAGGCAGACGAAACCGCGGATCGCCATCAACGACCAGGAGGAACAGCCGGAGCCCGACGTCGTCCACGATTTCCTCTCCTCCATGACTTACACTTTCGAGATGCGTGACATCGACGTGTGCTGGCGCGTCACGAAACCCAATGAAGAACCATCTCAGGACAAGGACGACCTGGTCCTCTCGCTGCAGCGGATCGAGTTTGGCACCTGCACTAGAAACTCGGCCAGGCTGACTATCGAGAATCTGCAGCTCCAGATGGTGTCACCGCTGCAGGACAGGAAATTCCGGTCCCCGAACTCGGCTCTCCTGCCCGAAGTCATCTTCAACATCGCCCACGTATCCACCTCGGATGCTCGTCGATTAGCCTTCCAGGCCGTTGGAAAGTCGTTGGATCTTCGACTCAACTCTGGCTTCATAATCCCAGCTGCCAACCTAGAAGACTCGATTACTCTATCCATCAAGAACGTCCAACAGGCTTCGCGAAATTGGCGACCAGTGATCCCACCCACGGCATCTCCAGCTGCTCCGGGATCGGAAACAGAGAAACCAAGACAAGCCAGCCTTCTGGGGAGCAGGAGGCTGGAGTCGTTGCTCGTGGACGCTGACTTTGCTGGTGCTGTCGTCTACCTGACAAGCAAGACGGATCCCAATGATTTCACCACGGCCGACAGATCAGGACGGCGGGGCATGTCCGGAAAATACGGACAGTTTGTTCAAGAAGATTCGGGCAGCACGGTCTTGCGCAGTCCGGGTCTGGCTTGCAAGATGGAATACTTCGACAACGGCAAGGACACTCCGTCGCTCTATGGCGAGGTCAAGATCGATGCCTCGAGCAACATACTCTATCCGTCCGTCGTTCCCCTGATCATGGACATAACAAACACGGTGAAGGAAGTGGTCAGCAGCGAAAGTGACGAGGACAAGAAGACCCATGTCCAGCCACACGACGTGCTGGCCCGGGCCAAAGTCGGCGATGATGACAGCATCCTCACGGCAGATCCAAGTGCCGTGCTTGGTCGCCTGAAACTCAACCTAGGCCTTCGCATCTACAAGCAAGAGTTCTCCTTGAGCTGCCAGCCTATTGCCCGAGTCGCTGCCACTGCTAGCTTCGACGATGTGTACTTCACGGCCAACACTGTTCATTCCGTCGAGCAAGGCAACTTCTTTGCCATCTCAGGGGCTTTCAGCAACCTCCGGGCGTCGGTCCAACACGTCTATTCAAGAGAGTCGACCGGCAGTTTCGAGGTCGAATCCATCGTACTCTCCCTCATGAACAGCAAGCATGTCAGTGGCACCAGCGGTGTGTCTGCAATAATGAAGGTTAGCCCAATGAAGGTGTGTGTCAATGTCAAGCAGCTTCAGGACTTCCTCCTCTTCAGAGAGATCTGGATCCCCCGCGAGATCTGGCGGGCCTCGTCAGCGCCCGTCGCGACACTCGTTACCGAGACTTCGCAGTGGCACCTCGCCCAGCGCTACCAACAAGTCGCCGCGACGGCTGCGTTCCCCTGGACAGCAACGGTGTCGATCACCGCGCTCGAGATCAACGTGGACCTCGGACAAGCTCTTGGGAAGTCGGTATTCGCCATCTCCGAGTTCTGGGCATCGTCCAAGAAGACGTCTGACTGGGAGCAAAACCTGTGCCTCGGATTCGAGAAGATAGGCGTCGACAGCACCGGTCGGATGAGCGGATTCGTGGCCCTGCAGAATTTCCAGTTGCGCTCCTCGATCAAGTGGCCCGAGAGGGAACAGGCGCTGAACGAGACACCCCTCGTCCAGGCGTCGATAGGATTCGGCCAGCTGAGAGTCAAGGCCGCGTTCGACTATCAAGCCTTTCTGGTTGCCGACATCACGTCGATGAAGTTCATCATGTACAATGTCCGGCGTAGCCGTGAAGGCGCCGGAGATCGTCTGGTCGCCATGTTCGATGGCGAAGCCGTCCAGGTCTTTGGGACGACAACGTCAGCCGCTCAGGTGGTCGCATTGTACCAAGCATTTCAGCGACTGATCCAGGAGAAGAAGGCAAACTACGAATCATCCCTCAAGGAGATTGAGAGGTTTCTGAAGAGAAAGACCGGGACCGCACCCGCACTACTACCCCCCCGAGGGGGTCTTCTTGAAAGACCCGTCGACGACGACGCGCTTCTGAAATCCCCCATCCTGCTCGACACCAACGTCGTGGTGACGCTCAAGGCGCTCAACCTGGGCATCTTCCCGAGCACATTCTCGGACCGCCAGGTCTTCAAGATGGAGGCGCTGAACGCCCAGGCCAGATTCGCGGCCAGCATCGAGGAGCGGCGGATCCACAGCATCCTCGGCCTGACGCTCGGGCAGCTGCGGATAGGGCTCGCGGGGGTCGGGCAGAGGCCGGGGCCGGCCAAGACGCTGAGCGAGCTCTCGGTGGAGGACGTGGTGTCGAGCGCGACGGGGTCGCGCGGCGGCACCATCCTCAAGGTGCCGCGGGTGGAGGCGTCGATGCAGACGTGGCAGTCTCCCGACTCGAAGCACATCGACTACCTCTTCCACAGCGCCTTCGAGGGCAAGGTCGAGGTCGGGTGGAACTACAGCCGCATCAGCTACATCCGCGGCATGTGGGCCAACCACGCCAAGGCGCTCGCGCAGACGTGCGGCAGGGAACTGCCGCCCGTGACGGCGATCCGGGTGACGGGGGTGCCGGAGCCGCAGCAGGGGGCGGGGTCGGGGTCGGGGCAGCAGACCAAGATCACGGCCGAGGTCAACGTGCCGCAGTCAAAGTACGAGTACACGGCGCTCGAGCCGCCCGTCATCGAGACGCCGCAGCTGAGGGACATGGGCGAGGCCACGCCGCCGCTCGAGTGGATCGGCCTGCAGAGGGATCGGCTGCCGAACCTGACGCACCAGATCGTCATTGTGTCGCTCCTGGAGCTGGCTAGCGAGGTCGAGGATGCGTACTCGAGGATCTTGGGGTCGTCGTGATGGGTGGTTTTGTGTGTGGCCCGGGTTGGGCAAATAGAATACATATAAAGGTTGTTTTAGGGACGACGGCGAGTTATCTGGGCGAGGAGCCTTTGTGGTTTGTTTTTGGCCTTGCCTTATATATCATCTGGCGTTGGGTTGTTTTCTAGAAGGCGGGTTGGGGGTGTTGCCCTACCAACGCTAGCCCCTGTATTTTATGTGTACTGGCGTATTTATCTAATTTACCTACGTTCATGACAACCTACATAACACGCCACAGCCAAGCAGGTACCTAAGCTTGTAGCCATATTGATTCGGACCTAAGGACCCGATGAAAGCCTCATAAGGTATTCCGTAGAGTCAGGGTATTGAGGTAAGCGCCCATTCTTCCTCAGAGTAGTGACAGGCATTCCTTAGGCTATCGTAGCAAGTCCCAAGAGATGAGATGCAACGCCCGTAATAGTCGACCCGATCGACCAGGGACCCGCCAATAAGTTGGAGGCATTCACGTTCCCTAGCCACCCTCTCCGCGGATCGGGCCGCTCCCTGCATGGTCTCGGCGGCCGAGGTAGCTGCATCAACAACGGTTGCTCGTCCTTGCCGATATACTCCGCAACCTTGGTTAGGGTTGATGAGGTACCCTTGAGCGTTGTTGCGTTGCCGATGGCCACCAAGGCCTGGGTTTGGTTAAGGAGCATCTCGCTCTGCGCAAACTTGCCCATGTCTTCCGTGATCTGGAGCGCAGCGAATGACTCTACCTGGTTCCGTAGAGTAGATGACTTCAGCCCGTCCGAGAACTCCTTTGCAGGTGAGGGGAGTACTTAGTGTTCGAACGCCTTGCTTTAGAAGCCGATCTGCGCTGGCTGACCTGGCCTCGGCAACGTTCTTCCATGTCTCGGCTCTCTTAACGGGGATATCTGCCAAATCTAAAACCTGCTTGAGGTCCATCTTTGGCGAGATATAAAATGATTGGAGCCTGTGGAAGTTTGGGGTGATAGGACAGCGAGAATGCGTAAGTCGTGATGGAAGGTTGGGCGTTCGAAAGAGGGCCAGGCAAGGTAACAGACACAGACATCAGTTCGACTCTTTCTTTATATAAACATTGCTTGAGAGATACGGGCTGCCTTCCAAACACGCCAAGGGCACACTCTATCCGAATACAGAAAGGGGCCAGGAGGCATATGGCTATCTGCGTTGAGGTAGAATGTAGGCTATTACCCAGAGTCATCAGTGAGCCTTGGGTCTAGCTGTTGTATGTGAGGCTGCCATGGAAAGCTCAAGATGATCCAAGCGATTAGTCCCAGGTAGACTGTACGAAACTAACAGGCCCCCTTAGCCATGGCCGCGACCTATCTCAACCTATTTCTCGGCGCCTAAGCCTGGCTCACCCCAGATCTCTTCGACATAAGCACTGGTTTATTGTCGGAACAGCTGAGGTCTCTCCAAAGGTCCTTGTGATGTTCATATCCATCGCGATGTAGAAGAGGATGCCTACGGTTGGCTCTGTAGGTCTTAGTCTACCTGTTGAATTGAGCAGTTAGAGCAGTAGATAGCTGTGGATCTGCGTATAACAAAGTGAGAAAAGTATATTTCGTATTAGCTGAGATTGTCTGGTCATTTTGTCATTTTCTCATTTCGTCATGTGAAGCCTCGTGACTTGTCGTTCATCGCTGCCTTCACCGTTGGAAAGAACGCTCGCCAGCTGACAGACAGAATACTGAAGTTAGAGTCTAACACGAGAGTAGACACTGAAAAGCTTGTCCGGTTTCATCGTAGTAATAGTCTTCACCGGCGGAGAACACTCGCCGTTGACTCTTCACCGATGGATATAGGTCAACCCCACTCACACCGAGGTGTCGTCATGCCTTTCTCCTCTGACAGCCACTTTTAGCTGGAGGTACACCATATGAGAGATAGATAGGTATTCTGGGAAACGAGTACGTCCATTTTTGGTATTAGGTAGGTATAATTCCCGTTAAACTTCTTCAATGCTTCGGAATTCGCATGCCTGGCGGCTTTGATGGATCAGCCTAATAGGGAAAGGAAGGGGAGGGGCAAGAAGGTCGGGTTGTCGAGAGAGGGCAGGAGCCCTGATCCTCGTACACCGAGGGACGCGTCGTACAGAATATAATGTACCCAACTAACTAGTTACCTATGCTAGGTTCCTACCTGCCAATGTGGGTAGGTACATACCTACCAAGATCCTCGCGCGTCAGGTCTGCACCCAGAGAGGTATCCAATATCGATCTAGGTTTCCAAATGCTGTCGACTTGTCTGAGTCACATTTTGGCTCTTTTGCTCAGGAGGTTTAAAAACTAGTATGGAAGACACGCCACCAGGGAGAAATTGGCGCATAGGTGGCATTACAGCTCTTGTTGTACCTTTTTTTCTGTGTAGTGAATCACTTTCTCGCCAAAACCCCACCAACGGCGGGGTAGCTACTTATGCATGCCATTCCTGCCCCACCTGCTTTTCCTGTTTCCTCACCCATTTCATGCCCAAACCCTTTTTTCCCCGCCACTTGCAAAAAAAGGCGCGACGGTGCTGGCAATTCTCTTTTGAATCCTCTCCGCCTTGCCCATTGCATCTTCCTACCCTTTTTTTTTTTTTTTTTTGGCTGCTGCCACCGGTTTGACAGTGCCAGAGACAAATTTGCAGGGAACACTACCGGAGTTTGTCAGCAATATCGTACTCGCTCGACCAAGTGCTGATAAAATTCTCTGCCCCGCTCCCGAAACATCACAACTTCAACCCACCAAACAACACTTGAGCAGGTCGCAACAATACCGCCAAGATGGTTAAGTAAGTCCTATCCCTTGCGCTCAACATCGTGAGATGCCAATATACACCTCGATCACAGCCATACTTTCAATATTTACCACCTTACTTGCTTCCTCTTCCCTTCCTATCCCATCTTTACCCCGCCCGGAGATAAGCCCCTCCACCTCCGCGGAATGGCTATGCTAACCTCGCCTTGTCGAATAGCTTCACGATCGACGAGATCCGGGCCTTGATGGGTATGTTTTTCACAATTTCTATTTTGCAACCAGAGGCCCATTGACCTAGTTGAGGTGGGAATGGCGCCTTCTTGGTGTGAACCCGGCACTAGCTGCTCCTAGCCCTGGCTAGTATCTAATCCCTCGCTCGTCACTCATTGCTAACTTGCTATGAAATAGACAAGCCGACAAATGTTCGGAAGTACGTATCCCATTACCTCGAGAAGAACAGCTTAACCTGTTACGACTCTGTTTCTGTACAGCCGAACTAACCCATGGAACCAACAGCATGTCCGTCATTGCCCATGTCGACCACGGCAAGTCGACTCTTACCGATTCTCTTCTCGCCAAGGCCGGTATCATCTCCGCCGGAAAGGCTGGCGATGCCCGGGCTACAGACACTCGTAGCGACGAGCAGGAGCGTGGTATCACTATCAAGTCAACTGCCATCTCCTTGTACGGCACGTTGCAGGATGATGATGACCTGAAGGACATTGTCGGCCAAAAAGCTGACGTGGGTAGCTCCGAAACCCATTTATTCGTCGCTGTCCGTCTGAGCTAACACTGGGTGGGAAAACAGGGCAAGGACTTCTTGATCAACCTCATCGACTCCCCAGGGCACGTTGATTTCTCTTCTGAAGTCACCGCCGCTCTGCGTGTCACCGACGGCGCCTTGGTCGTGGTCGATACCGTCGAAGGCGTGTGCGTCCAGACTGAGACTGTGCTCCGACAGGCTCTGGGTGAGCGTATCAAGCCCGTTGTCATCATCAACAAGGTCGACCGTGCCCTCCTTGAGCTTCAGGTTTCAAAGGAGGATCTGTACCAGTCCTTCTCGCGAACCATCGAATCCGTCAACGTCATCATCTCGACATACTTTGACAAGACCCTCGGCGATGTCCAGGTCTACCCATACAAGGGCACCGTGGCCTTCGGTTCCGGTCTCCACGGCTGGGCCTTCACCGTCCGACAGTTTGCCGTCCGTTATGCGAAGAAGTTTGGTGTTGACCGGAACAAGATGATGGAGCGTCTCTGGGTAAGACCCTTCAGCTCTTTGGCAGACGCCTCTGGGAAAAGAAATAGGAAATGCTGACAAGAGTGGATAGGGCGACAACTACTTCAACCCTGCAACTAAGAAGTGGACCAAGTCTGGCACCCATGAGGGCAAGGAGCTCGAGCGTGCTTTCAACCAGTTCATTCTTGACCCCATCTTCAAGATCTTCTCGGCCGTCATGAACTTCAAGAAGGAGGAGGTGACCAGCCTTCTCGAGAAGCTCAACCTCAAGCTCTCCACCGAGGACCGCGAGAAGGAGGGCAAGGCGCTCCTCAAGGTCGTCATGCGAACCTTCCTTCCTGCAGCTGACTGCCTCTTGGAGATGATGATCATTCACCTCCCCTCGCCAGTCACTGCCCAGAAGTACCGTTGCGAGACTCTGTACGAGGGTCCCCCTGATGATGAGGCTGCCATTGGTATCCGTGACTGTGATCCCAAGGCCCCCCTCATGCTTTACGTCTCCAAGATGGTGCCGACCTCGGATAAGGGTCGCTTCTACGCCTTTGGTCGTGTCTTCTCTGGTACCGTGCGATCGGGTCTCAAGGTCCGTATCCAGGGACCCAACTACGCCCCTGGCAAGAAGGAGGATCTCTTCATCAAGGCCATCCAGCGTACCGTCCTCATGATGGGCGGCAAAGTTGAGCCCATCGACGACATGCCAGCCGGAAACATCGTCGGCCTTGTCGGTATCGACCAGTTCTTGCTCAAGAGCGGTACCCTCACCACGAGCGATACCGCCCACAACCTCAAGGTCATGAAGTTCTCCGTCTCGCCTGTCGTGCAGCGATCCGTCCAGGTCAAGAACGCCCAGGATCTCCCGAAGCTCGTCGAAGGTCTTAAGCGCCTGTCCAAGTCCGACCCTTGCGTGTTGACCATGACTTCCCCGTCCGGTGAGCACGTCGTCGCCGGTGCTGGTGAGCTGCATCTTGAGATCTGCTTGAAGGATCTCGAGGAGGATCACGCCGGTGTTCCTCTCATCATCTCCGACCCCGTCGTCCAGTACCGCGAGACTGTCACGGGCAAGTCGAGCATGACTGCTCTCTCCAAGTCGCCCAACAAGCACAACCGTCTTTACATGGTTGCGGAGCCGTTGGATGAGGAGCTTAGCAAAGAAATCGAGTCGGGCAAGATCGGCCCCCGTGACGACGTCAAGACCCGTGCCCGCATCTTGGCTGACGACTTCGGCTGGGACGTCACCGATGCCCGCAAGATCTGGGCCTTTGGTCCTGATACAACTGGCGCCAACTTGCTGGTTGACCAGACCAAGGCCGTTCAGTATCTCCAGGAGATCAAGGACTCGGTCGTGTCCGGTTTCCAATGGGCGACACGTGAGGGCCCGCTTGGTGAGGAGCCCATGCGCTCTGTTCGCTTCAACGTCCTTGATGTGACCCTGCACGCCGATGCTATCCATCGTGGTGGTGGTCAGATCATCCCTACGGCACGTCGTGTGCTCTACGCTTCCACTCTCTTGGCCGAACCTGCCCTGCAGGAGCCCGTTTTCCTGGTCGAAATCCAGGTGCCCGAGCAGGCCATGGGTGGCGTGTACGGTGTCCTTACTCGCCGGAGAGGTCACGTGTTCAACGAGGAGCAGCGCCCCGGTACTCCCCTGTTCACCATCAAGGCCTACCTCCCCGTCATGGAGTCTTTCGGCTTCAACGGCGATCTCCGCCAGGCCACCTCCGGCCAGGCCTTCCCGACCCTGGTATTCGACCACTGGCAGGTCCTCCCTGGTGGCTCTCCTCTGGAGGCCGGCTCGAAGGTTGCTCAAGTTGTCCTCGATATGCGCAAGCGCAAGGGTCTCAAGCTGGAGCTCCCTGCCTATGAGAACGTAAGTTAACCTCGCTCGATATTATTGTGAATGCAACAGAGTGCTAACTTGGTGGAATAGTACTATGACAAACTCTAAGCGGGTTCCTACCGACCATGATAGACTCGTCTCTTCACGCCTCTTCTGGAAGGAGGGTACCAGGGCTCTTTCGATGACATTCGAATCCCTTACCCCTCGAGAGGCCCCAACGGAATATCCCCATCGTGAGGAACGTGGCGGGAGGAAAGTCAAGCTTGATAGAAGCTGTCACGGACGCATGGAACTTTCGCTAGTCATAGTTCAGCTTGGTCTGCTTGTAGTAACGTAGAAATATCGATTCGTTCTGAAACTTCCAAACGAGTTTGATGCATAGTGAGACGTGATGCAAAGAGCTATCCCCCGAGTTGTCAGGCCCGACTGTTGCTCCTCATTTCTCACAACTTCTCCAGCTTCCTTCCAGAGACTGGACTTAGCATTGGGTTTGTAACGACATTCCTCGAACTGGGTAGTTCTCGATGGCCGTACCATGACGTTGATACCTCGCTGCTTTTATGGCGGCCTGGTGGGCTCCTCCCCCAATCCCCACTCTCGTCTTACCCAGAGGGATTGCGTGACTACAAATATCTAGTTGCGAGTCCTCACTCCCCTCACTCCTTTCGCACATAGCGCAGGACTTCTAGACAAACTGTAAGGGCTTCTCATCTCTTACAGAAAGTTGACATTCGTGGTTCAGAGGTAAAATTCACCATTAGGTTAGCGTGTTTAATTATTTTATTTATATTTTTTGGCTTCCATCCATTTAATTGGTGGTTGGGTACGTGATTAGATAATCTGGATCCACTTTCTGAATTAAAGCAGCAACAGCTTGCCGCGTCTCCAAAAGTATACGTCAAAGTGAATTTTTGGAAATCGAGGCTCTGGTGCCGAACAAGGAGCAAGACCCTTTTCTCCAGCTACCCCATCCTCTTATGACGCGTTATCCTCGTTAGCAATCTACCAGATCTTGCCTAATGACAAGATGTTGTTTCCCGAAGACGATGCGCCCATGCTCAAGGCATGGATCGTGAAGCGACTCGAGAACACGTTAGTCGCTTCCTTCCCTCCCCGGCGTCTGATGAACTCGAGCTAACGAACATGGAATAGATCTGACGCTGATGCCGATGTTCTGGCGGAGTATGTTCTTGCCTTACTTCGACACGATGGCAGCATAGGTGACGTACGAAAGCTCTGTGAGGAGGAAATCCCAGATTTCCTTAAAGAAGGTAAGCGCGACCAAGCCGTCCATCCCTGCTCGCTACCCATCGAATGCCTGCCTGACAGAGCACCCCATAGACTCATCCGTGTTTGTCAATGATGTCTTCAATGCGATCCAGCACAAGTCATACCTTCCAGGCGCCTTGCCTCTGCCGAAACTTTCGGCTCCCCCGACTGCTCGCCCTCAGGCGCTTCCCTTTGATGAAATACCGATGATATCGCAAGGCCCCCCGACGGGCCCGTCGCAAAATGGCTCAAGAAAGAGATCCTATAACGAACAGGGCGACGTCGACATGCAAGGCGCGAACGAGTTTGGCGCACGTTCATTCAAGCAACCTCGACGGGGCCGCGGCGGGCGTATGCAGGATCCCAGTAGCTTCAGAAGAGGCCCGGCACCCGGGGGTTTTCCAGGCGGAGGATATCAACCGTCTCAGCTTTCAGCGCCTCAGCCAGGAGCTCCCATCTTCGATCCGAATAACCCGATGGATGCCTTGCTGAAGCTGCAGGCTTTGGGTATGCCGCTACCCCCAATGCCCGACTTTGCGCCTCACGGCCCATCGGCACTTGGAGGGGGCCAGCCAGCAAGGAGACGACAACGGTGCCGAGATTATGACATCAAAGGCTACTGCGCTCGTGGCAACACTTGCATGTTTGAGCACGGGACGGATTCTATATTCGTGCCTCCTCCGATGCCTTTGTCGCAGCCGCAAGGAAATGAGGGTAAGCCTGCCAATCCCATGCCCCCCGATGCCAATTGCTACTTGCGACGAGACTAGACCCTATAGTGCATCTTGGCTAATGTTTCCGCTCTGCAGAGTACGACCCTAGTAATGCGTCAATGTTGACAGGGCGTTTTACCGGGCCCGGTCCTCAACCTCAACTCGCTCAACCCTTTGGTGCAAACGGCAGGGGTCAAGCCGGACATCGAGGCGGCAGGCAGGGAGCGTCGAAACGCGCCCGGGCTCCGTTCTCTGCAGATGGACCGGTAAACGACAAGAGCAAATCGACCATTGTGGTAGAGAACATACCGGAGGAGAGCTTCAGCGAGGAAGAGGTCCGCCGATTCTTTTCCCAGTTCGGCAACATCGTCGAGGTGTCAATGCAGCCGTACAAACGCCTGGCCATAGTCAAATTCGACTTGTGGTCTGCTGCCAATGCCGCTTGGCGATCGCCGAAAGTGGTTTTCGATAATCGCTTTGTCAAGGTCTTCTGGTATAAGGAAGACGAATCAACATTGCCAGCTTCGAAGCCGCTGAACAAAGGAGGGCCAGCCGGGGCGCAGAATGGCACCCCCAATGCAGGAAGCCCAACCCCTGGACCTGAAATCGACATGGATGAGTTCTTGCGCAAGCAAGAGGAGGCACAGAAGGCTCATCAAGAGAAGGTGCAGAAGGTGCAGGAGATCGAGAGTAAGCGTGAAGAATTGGAGAAGAGACAGAAGGAGCTCCTGGCAAAACAGCAAGAGGAGAAGCAAAAACTCTATGCGAGACTTGCCGCTAGCTCTAAAAAGTCCGCCGGCCCTTCTGGTCAAGATGGGAGCGACGCAAAAACGCAAAAACCCACAGGCCAGTCAGATGCGTTGCGAGCGCAGTTGGCGGCTCTAGAAGCCGAAGCCAAGCAGCTGGGGCTCGATCCTGATGCGATGGATGATGGCTCGACCTGGACCCCCGGAGGCGGTCGTGGAAGGGGTAGAGGAGGTTTCCCCAGAGCCAGAGGATTTGCTCCTAGAGGCTCTAGGGGAGGATTCCGGGGGCGGGGTGGCAATCATGCTGCCTACGCGGCATACTCTCTCGACAACCGCCCTAGGAAGGTCTCGGTGACTGGCGTGGACTTTACAGTGCCTGAAAAAGACGAGCCGCTTCGGCAGTACCTTTTTGTGAGTTGGGCACATCTCAAGCTGAGTGATGACCGAGTGCTAACATTCCTACTCCTAGGGTATCGGCGAGTTCACGGACATCCAGACCGCCCCTGAGGCCACACAGGTCACATTTAAGGATCGTAAGACGGCCGAGAAGTTCTTCTATAGTATCACGAATAAGGAGATACCCGGGGTTGAAGGCAAAGTCGAGCTGAGCTGGGTCAGCGGTTCAGCGTCGGCGAGCACTCCATCTCCTTCGGTCGTCAACGGAAGAGCCTCAGTCGAAGAACAGAAGCAGCCCGCCAGGAACGAGGACACGGTGATGAGTGCCGGCGGCAACAGTGCTGATAAGGAAGATACTGCCGTCATGGAACACCCACCGGAGCAGTCCGATATGGACTACGATGTTGCGGATGACAGTCAGTGGGATATTGGTTGAGCTCCCGGAAAGAGCAAGCGGGTTATTCAGGGCATGCTTGGTAATATCGGCCGCAGAAAAATTTTGCTCAGTGTTTTTTTTGGCAGACCAGGACTTGTGGACAGCATTTTCTGTATATAGCAAGTTCGTGTAGTACATATAAGTGCCTCTAATTGGGAGTGGCAAGACACTCATGGCGCAGAGAGGCCAAGATTCCAGCACGCGCTGCAGTCTCAGGCAAATGAAATCCGTAACGAATTCAGCATATTCCAACAGGGGATCCTGGGGGCCCTACCCAAGGCAAGATAGAAATAATGACCAGTCATAGGGCATTGATATTTATTGGTCAATGTAGCTCTGCCCCGTTGAATAGGTCCATATGTATTGCTTACCCCCGCCCCCGCCCCCGGCGCAACGATCGTGGACTGACAGACTGCCTTGGCAAGTCTTGTTACCTGTCTGCCGACATGACGTTTCTTGGCATGGCGCTATGGTGGGCCTAGACTATCTGGATCGAGATTCGAGGGGGTCGAAGCTATACGTGGGAGTATCCTGACCAGACTACGATACGCAGAAGACGACGTCAAAGTGTATCGGGGAGGGGGGCTTTCACTTGAGTGCTAGCCCCCAACCCCACCCACTTGATTGGACCAAAAGGAAGAGAGCACTTTCGGACATAGGGATGACGATGGTCTATTAGAACTTTGTTTAGATTTAAGCCCAGCCAAGGGGACGATGTTGACGAAGTCCCTGAATGGCCCGGCCCATTGAAGCCCCGCCGTTCGGTTGAGCGAGCGAAATGGGGTTTCCTCGAAACCGTTTGGGAGATGCCATACTGGCTTGGCTGACTGTTCCCCCGTGCCTCAAGTCAGGACATCTGCTGTACTGTTGGGCAACACTTTCCTATATCGTTCGACGTTCATAGATGGAGAACGCAATGGCAGACCCATCACATCTGTATGCCTCAGGGCCGTCTAGGAGACCCTTGTTGAAAAGTCGAAGGACCGGGGAAAAAAAAAAAAAAAAGGACAAGTGCTCTTTAAATCCTTGAGCAGTTATAACTCCCGTGCTCCTACCATAGCCAAGCAGATATCGTGCTTTTTTCCTCCCTTGGGGTATCGTTGAGATGTGGTATGCATGCAATATCCTGTTGCTCCCCCTTTGCCCCCCGGGTGATTCCATTTGTGACCCCCCGTAGAACCCCGTTGTTGTTTTTTTGTTGAAAAATCAGCCTCAAATGAATGCTTCGCCAGTGGATAAAACGCCTCTACAGATGCTGCCGCCAGGTCGTGTTTGTGTGTGTTTCGCTTGTTGGTCAAATTACTTTAATGTTGAAAAAAGATGTCGGCGGCTGCCGGATGTTGAAAAGAGGGAAGGGATTACTGGCGTGGTTTAAGCAGCATCTCCGTTCGTGTTCCCGTTCGCGACTGGCTCTGGCTTAGCCGCGACCTTGGGGGCTTCGTCGAGGTTGTTGACCGCAAGACCCTCGAAGACTTCGAACAAGGTACGTAGTTGGTGGAAATCGTTGTTCACTAGGAATGGAGGTTAGATGACTCGGGGTCTCTCTGGGATACATCTCTTTATCTTTTTTAAAACTTACCGATGTTCACCAGGTACCATGTCTCCATCATGTTCTCGATCAGAAGCCGACTTGGGGTGTTGGCATTATAGCACCGGCCCCAGTCCATCCCAAGCTGGAATGCCTCGTCCTTCCAGGCCAGGAAACTGATGCTCTCGACTATAGTTGGCTGGACAATTTCCTTGCCCGGGAAGACGCCCCAGGTGACGGCATTGGGCGCTTCGTAGGGGGCGTTGGACTTGAGGTTGCCGGCCTTGCCGACGGCGTAGTACGTCAGGTCTGGGTGCTGTTCGATCCGGCGGATCATCTCCGAGAAGATATCCGGGTGGACTAGCAGTTCCAGATATGCCTTCTGATATACATAGCCGTTCGGGGGACCCCAGCCGTGGACTGGGTGAGATGATTTCACGCCGTTCACTGCGGGCTGCGAATTTACAGTGAGAAGACCCCGCCTGTTCAGGTCGATCAAGTCATCCTTGATTGAGTCGGCCTCACTGGTAAGGGGCGCCTCGCTCCATGGGAGAGATTCGACTTCCTTTTCGAGATACCGTACAAATAAGTCTGCGATATCCCTGATCGACGTGGGTTCGCCCCACTTCTTCCGATTCTGTTCGTTTGTGCCCGGCAGGCCAATACCGTAGGCGTCCAGTTCGCCGAAAGCGGGCGACCTAGAGTCGCCCCAGCGGCCGTTGGGGAATTCGTCCCATTCCTGGGTCCGGGAGACATAGGACTTGTTCCGGTTGCGCCAGAAGATGGGGCGGACATCCTCCTCCCGGCGGCCGAGGCCGAGGGACTGCTTCCAAGGGAGAGGTTGCTTGAGGGGCCGCGTCGGCGACGGCAGCCAGTCCAGCTCCTCCAGAACCATGCGCGTCGCCTGGGCCAGGTTCATGGTGTAGAAGTGCAGGTGGCGGATACCGGCGGCGAGAATCTTGCGGCACATGTCCGCCACAAGCGTCTTCCCAATTTCCCGGACAGCAACATCGTCGTTCTTGACCGGCTCAAGCCTGGTCATCCACTCCTCGGGAATGTTACACTGCATGTGGTTGGCACGGCGGAGGAAGCTCGCGTAGGTGGCGATTGGCATAATCCCGGGCAGAATGGGGATGGTGATGCCCCTGGCGCGCACTTTGTCCACCCAGCGCAGGAAGTTGTCAACGTCGTAGAACATCTGGGTCACAATGAACGTTGCGCCCATGTCGACCTTCTCCTTGAGGTGGTCTAGGAGCTCGTCTTCATCCTTATTGTCATCGCACCCTTCGGGATAGCCGGCAACGCCAATGTCGAAGTGGTCCCCGTAGGAGTTGCGGATGTGGGATACTAGATCCCTCGCATACTGGAAGCCGCCCTCTGTTGCGACCCATTTCTCCTTCTCCCGCGGCGGGTCTCCTCTGAGGGCAAGGATGTTGGTGCAGCCGGCCTTGTATGCCTTTTGCAGAGCTTGGCTGACTTTGGCTTCTCCCATATCGGTGCATGTGAGGTGCATGCAAGTCTCGAGGCCGAAGTAGGTCTGAGCCTGGGAGACCATCTCGCACGTCAGCTCGGCGATGCGGCCGCCGGCGCCCCAGGTGATGTCGATGAACTTGGGGCCGAAGTGGTACATGCGCTCCATTCGGTCGTAGAGGTTCTGCACACCCTGGGCGGTCTTCGGAGGGAAGTACTCGAACGAGAAGGACGGGTTACCCGTCCTCTCAGCGTCGGCCAGGACATCTCGGATATGCATTTCGGCAGCCAATACACGCCAATCAAGGCGGTACTAGTCCGTATAGTAGGTATTATGAATAAACTGGTCGCAGGAACGGTTAGAAAGAAAGGTTGGGACGAGAGAGCAAGTCATGGCAGCAAGAGACACGAGAAGGAAATATCCAAATATGCAAGGGATGGAGGGGACAAGCGGCGGAAGGGATCGGGGGCCATTGACAGTCCGATGATGGTTCAGAAAAAGACCCGCAAGGATGGAACTTGAGAAAGAGGGTCAAGGATAGTTACCTGGATTACGATCTAAAGCAAAATTTTATATCCTCCCTCGTCTGGATATAAGCTTCACCTGATCGCCTTAAGACAGAAGACGGACAATGTCCCGGACGGAACTTTAGAGAAGGGGGAAAATTGGAGCAGAAGAAGCAGGTCGACAGCGGGGCCAAGCATCTCCGTACGCGGAGGCTCGCTCCGTTGCTGTGCAGTGCAGGACCCAGGGGAGGTAAGGGTAGGTATTTAGGTACGTAGTCAAGCCCCCGAATTTCACGATGACAGGAGGGGCAGACAAAGGAGGGCGGTCAGAATGTTGACCTCGTCAGCTCTGCTTACTGACACAAGTTTTGCGAGTTGCAAAAGCTGCCTAAGCATCGGCTAGATTCAGTTCGTGTCAAAGACGAGCCAAGGCCTCTAGTTGGAAGGTATAGGGCTGTCAATTCCTAAAGTTTCTTAAAGCTCCTCCTCAAATTCCGACCCGCCGATGGCCCCCCACCAAATCTGCCCCTCCAAGTGGAGATCTCTTGGTTCCTGGCTTTTTTTCTCGCTTCTCGATTTGATTCAAGGCCACCGCAAAGTTGAGGAGCAGTCTGGAACCAATCCCAGGCTCCGATACAAAGTGGGTGGTGGCCTGCATACAACAGCAGCAATACCATAGGTACCTCTAAGATAATATGCGGATCCTGATGACGTGGTGCGGATAGGTACTTGAGCAGAGAGAATTGGGTTTTGTAGAACGCATATTGACGAATGCCAGATTCACGGCTTCAAAGTGACGACAGTCTTGGATAACAATAATATTCCCTCAGAGAAGAAATGGCCGAACGAAGCGACCCGTGGCCGTAGTACGCATGACGATGCGTAATTTATTGGCCTGACCGCTCCTGATAAGTAGCCAGTCAGGTTTCTGTCTCATCTGCAGGTCCTTGCAGTATGCATGGCTCTGGTGGACGAATTATGCCCGCTGATTTTGGGGGCAGCTCGTGACCGCCCCGAGTGGCCGAAGAGTTGGTTAGAGTCCGAAAGGCGCTCCGCTTGCAACAGATTTAACAACCTGGATAGCAAGAACGGGTTACCATTCTGCTGTCTGGGAGTGACTGCATTCAACAGCAGATAGTGTATCCGTCGGATAACGAGGTAAACCCCCATCAGTAGTGGTGACTCAAGCCGGGAAGTGCAGGAACACAGGTGACCAGGAAGATCAACAGAGGTATCGCAATCGGATGCTGCCATTGATTCGTGAGAGTCATACTGTACCACTCGACTAAGAATAATCCAACGCCCACAGAGGAATAAAGGGAAGTTACGCACCGAACCCAGCATCCAGTAGAACGCCCATGAAATGCATGTCCAGAACTGCCTGTTCCCCCGTTGCACTGTAAGAGTGGGAAGAATGCCACCCGCCCGACAGACCATATGCAGGCAAATCCCTCAAAACAATAACAGAGACAAGAGACCAATAAAACGTGATCGGGTATCATGGCGCCTCAATCCTCAACCTCACTTCAAATCCCCTCAACAGGAGGACTCTGCTCAATCCAGGTGCCTCGGACCCAACCAAATAGCGAGGTGGTCCACCGGGACAACTAGCAGCACCTCCGATTCGCCTTCCCGGCACGATCCTCGTGTCCTTGATCGGCCCCCCGGGCAGGCTGGTCGATGGTCAACGCCGGTGAGAACCAGCTCCTCCTGTCCCTCCCGACCCGGAAGCTCCCCCTGGGATTCACGGCGTCGAAGTAGGCGGCCGCACCACCGTCCGCGCCCGCGCCGCCGCCCTCGCCCTCGCCGCCGTGCCCGCCGCCGCCGCGGGGCACTGCCAGCAGGCTCGCCGTAGCAGCCAGCAGGCCCTGCTGCGTCTTTCGGCTCTGCTCGACCAGCTTCCTCGTCACGACGCGGAACACCTCCTCGACGCCCTCGCCGCTCTCGGCCGAGATCTCGTGGCACGCGTCCCAGCCCACCTCCTGGCCCCAGAACCCGGAGCTCCGCTTGCTACTCGGGCTCCGCGGCTCCGCGCTCTGCGGCTGGCTGCTGCCGGCCGGGAACCCGCCGCCGCCGCCCGCCCACGCGACGTGTTGGCCCATCGGCGTGGCCGTCGGGGGCGGCGTCGAGCCCAGTCCGGGGGCGAGGTTCTCGGCGACGTAGGCGATGCAGCGCTCGAAGGGGACCTCGCGCTTGGACGGGTCGCGCGTCACCATGTCGGCCTTGGTGCCGACCACGTGCAGCACGATGTCGGACGGCAGGTTGCGCCGCAGCTCGGTCAGCCATATGCCCATCTCGGCGAAGGATTGCGCGTCGGTGATGCTATAGCACAGGATGCAGGCGTTGGCGCCGCGGTAGTAGAGGCGGGAGATGGAGCGGAACCGTTCTTGCCCGGCTGCGGAAAGGCGCGCGTTAGCAAAATGAATGGCCGTCGAGGATACGCGTCTATGTTATGGTTTGGCCGCAAGAGAGAAAAAGAAAAAAACACACCTGTGTCCCATATCTGGAGCCGGACGACGGTGTCGGTGTCGGCATCAACAACACGCTTCGTCACGAAGCTCGCACCGACGGTAGATGTGGTCTGCGATGGGTTGAAGGCGCCTTTGCAGTATCTCGTGACTAAAGAGGTCTTGCCGACGCCCTGCGCGCCGAGGACGACGATCTTCGCCTCGAGGGAGGACATTCTGGGTCCGAGTGAAGGGAGGATGCGGTGGGAGTCGGAGGAGGCGATTCGCGATTTCTAACTTCCGTCATGTGCCTCTCTTGGCTCTCTTTAAAGGAGCTCGCTACGTCATAAAATCGAATATCCGCCTGATCCAAGGGAATAATGTACTGGAATACAAGGCACGTGGAAGGAATGCAATAATGTCAGAAAGACGAAGTGAAAGTAGGAATGGGGAATATGGCAACTCGGAGAGCAACAAACTTAACCTAGATATGTTTCCCGCCCGTTATTGCTTGCGGGGGGCAGATGCTTGTTCCAAGCACGGTCCAGAAAAGGATCGCTAGATCCTAGATTTGCCGCGAATAGCCATTGCACGTGTGAACTGTGAGACACTGGGAATCTTCATCATGAGTCAATCCCCAATCCCCTGACTCAGTACGCAAGTTACCTTCGAGCTATCGTTTCGCTCTTGAGCCTACCTCTGCGCTGGTGTTCTTGGCGATGCGCCATGTACCGCGGATATGTAATGTGCGCTGCCGCTTGTACACACTGTGTGCTTGTGTACAAATTGAAGCATGCATTTCTTGCACAACAAACTTCAAAATCAGGGGAGATGGGTAGGTAAGGTGGCTTAAATAGCATTTATACATAGAGGCAGGTAGTCAAGGAGACATCAAGGCCGTATACACTCGACAGAACTACCCTCCCCCTTTCGCAGATAAGATATTTACAACTTCGACTTTGTCATCTGTTGCGGGCTGACCAGCGGGTCATACGTCGAGTATGACAGGTTGTCGACGGGGCCAGACGCATGGTTGAAGAGGCTCCTCACGTCGACCATGGACGGGTTGAGCTGGCCGACGCTCGTGGCGCCGATCAGCCGCATGTTCATCTCCATCTCGTCCTTGAGGAGGCGCATGGCGCGGTCGACGCCCTCGAAGCCGTACGCCGACATGGCGTACAGGAACGGCCGCCCGATGCCGACGCCCTTGGCGCCGAGGCACAGCGCCTTGATTATGTCGGTCGCGCGCCTGATGCCGCCGTCGATAAAGACCTCGATCCGGTCCTCCAGCCCAAGCTCCCTCAGCACCGGCATCGTCTCGGCGAGGACCTCGACGGCCGACCGCGCAAAGTCGAGCTGCCGCCCGCCGTGGTTCGACAGCACCACGCCCTGCACGCCGGCCTCGACCGCCTTCAGCACGTCCTCGACCCGCTGCACGCCCTTGAGGATGATGGGCATCTTGGTGACGCTCCGGAACCAGGGAATGTCCTTCCAGCTCAGCGACGGGTCGATGAAGCTGCTGATCGCCCTCGCCGCGCCCTGGCTGGTGTCGGTGGACTGCCCGCTCTGGACGTTGCTCCCCTGGTCGGTGAACTTGCTGCGCATGTCCTTCTCCCGCCTCCCGAGCTGTGGCGCGTCGACCGTGATGAACAGGCCCTTGCACCCGCGCTTCTCGGCGTGCTCGATGATCCGCCGCGTGATCTCGCGGTCCTTGTTGACGTACAGCTGCAGCCACTGCACCTGGTCCGCTTCGGCGGCGTCCATGATCTCGTCGAAGGAGCACGACGCCAGGGTGGGTATCATCTGGACCACGTTGTGCTTGTGCGCCGCCCGCGTCAGAAGGACCTCGCCCTCGACGTGGCCGAGCTTGCCGAGCGCCGTGGCCGTCACGTAGAAGGGGATGTCGACCTTGGTGCCCAGCATGGTGGTGCTGAAGTCGACCTTCTCGACGTCGACGAGGATTTGCGGCCGGAACCAGATCCTGTGGAAGGCCGCGTGGTTCTCGCGTAATGTCTGTTGAGGCCCGGGCCCCTTGGTCAATAACCTTGGTTCTCAAGCTGGATGGATCAGGGAGGGGAAGGCAGCGGCGCATACGATCTCGTCATCTGCTGCGCTCGAGTAGTAGCCCCACGCCGTCTTCTTCATGACCCTCCGCGCAACCGCCTCGAAGTCCATCAGATTATAGCACTGGTCCAGCGGAGGCATCTCCTCGATGCGCTTCTGCCTCTCCTTCTCTTCTGGCGACTCTTTGGTCACTTCCTTCAGCACTGTGCTCATGTCGACGGGGCCGAGGTGCTTCGACTTGTCCAGGTACTTCTCCAGCGTATCTGGCGGGTGAATGGGATCAAACTCTTCGGTCGCATCTTTGCCCTGATTGTCCTTGGTGTCAGCGCCCAATGGGAGTGACCATATGTGCGATTTGGGAGAGTCTCACAGCATATTTGAGGATAATTTTCATCCCACCGGGATGTTCTGTTTCCCGACTTAGTGAAAGTTGCATGCGTGGGGAACCAGGCAGCACCCACCTGGTAGGAACTCGGTAACATCATATGCCCTTCCCTACATCGTCTCGTCAGTGGCCAATTCCAAAATTCCCAATTCACATTTCCATTGAGCCGCAAGAGATCGTACATGGACGATGACCCAACAGTCCTCCGAGCTATTATGCTTGGCAACTTCGACCCCTGTTAAAAGCATCTTGAGCGGCGGCTTCCAATATTCTGGGTATCAAAACCAGCAAGGAACGGACGGGATATGAATGCCTGAGAGGCGCGGGACTCGGGGAACGAAGGGACTCCACGAATTCACAGAATGAAGGACGGCGAGGGAGAATTCGCCTTCGCCAAAAATAAAAATAAAATAGGAGGATCTTGGCACCCCGCGCGACAGCGCATCGACTAAGGGATAGGGGATAAGTGGTTCCCTTCGTGCGAGCGCCCTGGTGCAGACCGGGGAGAGCTCGTCGCCTCAGATATCGAGCCCCAATTTTGCGTGGGGCCGGTTCGGCCTGTCGGGAGAGCTTCGTGCGGGGTCGGCGACGTAGTGCAGTCATTAGAATTCGCCGCGTCGGTAGTGGTTGGGTGGTGCGCATGCAAGTACTCCGAGCATGTGATTATCGAGGTTCCTTGATAATCGGCTAGGTACATATATGATATGGGAGGTAGGAACAGCCCGAGGAACATGGAAGACAGTCATAAATCATAACGAAGAACTCGTAACCCCAAACCCGTAAACTCCGATCAAAAAGCCCCAATCCCAAATCATTACCGTCCGCGCATGATAAGACCTCAATACAGCGCATCACCACTGCTCCTCGACTCTACGGAACCCGCCGGCCGTGCATCTCGATGGCGGACAGAGGAAAGCTTGGCGAGGATGCCGCTAACTCTTTTGCCCTCGTCGCTGTGGATGCTAGCCCGGTCTTCACCAGTCGCCGCCCTGCTCTGACGGCCGCCGGGAGGGGGAGGGGCCTCGGACAGGGTGCCGGGCTCGATGTGTGACTGCGGAAACAAGCCCCATTTCTGCTTCGAATTGTATCCAGACCAGCACCAATCCTCCACGTAGGGGACTAGACACGCATGTTCAGTTTCACCGTAATACCTCGTCAGAAAAGTTAGATGTATTTGGGGGGGACTTACACCCGATGCCCGTTATGACCTCTCCCGCGTCGAACCTGAGCCAGCGGCCCGAATCCTTATCCTTCCGCGAGCGCCTCCACCTCGCCACGGCCCTGAGGTTGCTGCCGCCGGTCGCCTGCATCGCCCTCACCTGGCTCTGGTCCGGCGCCACGAGCCTGGCGCAGTCGGCCGGGAACGCGGCGCGGACGTTGTCGGCCCACCCGACGGCCCACTCGCCGCCGTACCTGGCCGGGAACTCGACCCCGACGATCCTCGCCCCCGCCGCGAACTGGAGCACCGCCTGCCCGTCCGGCGGGTGCCGCTGCTGCGCGCTGTTCGTCTTCCGGAACGTCTCCGTGGCCACGGCGGTCGGCATCGCCGCCAGCAGGCGCTCGAGGCCAGCCATGACGGAGCGGGCGGGCGGGTTCAGGAAGTGTAGGTCGAAGTTGTTCATCAGCTGTGGCGGGACTTGGGGCGCCTCTATCACCGTCAGGCCGGGGACCGCAGGGAGCGGTCGGGGGTGTCTGGTTAGGTGGGCGAAGAGCTGCTTCTGGGTGAAGAATACGGTCGCATCGCTCTCCTCGGTTGTCCTGCCGAGTTGGACGCAAAAGAGACAGCCGTACAGCTCGTTGTCAACATTCTTTGCTGCGATGTGGCTCTTGGAAAGAAAACGCAACCGGAAGCCGACCCCCGTATTCATGTAGTTGGAGTTGTCTAGAGGCGCACATTAGCAGCCATGGAGAGGAAGGAAGTAGGTCGCCACTTACTTGCCATGTTGACGTCTGCTTCAACTAGCTTCCAGTCCAGCTCGAACATGCAGCTCTTACACTTGGCTACAATAGCAGTACCGGCTCCCATACCCTATAAGGGTGTTAGTCATAAGTTATCGGGCTTAGCCCCGATGCACTCGGTAACTCCCAAGGCATATATCTGTCTATCTGGGAAAGAGTCAGCTCTTACCGGCTTCCTAATTTTCTTCACACCAGCTCCACCGCGGATGATGTCCTTTGCTCCGTCACAAAACCCCTTGAATTGGTAGAACGAGCTGTCAATGTTGATGCTGCAGTCAGGTTCCCGGGTGGGCATTGGTGGAAGCGCCTGTCCCGAAGACGGTCCACCGGGGACGGGCTCCAGCCCTGGCTGGTCGAGAGAGAGACGGAGGGGAGTTTGGACGACATGTTGAGGGACAGCAGAAATTGGCCATCCACTGCTCATGTCAGGTCGACTTTCTGGGGCAGATTGGAATGAGTACGGACCAGCGGCCGGCGGGCTATGGTCGGCGAGGCTGGCGGTGCTGTCCCTCGCACCAGAGTCGATTAGCGACGGCTGAGCGGAGCTGCTCAAGCTTGCCTGAGAGTACCTTTGCGGAGGAAGATGCGGGATGTATGTCGTGATAGCTGGCAGTTGTTGTCCGTTCGCGAACGGTGCCCCGGTAAGGCTTGCTCTCGTTTCGGACCCGGGCCCGGCCGTGGAAATTGGACCAGGTTGAGGACCGTCCGGCTCACTGGTCCCTGGTACCGCCTCGTTGTTGGACCGCCCATAACCCCCACTCTGAGATTCAACGGGAGAAGTTGACAAGTTCTGCAGCTCCAGTGAGTTCAAGCGCCTAGCTTCTCCATCCACCAACTCGTCAACTCTGCCTAATTGCGGGCTGAACACTTCTGGCTGGCTGCCCTCACCAGATGACACACGCCCCCTACGCTCATACCCTTTCCCCAGCGCGTAATCTTCCATCTCGGTCGGAAGCACTGGTAGCTGGACGAGTTGCCACGGGTTGTCCGGGGGTTCAGGGGGTATCTCCTCCGGGCCCACCGACTCTGCGGAGCGCAGTTGGGCAGTCGGAAGTTCCAGATCACTCGGTTTCCTGGCCGCTTCCGGTGCCTTCCATTCAGGCGACTGGTGACTGGACTCGCCGTCTAAGCCAAGGTCTGGGCCGGCCTGGGTTCCAGCTATGCCGTTCGGGTGAAGGTCAACGGCCGCATCACTCTCGTGCGTAGGCCCTTCTCTTTCCTGCTGGGCGCCGGTTGGATGCCCATCGCTCAAGCCCGCGACTGATACGGCTCTCCAGATAGTTGCAGACGTGGAGCCTGATGTAAACCGAAGAGGCTCGAGCTTCATTCGCATTAATATGTCGTATATTCGCGGCGCACATTTGCGTGAAAGGGCACGCAGCTTGGCGAACTCGTCCGTGTCGAAATCTTCCGCCTCGATAAATGAGTCGAAGTCCCACAAGAGGTCATTGAGCTCAGTCCTGAAATTGGCGATGTCGTCTTCGTGCCGGTCGTCTATTAGTACATAACACAGCCATAAACATCAATCGAAGCAGTAATTTCCGTACCGTTCTCCTTGAGCGCATTCACGAAGTTTGCCCCGTATTCTTCAAGATGTTTCTTGCATAGGGGCTCTATCCTCTTGACCGCACGCTCGCCCTCTTGGACGAGTTTCTGGGCAGTCTTGCACATGTCTTCTGAGAGGGGAGGTTCCGCATCCTTGGAATTCTGCATTGCGATCTTGCCTTTCTCAACTATGTCCAGGAAGGGCGCGAGGACAAGAATATGGACGTCATCCTCCATCCTGGGCGGCGGAAACGCTGCACGAGCAGGCTTGGAGTCTTCGGCTCCGGTTCTGTCCATATCGAACGAATGTTGCTACGAGTGATAGCAATCAGGGAGGGAGAAAGAAGGCATCGGAACGGAGCCGACGTCTTTCAAAGCTTCCAGTTCCACGGTCGAGGAGGGTCATAAGGTTCAAAATTAGGAAATAGAAGCCAAACATGGCGAAGCATGGGCAACACGAGCCTGGTCGGGCGCTGGGAAGGGGAGCTCATACCCGGTGCCCAATGATTAAACAGGGATGCACCGCGTGCTGGACCACGAGGCAGTGCTGAAAGAGCCAGCCGAAAGCATACTATTGACATCAGCCGTTGCCCCAGAAAAGCGCCCATTGCGAGAGAAAGAGAGAGGGCTCTGGACACGGCTCCAAACATGGACGGTCTCGGGATTTTCAATAAATTGTTGCTACATTGTTGACCGGATGTATGGACATTACTATAGGCATTGGTCATGTCAACACTCGGACGATCTTCAATCCATGCTGTAGGTACCCTGGTCTGGCGCTGTTCTGATTGAGGCAAAGCTCAGAACTGATGGTGGCGGGGTTGATGAGGGGGATCCAGTAGTCCGGGCACGAGGCCAACCTTGATTCTGCCTTGTGGGTAGGTACCTCCTCGGCGGTCTACTCTTTTGCAAACCGGCAGACCCCTGCTATGCGAGTGCAGCCTCCGACGGGGAGGGAGGCAAGTTGCAAACATTATAGTATAGAGCCCAACGATTTAGACTCGTCATGAGATCCTTCCCTAGGTTTCTCTCTTCCCGGCCGATCACAAGGTTGCAACGCCACTAATAAACCCAGTCCAGCGTTTCACACGCTCAGCTCTCACCTTCTTTCCACTCGATTCGGACTCTCACTGCCGGGCAACAACACCCAAGCAAGCAACGGTCAGTCTCGATCATTTCTCACGGTTTGTGTCTGATTTACCGCCGCCTACTTCCGCCATCAGTCTTCGTCCAATCTGGATAGTCTCTGCCGCTCCACGCTGTCGCTGCCAGAACCTGCGAATGTTGTCAGTTTGCCAGTCCTGGCCCCCATTGCATATCTCAGAGAGACCGTCAATGTAGTGTAGCTGCGGGAGAGACCCACAATTCTTCAGGGCTGTCGTGGCCCTTGATTGAGTTACGCCGCGCTTCTTCTTCGAGGACCTCGCGGGTGATCTTCTCTCCTCCACTTAGTCCGGGACCAGAGGCTTCGTCAGTGAGATCCTGGCCGAGGGTCTCTTCCAACAAATGTTTCCTCATGGCGAATCGTTCGCCTCGCTCCTTCTGCAGGCCAGGTCTATCCATCCTCCCAATGACGTGACGGACGACGGATTGGATAACTAGGTAGAAATGCTCGGCGAAGATGATGGACAGCAGCAAAGCCCAGCCGCAAATGTTCCATGGAGATCCGTCTGGCCCATGCCTGTCTTTGAAGAGGTACAGCAGAGTCGCGCTGGTAATGCTACCGAGCCATGATAGAAATCCAAGCGCGTTGAGCCACGGTCCAATCGAGTCCGCCCTCCAAGGAATAGGGCGCTTGCTCCCCATGGCGATTTTCATAGCATCAGATCTCGCCTCGATCCAGTTGTTGACGAGAAAGGAGCATGCTGTCAGAGGCCAAACAACCGAAAATAGAGACAGATATCCTGTCACCAGTGAGTAAAGGGGTCAAAAGGTATGGCGGAGGGAATCAATCGTGGTTATCAAGGTGGTTTTTTGTCACGTACCGAATTGAATGACCATCTCCCTGTAGTCGATCGCCACATCGTACTCATCAAGCTCAGCCTCGTTCCGCACCCTAGCCAGGAATGCGGCCTCCTCCGGCTCGTCCTTTGGCTGCGGGGAAGCTGCAGACTTTGAACCGATCTCGGTCTGGACGTCCTTGACGGCCCGGAAAGCCTTGCGCTTGGCATACGGCACGATGTTCTCGAGGGCGAAGTTGACAATTTGCGCCGTGACGGTAAAGTAAATGACCTGTTTGGTAAGCCTATCTGGATTGATCTCGAATTTCTTGGTTGGTAGCGGTTTGCCCTCTGCAGTAAATCGCTGTGCGGTGAGCTGGAAAACATCCAGATACGGAGCCAGAACTTTTCCAAACGGTACGTAGACGAACGCGGTCAGGGCTATTGGTAGATATGAAGTAATGACATTGAGCACAAAGAGCTTTTGGACGAAGGCAGCCTCATGAGCTGTATCCCTGGTCAGTAACAGGCGCGTGATAAAACACAGGTGCATGCGTCGTGCGTGATGGGGGCTGTACCATCTTCGGTTTCGTAATTCTCCAAATGCGTAAGCTTCTCGGCAAGCCCGGTAAGAAGGGTCGAGAATGTTGGCATCAGGACCGTCAGAATGATAGTCGGCAAGAAAGCCTAAGGGGGCCTCGAGGTTAGGACGAGTTTCGCTCCTAGATTGCCCGTACTTACCAAATACTGCCCGAATGGCCCGCTGTATACTTCGCAAATAAATATCTCGATGGCGAAGCACGCAGCGATCAAGCCCCCGAGGACGACGATGCAGGCTATCGCGAAAGGAATTTGGAGAAGTTGGCGCAAGAGTCTCTTCAATGGAGAGTAGACCCTGACGATCTCTCCTGTAACGGGGTCCTGCGCTTCTCTCTCAAACTGAAACTTGGATCGGGGGAGTTGAATCTTGGAGACTCCACGGACCGACCACTGCATAGAGAGATCAAACTCCTTCACCTTCCAGTGCTCGAAGAAGATGACGCACCATAGCGAGTTCACGAGAGCATAGAGCCACGAGAACTTGCCTAATATGAGCCACGCACCAAGGCCGAAGGCCGCAGGGAAAAGCAGGAAGGTGAAGTATGACTGGAGGAAGGCAAAATAGAAGGCGACCTTTTCGCCAAACTTGTCGCGGATCTGGTCGATATCGCCATCGTCTAGGAAGTACTTTGTGCTCCACTGCTTGATCCAAGTCTTGTTGAAGGCGTGATTGTGGAGTGGGAAGATGGATGCGACAAACTTCCACTGTCCGGTCCTAGACGTTACGCCGGCGCCGCCTTCATTTTTGGACTTAGTTATGAGCAGATAAGCCAGCCTCAGCCTCTCGGCTTCCGACACAGGCTCGCTACGGAAGTATTCGTTCAGATCCTTGCTGGGGGCTACTGTCCGAACTCCGTAAAGCCAGTCTTGGACTCGATATCGGTAGGCTTGGGAAGCGAGGAGCTTGTCGGAAACGATCTTGGTAAAGATGAGGATCGAGTCGTCGCCGCCGTTCCGAACTTCGGTAGCAAAGCCGACATTGGCCAGCGCTTCGATGAGCTGGACAAAGGCTGCTTCCGCTTCTGCTTTTTCTAGGAGGCTGTCAGTAAGAGGTCTTAGTGAGGACGAGTCCGTGGAAATACCTGAGGTCGGGACTTTGTAATGGATCACGTAGTCGACGCTGTCCACCCACTGATTAGGCCATCGTATGTACACCGGAATATGGTCGGCAGTGGTTCATACCCAAAATTAGACTCGAGGCCTGGTTCATGTGTATACAAGCTCCGAAGCCCCGCCATGTTTGGCGTCCCACGATTCTGTGGGTTGGTGATGGGAGGTGAGCGCGACAGCTTGGAGAATAGGAGCAGAAGACAATGACGCTCCAAGATATTAGTGTAGAACAGTTGGCATGCAGATCACCCCCTTACGTCACCTGCACTGCTTGATCCCTGTCCCTTCCAGGTTGTTTCAGCTCCCCACAACATCCGCATACATGAACGGGCCGTGCATACCCTGTCTAGCTTCGCCTGCGACAATTGGTTGGAGAATGGAGGAATTTTGATGCTCTGGGATTGAGATGTGAAGTATGGAAACCGGGAGAGTCCGAAATCACGGTTCAATCTCCGTGTAAGTGCACAAGCAATTGCCTAATCAGGAAGAACAAATCACTAAACCCAATTGCAGGATTAAAGGAAGAAGAAGGAACTGCGTCATCGCGATCGTATTCGATGAAGACATTTAGAATCTGCGGTCGGGCAATCCGTGCCATTTGCTCCTATTAGACAAGAAGAGCTAGCCGTACTACTTGTAGGTTGCTTGGGAGACATAAGCAGCTTTCTTGCCAGTCAAAGAATAACTTGGATCAAGAGATCGGAATATTTAGGAAAACGAAGAAATGATGAGTGGTGTTTTAACCATAGCAGCAGCCAGGCTGGGAAAAGATGTTGTCGATTCGTTCTACAGGCACTGCGCACGCCAAGTCGATTGACGGAGTGCGCTGACTAAGCATATAATCCCTATGCGACCTGATCACGTACCCTTGTGCACTTACACGGATCTTCATCTGTAGTTCCATCAATCCTTACCGCAGATTGAATGGTCTTCCATCAACAACGACCAATCACCCAAAAAAAAGACATGGGTCTCCTAACCTGGCTCGGCCTCCGGCGAACCGACGTCTGGGAGCGCCCAACAGTAGTAGACGAGTTCCTCTCGTCGCCGCTCCAATCCGTCATCCGGCGCATGTTCCGGGCCATCCTATTCCTGCGCGGCAGGCCCTTCCGACCGGCCCGGGACAGGCGACGCATCCGCGTGGTCTGCATCTCGGACACGCACAGCCGGACCGTCGCCGACGTGCCGGACGGCGACCTGCTCGTCCACGCCGGCGACCTGACTGACGACGGCACGGCCGACTCCATCCAGCGGCAGGTCGACTGGCTGGACTCGCTGCCGCACCGCCACAAGGTCTTTGTGTGCGGCAACCACGACAGCTGGTTCGACCCGGCGGCCAGGAGCGCCGCCGACAGGGAGTCCGGGAGGGCGCCGGATCTGAAGTCTCTGCGTTACCTCCAAAACGAGTCGGTGACGCTGGAGTTCGAGGGCGGTAGGAGACTGAATGTCTACGGCGCCGGGGACATCCCGCTGTGTGGAGGGTCCGACTTTGCGTACGTCCATGGCACCAGGCTTTGTAGGGACCGTGATCGGTTGAGCTTGCTGATTTCTCACCGGCGTCTGTCAGCTTTCAATATGCTCGCCAATCAGCCCCTTGGGCTGAGAGGATACCCGTAGAGACGGATGTCCTTGTAACCCACACCCCACCGGTACGTCCCAACTACTCTTGCTCATTCAATGCCCTCATCGGGGGCGGCTGAACTAGATGTTCATTGTCGTCTCTAGCGGTACCATATGGATCTCGACATAGGCTGTGCCAGTCTCCTGCAAGAGATATGGCGGGTGAAGCCCAAGCTGCACGTATTTGGACACGTCCACTGGGGCCATGGGAGGGAATCCGCCTACTACGACGAGTGCCAAAGAGCCTACGAAAGCCTCATGTCGAGGCCAAAGAGGGGCCCGCTCTATGACCTTGTACCCAATGCAAGCTGGAAGGAGGCATTCCAAGTGATATACTATGGGATCCACAGCATCCTCTGGAAATGGCTCATGCTTGGCCCCGGTTCCAACAACGCGGGCCTCTTGGTCAACGCTGCCCAGATGTATGGAAATACTGGGAAGCTGGGCAATAGGGTCACGCTGGTAGACCTGTAAAGGACAGCCTGGAAGTTTTTAAACAAATACAAGAATAGGGGGTGGGAATTGTCCTGGAAGTATATATCATGTTAGCCTGGTCCGCCGGGATGAGATATACGACATACGGGTGGAGTGAAATATGAGATTGCAGGAGAACATGCAGAGCAGGGCACACAGCACCGGACGACAAGACATGCCTATTGCTTGTCACCTCAAAAAAGACGCGGGTCCTTTGCCAATAGATGACGGGAAACAGGGGGTATATTCCAACAACAACCCAGAAACCTTTCCTTTTAGTCTAGAACAGTCACTAAACGCCGGCCCCAAAAGCAAACCCAGTCTCGTCTCTTACACCATTATCCTCCTCAGACCCTCCGTCCCGCCCAATACACGCCGCCCAGTCACGGCACACCTGCCAGCCCCGCTCTCCCACTTCCCTTCCTTATCCTGCATGAAGTCCTCCTGCTTCGGGTGCTCACCGGCAATCCACTTGTGGATACAGCTATAGCAGTACACGAACCCCGTCTGACACGCCGTCGCCGTGACAATCTCCCCTTCGCAGATGGGGCACAGTTCCGAGTCCGCCGCCGGCGCGACTGTGTACACGGGCAGCAGCGACGGCGTCGCGACCGGCGCAGTCTCCGCCAGCCTCGCGTCGTCCTCCCGCCCGGCGGCGGCGCCGGCCCCCTTCTCCTCCCGGCCGACGCGGGCCGCCTCGGGCAGCCCCGTGACTATCGGCGTGGGCAGGTCCAGGCCCTCGGCTGCCCTCCTGGACAGCTGCCTTGCGAAATCGGAGGCGTGCCACCACTCGAGGAACTTGAGCGCGAATATGCTCGTTGGCAGCAGCACCGACAGGCCGCCCAGCACGCGCGCCCCGACGTTCCTGGGCGAGAGGGCCGAGGAGCCCGCCGCCGCTGCCGCCGCCGTCTTACCCAGCGCCTCGATGGCTTGGTAGTCGGACGCATTCATGCGTCGGAGGCGCGTGCCGACCAGCCACATAAAAGGGTTGTGGTAGGTAGATCGGTCGAACAGGTAGGCCAGGCCAAACGCCAGGGCCGAGAGGTGGTACGCGGCATTGACACCCGGGTACGCGTGCGTCAGGAACCAGCGGTAGCAGAACAGGAGCCTCTCCCGCAGCGACGCCCCGGCCGGGAGGCGGTTGTACGCCGAGCCGAGCAGGCGCCTCGGCGCGTTGACCTCGTACGCCTCGTCCAGCTTGCGCTTGAGGTACGGCACCACCACGGCCACGGCGAGGTTCCTCCACAGGTCCCCGCCCCGTAGCCGCAGGGCTTCGCGCGCCGCGTCCGGCGCCCCGACAGACGCCCGCGGTATCCCCCCGGCACGCGCCTTCCCCCCGCCGCTGCCGCCACCGCCGGCGACGGCTAGCTCCCTCCGCAGCCCGTAGAAGTGCTCGGTGAAGGAGCCGCCGCGGGTCCGCAGGTAGTGGCGCTCAACTAGCAGGGCTAGGAGCGCGTATAGCTCGTCGAACGAGTTGAGCATGCGCAGGAGGTGCCGAGGGTAGCGCTGCGTCGCGACGGTGAGGAGGTAGCGGAGCGTCGGGGGTAGGAGGGCTGATAGCTGCGCCTCCGAGAGGAGCTCAAAGAGCGACGGCTTCGCCTCGTCGAAGGAGCTGGCGCGGAGCGCCGTCACGAACTCCATGATGTGCGCGCCGCAGGAGGGTGATTCTTCGGTTTGATTTGTGTCCTATACCTCTTCTCCTTTCTTGTTCTTTCCCCTCTCGTTGTATCGTTGGAAGTAGAGGTCGCGTTGCGCCCTCGACGCTTGACAGCTACATTTGTAGGTAACCAGATACAGCCGAGGTAAGTCTGACATGACGGTTTGGAGGCTGCGACGGGACGCGCTCGGCAAAAATTTGGCGGCCTGGCACCTGGCCGACAGGACCCACACTTGTAGTAACGTCCGGTCTCATGGCCGTACCGCAATTGAGTTCGAGAAACACCACTGCCTACGGAGTACAGTTAGAGGCAACCTCTAGCAGTCTAGTTTGCTCATCTAGTTCTGAATTTATGTGCTGCCTTTCATCTGCCCTCATATCGTCAGCTGGAGAAAAATTACTAGGACCCCCAGGACTCAGGCATGGGGCTGTCGCCAACATCTAAATTGGTGGTTTGTCTTTCTTATGTCTTTCTTCTTCCCAGCCTATTAGTTCTCTGGCATATATGCTTATCCCTCAACACTAAGTTGCTAGGATTTTCAATCTCGTCACCGTATTTCTCCGAATTGGATGGGTTGATTGATCGTTCCGATTCTCCTTTGGTATGGCTAATAAGAAACGGCGTACCAAAGGGCTAACAGCCTAGCCACCGTAAAATTATCAAATCGTCCCTTGCTGACTGAACCTCGGCATCCAAGCACCGCACTTGGAGATCCCCGTAGACACACTTCATTCAAACGAGCAGGACTCTGTTCAACTGTTCAATTATTCAATGGTTTAAATTGACAAGGACACTCTTTGAACCCCCATTTGCGACATAATCTCCAATCTACCTCCACCCATCCCCCCATAAAATGCCGGAATCACCGGCCCGCCCCGCAGCTCCCGGTCCGGAGCCGACCGGCGCGGAGGATGAGATTCCCAACAACATAGAGCGACTCATGGCGTTTACCGGCGGAGAAAGAGTGAAGGAGTTCCTGAAGATGGTCTTGGAAAACGAGAAGGAACCAGATTCCCAAGTAAGTCGGTTTCCAACTCAATTCCTCCTCCCGTTAGATCCTAGAGTCCGCAAGCAGCGGGCCATCAGGGGGTTATGAGTTGCGAGAGGCGAAGAAAAGACAAAACTTAAAAACACCCACCTAACCAGAGCCACCCCTCTCACAACCAAAGAACTGGATGACCCTCCTACTCCCGCACCTCCACTTCGTCTCCGCCGCCTCCCCACCCGCGTCCCCCACCCTCCGCGTCACCTTCCGGCACACCGTCCAGCCGGAGCACTGCAACGGCCTCGGCAACATGCACGGCGGCTGCACGGCGACGCTCTTCGACTTCTGCACCAGCGTCGCCATCGCCGCGTCGCCGGACCTGCGCCCGGGGTTCTGGTCCCGCCTGGGCGTCACCCGCACCCTGAGCACCACGTACCTCCGCCCGGCGCCGCGGGGCGAGGCCGTGCTGATCGAGTGCGAGGTCGCCCAGTTGGGGAGGAGGATGTGCGCGCTCAGGGCCGTCATGATGAGGGAAGTCGACGGCGCCCTGCTGGCTACGTGCGAGCATGGGAAGGTCAATACTGACCCGCCTGCGGCGGCGAAGCTCTGAACCGGGGGCTTCCGGTCGGTACCGGGGGGGGCGGCGGGAATGATGTGTGAATGGTGGGTTTGGGCGTGCCCGGGTGGCGTTTGCTACTATTATAGACTGCGTACGTGGGCCGCTTTAATGATGACAATATATTTCCGAGTCTGGGGGGAAAAGCAATGTGACACTGTACACTGTAGAAAAAGTGATGAACGCCCAAAATCTCTTTGCTGGTACAAATCGTATATAAGCCGTCTCCTTCAATTGACGAAGTCAGTGACCACCTCTAGGATTCCAATATCGTCAAGAAATGAAAACGCAACCTCAAATTCGTCATCCGAGTCTACGTTGTTCGCAAGGTGCTGGTCTATTTTGGGCATGAACTTGTCGAGGAGATCCTCCACCTCGTCGTCACCCTCGACCTCGTGGTCCGAGATCTTCCAGAACCCAGTCGGGCCGCAAGGTCCGTGCGGGTCGTAATCACTTCCCTCCATGTTAGCAAATGTTCCGATAAGTTGGAGACGGATTAGGTGGTGCATATCAAGCATACTTGTCGAACCAGTTGCCCATAACCCCCCGGGCGGATCGACGTCCGCCAACCTGGATGCCCTCGCTGCGCCACCGATCCTGGCCGTCGAAGACGGAGATTGTTGTCCATCTCACCTCTCCCTCAGGCGTCATACGCACCGTGCCTGAGATGATATGTTTTAGTAAACGGTCCTTGAAAATGCAGTCCACGCCCCCCAATTCGACCAAGGTCACTGGGGATGCCCGGCTCACCTCTGATGCCTGAATTGGCATTGTCGTCATCACCCGAATCGTCGACTGCCTGTGAGATGCCGCTGAAGTGCACAACGGGCAGCTCCTGGCCATCTTCCTTTCCGGGCGGCTCAATATTTGTCACGTGGATCCTCATCAGGATCACCCTCGTCGCCTCTCTCGCTTCAATGGGCTGCCGCGGAACATTGTCCGCAATATCCGCACCCAGGGGGAAGTTGTAGTCGAAGAAGTGGCTGTAGTCCACGAAGCAGACGATTCTGATCCAGGTCCCCGAGACATCGTAGGGATCCCGCAGCTGCAGCGGCGTGCGCTCCACGCCCTCCGGCCACGCCAAATAGCTGTTGGGCCACGTACCGCCAAACGGCATGCCCCATAAGTTGGCAAAAATGTTGTATTGTGTATCCAGGCGCCTCTTCTGGATGTTGTAGCTCAGCACGATTAGGATGGCTTCAAGCTTCTCCCAGTCGACCCGGGCGCTGCCATCGTTCATGAACGGTCCCCATTTGGTCCTATCCGTGTATTGCCGAAGGTCATAGACCTTGGAGCAGGCAAAAGGGTACACACACGAGTCGTCCACTCCTCCTATACCGGAGAGGCAGTGCAGCTTGGCGCTCTGCTGGTGCGCTTCCTCGGGCGGCTCTTGGATTCGATGGAGTCGATGCGGCTTGCTGCGAGCGCGCTCGAATAGGAAGGAGCGGCAAAAGAAGGCTGAGCGTGCTTCCTCAAAATCGAAGAGGTCGGCAAGGATTTGGGCATTCCGGGAGGAGAGTGGATGGGTAAGGTGGTGTTTTGGGCGTGGGCTACCATAGACCGACTTCGAGTTCTTCAGCAGTCTCGTGATGGTGTCATAGACGAATCGAAGCTCACTCTTCTAGGCGGCGGCAACGTCGACGCTCGTCAGATCGACGCAGTAGTTGTGAAACGCAGACCTGAGAGGGACCTCACCTTTCCCATGCGTGGCCCGTCGAAGATCTTCAGCAGCTTGACATAGTCCTTCAGTTCCTTCTCCCAGTCGAGGTCGTTGGATTGAGGCTTGTCCTGCGACTGATCTTTCAGCATCGCATCGCAGCGGCAGGACAGGGATGTGGGGCTTCGTTCAAGATACCAGAATACGAAGGTATATATCTCGGCATAGCGCCGCGTTCCCGGATAGGAACCTATATAGGAACCGACAGACACACTTTAGGGCATCAAGATCATCGGGGTCTACAAAGCGGAGGATATTATGAATGATCTCGGGCGGAATACTGTTTAGGATCGTCATCCTGGGCACATTCACAGGCGTGGCCGACCCGACTGCAGAAGGGATGGAGCTTGATTGAAGGTGGGGGTGGGGGGGCGTGTTGATGTCGCTGGCTGATCCGGTGAAACCACTTGATCGAGGAAGACGATCGAGAATAGACGACGAGTTCGTTGAAAGGAGGATGTAATATCCGTAGTCTCGCCCTAAAATCACCCGCGCATATGTCAGGGTTTTGTCACTATTGGTGGCTTGCCGCCAGTCCCTGTCAAGTGTTGGGAGTGGCGGCGTGGCCCATCCTTATCAAGGTATCCAAACCCCTTCAGGGTGATTACACTTGAGGTTGGGGAATCGGGGGGAGCTGAAAATGGCGGGGTATGTCATACATCATATTTCAAGTTCGTATCTTAGGTACTTACACTTGCGTGATCAGATCATACTGGGCCATCTGCAACATTTTATGTACCAACACCAACATCCGCATATATTTGAGATAGAAAAACATGTCCCTACAAGGACTTTGGGGTATGGGTATAAATGCTGTACCGTGCGTAAACGTCACTTTGTCGCGGCTCCGAACAGCTCCCAGCAGGCCGGGCGGGCTGTTACATGAATATACCAGGTATGCTGGCATGCTGTCGATGGGGGGGGATTTCTCTGAGCGGCGCGGTTTTGTCCTCCCCATCCAAAACAAATGTCCATGCAAAAGCTCCCCGTCCTCCGGGCTCTCGGATAGTCCTCCTCCTTCTTCTTCCCCCTCCAATATACAAATAGAAAGTGAAAGAGGCTCGTCTCGTTCCTGGCCTGGACGCCATGACCCCCATCCTACCCCACCCTAACCGGCGGCCCCCCTATTATTTCGTCCCATTCGTGATCCCTGCCGTCTCCAAGACGTTCAACTAAGCGGTTGGTCCGGCGTTGAGGTTGATGCAGTTCTGCAGCAGCGTGGCACCCTCGTGGAGCAGCTCCCAGCGCGCGACTTCAAAGGTGTCCTTCAGCACCATCAGGAGCGGGGTGTTCCGGTTGATGCCCTTCATGAGCTTCAGCTCCTCGGGGGAGGAGACCCGGCCGTATTCCAGCAGGTACTGCCGCATCAGCTGCACCTTCTCCTCCCGGGAGGAGGGCACGGGGGCGGTAGGGCAGGGCCCCTCGAGCGCGAAGCCGTAGCACCAGACGACCAATGCCGCAAAATACAGCACCCACGGGCGGTTGAGGAGCACGTCGTCGCGTGCCGAGTATGGCTCGTCCAAGTGGCCGTAACCGCTCGACCGCGGCGAGCCGAAATCATCGGGGACTAGAACTGAGCTCAAGAACTTGAGGGCGTAGTAGGTGGCATCCCGCGCCTTTGCCGACGGCGCCCAGATGTCCTTCATCCGCCGTTGCGCGCTGTTGAGGTCCTGCGTCCCGATGGCGCGGCCTAGCAGCCTCCTCGCCCGGGCGAAGATCTGGCAATCCACAATGTCCACGTGCATCGCCATGTGCGCCAGATGATGGAGAACGATGCGGCTCTCAAAGACCACATTGGCCTCGTTCCGATTCGACGAGTCGAAGGCATAAGGGTCCGATGAGTCGCCTCGGCCGGCCAGGAGCGACTTGTCGAAGTTGCTCTTCCACGAATCAAATGCCCTCGTCAGGGTCCCACGCCACTTATCTCGGCCGCCCAGGGCCTGGGAAACCCCGTTGCCGAGCGAGTTGACCTGGAGGTCTCGCTGGTTCATGTGCCAGCTGACGCTGAGCAGGCCCGCCATCAGGATGGTGCGGCCAAACGAGTTCGTGTGCACCTCCTGGTTGTTTAGCGTCCGCTTCAATCCCTCGAGGAAAGCGATGGGCTTGTTGCCCGCTGACATTAGGTTGTTCTCGATCCGTCCGACCTCGGCCCCGCTTGTGGCGTTCCACAGCTTCTCGTCGCAAGGCAGGGGGAGCCTCATCTCATGTGCAACCATGACGGTCGAGTGGCCGAACATGGTGGCGTGGATAGAGTCAATCACGAAAGCCGCAAACGCGGCGCGGCGCGTTGCTTCGTTTGTGACCCAATAATTCCACCAGTCCTCCGGACTATGTGCCACTCCCGATGACGAATGCCGTGACCCGTTCTGCCTGTCCGGATCGCGGGGGTTCGGCGGCGAATCCAACGCCGATTTGCCAATAAGCGCTCGTCCGCGGCGCATGAGCGTGATCGTTGTTGCGTGATGAATGTGTGCTCGCTCGTGGAGCTCCCGTGTGGAATAGATCTTCTCGTACACTTCGAGAAGTAACAGGGTCTGGAAGACCCAGAGCTTTGCGGGCGGTCGACAGTTAGGATCCTGGAACATCTCCCACCGGAGGTGCCAGGCCAGGAAGTTGGACAGCTTCGCGCCCGCCTTGGTGACCTTTTGGCCGTGAGCCTTGTCTAGGCACGCCGCGCCGATAGTCATCATCGCGATCAGCAGCAGGTTCTGGGTCTTGTCTGGCGAGAATGTCGGCTTATGGAGGATCGGGATCTGGTCGCTGAAATGAAGCCAGTAAGAGCCAATGTAGGCTTGCATCATCGTCCGGCTAAGCATGTGGCTGTCGTCATTGCGATCGCCTTCGATAATGCTGTCCCGTTGGCGCTCGACCGGCGCGTGCCCGTTCTCGTGGAATCTCTCCTTGATGAACTCAAAGATCTCGTCGCTCTTATCGTTAGAGATGTTGAAGACAGGGAGATTCTGGTCGACCAAGTTGGTAACGGCCATGACCTGCTGGGGTCCAGCCGACGGGAAATAGCCCAGCTGCGCGGGGTCGGCTCCGTAATAGGCGACGCCGTACTGATTTGCCGTGGCGTCGGCATAGCTGCAAATTGTTAACCCAACTGCTCAGCGACGTCGGCATTGAGCTTCAAAGACTTACCCGTACACCCCCGGCATTGGTGAGTTATCGCCCTGTCCCGAGTTGAAGAGGTACGCCATGAAGTCCTCAGACATCCCGACGTGAGGCGACTTGTTCATGACGCTATCACAGCCGAACACGGCAACCGTCGACTGTATGCCCATCGACTCGAGCATCATCATGTCGCTTGTGGGCTGTTGGTGGCCCTGGTCGGAATACTCGCCCGACGTCGCGGGCGCATATGTCGGCGGGGCTTCGCGAGGAATATTTACCGAGGCAGGGGCGAAATCCGAGGGGGGTAGGCTGATGGGAGGGAAATTCTGCGAAGCCACGTATGACATGACGACGGAGGACTGTGGAGTGTTAGTCGGCTGGCTGTGATAGCCGTGCTGCGTCGACGCGGGGGACAATACCCCGTAGGGCCCGACGTTGGTTTGCACCGAAGGGCGTTGAGGCCCCGGAGGAGAGTGGTGGGGGCCTCGCTGGCCAGGGCCCTGATGGTGGTAGCCACCGTCGTGATGCATGTAGTCCATGCCGTTGGAGTGTGGCCCGCTTGGATAGCCGGTTGGAGGCGTGTTGGTGACCGCGTACGGGCTACCCATACCATCCTTTGGCGAGTGGTACTGTATGGGTATGTGGCGGCCGTTGTTGTACCCGGTGCCTGGCCGGTTAGCCTCTGGCGAGGTCGAGCCCGTCGGCGCAAATGGCTGGCGGGTATCTGAAATCGGGGAGCCATGGCTCATGATTGAGTCCTTGCGATTGAGGGCCGAGCCCTTGGCCGTGTGCCTGTCCTTGTGCCGGTTGCACAGGTCCAGCCGGACGAAGGTCCGATTACAGTCACCCCAGTCGCACCTGTAGACCTGCTTAGGGTTATGGTTAAGTTGGTGTCGGTAGCTTTGGTAAATCGTCAGTCACACCTCCCCCTGTTGCCATGGAACATGCATGGGGAAGAAGAGATCGCGTACAGGTGCTCTGCCCTGGAGTAGCTTTTGCCGCAACCCTTCTCGGGGCACTCGAATTTCTTATCAAGGCCCTTGCGGCTCCTCCGCCTCTTCCTGGCGGGGCCGTCCGAATTTGACGAGTTCGCATGGTTTCCGTCGGCGTCACCATCCGCGGCATCGTCCATATCAAGTCCGTCGACATCCTTGTCATCGGACCGGCTGCGCGGCCGTCCCCTAACCTGGTCCTGGTCAGCCTCCTGCTTGATCCCATGCCGCGCTGTCGGCTCCTGGACTTCAGGCATTTTCGACTTGGAGCGTGCAAATGGCAGCGATGATTTAAGATCACTTGGCTGCGTGGCGAGTACCGAAGTCATGTTGCATCAAGTGTCCAATGAAGGATCTGTACGGCTGAGGGCCGGTGGGGTTCGCGCCGGTTAAGGTCGCACGAACGAACTTGCGACAGCGAAGCCAGCGTTCCTATCAATAGAGGGCGGGCCACTAGCTTTTCCTCAGCCTCAGAATCCAAAGTCGAGAACCGTTACACAGCAACGCAAGGCGCCGGGCTGCTGGTGGAGGCGACGAAAGGGAGAGGCGTTTGCGCCAGATACCGACAGCGAGAGAAGGCTGCGGTGCGATTCTTGCCGCGCCAAAGCGGGCGATATGGAGGACTCGCGGTTCAACCTCTCTGCCACACCAATTGGAGAGAGTTCTCAGGATGGCATGTCTGGCTGGTCCGGATTGGCTCGTTGTCGGGAAACTAGTCAAAAGACTAGAACAAGACAGGAAGACCGGTGTCGGAAGAGTACCGTCGAGGCTGGGCGAGATGGTCGGTCGGCCGAGATCGATCTCTATTTTCTCAACTTTCCCTTTCCTTTTTTTGCTGAGGAGAAGATCAGCGAAGGTGGTCTGGGAAAGTTATGCTGCCCGCCTGCCGCCCGTTGCGGTAAAATGAGTCCAGCAGGCCAGGTCTGGGCGCATTGAAACGAGCGGGAGGAGAGAGACAGGGAGGGGGGGGTGGGGGTGGTTACCGGCCGGGGGTGGAGGCGGGTGGGGGGTGTGCCTTTCTAGTGCACTACCTACGCAGTTCCTAGTGTAGGATGATGGATCCTGCCAGGACTCAGGAGAACGAGATCTGGTGGACCAAGCGCTCGGGTGGAGGTACACTATGGAATCCAGTAATGAGGGGGTAGAAAGGGTAGAAAGGGGGGTAACCTCCAGCACAGAACTTGGACCAACATATACAGCCAAGTATTTCTACATTATGGGATCTATCCGTACATCGGAACGATGGATGAATGTCCGCGTACCTGGATCTCCTGCTGATGATCACCTCATTCATCTGGTGTTAGTTGGCTGTCATCTTATGGATGTATCCACAGTACCATATTTTTACGCGGTTCCCATGCAACTACTAGTAGTATGTCCCTCTACTGAACTAGTGCAGTTTTCGGGCTAAATACGCGACGGCGGTGACGCGAAGCAGTTCTAACAATGTACATACAGCCGAGGGCTTCTGCTTGCCCAAGTAGGTACCTACATAGGTACATATGCGCACATGGAGTACTCATGACGACAAGAAAAACGGAGAGGAGGTGAGGATAGGACGCTGGAGAGCTCTCCAGCAGAGGGTCAACTTTTCCCCTTTCTTTTAAATCTTTTTTACCAGTGAGCCCGCCTCCAGGGCTTACCTCGGTACCTCCGCATAGGTAGGTACCTGGGTGGGGCCCAGTGACTCCCGTCCGCAAGGAGGGAAAATGTGCAGCACTACGGCGTTGTGGAGGTAGATACTGCGGAGAAAGGAACGTCGAGCCAGGCCAGTCGGAGATCGCATATTTGAAAACCCCACGCCTCCACCACTGACTGACCTTTGAAATTACGCCAGGTACTTTTTGGTCACTAAAAATAACTGGAGCAAGGGATTAATTACATCGTGAATTATCAGCACCTTAATTCAGGTTCTTGCCGTTCGTAAATTTGTTACGCTGGGCCTCCGTCGCGGTTTTCAGCGTTATGCGTCTGAGGGTGATGATGACAGTACTACGCATCCGTACCTTTTGGGAGAACCGGCAGGCTTTGGATTGGGAAGCGACGGTTGGTTTTGGGTTATTGTGCACAGTCCATCGACGGCCTGAGTACCTGGTACGACCGTAGTAGACGGGTCGGTCCTAGGATCTTCTTTTCCCTTGACCTCAGCCACCCCTAGATTTCTGGGGAAATGGCAGCAGAAATGTGGGGGTCTCTTCATGGTACACTACCTACCTAGGTATTGTATCGAGTCCCTAGCCATCGAATCCCCTACGTACCTACCGAAGTAGGTTGGCACTGCATATTGTGGACATATAGCGCGCTTCGTAATGCCAGCCTGCATGGACACCCTAGCATAGATGTCGTCTTGATGCTGGATCCTGAATTCTTGTGTAACCAGTAGATAGGTACCTAGCTCCCACCTCAGCATGAGCTGGGGCTGTTGGTGGTTTTCAGAAACACTCTAACCCCGATTAGGGACTGAGTTGTCCAATCAGTCTGCGCGCGAAATGGGACGGAAACCCCCGTCAGACCTCTTCGTGCCTTTTTACTCCGTCCGGAACAGCATGGGCCCAGGAACCCTGTAGACATAAAATACTGCGGCGTACCTATGTATGTACATAGTATTGATGCTTGGTCTCGTTTTCATGGCGGTTTGTTCCCGTCAAATCAGATTAAAAATGAGGGTTTTTAGGCTTGGATTTTCTCCTCATTGCCCGTAATTTTATGAAAAAAAAGAGAGGAAGAGAAACTGCTGGGGAAGGATTGAAGTTGAGCTAGAGAACGGAGTCTTTCCAATCCGATGATGCAGCCTCCCAGCCTCCCTAGCCTCAACTGCACGCGCTGCATTGTCTGAGAGGTAACATGAGCTCCAGGCCAATGCCGGTGACCGTGCTTTAGGGCTGGCGGCTTGGGGGCATTGACAGGCATGCAATCCATATTGACGACTATTACAGGGTGCGGATAGTTAGGGTACAGTACCTATGTAGGTAGTTAGGATGCGTGCGACAAGTGTGTGGTGAGCACACGCAAGTGTAACGGAGTATCTAGATTCCACATTACATGACAGAGCGGCTCTAACGCAGATCTATCAGTGATGATGAACACTTCTCCTGCAACGAAGATGGTCGGGGAGCCCGTAAATGTGAGTGGATGCAGTGCTGGTCGAGATGGGACTGACCTTTTTGCTTTCTGCCTGATGGGGGTGCTGTTGGACGACCATTTGGCTCAACCCTCCAATCACCTTGCACCATTCGATATGCAGGAGAACGCCGAGAAGCGCGGGGGTAGTCTTGCACCTGGTAAGCCTAAATTTGTTTTGTTGAAGAATTTTGCGGAGAACGGGGCTAAGATTGGCTGATGAATCCCTGTGATGAAGCAAATGTCGATCTCTTCGCCCAGGACAGGGCTGCTTCTCCGAGTCGCCTGGGCCTTTTGGGCAGACGAAGAACAACGAATGAAGCTGTAACAGATCTACAAGATGAGGGATTAACGGGCAAGTCGAGCGTGGAGACAAACTCCTTCTGCTTGTGCATGGGGGCAGTCCCGACGACTCGGCAAGATTGGGCCATGTAATCAGAGTCACAGTCTCACAAACTCGTCGTCTCTTGCTTTCCCCACACCGGTCAGGCGGAGCGGCTGATGGTCGAGATCAAAGTTGGTCTGTCCCAGTACTCTGGCACGCGACCGCAAAATGCCTCTTGTACGTCCCATGTCGAGGCATGGGATTGAAAAGTGGCGAGACAAGCAGGCCTGCCGTTTGAGCTTCCATTGCTCCCAGCCTCCCATTAGACCTTGCTAGTACCATCACAAATTATTGCCCGACAGTTAGCACATACAGAACATCCGTTACGGTGAAGGACAACCCAAGGGCAAGGCTTTCACTGCAGGCGCCGGAAATGGACAACGGATATTGTCCCTGTTCTGGGAACCGGGACAGGTGTCAGGGGTCGCAGCCCGCAGTCACAGCTTCAAGCTTCCCAGAAGAACACCATGGGCTGGGGCCGGTTCGGCGGTCCCCAGTTCCCCACCCCAAAAAGTTCCAGGGGGCTCCGACGCCCCATTCTCATGGCCAAGCCAGTGATCTGAGGCACCGAGATCCGGGAGCCTCGGAGCTAGCAGGCGAGAGACCCCGTTGGGCGAGGGAGCTGTGGAGCCCTCTTGTAAGCACCCTGGTCGATTCCCAGCTGACCTGCAGGTTGTGTGATGGGAAGGTGCCAGAGTAGTGGAGATGCGACTTCTCTCCATAACTCGTGGCGCAAGAAGCCACCATGATGCGCCACTACGTCTTAGCTGCAACCCCCAATCTGCACGTCGATGGAAAGGGCGAAGAAGCGGCAGGAGAACACCCTAAGAGGGGTAGCAAGGGGGGGTTGGTTGGAGTGAGACGGGCTGATCCGGATGGGTCGCGGGTGTACCATGTGTACTATGCCAACAGTACAGTTCTAGGCAGCAGAGGAATTGCCCGTCAGCACCCATCTCCGTCATTTGCGCAAGCATCAGGTTAAGTCTGCACTATGTAAGAGACGGCAAGCAACCTAAAAGTTATAGCCTCTTTCAGGCGTGGGGGTCGACTGCACTGTGCCTGTATCGACAAGGACGGGGAGAAACCCTCCCACCTCGAGGTACCTAGGGTTGTGTGAGGGCTGCCGTTTCAAAAGAAAAAAATAAAAATAAAATTGAAGTTCAGTGGTTATTCCCGCTTGACAGCCGGAGACCAATTGTGTTCCGCGGACCCTTTCCGCCTGCTCTTTTGAATGGTAGCGAATCATGTGCCTTCAGATTCCATTCCTGTCACGACCTATAACATACGGGTATGTAGCGGAGGTCTCCGAGATATCGGTTAAGCTACTATTTTGCATAACTACATGCGCACTAAATAGGTGCTAGGTAGGTATCCGTACGTGCACCTAGTAAATTGAAAGGGGAAACCCAGTGTCGTCACAGCCAGACCCCTGCCCCACTGGACAGAATTCGGTGCGGTGAGCAAAAGCCAGGCCCTTTTTCTCTGCACCCCCCCTCTCTCTCTCGACGATGCACATTGGCGATCACAACTTCCAGGGCTATTTCTGCAATGTGAGCGCCACGGCCACCGAATTCCCTTTCCATCTTGCCCCGTGAGCCACTCCTTCGCTCGCTGTTCCCGATCGATGGCGCCGTCAAAGGCTTCGAGGGGCGGACAGGAGGACCCAAAGTCGGAAACAGCAGCTGCGGCCAAGGACAAGGTCGGACACTCGAATACCCATCAATCCAATGGCAAACTACGACGTGTCGCGAGCTCTACTGGCTCGAATCTGCGAGAAGTATCGAATGCGGCAGCACCTGCAGCCCACACGGCGGGCGGAGTTGGCCAAGAGCAGAGCAACCTCAAGGTGCGTCCCTTGACATGACCCCGAACATTCTCTCCAGAGCATTGGATACTGACTTGAACGCCTCAATCCCAGCTCCAATGGCCCTTATTCCAGAGAGAAATGCTTCATTCCTACCGTCGAACCTACCGCCTCAATACCCCAACCGCCTTCTCTAGCGAACACCGCCAATGGGTTCTGTCCCGCCCTGGCAGTGTCGGTCTGCATTCGCCGACAATGGCGAGGCGTAAGGAATTTCAAAGACAGAGCAAAGACCAGCTCGCCAACACGGTGCGGAAGCACTTCAACGGACTCGGCGTCCAGGAAAACGACATCATCGTCGACTTCCTCCACAAGGTCAGGAGTCAGGGCGTGACCAAGTCTGGGAGGGCAAAGAGGATAGATTGTGAACGCCCAGAACATTAGACATGGAAGTTATGAGTCTCATATATATTCCCCCTCTCTTTCCCACCTTTTCCGACCACATTGCCCCATGCCAGCGGTTTAGAACTTCGGTGCAGAGTTACTTGGGTCCAACCTCGCACGGCCATACAGCGGGTTTCTGGGCAGTGAAATAGAGACGTGGGAACACTTAAACCGCTGGCGGTGAGGGATAATCTTCGTGTATATTATTGTATCTTCAAGATAGGTATTTCAGGAGCGCGAGGAAATGCTCTTCATGGGAATTCAGCATTTGAATAATCATCTGCCTACCCACTCGTGGTCTCCGCCTCCAACCGCGTGGGGTCGCGCGCCGCCCAGATGGTTCTGGATTAAGCCGAGCTTGGTGCCTCAGGTTATTAATCTCCGAACGGGCTCCATCGGCCAAGAAGATTAGTAGAAAAAAAGTTGAAGCTCAAGATCGCGGGTTATGTCATGAGCAAGCTCTCTCCTAATACACACCTTTCTTACGTCTTAGTTTCTGAATGCAACCCATGTCTTGGAAAATCGGGCTTGAATAAGAGAGATTTGCATCGTACCGTGCTAAGATGAATTCTTCTCTCTTGCCCAAGGCCGGCTGGGCCGCCCGACAATTCTCCCCTGCGCAGATATGCCCACGCCAGACATTGAAGGGCCGCCTTGGCAGCAGAAGTGCACCGATACGCAGCTTCGTACTGGTCGGCAGGCCTTCGAAGCAACGCGCCCCGAGGCCCGCAGCCCATCCACTCGTACATAGAAAGGTTGGTTGACAATTTGTCCTCTGGCGGGTGTCCCTCTCTGCTCACTCCTATCAGGCATTCCATGCGACATCAAGGGCGCTCGCCCAGAAGGACCCTTACAAAGTGCTCGGCGTAGATAAGAGCGCATCGGCCGCCGAGATCAAGAAAGCATACTATGGCCTGGCCAAGAAATTCCACCCCGACACAAACAAGGACGCGACATCCAAGGACAAATTCTCCGAAGTCCAGAGCGCGTACGAGGTGCTCTCCGACCCCAAGAAGAAGGAGCAATACGACCAGTTCGGTGCCGCTGGGTTTGACCCGAATGCCGGCCCCTCTCCCGGCGGCGATCCGTTTGGAGGCGGGCACCCTTTCGCCGGGTTTGGTGGTGGTCAAGGAGGTTTCGGTGGGCAGGGTGGATTTGGATCGAACTTCAACTTTGAGGACATATTCTCGGCGTTTACGGGCCAGCAGGCCCCGTTTGGCCGCCGGGGCGGAGCGCGGAATCCGTTCCAGCAGGAAATCTTGGTCGGCGACAACATCGAGGTCCAGACCAGCATATCGTTCATGGAGGCGGCGAAGGGGACCAGCAAGACCATCACCATCACGCCTCTTGTGACATGCAAAACCTGTACCGGAAGCGGGCTCAAGGAAGGCACGAAACGGTCCAGCTGCAAGGCTTGCGGCGGGACCGGGACTCGGGTCCACTTCATGCAGGGCGGTTTCCAGATGGCGTCGACGTGCGGAACCTGTGGCGGTACCGGCCTCACGATACCGAGGGGCTCCGAGTGCAGGAGTTGCCAGGGCGACGGCGTCGTCAGGGAGAGGAAGACGCTCACCATCGACATCCCTGGCGGGATCGAGGATGGCATGAGGCTGAGGGTCGACGGGGAGGGCGACACTCCCGCCACAGGCAAGTCACCAGAGGCGAACGTGAGAGCCGCAAAGGGAGACCTTTACGTTTTCGTCAAGGTCGCTTCGGACCCCAAGTTCAGCCGCGCAGGCTCAGATATCCTCTACACAGCCTCGATACCTCTGACGACGGCAATGCTCGGCGGAGAGGTCACGATTCCGACCTTGGACGGCCAGGTCAACGTGAGGGTCGCAACCGGCACCAGCACAGGGGATAAAATGACGCTGTCCGGCAAGGGAATGAAGAAGCTCGGCGGCCGGAGAGGAGGGTCCGGGGACCTGAAAGTGGAGTTCCGGGTTGCGATGCCCAAGTTTCTCTCCGCCAACCAGAGGACCATCGCCGAGATGCTCGCCGACGAAATGGGCGATAAAACGGCCAAGCGCGTCATGAATGTCAACAGACCTCGGTAAGTTTTGCGCCTCGCAGCCGATCCCCCCGGGAGACTGGACTGACCCTGTACCCGTTAGGTCTGAAGCCGCAACCTCTGAGGGGGATGCGCACAAGAACGAAGGCTTCCTCAAGTCCATGTGGCACAACCTGACGAACCATCCGGCTCACCAAAAGGGGTCGGATGAAGGACCCAAGGGCTCCGAGTCCAAACCAGACGACAAACCCGACACAGACAAGAAGGGCCCGGAAGAGTCCAAGAAGTCTGACGGGGGTTCCGACTCCAAGTAAAACGACGATAGATTGTATGTACCATATGTGTCTCTCTTTGCATTATGGGTCGCTTCGGCACGCGATAGGAGATAGACCAGTTAGACGGCTGCATGGGTGGGTGGTGTTTAAGGGGATGTTGTTGTTTTCGCTGTTTCTAACCGGCGTCGGCGTCGGTTTGTGATTGTGCAGTTACCTAGAGCAGAGACACTGCCGTCCTTAATCTGTTGTACACTACCTAGGCATTCTCCAAAAATGTAGATAGACAACAAAACCACTCTCATGGATATAGTAACTTCGCTTGCGGCCCCTGGGGCCCTTTTCCCCATTTCCTTTCTCCGCGTGATGAGTCTCCGATCAAGCTGGAGTCTGCCAAAAAGTAGATGCGATATCCCCTTTCGTGCGTCTCTAGCACAGGGGGACTTGGACTATTTATCGGGACACAACCCTCGTCACTCAGGGAGAAGCCGGGTGGGTGGGGGGGGAAGAGAGTCAATATGTCCGGCCACGTCTCGAACAACCTGACCTACTACATATTTGGCCAGTACTGGCACATAGTTCCCGAGTCTCTTCATAACACTCCCGGACCACAACCCTCCCCTGTCGAAGGCGCCTCGCCTCCTTCCGCAGTCACTATGGAGGATACGCGTGCATAAAAAGACGCCAACGGTAGTTAAGAAGTTGGACTTCCATAGATATATATATATTTATATCTCTCTGTGTGTGCGCGCACGTATCCAACCGGGTAACCAGAACCAAACCCAGAGTCGACCGAAGTATACTATGTACAGCAATATAAACAACGCAAGATCCTTTTCCCCCTTGAATTGAATGGTATATAAAGGTATCCCATACCCAACAGCCTCCTTCCTCCTACGCCTAGCTCCGCGATCCGACCTCCTTTTTTTTTATAAAAAAAAGAAAAAGTAAAGCAAGAGAAACCATCCCAATTTCCCCTCCGCCCAAAAACCACCCCAGGCGCCTGCCTCATTGTGTCACAGGAGGCTGAGGATGGGGACCACCACCTTGCTGCGCGTAAACGGCCGGGTGACCGGTGAACCCCGGAAACCCGCCGTACTGCATCAGATAGTTCCAGTCCATCGGCTCATTGCCCAAATCCGGGAAGGTCGAGTTAAACATGTGGTTGGCCATGTCGACCGAGGGGAACATCATGCTGTCGTCAGTCATCGCCCCGGGCCCCTGCCCCATCTGCCTGGCAGTTTCCGGGCCGGGCTTGCCGCCAGAATACATGCCGGATGGATCTCCCGCCGCCGCTCCCGGTCCGCCCACGTCCGGGTTCCCGGGTGCGCCTCCGGCAGCAGGATTGGGCCCCGGGCCGCCTGGGGCGCCTTTGCCCTGCCCCGCATTCGACGGCATCGAGACCCCCGACACATACCGGGACCTATGTTGGCGCAGCAGCGTGATCAGCCTGGGGGCCTGCACAGTCCTGCCCAGCTGGAGCTCAGCATCCTCGTGGGCGTCCCAGGCCTTGATGAACAAATTCCCGAACGCGATGTGCATTGGGCTCCTGAGGTTGCGAATCAGCCCCCTGTGCTCGTGGTTGTCGCAGATGGCCTGCCAAGCGCGCTCGCATAGCTCGCCCGTGTTGTACCGGCGCAGCTCCGAGACGAGGAAGATGTAGGCCGGTAGGGGGAAGTGGAGATTGGTGTACCAGAGGAAGCCGCGGACGGCGTCGGTGGAGTAGATGACGTTGTCGAATTCTACCATCTGGATGGCATCGACGAAGAGGGCGTCGCGTTCCACATCGTCGACGCTGGTGGCGGCGACGCCCCGACACATGAAGCCGATGATGCGAAGCTTGCAGAGCGACATGCGCGTCATAGTCAGGGTGAAGAAGTGAAGGGGGTTCTTGGGGTCGCAGTGCTTGAGGTAGACTGATTCGATGTATGCGCAGTAGGCTTCAAGGTCGTGGGGGAGGATCTGGTTGGCTACATGCGTAACAACATCGGGCGACGAGGGAGACGGGCTGTACTGCACGCGTGGCCTGTTGCCTGCTCCCACTGGGTTAGGTCGGACACCGCCGGGAGCGGCTGCGACGGTCATCTCAACGCGAGTGAGGCAGAAGAGCATCTCTGTCGGCCCTCCATAGGGTGCCGGGGGGTCCTTGGCATGAGTATACAGGTCCGTATCATTGACATTAAGGGGAAGCCGGCAGTCGCCTCCGCTGGAGGAGAGAGCAGTAATAGCCGACCCGGTGATCTCGGCGATCCGTTTGTCCAAAGCGACAATTTGCCACCAGAGACGTCGCCGTTGCTCGGTTTCGAATGGTGGTAGGTTGAACTGGGCGCCGTCACGGTGCAGACCGAGGCGTGTGGCTATACGAACCGCAATGCCAATCAAGCAGAAATGAGACCGGGGGTCGACGTATCGCACCACGCTAATCTACATGTAAGTTAGTATTTCAGTTCGAAATGCGAGGTTGTCCAAGATAGGAAATGATACCAGCGAGGAGGGGAGGGGAAGAAGGGGATGCGAAACGAGAGGAGGGCAGGGCGGAGAGAAGCAAGCTCACCAAGTATAAGAACAAGGCCTGCAGGACCATGATTTCTGTTGACCTCATGAAATTGGCATTAACCAGAGCTTGCTGCGTAGCTCCGTGATATTTAGTCAGGAGGACGGCCCTGTCCTCGCCGAAGGTACTTTGGACCTCCTCATCTTTCATTGATGTGACGGCTATGAAGTAGATGGCGAACATCAAGGCCTCGAGCGGCCTCGAGATCTTAGAAGGGTCTGCCCCTGCTCCGACTATCTGCGCCTGGAGAGTCGGTACGTGACTTATCTTCAAGAGAGGGTTGATATTGTTGATGTAGATCTGCCACAGCTGAAATATCTGGATGGCCGACGGGTGTGAATTTGTTACGCGGACCTGTGAGCCACCGACGACGAAGGGAAAGCCATCGGTGTTGTCAAACATGGTGTCGAAGGCATGATGAATGGTGGGGCGCTCGAAATCCTCATCCGAGGAATCGGTGAGCATGTCATCGTGGTGGGCCCGATACTGAGGGACGAAGTCAGGTTACCTGGTGGATAAGGAAGGATTGGGGGGGTGGGGGTGTTTTTTGCTAAGGCACCGGGGATGGGTGGTGACAGAGTGCCGCAGTCCAGACCGACCAAAGACGGGCCGGGCCTTGTGGGACCATCATCGTCACGAGAACTTCGAGGGGAGAGAAAGAAAGTACGGAGGGACGATAATATTAAACTCCCCGATGTACGAACCTCTTTGTAGTATGGGAACCATTTGAGCGGTCTAAGGTAGTCAGATGTCAGGGAGCGTTGTCCGCAGAGAAGATAAAACGAAGATATGTTACAACAAAAATGGGGGTTAGGTAAGGTAGGTAGACTAGGTAGAACTAACTTTTCGGCTTCTTGACTCCCGGGGGAGTTGTATTCCCGCGTGCTTGCACCCGAGGAAGTCTTCAGGCCGCTGAGGTCCTGCTCCAGGTCGGTAACATCGTCCGTGCCATCCGGGGGCTTGAAGTCATGGCCGATGGGGTCGAAGGCGACTCCGTGCTGGGACATGAGCGCCTCATACTTCTTGAGGCGCTCGATCAGGTCCCGCTCGTGTGGCTTCTTCTTCCTCCTCCTTGGGGGTTGAGGGGGTACAACCCTGCACTCAACCTGCGCCTTCACACAATTGGCGCAGGGCTTCTGCTTATCACAACGAACCTTGCGTTGCTGGCATAAGACGCAGGAGTGTCCTCTGGTCAGCTTCATAACCGATGGATCATGGGTAGGGACCGCAAGCCTCTCCGTCGAGCGAGGCTCAGCCGATTCGGTCTCCATTGTAGAGTTATAAGTCGCGAGTGCGGCCACTGGACCGGCCCCTCGGGTCCGAGGCGAAGTTAGACTGTCGAAGGCTCCAGAGGTACAAGTAGACCCTATGGCTCCCCGTTTTTTTGTCTTACTCGATCAATGCAAAGCCATGCGCGGAGCCGCGCATGCCCGCTAGAGGGAGGTGGAGGTGCGCACGAGGCCAAGGCAAGATTGCCGCTGCCACTCAAGGCCTGCAGACAGTCCTGTCACTCGGTTTAAGATGGCGATCTGCGGCGTCCCGTTGACAGCCTCACAATGCTTACTGCTGGGGGACGGCTATCCGTGTCACGCTGGGCGCTGCCGAGAGCGCGATACTCGATGCACTGGATAGCGGCGGATGGGAGATGGTCACAGAAAGAGGGGAAGAGCAGGGAAGAGCGAGGGCGATCGCGACAGAACAAATGACAGATTGGAATGATTGGAATGGCTGTTGGTTCAAAGAAAAGCTAACCAACTGCTCCTCAGCCTTACAGGAGGCCGTGGGATTGGATGCAGCCAGAGGGGGGCTACGTGAGGTACCCAGGTACTTAGGGTCCACTGCTTACCAGGATGGATGGTGGGACCTACCAACCTAATAAAAGCCGCGAGCGACGAGCTGTCTTCTCCTCGGTCCCGAGACGTTCCTCCCCGGTCCCGGACGCCAAGATCCAACGTCTAAATTCGCGCTAGCCCCAAAAACAGACGATGAGCTAATCCGGGCATAAGGCCGGGTGGGGCAGGGGGCAGCACATATAAACCGGCTCCGATGGGGAACTTCCTGATGGCACTCCCACACTTGGACGAGTGCTTAGATTTGCTGCTCGCGGGATGGTCGAAGGCACGAAGCCGTGGGTATATTCTCGCAGTCCACCCTTGATGCTTTTCAAGGTCCGATGGACCCAGTTAATATGAGACGGACCGAGCAAATTGGATCCCACAAGATGGGAACCGCCATGCTTTTTGTAATCTGTACATCATATATGATGCGTCGTTGTGCCGGACTACCAGGGCGATGGAACCCCCTCAGAGCCGTTCATTATTGCGCTCCTTCTCCTTGAGTTTGGCCGGACTCTGTAAGAATCTGTCCTTGCGCCTCCTCCCCGGACTCTTTTCTCCCCCACAGTTTCGCAGTCTTGCCCCTCAAGACTCATGGGCCTGGAAGTACCAGAAAAGGCAGTCATGAATCGGTCCACGACCTCGTTGGCCAGTGGCCAGACTGCCAATGCCAAGGTCGCGAGAGACGAGGGGATCGAGTTGAACGAGATGTCCGACATTGAGCAGCAGCAGTTGTCACCGAAGCAAGAAGGGCCGAGGCCGTTTGGTCAGGGGGACAACGGTCTCTATCAACCCAAGAGCCTCAAGTTCTGGCTGACCCTCTTGTGCAACTTCCTCGCCCTCTTCCTGGTCGCACTGGATCGGACCATCATTGCAACCGCAGTTCCTCGTATCACCGACGAGTTCAAGAGCCTGGGCGACATTGGCTGGTATGGCTCGGCATACATGCTCACGACCGCTTCGTCACAGCTCGTATACGGCCGTATATACAAGTTCTACGACATGAAATGGACCTTCCTGATCAGCATCGTCGTTTTCGAAGTCGGATCAGCCATCTGCGGCGCTGCTCCCAACTCGGGCGTCTTCATAGCTGGGCGAGCTATTGCCGGTCTCGCCTCGGCGGGGATTTTCTCGGGCTGCATGCTGATCATGATCCCCATGATCCCGTTGCATAAGCGGCCCATGTTCCAGGGCATGTTCGGGATGATTTTTGGAATCGCCTCGGTTATGGGGCCCCTGATCGGCGGAGGATTCACCAGCGCGGTCACCTGGAGGTACCTATTTTTGCTTTCTATGGAGGATCCTGTATCTCAGTAGTCCCGGAACAACCGTTGCTAATGAATGGGCGGACAGATGGTGCTTCTACATCAATCTCCCTATCGGGGCGATCTCGCTGGTATTCATGGTCCTATTCTGGAACCCACCGAAGCAGAAACATGCGCCTGCCAGCGTCGGAACCCACTTCAAGCGTCTCGATCCGCTCGGCATGTTCTTTTTCTTGCCATCCGTCGTCTCTCTCCTGCTGGCTCTCCAGTGGGGCGGCTCGACCTATGCATGGAATGATGGCCGGATCATCGCCCTCTTTGTTGTCTTTGGCGTGCTGCTCATGGCGTTTGCCGCAGTCCAGATTCTCAAGCCTGACACGGCGACCATCCCCCCGAGAATCATCGTCCAGAGAAGCGTCATCTCCGGTGCTCTCTTTACCTTCTTCTTGGCGGGCGGGATGCTGATGATGGTTTACTTCCTCCCCATCTGGTGTAAGAAAAGCAGCTTATACTCCTCACCCCACGTGGGCATGACGCTGACAAGAGCAATTAGTCCAAACCGTGAAACTCGTCAACCCCATCAAGTCGGGCATCTACACCTTGCCTCTCGTGCTCAGTCTTGTCTTTTCGAGCATCCTGTCCGGACTCATCACCCAGAAGATCGGCTACTACGTCCCGACCATGTACCTCTCCCCGGTCCTCATGTCCATCGGAGAGGGGCTGATGTCCACCTTCACCCCCGAGACCGGTTCTCCGCGTTGGATCTCGTATCAGTTCCTGGCAGGTTTCGGCCTGGGCTTCGGGATGCAAACGGCCAACCTCGCGATGCAAACGGTGCTCCCGCCCGGCGACATACCGACGGGCATCGCCATCATGTTCTTCGTCCAGCAGCTCGGTGGCGCCGTCTTCACCTCGGTCGGCCAGACGATCCTCAGCAACCTGCTCGTCGCCAAGCTGTCGGGCATCCCGGGCCTGGACCCCAGCAGCATCGTCAAGGAGGGTGTCACCAACCTGGTCTCCGCCGTGCCGCCCCAGTTCCTGGGCTTGGTCATCGACGCGTACAACTTCGCCGCCACGAGGATCTTCCTCACCGCCACGGGGCTGTCGTTTGGCGCGTTCATCAGCGCCTTGGGTATGGAGTGGAGAAGCATTAAGAAGGGGAAGAACGGCCAAGGGGGACCGGGAGGACCGGGTGGACCGGGCGGACCGGGGGCCTTGCCGCCCGGAGCACAGAAAGTAGAAGGTGCTAAGACGAACGGAGTGAAGATGGAGGAGGCAAAGACAGTGGGGTCGAATGAGGACTCGGTGACGGGTGACGTGAAGCAACAAATCTCGAGGTAGAAGAGATCGAATGATGAGATATGACATGAATGGGAAAGGGGAACCCAGAAGGAGATTTCCGAAGCGCAACAAGCACATGCTCCGTCTCAGATGCAGCTGGCATATATATACATATCCGTGGCGTTTCGGCGTTTGGTGAGGGTACAAGAAACAGTGTTGGGGCGGCTCCGCTTCCTGGTCTTTGGGACAACAGCTTGCATATAGTCTAACGCGCAGTATACCTCATACAATCAAGTTAGTAATGAAAGCTCTAGTACAATTTGTACTCTGCTCGACGAATGTAGTAGTGCAGCACGCATGCTCTAGTTCCACCAGAAGCTAACACTGAAACTCACACTCAGCCCTCGCACATAATGCCACCACCCAACAGGGATATAGACCGTATCCCCCGGCTCTAGTATGCAATCAACAAAGGGTATCTCGCCAAACTCCGCCTTTCCCCCTCCCCCTCCACCCCCCTCCCCACCCTCACCAGGATCCCACCCCTCCTCAACCCCAACATCCCACAGACTCGTATTCCCCATATCGACGCCACCCTCCCTCCCCCTAGCCCGCATCCGCGGCGTCTCGCGAGGTCCATACAACCTAACATACTTCCGCCCGACGACCTGCACGAGCAGGTTATGGTACGGGTCCGTATGCAGCGGTGTGATCGTGCCGGGGGGTCCGAACCAGGCATTTAGCAGCGGCTCGTCGAGCTCGGGGACGGCCTCCCCAGCCGCGTGCGACTGCGGCTGGGGCGGGGCCGTGTAGCACAGGTCCGGGACGGTGATGTCCGCGCGGAGAGCCGGCAGCTGCGCGAGGAGCGCGTGCTGCGCGAGGTAGGCTGTCGTCGTCGTCGTGCTGGCACCGGCCGACGAAGGGCCGATGTGGTCCCGCAGGAAGTCGCGGACCGTCACCAGCTTCTGGGCCCAGGCTTCGTCGACGTAGCTGCGCCCGACCTCGACGGGCACAAGGCGTCGGCCGCCGAGGGTGCGCGAGAGGAGGTAGCCCGGCTTGGCCCAGGGGCGTGTCGTCGTGGCTGGCCAGTCGTCTGCCAGGCCGGGGATGACGAGGGGTTCTGGGCCTCGGGCCGGGTCGGCGGGGCGGTCTAGGTACGCCTGGAATGATTCCATGGATATGGCTCCGGTGCGCCTGATTGGGTTCTTTACTGGCGGTGTGAAGGGCTCATGTTTGGAGAACGAGGGCGAGTTGGGCCACGCTGCTGCTGGGTCTTCTGGTGACCCTATAATTTGGGCCGAGACATCTTCAAGCAGAGAAAATGTCTCGTCGATCCACCGTCTACCCCTAACCTGGCCGGCAGCTCCGGCTAGTATAATGGCTAGATCTAAGATTTTTACCAATTCGCTAAGCTCGTCCTCCAGCCGACCCCTACGATCAGCGGTGAGGCTGCTGTGACCCCCCGTGAGACACGCCTTGAGGGTCGAAGAGAGGAAAAGGAAGGAGAACTTCAAGATGCTTGCATCCGTGTACAGCTGCCTCAACCAAGGAGGAAGATCCTTAGACAGGTGGTCATAGAACTTGGAATATGATTTCGATAGCAAGTCATCCAACCCCTGCTGCAGCAGCCCAGTCTCAGGGGCCTCATCCCCTGTTCGACCAGATTCGGCGAGGGTCAGCCGGCCGTCTCGGCACAGCTCTAGGATACTGGACGCTTGTCTTTGGAGCAGCTGCACCAGAGGGTCTCCGCAGCCTGCCAGTCCTGACGATGGTTGCCCATTTTGGACAGTGTCGTGGGCATTTCTGCACTCAGCATCGATCTGCTCCACCGCCGCAACACAGCGGGCTGTCAGGGCGCGGGGAGAACCCGGCATTCTGAGATTTGGACGATCGTTACCACAGCAGGACAATGGCTGCGGGCGAGCGGAGACATAGCATTGCGACCAACACCGTCCTGGTGAGGTGAATGTGTTTGTCTGTTGGTTTGTCCTTTCCGGATTCCTGGAGGCGCTGGAGGTGAGGTTGAGATTGGCTCGGCTTTTGGTTGCAAGGGTGTTTTGGGCAGCAGGGGTGGTTTGCCAAGCAATCCCGGCCTAAAACTGGGGTATGTCCATATTGACACCACCAGAATCTGTCGAATCAGATTCACAGTCTATTCTCCGGTCGCTGACCTGCATCACCAGCCTACCGGAAACTCCCCAGAAGACGAACTAAAAACAGAGACGGGTCCGGAGTTCATCAAAGAGAAGAGACGGCATGCCGTAAATATACCATGTCAAGGCTGCCATGCTGAACCGGAGCGTCGGGAGAGGTTTGAGCCCGAGCGAATCTGCATTGAGAGATATCAATTCATCACCAGTGAGTGCAGTATCTTGTTCAACTAGCAATTAGACCAACGCTGCCGGCTTACCCGGCCGCGGAGGTCTGCTTACAGTGGTAACTATCCGTGATCCCAAATGACGCTATGAAGTCGCCTGGCTCTCACCGCAACAAAATAGGCTACCTCCGGGCCATCGGGTCAGTGTAATGTGCCCGACGGGGCGACCCCGGAGATATACCTACTTTGCCACTTCCCCGTCTCTGCACATGCGAGCTTCCGAGTCGCAGGATTGGATCTGGGTACGACCACACAAAAACAAAGGCGAGAGCCCGATGGAATGGAGACGAGAAAAGCCACGCCATGTTCGCCAAGGCAGGCTCCCTTATGCCCTACATATAGCGAGCGAGAGATGCATGCTTCCGCTTCCGCTTCGGCGTGCTGGCGCACCGGCCGTCCACTTGTTCTATGCCACAGCCGGAATGTCGGGAGCAAGTTTGCTTGAATCTACACCGAGATACCTGCCCCAAGTACGTGACTTCCCCTGAATAGGGCGGCAAAAAGGAGTGTGCCGGACCGGAGAAAGAGAATTAGTACACGGTACTGGACATCAAGGCTGTGGAGTATAGGTATTCACTAGATCCAGTAGCCGGATGGGTCCCAGCTGGATGGGGTCCAAGATGCATATGGTTCCAGCTGGATGGGATTGGGACCCCATCCCGGCTAGAAGCCCGTGGCAGGCCGAAGCCGAAGAATTCGACAATCTGGAGGCGAGTGGGGACTTAACTTCTGACAGAATGGACAACGGCACCACATACTACGGTATGCCTCGACGAGAGCGATGAGATGCCAAGCATATCGCCTTTGCTTCGGCTAGGCGGGCTACATGATGTAGAGGTAGAGGTCGTAGTAAGATTAAATGTCATCGATATTGCATGATAACTGGTGTGGGCAACACAGGTTGACCAGCCCAAGCGGCGTCAAAGAAAGAAGAAAAGGCATCTCTCCTGACTTGACCCTCACCCAGCCCACCAGAATTGCCAAGGGGCAAGACCAGCACATCCTTCAGCATGCTTGCATGTTTGGCCCGCCGCGTTCCTTCGAGTATCCGACTTGAAAGCATTAACATCGGTTAAGAGTCGACACGATAGAGCCACGGGTCCTGGAGAGTGATTTGGGATCCAAACCACGCAGCTTCCTCCGAAATGTGACAATGACTTTCTCTTAAGATGATGGCGCTTTGAAATGAAGTGGGTCCGAGGTCGAAGCTGGCAAGGCGGCAGGGTTCGTCTTGGCCAAAAGCGCGAGAGAACCCTTGTGGACAGTTGGTGTTCCCCACAAGCGGCCGATCAACGGGCGTCCAATGGACGTCAGGATCGGAATGGATGCAACGTCGCTGGCATAGTTTACGCAATTTGCGGTTGCAGGCTGCAGCACACTAGCCCGTCGAAGCGGAGGTGTTGACTTGTTGAACTCCAGGGTAGGTCAGGATTCTGTTGGCGAAAAGGCTTCGGGCCACATCGGAATCAGAATAGCTACATGAGTAGCGACCATTGGGAGCGACAGGGAGCACCCGTTGAGCTGCAACGGAGCCGTCTCTAGTGACCAGGACCTATGCACAGGAGAGGGTTGGACCCTTGGGGCTGCTGTGTCGCAGGAGCTGCTCATCGTTGCATGCTGGGCCAACAAGGTGATGGAGAATGCAGGAATCTCCAGGTCAGACGGGCCGGTCCGTCAGTGTGATGGCATGGGCTACTCCCAGAAAGTAAGTGAGCATATCAGTGGGTTTGCTATAAAGAGTCCGTCCGATAAGTGTATGGCAAGAGGCTGACACTGACGAACAGAGCAAGCCTTTAGACGAAACCAAAATCGTATCTGTCTGCTGGGCTTCTTCAATTATGGCAGACTGGAGCTCGAGTTGGCTAGGCAGCCCAGCAAACATGGCTCAAGAGCCGGTACGAGACCTGGTGGATGTCGGGCTGCAGCCGCAGGGATTGATGCTCAAGTCGGCGAGATTTATGAGACTGGCTTCTGAGCCCATACGAAATGTACTGGCACGTAGCTGTGAAAGCGCCTGTTTCCGAGAGCGACCTGGATGGACTGCATTAACTCATTGGTCTCCAATGCATCGATCCCAAATTCGGGGAAGGCGCTGGCAGTCATGGCGGGTATCATCTCTGCGAACACCTCGCGAAAGTATGCACCGAGAGTTCGGAGGTGTTGATCTTTGGGCCACGCGCCTATGGGGAGGTGGAACACCCGCTGTTGGATGTTGACAAAGCCCAGCTTTTCAAGGCAGGCAGGAGCTTTCTCGATGAAGCGGATATCGAAACCATAATGTTCCCAAAATACCGTCTGCAATTGGTCGTAGAACTTTTGCAACGGGTAGTCTGGAGGGACACTCCCATCGTCACACCCTATTCTTGGGTTGAACTCTTGAAGCTCGATCCAGCCCCCAGGCTTCAAGTTCCTGCAGTGAGGGTGCGGCTATTAGTGTTGATACTCGGCCGTGTGAGGTGAGACTGGCTTACTCGAATGCTTTCGCCATCACTTTTCGAGGATCTTGCAACGTGGTACACAATACGCGAAGGTGGACATAGTCGAAGTCCGACGGCTGCATCCACTCATCTTCAACGTCATCGACAAAGAACTCGACGTTGGGAGGAAGCCAGACAGGCTGGATTCGGGAGAGATCCACGCCTATTACTCTCGCGCTTGGGAAATTATCGCCAACTAGAAGCCTGTCAGAAGACTTGCCCACCCGCCACACGTTGGGATGTCGGATTCGACTAACCTTCAATGGCCCACTCGCCGGATCCTGTTCCCAGATCGATTATCTTCTGGGGGTTCTCCCCGATTGGGGCAAGGTGGAGTTTGCCATGGAGCATCTCCTTGAACATGACGTGCTTCAACAGCTCCCTGTTGATCTCTTCGTCGTCGTTGGGCAACGGATATCTGCCGTATCGGAATACCTGGTACCGTCTGTGAGGGGGTTTAGCGCCAAAGGCTCCTGCGATAAAGGGCTTTAGCATCGAGGCTTACCTCCCATATTCCCAGATGTGCTCGTTTATGCTCGAGGTCACCGAACAAAAGTCGGACTCGACAACGCTTGGGTCATAGTCAGACGTCACTCCCGTCTCGGCGGGAAGCGGCTCGATGAATCCAACTTCTGCCATTGGGATCCAAGAATCACTGGCCGCCACAAGATGGCACTCTGCAGGCCTGATAACCTTGGGTAGCCCGCACGAAAGCCAACTCAGTTCCCAACTGACAACTTGCTTCAAGGAGAAAGACACGCTCTTGAAGGCAGCGGACTGGAGCAGGTGGGCCGCACTACCACTGTACAGGTCTGCCACCTGGCGTGCATGACCCATGCGCTAGACAGAACAGACGTGGACGACTGGTTCGCCCGGTGTATGTGATGAGAGGACCGAGGCGGGAGAACAAGAAAATAGGTGGAAATCCGGCAAGGGCCCTGTGTGTGTATTTGTGGATATAGGGTTCAGCTGGCGAGGCGAGGTTCGACGATGGCACTGGCCAGGAGCCTATAACAATGCTGTTGTTTCTTCCCCGAGGAATCGACTTGGGAACTCCTAGACCGACTCGCACGGAGACAAGACTTTAGAGTAAAGATCACTGCGCCCAACCCAAGCCTCGAGCAATGTAGCGTTGAAGAACCAAGAGGGGTGGGAGAATTGAGGACCCGGATAGCGGGCAGAAGCTAGGCCTGGAGTTTTATATGACATCGAGAACAAAAAGCTGTAGTGGTGTGGGGTTCCACTGCAGATTCATCCTAGCTTGAACGGGGATGGCTGGATAGCCGGTGAGGCGACGGGCAAGACTTACCTAGTTCTCGACCCTGGGTCGCAAAGTTAAAAATACCTACAGACAGACAGGTTCCGGGTTCGTTGCCACAATACATGACATGACGACCATAAACTCATTTATCTCACCGGACAATGCAGCTCTATGGCCCCATATCTTGCACAACGTCACATTATATGCTATGTGCCATGGCTACATAGCCTCGAGTTCCCACGAGGTACTCGTCCTGCACTCGTGGGTACTGGGGAGAATCGGCGTGCACGACCTGAGACCTCGCGAACTAGTTAATGTACAGAGTACTGTCCTATTGGCTATGGCCCCTCCCCAGCCTTTGATCGACCCAGCCGAGTGGGAAACCCCAACCCAGCCATTGGACGCCACTTCTCCAGGCCCAACGAGCTGGTAACTGTCATGTACCACCTAGTATCTGGATGGGCTTTTCTGCATCCGATTCTCACACAACCAGAGCTTTTGGTTAGTTACCACTGTTTCGGTACTATTTCCCCAAACCCGGCTTGAGATCAACTGGATTCTGAGATCGGGTCGTCCGGTTGTACGATTCTAGCGCCAACCTCGCAATCCCTTGAACCGTCACCAAGACGCTACGGAGGCAACAGCAGCACTAGTAAGGAGAGCCCCCTCGTTGCGGGCGGCCCGGCAATAATCAAACATCAAACATGCCCAAAACCAACGACATCCTCCATGCTGAAGCCCAATGCCGTACTACGTGAGAGAGGTCACGTAGTGGTGCACCACTAGTCAGACCAAGCCCATCTCCTTCACCACCGAGACCTTTTGTAGCCAGGAAGCACTGAAAAATATTTCTGCATGCATGGGACCAAAATTTGATCGGCCCGTATCTACATCTACGTGTCCACGGGTCCTGATCTCCTACGCAATACACTAGGTAGGTAGGCAAGCTCGAGGTTACGGCCGTGTGAGGGAGAGAAACTGTATTACCCACATGCCCCCTACACTATACGTCAGCTGGTAAACAACTGGCACTGACAACCTCGTGGGCGGGCACCTATTACCTAAAGCTCCGAAGTTCTTCCTTCTCTCTGTTTTTTTTTTTTGGACAAGTGGAGCGACCCTAGCAATACCCCTGTAGAATACGTACCAGGCCATGACAGCGCGTCTTCACGGTAGAAGATCGCGTCTGCCCTACCCGCCCATAAACACCTATCGCTGCCAAAGAGCCCAGCCCGCCATCTCGACCTGTCTGTATACACACAGCGTCCTCGCAGAGCCTCCGCCTGCTCCGTGATCTTTCTTGTTTGATATGTTTCTTATGCACAAGCTTCTCAATTACCTGTATTCCCACTCTCAACACCACTTAGTTATCTGCTGCTGTCGCGCCAGCATCCCCGCGTTCTCGTGTCGTTGATACCTATATAGTATCCCCCCTTGACGTTTGACGCCATCCCCGACACGATACGCCTTCCATGAGGCCCCAATGACCGGCATAGAACGCGTCTAGACTCCCGTCTCGTAGCCATGCATCTCCCGCGGTCTCTCATATCGAAACTCTACCTGCACTTGCAGAACACTCGGCACCCGTTATCCCCGCCGGTCCTCGTCCTCGTCGCACTCGAGCCCGACGCACTATGTGCCTGTCGAATTCTCACGCGCATGCTCAAGCATGATTACATCCCGCACAAGATCCAGCCAGTCGCGGGCTATGCCGATCTCGAGCGCGTAGGGAGGGAGCTCGTCAGTCCCATGATGGAGACGCGTGGTGGCTCGGGCGGAGTCGTTGTCTGCTTGGGCGTGGGCGGTATGGTTGACTTAGGTGCAGTCCTCGGACTGGAGCCCGAGGGAGAGGAGAACAACACATTCGGCGGAGTCGAGGTCTGGGTTATCGACTCGCACAGGCCTTGGAACTTGGCCAACGTGTTCGGTGGGTTCCCTCTGGAACCAGAAACCGAGCTGGCCAGCAGCTTCCAGGCACGTTCACCTGCCGGTGTCGTTGGTGGCCGTATAGATCGCGCCTATAAACCAGGGAAAGGCGGTATCATGGTCCTTGACGATGGTGATGTTGAGGAACAGCTGGAGAAGGAAAGGCAGGCTTACCTTGCTCTCGTGGACATGCCTGATATCGAGGACGACGGCGCAGACCTTGGCGACAGTGACGACGATAGTGAAGAGGACGATGAAGAACAAGAAAGAGACGTCCGAGACAAGACGCCACAAGCCGGCCAGAAACGGAAGTCTCTGTCAGACCATGACGAGGACGATGACAGTGAGGATGACGACAGACCTAGGCAAAGACGGCGTAGCAATTCTGTAGGTTCCACGACCTGAACTCCTCTTTGTGTGGTTGAGCTTCATACTAACAACTAATAGTCGAGTCCCATTGCCGACTCTCCTCGCCGCCCGCCTCAACGTGGTCTGCTCTCAATGAGAGACGATGCTGTCTTCTCATCCAGCGATCCATTAGACCCGCCAACCGCTGCACAGCCGCCAAGGGGCCCCTCGGCACGCAAGCTGAGACGAAGGTTGTTACGCCTACGCCGGGAAAATGAAGCTATTCTGCGAGATTACTACCGGATAGGAACATCTTACTCCGAACCAGCTTCATCGATGCTCTACTCTCTTGCGTCCGAGCTTGGCCGAGAAGACAACGATCTTCTTTGGCTAACCATCGTCGGTGTTACGTCCATGGAGCTCTACGGGCGGTCATCAGCAGGAGTTGCGGTCACCGTTCGAACATCGGATTCCCGACCTGCGTCCGGCTGGCTGGGCATGCGCGGCGCCAGAATACGCCAGTTACTTCGAGACGAGGTCCGCCGGTTGAATCCCCCTGATATAGGACCACCCACTGGCAGGGTCCTTCCCGAAGCCACCGGCATCATCCCCACCACAGCGCGCAGTCCCGAGGACACCAGTATTCGACTCTCCCCGGAGCCCAAATTCCTACTGATCAGGCATTGGAGCCTGTACGACAGTATGCTGCACTCGCCCTACCTGTTTTCGCGGCTGAAGACCTGGAGCGAGACCGGTCTAAAACGGCTTCACAAGCTGTTGGCAAAGATGGGTGTGAGCCTAGTCCAGTGCAAGCAGAGCTACACGCACATGGATATGATGCTCAAGCGGGAATTGCGGACGAAGCTCCTGAAGTACGCCTCGCTGTACAATCTTGATGACATGGTTCCGGCCATAGAAACGGACGGCAAAGACCGTGCGGGCGCGAAGGATGGGTGGGGCTTCGTGCGCAGCTGGGGGTGGCGCGCCACACTGAGTGCACAGGACGTCGGCGTCGTGATCGGCGCGCTCTTGGAAGTTGGAAAGCATACCGCGCTGCCCGACACGGCCTTTGATGCCAGCCGATCCCAGGAAGCCTCAGACCCAGATGACGAGCAACTCCAAGCCCAAGGCGAGGAGTGGCTGCCGCGGTTCTGGGACGCATACGACGCCCTTGAGGAGTGGGTTTTCTCAGTCTCCCTCATCCCTGAATTTCCGTTACTGACATGTCGCGATAGCATTGAATCCCTCAAGGCCGGAGTCCCCACCGCCCAGTTCCTTCACAAGGCCATCTTCAACACCGGCACGGCGCTCATGAAGAAGAAGCAGATTTCACACTTGCGAGCTTTCCGAATGTGCATCGTCAAGGACTCGCCCGAGTCGGTCGTCTTCAACCACCCCGGTGCGCTGACCAAGCTGGCGCTGTGGATCGGCGAGGCCCTCGCGGAGCAGGAGAAGGACACGGCGGGGAAGCTCGCGCACGGCGGGCGCGGCACGCCCCTCGTGGTGGCGAGCCTCAACGAGAAGCGCGGCGTGTACGTCGTGGTCGGCACGGGCGGCGGGGGCGGGCCTGACAGCGCCTTCGTTGACCGCGCGGCGGCGAAGAAGAGGCAGGCCGACAAAGCGGCCAGGACGAAGCTGAGGGAGGAGAGGAAGCTCAACAGGGAGAAGATACGGGCGGAGAAGAGGGCTGCGAGGGGAGACGACGACGCGGGCGAGACCGAGTCGGAGGGCTCCGATGCGTCCGAATCCGAGTCGGAGTCGGAAGACGAGGACGGGGACGAGGCCCGGGCGGACAGGGGGTACGGGTTGAACAAGTTTGGGACGGCGTTCCAGGATGTCGTCTCGGAGACTAATGCGCGCGTGCGCATCGACAGCTTCGAGCACTGCGTTGTCGAGGTCAAGAAGGAGGACCTGGGCGGATTCTTGGAGAGCTTGAGCATGAAGGCCGTTGTCGGATGAGGTCAGTCAGTCAGTCTGTGGACTGGACCGAGGCACGTACGGAACGAGGAGGGGCATGACGCCGTAATGCATTTCGTTCGTTCTAGCAGCTTTGGCGTTTTCATGGTTGTCTGTCCCCACCTTATTCCCCCGGGTTGATGATGGAATGAGATGGTTCTGGCTGGGTCTATTTTGTGCAAGGATTGGGATGTCGCGTAGTTATAGGTAGCTCTGAAATGAACATAACGCTTCCATCCGACATTGATACGTGGGAGATCCTGAGAGCGTTGCCAAATTGTGCTCCTTCCTTCGATACTTGGACCAATCCCGTTCCCCTTTAACTCCAAATTGGAGTCGAAATCGGGCGTAGTAAACCTGCCAAACATCATTGAGGCTTAGACCCTGATATCCCGGGTGTTCCCGCCAATTACCGGTAATGATCTCCTCAACACCCAACTCTATCTTACTTCCCTGTCGACTAGGATGAAAATCATGACGTTGAGATCTCGTTCGAAGACTTCAACCTTGTATGTACGTGGCCACCATTCTGTAGCCGTAGGTATTTGAACAGACTCCAAGCCTGACTCTGTCGGTCCAATGGTGACCCCTGATCGCCTTCTATGAATCCCTTGCTCCGCCATCAGACACGAGCAGTCTAGGTCTGCCTGGATCGCCGTTCCCTCGAACCCAGAGCTTGAAGATGTGTCGATAGTCCGAAGGGTGGCAAATCAGTCTGGCTGGTCCTTGGCTTTATAGGCTACCAAGCAAAGTTGACGTCCCTGGCTACCTAGCTTCCCACCTAAACGATACCCGCTAGCCACACTTTATTATTCACCCGCCGCTCCGACCGCCTTTACACCGAGTACGGACTACCTACGTAGGTACAGTACCTGCCCGCAAAGCCCCTCCCAAACTTTCGACGCCTCGACTCGACTCCCTGGCCTGCCACCATCACGCCTCAGCCTGGCCTTGGCTACCCGATTCCCAACAACCTGCAACAACACCGACCCAGCCGATCCCCCCTCTTGCGCGCGATATACTCTCCACCCAAGACCTTTCTTTCGCATGACCTACAATTCGCGCAAAGACGGAATTAGAGAGCATCGAAACGATTAAGAAGACTGGCCAGGAAAGACCTCCAGCCACACCCCTGGTCGCCTGCCCCTCGCCTCTGGCGACGCCAATAACGACACTACTCCGCGGGGCAAAGGCTCGAGCGCCATCGAGACAAGATGGGTAAATCGTAAGTGCGAACATCCGCTCTATAATCCCCTTGCGCCCTGCGAATATCCTAGAGGGATGAAGCCCGTTCCTTTACCCCACCTGTCGCGCGCATTGCGTCCCGTCGGCGTGTGCTCAATCAACGCCGCTGTATTCCCTCAAAAGTTACGGCGGGGTGTCGCCATTTGGCCAATGCCACGGCGCTCGCGAGGCGACGCTTGCTATACCATTGGGAGGAGCGGGGAGGAGGAAGGCGCCATCTGGCCTTTTGGGAGAACCGCCGGCTAACCCGCAAGCTCCGAAACACAGGCAGTCAAAGCTCTCCCAAGAGCAACTGGCCGAGCTGCAGAAGTCGACACATTTTGACAAGAAGGAACTCCAGCAATGGTATAAGGGTGGGCACTTGACCCCCTCCCCCCAATGCGCGAACCGTTCCCCCCACCTCCGGGAAGATCGGAGCGGAGTGATCGAAGAAGTAGAGAGAGCGGCGCGGAATATCCTGACTGACAACGGCTCACCGGCGATAAATAGGCTTCCTCAAGGACTGCCCCTCGGGGATGCTCTCCAAGGAGGAGTTCCAGAAGATATACCGGCAGTTCTTCCCGTTCGGCGACCCGTCGTCCTTTGCCGACTACGTCTTCAACGTCTTCGACAGCGACAAGTCGGGCACGATCGACTTCAAGGAGTTCATCTGCGCCCTGAGCGTTACGAGCCGCGGCAAGATGGAGGACAAGCTCGACTGGGCCTTCCAGCTCTACGACATTGACGGGGACGGCAAGATAAGCTACGAGGAGATGCTCAAGATTGTGGAGGCGATTTACAAGATGGTATGTCCCCCCTTCTCTATCCCGGCCCGGTAATGCGCAAGAGGTATTAGTTAGTCAATATGCTCCCACCAGAAACTGACAAGGTGACCTCTCTTCCTTTCTTCAACTCTAGGTTGGCTCCATGGTCAAGCTCCCCGAAGACGAAGATACCCCCGAGAAGCGTGTGCGGAAGATCTTCCGCATGATGGACAAGGACGAGAACGGCAGCCTAGACATGGAGGAGTTCAAGGAGGGCAGCAAACGTGACGAGACGATCGTGTCCGCGCTATCGCTATACGACGGGTTAGTTTAAAGAACGGGGGGCCACGAAGTCGAAATCTCTTATAAGGGAGCGAGCGAGGGAGGGTAGTATTCTTTATTGTGGAGGAGGGCGGTTTGGGAAACCCGACCGGGTATGCCATGCTAAGTCCGAGTGGCCTACTCGAAACGTCGAGCGAGGATGTTTGCCATTCCAAAGGCAAGGGAGCGTCAGCAAGAGCAAAAGAATAAAAAAACCCAACGAGAGAGATAACGTTCGCGGCAAGGATCGGAAAGGGCTTTGGACTGGCCTGAGCTGCGTTGATGAAGCAAACAACTGGGTGGATAAACCGCTTGTAACTCGTGCGCCCGCAGCGATCAACTGCAAAACCCTTTTACCAGTATTGGAAACATATTCTTTCATAGCTTTTCTTTTGATAAGTACCTACCCGTCGCCCTTACCATATCTCCTGTTTCTTGTTTCCCATCGTGCTCCAGTATCAGCCACTTCCAAACCAACCCCACAACTAGGGGCAGTGCCGCAGACAGTCAGTCAAGGGAGGCCTCCTGGAATGGGCTTCGTCAGAGCAATCACTGGGGTTCGTGGTGGGTGCCCGGTGTTAGGCAATCGTGTTTGTATTTCTGAAGCAAATACAGTCAAACTTTCCCAACTTCTCCGTCCCCTCTCTCCCCCTGACGAACCGCGACGGTCAAGCCTAAAACCAACAAGTTGTTTAAAAAAAGGGGGGGTGGGCGGGCAAAAGAGGTATACATTATCGATACAGAACTCCGTAAAGTCCCAAAAAAAGATCTCGCGTCTTGTCATAAAGCAACGACTTCAGAACTGAAGAGACTGCCTTTGTCCATGGACCCGGCGGGTATTTTGGTCAATGCACGGCGACAGACGAAAAAAAAACTTTCAGGGACATGGGAGGAGGACGACCTAGAGAAAGGACCTTGGGGGATTCGGGGCGGGGGATACAACGAGGAGCCCACGGATTAAGCAGCTGACCCGTATGCCTCCTTGACCTCCTTCTTGAATTTTTCGAGGATACCCTTGCGGTTCAGCTTCTGGGCCGCGGTCACGAGGTTCTGTATAGAGAGAGTCAAGTCAGTGTCATTTCGAGTCTCGATCAAGAGAGAAAGATAGGAAACAAAGCCTACGTTCTGGGGCGTCCACTCCTCGTCAGCCATGACCACTCCCTCGATGATCTCAATCCCCATCAAGCCACCGTTCCGGCCAGCAGCCTGGAGCTCCTTCAGGACGGCGCTCTGGACCTTCTTGTTGTGCACCAGCTCCTCGAGGCCGGCATCCTGGACGCCGATGGAGCTGGCCAGGATCTTCAGCGCGGGCTCCGCAGGGACGATGATAGCGACTGGCTTAGCCTTGGACGAGTCCGCGTACACGCAAATGTTGGCAACGACCGGTGCCGCGCGGTAGATGGACTCGAGCTTCTCGAGCGCGATGTACTCGCCGTTGAGCGTCTTGATGAGGTTCTTCTTACGGTCGATGAGCTTGAGATGGCCGTGCTTGTCCCATTCGCCGATATCGCCTGTCTTGAACCAGCCGTCGGCCGTCACGGCCTCGGCCGTCTCCTTGTCGTTCTTGTAGTAGCCCTCCATGATGGTAGGTCCGCGGAGCCAGATCTCGCCCTGAGGGTTCGGCTTGTTGGTCGCAAAGTAGCCGGCTTCGGGGAAATCGACCAGCTTGGTCTCGACTGAGGCAGGCATGGCGCCGATGGCGTCGCATGTCCACTCCAGCGGGTTCTGCAGAGTGCCCATGGCGCTGGTCTCGGTAAGACCATACCCGATAATCATCGGGCAGATGGCCATGCTGATGAAGCGCTGCGTCTCCTTTGCGACAGGACCACCGCCATTCATACAGAGCTTCATGCGGCCACCCGTTGCCTCCTTGATCTTCTTGAAGACAATGGCGTCGAGAACACCGGAGCCGGGAAGCCCGTTGCTCAACAAGGCATTCTTCGCCCACAGCGCGCTCCAGAAGAGGCTCCTCACAATCGGGCTGCCGGCATTCACCTTGGCAATAATGCCCTTCTTGACCGTCTCCCAGACGGCAGGAACGCCGACCAGGACGCTGGGCTTGAACTCCCTGATATCACCATTGCAGTTGCGTACCGAGTTGTCGGATAGGGTCTTAGGATTGCCATAGCCCATGGTCGAGCCCCAGTAGAGCGAAGCATTCTCGAAGACGAATTCGAGAATGTGTGCCAGGGGCAGATACGTCAGCAGGCCATCGCCGGGGCCGATGTATGGCTTCACCACGACGCTGACACCGGCGACTAATAAGCCAAGATCAGCCAGAGCACTCACTTCACCTCGGCCGCAGGGACAAGAGAGATAACTAACCTGCTGCAACGACGTTTTTGTGTCTTAGCGGCACGCCCTTGGGAGTTCCTGTCGAGCCGGACGTGTACATGATGCAGCACAGGTCCTCGGGCGTGGGCGGAACGGGGTCGACGGGGTTGTCCTCGCCCAGCTTGCGCAGCTCTTCAAAGCTGATTATGGAGATGTTGGGGTAGGCAGCCTTGAGCTTGTCGACGTGGTCTTGCTTGATCTGGTTCTGGTTGTTCCAAATGATGTGTCGGACCTCAGTTGCATCCTTGAGGACGTTGGTGAGGGTGGGAAGCAGATGGGGGTCGAGGAAGATAGCCTTAGCGCCCGTGGCCACCATAGAATGCCTCAGGCCCTCTTCGCCAAGGGTATCATAGGCCGTCACAACGGGCATGCTCTGGGAAGTAGCGCCGTGGGACATGGCAAGCCAGTGGGCGCTCGTGGCGGCGAAGAGATGGACACGGTCGTCCTTCTCCAGGCCCAGCTTCCGGAGACCGGCGCCGAGCTGCAATATCAGGCGCTCGTACTCGATGAAGGTGAGGTACTCGTAGCCGCTGAGCTCAAAGAAGGTCCACTGCTTGTCCACCTCGCGCTCCTCGCCATCGACCATCTTCTTGACCTTCTTGGTCTCCTGGTGGGTGCGCACGAGCTTGCGTGACCCCATGGCTTTGGCGTTGCCATACTTCTCGACGCTCGTGCGGACGAGCTCGTAGACGGTCGTGATCTTTTCGTCGGGACGAGAGAGGAGCTCGTTCGCCGCGACCGGGTGCCGCCGAATAGGAGTCTCGCCCTCGATGGGTTGTTGGCCAGGGACCTCGACCGAGAAAGGCGGCTTGGCGCTCTGCCGTGGGAGAAGGTGTGCGGCCATTGGGAGGTATTTAGGTATGTCAAGATTTGATGAGGAAAGTAGGCAGGTGTCGAGAGAATGTTCAAGCCTCTGATAGCTTCAAGGTAGAGGTGAAAAAAGGATGGGAGTTCGCAGCAACAGACAGACCAGGCAGGTAGGAGAAGGAGGGTGGAGTCGTGGCAACGACAGCTGGAGCTGTAAATATAGCTCGAACTTGAGGAAGGAGTGAGCACGGTGGTCGAAGGAAGGGCTGGGGTCGGGGTTGTTGCTGGGGCGGGCCCACACCCACTGCACCTCCTCTCCAACAAATTTGGCCCGAGCTTCCCCCAGCTGCCCATGCTGCCCCAGCACTGAAGCCAAGACCCTTCAAAATCGCCTCCCTAGCCTGGATCTGGTATAGTGCGTTCCTGGGCACTCCTGACTAGTTGCTGGCCAAGAGACCAAGAGACACCACGATGGCACGGGTTCAGGAAGGCAACAGCCAATGTAAATATAAGCGAAGGCAGGAACCGTCTCCAATACTCTTCACAAGTCCGTCCAGAACGTTGTCGTATCGCCCGCCCAAGTTCTACCTCTATCTAGCCCTAGAGTCGAGACGCTGGTACGGATGGATGTCCGCATAGGCTCTAAGATTTCTGGGCGGTCCTTTTCTTTCACGGGACACGGCTATTATTTGCCAGATTTGTTATGACAACTGGTCTTGTTACCTTGATGGCGACTCAGATAGGTGTTTACCCCTTTCAAGGAGTTTGCGGCGGTAGAAAGCGTGAACCAAAATCAAGCCTCGATCCCCAGGAAGTTCTGGTGAGCAGAACTACTTAGCCATGAAGCTGAAGAGCCTCATCAGCCGTCTCGGTGGGCGAATCCAATCTGTCCAAGAAGGTCCGTAGTCGCGCGTTGATAGCGTGCAGATGAGCTGAACGGCTGTTAGAAACCTTTGACCTGTTTGCCCAAGAGCTTCCATCCCATAACCTCGGCTTCGTCGACTCCAAGTCCCCAGTCCTTGAGCTCAGCATTGCTGGGCGCGATCTTACTATCCATCAGTCGCCCTCCGTACTGGCTTCGAATCGAGCGGGGGGTACCACAGGAGCAGGTAAGTGCCGTTTCTGAATCCCTGCTCCGCGACCAGGTTCAGTGTCGCTTACTGCATCCCCAAGTCCTGTGGAAAATCACCCCGGCTTTTGCAGAATGGGTCAGCGCGCCAGATAACATACTCTTCGCCAGCGGCGCTCTCTCTGAAGGCTCGGCCGTCATTGAGCTGGGATGCGGCATATCGCCCATAGTCGGCCTCCTCCTCGCACCCAGGGTTTCCCACTACGTGCTCACGGACCAGCCTTACGTCGCCCGGCTCGTCGAGCAGAACCTCGCGGCGAACAAGGATCTGCTCCAGGGCCCCGGCAGAGCCGCCAGCCGGCGCAGATCGAGGGGCACAAGAGCCCCGGAGCGGAAGCCGGCAGCTGGGACCGGCCGCATCGCCTTCGTGCCGGTCGACTGGGAGCGCGACGAGGTCACGCCGACGCTGGCCGGGGCCGTGGCGGCGCGGAGCTTCGACGCCGTCATAGCCTGCGACTGCATCTACAATGAGGCCCTGATCGACCCCCTCGTGCAGACCTGTGCTGATACCTGCCGCTTGCGCGCGGACGACGGCAGCGGCAGCGGCGGGGCGAGCCCGTGCGTCTGCGTCGTGGCACAGCAGCTCCGTGATCACGACGTCTTCGAGGGCTGGCTGGTCCGGTTCGCCGAGTCCTTCGACGTCTGGCGCGTCCCCGACTCGTGCTTGCCCGAGACCCTCCGGTCGAATTCTGGGTTTGTTGTACACATCGGGATCCTGAAAGGTACGGTTGGGTTAGATCAAATGTAGATGAAAGGTCACGTTTCACGCCTTGACGAGTGTCACTGGGAGTTTTTGGAACGTGTATCTATCATTATTAGTATTATCATGATACTCTAGTCATATTCTGGCAGGAACGGGCCTTCTTGAAGCTCATTTGAAACGCCCAGATCCCGCTGTCTGTTCCCAATAACCCGGTGACTATACCAATTCCCAGGCAGCAATGCCAACCCAACTCATCCCGCACTTCCCCTTCTTCCTCAAGAACTCCTCCTTCGTCACTCCCCGCGCCGGCTTGCCATCCAGCGTGTCCAGGCCATAGAGCGATATCTGCTGTCCCGGAGTGCCGAGATCCCTCGCCGGAATGTCCACCCACCACCAGAAGCTATCATGGTCCAGAGGCACGAGATCGTCCTTCCGCCCATCCAGCCCGTGGATCTTCATCATGAGCAAGTACGGCTTGCCCTTCCCGTTCCTCTCGCCGTCCCAGTGCTCGCAGACCTTGGAGAACTGGAAGCGTACGACCTCTCCGCTGCGCACGGGGATGTGCTTCGCGCGCGGGCTGAAGGTGAACTCGTTCAGGCCCTCCTGCGTCGCGTTGCTGTACCACGTCGCCTGCTCAGCTCCCCGCAGCGGGCCGACGATGTACTCCTCCCACGTGGGGATGCTCCCGTCGCTGCGGTAGAAGTGCCTGCTGTCGGACGGGAAGTGCTTGAGCCCAAAGGTGTCGTTGGCCATGTAGAACATCTCGGGCACGAAGCGCTTGGTGTACTTCCTCTCGCCGACGGCGCCGGCGCCCCAGCACGCGTCGAGCAGCTTCCACTCGCCGCCGTCGATGCGCACCGCGTTCCACGCGTGGCCCGACGGGTCCCGCCGCGGCGGGGCCTGGCCCGGCGCCAGGGGCACGAAGCCGTAGCCCTTGCCGTGCCCGCCCACGACCACGCACTCAAGCCCCGCCCGGCTGGCGATGCTCTCGTACACCTTGGCGTAGCCCTCGCACACGGCCTTGCCGCTAAAGATGGTCTCGGCCGGCGTCTGCCCGCGCGGGATACAGCCATCGAAGAAGTCCTCCACGTTGTAGGCGATGTTGTGGTGGCACCACGTGAAGATGGCGCGCGCCCTGTCGGTGGCGGACGGGAAGGGGTCGCAGAGCACGTGCGCCAGGTAGCCCACGGGGTCGTGGCGCGGGAGAGTGTGGGCCGGGTACTGGGCAGCGACCGAGTCAGGGCCGGAGAAGTCCCGGCAGACGAGACATGAGGGCGCCGCCGGTGCCGAGGCTGGTCGTACAGCAGAGAGGGCCGCCGCCGCACGGGTTGAGGCGGCGTCGATATGAGCGAGAGCGGGACGAGAGCTTAGCGGGACAGGGGGCGGCTGGTCATCTTCTTCTGCCTTGGCCTGTCTGTTAAATCCGCACTCAAGGGCCGACTTTGCCCGGTTGAATGTAGCCGCCGGGGGAGGTAAGCGCCTGCTAGGCAGAGCAGGGGCCTGCTCTTCTTGTGTTTGTTCAACGACTGGTGGTCGTGCTGGCCGCGACGGGAGTCTGGGAGGCAGGGAGGGACGTGGCGGCTCGGCGATCCGCGACGGAGCGGTCTCTGACCTAGTCGGCAAGGGGGGTGCTCTTTCTGCTACGGCTTCCTTTGCCTTTGCTTCCAGCTCACGCCGTGTTGGAGGGAGATGCGGGAGTTTTGCCTGGTCGAGAGTCGGCGGTAACCTTCGCGGAGCCTTGTCTGAGCTGGCACTTGTGAACGACAGGTTCGAGACTGTTGATAAATAAGAGACATCTGAGGAATTGGAGTTTCTTCGGTCAGAAAGAGTCTGTGTGGATGGTCGGCGGGGTGGGAGTGCTGGTGATGTCAGGCGACTTGAAGAAGCCCAGGTGGGAGCGGGAGCAAGGCTTCGGCCTGGAGAGGGTGATTTCCCATCTCCGTCCGCAGCGGCTGTTACTCTCCGGGGAAGCGGCGGAGCGCTCTCTTGCTTGGCCGCTCTGTTGGTCGGTCTCGGAGGTATTGACGGGCTCTGTGGCGATGGCGCCCCATTTGAGAATGTTGGGCTCGTGGCGCTTGCCAACTGTGGTGAGGGGCGATTCTGCGGAGGCGGAGGCGGGGCTCGCCTGCCAGCCCCGGGGGGAGGAGCCTTGAAGTTCTTCTGTTTGTTGAGGGCGGCAATCCTCTCAGCGAGTGTTGTGAATTGCGGCTCTTCAACTTCTGCCATTGTGCTGCGATGGTCGGGGCCAATAAAGATACAAAGAGGGTTGAAAATGAGCAAGGCCCGGGTCCTGAAAGAGAGAGGCGGGAGTTATTCCTTGATATTATTATTTTTTACCCAGATGGTCCAGCAGTTGGAGGGTTCCTTGGTGGGCGCAGCCTTCCTCAGCACGGATGAATGCCACCTCCTCACCCCACACTTTAAAAGTGTGCCTATCAGAAACCCGTGGAGGCCCATCCCAAGTTGAGCCGTTGCCACTGGATTCTTGGCACAGCGATTGCGCTTAATGCTGTAATCAAGGCTCTGGGGTCGGCGGGCCACCTCTGAGTCTCTGCGCAGTAAGCGTATCCATCTTTCGTCTGTTATTATTGGGCTTCATCAGGGACAAATAATAAGCATGCATGGGCCTATATGCGTAGGTAGGTAGCCTTGTACTGGACAAGAAAAGAGACCAAGAATGAAAGCGGAATCGTGTCAGGGGACCCCTTCTTTACCGTTTTTAGCTCCCTGCAGTTCTATCTTTGGGCGGGACCTAACCGGGATTTAGCGCGCGATCTTCTGAAACCTCCAGGAGTGATCGCGGCCAGCCCCTCTGCAGTTGCTTCCAATGGAAAAGCGCAAGTGAATGTGATATGATATGCATTTGGAATGACGCGTCGCGGAGGCAAACGAATAGTGGTATTTTTTAGGGAGTCTGTCTATGCTTCTGCCTGTAACCAACACATTTCAATCCCAACTGGAGTACGGATCCGTAAGGTCGATCGATACCAAATATTGTTTCTCACCGCCTTATTTTATAACGGCAGAATCCGTTCAGTGACTTCGAGGAACGGGCAGCACTATAGTCCTTACATTTGGCCCTGGCTGAAAGCTGTTAACAGGTGCAGATAGATCGCTCAAGTTAAGAATCTTTGTGTTGGGCGGTGAGACTCCAGGACAATACAGACTACGGCTAGGTACCTGAGTACCTATCTTGTGGCAGAGTGACCCTTGAAGGCTGCACCCAGGAAGGCTAGCCGACCTCAATCAAAGCCGCTTCAGCCTCCCCGGATATGCCGCCCCGCTAAATCCCGGGCCTCTTCAACCCTCTTAATGATCAACCAACCCATGAGATCTGGCAAGCCCTGGTGGATTTTTTTTTTTTGGAGCCATCGCAACGCAACACATACATCGTCGCCGGCGTTTCACACAGATTTGCGCCTCCACATACGGGGACTATACTTGTTATTCAGTTTACAAACATCGCCCTACCTGACGTAGCTTTACATACCTCCCGCTCCATCATCGTCTTGCGGTCTTGGGCGGCTACCCTAGCGCTGCATAACCATCGCCATGGCTTCGGCCGAGACATTGGGTGATGCCGCTGTTGGCAGCGAGCTTGGCTTCCTGGGCCTGCCCAGGGAGGTCCAGAAGGATATTTTTAGCCATTGTTCGCAAAGCGACCTCATCTGCCTCTCACTCGTCTCCCATCACTTTCATGAGCTTGCCGCCGCCCAACTCTACCGCAATTTCCACATCGTCTTTCCTGATGAGGATGATCCGGCATTCGACTCGCCCATTGATGGCCTAGCTGGCGGCTTGGACACTTTTGTCACGAGCGATTATGACTACGCCAAACACCTCAGGGACCTGTCCCTCGATACACTTAGCGCCGGCAGCAAGGCTGAGGCCGCTTACAAGCCCTACCTGTATAATGTCAGCTGCGGAAAGTTCATGAACACTCTCATGCTCCTGACCCTGCGCAAGGCGACGTCGCTGGAATCCTTCAGGTGCGCCCGCCCAATGCGCCCCCTCCATCCCCCGATTCCTTACTGACATATATGTCCTCGTCGCAGGTGGAATATCCGGGTCGAGCTCAGCCGGCCGGTCTACAAGGCTCTCCATAACATTGATACCCTGCGTCACATCCACATAAGGATGCAGGCCGGTGCCTCGTTGTTTGAAATACCACCTCCGCTTCCATTCAGCTCGCCGACGAGCAGCGCCTCCTCGTCCTCGACCCATCTACCAGAGCCGTCGCTGCCACCACCCCCGCCACCACCATTCACCATACCTGCTCCTCCTTCGCTATTCTACGTCGCCCCAACGAGCATGGGCCACCCACCTCCGCCACCAAAGCCAGTGTCAAGAACAAGGGCCTCCAAGAAGATAAACCTGTCAAACGAGCCGCCGACACTTTCGGGCTTCAAGAGTCTGAGGAGTCTCTCCGTCCTTGATATCGACTCCCTCGACATCGTCACAGAACTGAAGTCTTGTGTGCGGAACTCATCGGCGACTCTCACAAAGCTGAAGCTATCCTTCTCCGACAACCTCGGCCTACAGGCGAGAAAGCCTCCTCCAGACCTTGACCCCGATGATTCGGATCCAGACGACGAATTCCAGGTTGTACCGGTACATTCTGGGGGGAGTGGATATCATGACGATGTTGGTGGACCTGCGAGGGCATTCCGTGCCCAGGAAGAGAGGAAGAGTCAGGAGGCCGTACTCGGCAGGATATTCGATGTCGAGCCCTACATCGTCAAGAAACCTCAGAAGGAGTCACGGAACAAGGAGGAAGAATCCTCCAAGGGCGCATCCACGCCTGATCCCGGGCGCGATTTCATTACTGCCATTAAGGCCGTTTCGAACAAGCTGATGACGGAGCTAAACGGGACGGGAGACTTCACCCTGGCCCAGCAAGACATTCTCGATGTAATCGAGGGGGCCGCCAGGAAGTACGTCGAATCAGAGGAGGCAAAGGCAAAGGAGGACAAGAAGGAGGACAAGAAGGAGGACAAAAAGGAGGACAAGTCAGAAGACAAGCCTGGTGAAGGGGCTTCAAGCCCAAAGCCAGAGTCCGAGGGAAAGCAGAAGGAGGAACCCGGCGAGCAGGCTGAACCCTCTAGCAGTAACAGCGGCTTTAGCAGCCTCTTTGGGAACAAGGCACCGAAGACGAAAGATGCGCACAAGGATGCCCATCCGGACGACATCAACATAGAGGAGCCAGAGGAACAACTTGCCATCGAGCTGCAGGAGTCGGCTTCCAAAACCCCGCCCAACGAGCCCGGTACACCTGCCGCTGGGCCGTCTTCTTCCGCTGCACCGTCTTCGTCGCAGGCGGGCGTCTTGACAAATGGCATCGCTGTGCTGACAGGCGCGGAGAAGGCAATGAGCAACCTGGCCGTCCAAAAGGTAAATTTCCACACATTGACGGAAAAGCTACGAGCTTTGGAGGCGCAGGCCCATAGGCTGATCAAGGAGATACGACAGCTTCACGATGCCGAAGGCCCAGTAGACCTTGGGTCTCTTGCGAATGCAGAGGAGCGACTGCGGGAATGCAGCCGGAATATTCCAGATATTCAGAAGGAGATGAGTGTTGTCCTAGCCGAGATCGACGATGCCCAAAAGCAGATAACACCGCCTGCTGTTGCCAACGATTCCGAGGCACAGACTTGTCGCGTCAATGAGTATTTGCGATCTACGAGAGGCTTGCCACTTCAGACCCTCGGCATCTATCTCATCCCTGTCAAGGCCTCGGTTCTGTCGAGAGCGGTCGACCTCCGCGTTCTCAGGCGCATCACACTCCTCAACGTTGGGTCGCAAGCACCTCTCTGGGCACACATGCTCAAGGAGAACAAGGAGTCCCCTCTGCCTCTCCGAAAAATCTTCACCGACAACGTGTCGATGGCATTCCTGACCTTTGCGTCGCAGCTGGAGGAGCTGCACGAGCTCTTCATCCTCGAGAGGGACCACAAGTACAAGCCCGAAAGCTTCGCGGCAAAGACAACGGCAACAATCGACCAGATCCGACGCCTGGTCCTGAAGAAGCACATCCGGACGCTCAAGCGCCTGATGATCAAGAACATGGCCGATATGTCGTGGGATCTAAACCAGAAAACCATCCTGCTCGTCTGCAGACGAGGGCAACACCTCCAGGAGCTCTCTTGCAACATGGGCATCCGGGCTATCGTAAGTATACCCCCAACCGACCGTCTCCTTTGAGGCAATGGCTCTACAAGCGAACTAACACGCGACACGCAGCACACGTTCATGCAGAACATCTCCGGGCTTGCCAATCTCCGCGCCCTGCACATCATCCATCTCCGCAACGACGACACGTGCGTCTGGGTCATGCGCGAGACCAAGAAGTTCCTCATCGACAACCTCGCGCACCACCCGCAGATGAAGCTGGAGTGGGTCTCCATCGACGACGACGACCGCGTGGAGCGCATCATCCGCCCCTCGGAGGCGCGCAAGCAGGAGAAGAAGTCCAAGAAGGCAAAGGGCAAGCAGAAGGCCACCAACAACAGTCCGTCTCCGGGGGACAACGACACGTTTCCCGTCCTGCCGGCGTTGGACAGCTGGGATGCCAGCAGTAGTAGCGATGACGACGACGGCGAGGGCCAGAGCCCCAAGGTGGAGTCGATAGAGGGCATTCACTTCTACGATGTCTGGGGGGTGAGGATCTTCAAGAAAGAGATTGTAACCGGGAGAGTGTGATTTGCGCATAAACACATTGGTTAGGGCACAGACTGGCGAGATAGTTTGGTTTTGGTGCCCCCCTCCTCCTTCCCCCCTGCTTTTCGAGAAGAGTTTGATTTTGAACTCCACAGCCTCGATGGGCTGGTTGCTACGTTTTTTTTTTCTTTTCGTTCTGCGGAATACCCTGGGCTCTCCTGTTCGACTATTTTCCAAGATGAGGACGCAAAGGCGTGGCGTTCAAAGGGGGGACATGCAGTTGTTGCAGATGATCATTAATAGGGGGCGTAGCCCTCCCCCTTACGTATTTATTTGGAACAAAACTAATCGTTCATACATCCATTCACGCAGCCTTTATCGCGTGTTGATTCATGGTCACCCGCCTCGGCTACCTGAATGTAGAACCATAATGGACACTCGCACTCCGCGGGCTCTTTCTCCCACCGTATCTCACCCCCTATTTTTGTAGTGCCAAAGGGAACCACCCTCGTTTGCAGCCTAATCACTTACCACCCCTGGCCCTTCCTTTCTCAGTGCAGGTAGGTAGCCAACCTATCTTGTGCCGGCCGTAAGTGACACTGTTCTCAAGATCAACTTCCTCAGTTGGATGGGAATGGGGAGGACAGCGTCATTCACGAAGCAGCTTGTTGAAAAAAAAAAAATACATGTAGTGCTATTGTAGGCATCAAAAAGAGCAAATTGCGCTAGAGCTTAGGGGTCTAATTCTTGAGCTGATCATACTCGTTTAAGGGGTTAAGGGTAGGATGCTCCAAACTCAGAGATCAAGCAGCAGCATGAATCCCCTGACCAGCGCCTTGAGGATGCTCGAAACAACCAAAAACCCCTTGACCGCCCAGGCTCCAACCAAGACAGCCGACAGTATGAAGACTAAGGCCAGCAGATAAACGACACAGTCCATCCACGTCGACTGACTCCTAGAAAACCTCAGGCTGATGGGTGAAGCCGGGTCGAAAACGGGGCTGACGATGACCCAATATGCCCGGACAAACCTCCCCACCACATCCAAAGCCCTCCGGGCGGCCACCAATGACCTCCGTGCCCGCTCAAACCGCACGGTCCCGCTCATTCTGGCCCTATTTCTGGAACGATCGTCGATGCCTCCTTCTCCGTCTTGAGCGTAGCTCTTCGTTGACCAGTCCTTGTTGCCTTGGGGTTGGACCGACGACGCCCTGGTCCCGCCGCCCCTCTGCACCGGCGCTCTCTTCGCCGCAGCGGCATCGTACTTCACAATGGCTTGTTTGGCCGCCCCCCGTGCAATGACCTCGTTTATCCGGCTCTTCTCCAGCCTCGGCTGGTTGGTCGGTGATCCAGCCGCCGGGAGCGAGCACGAACGGTTTCGACGGCCCGTGGACATGTACAACGGTGATACAGTGGCCGGCGGCGCGCCTTCTCTCCTCCTCAGAGGAATGATCTCTGTTTCCGTGCGAAATGCGTCTATCTGGGCTGGCGCTACGGCCGCCCTCGAAACTCCCGATGCTCGCTGACATAGCCTCCCGCTGCGGTCCTTCGTGGGTGTCAGCTGGCGCGCGGATGTAGTAGCGCTGCCTAGTGGCCGTGTTGGTCTGCCCGTTGGCTGCTGAGTGGGGCTCATGATACTCGGCCAAAAGTTCTGCGGTAGCCGGGGAGGGGAAGCCAGCAGATCGAAATCGTCCCCGGTCATCCTCGCTGGTGGCCGGTCGGATCCCGAGCTTGTCCAGTTCGCGCTTCCCGGGATGGGTGGCGTCGAAGTTCGAGTCACTGGACGATCTCCGACGACGGCGACCATTCCATCGGAATGAGGTGTGCTTAGAGGCTGGGCGCGGTTCGGCAGATTGTGAACGGAGCCAGTAGTGGTGGTGGTGCGTATGCACACAGACTCTGCTGCCTCGGTTTCCTTGCGTACTGCTACAGCCCTGGCCCTGCCCCCCAGATCCTGACTGATGGTCTCCAAACCCTCGATCAGGGTATCCACCCACTCGTCGTCCGCGGAATTGACCTCCACGTCGAAATTCAAGGACTCGATTTGATTGTTGACTGACCAGGTTCGGAGGACGGCTGACGGCTGGGTCTCCTCGTTTATGAGCTCGCGGGAGTGATTTTCCACGCGCTTGTCTTTGTTCTGGCTGGAATTCTCGCTGTTGGACCGCAACCGGCCGGGTATCAAGGGTGTGGCTGGCGAGGCTGTCGTCTTTGTCTTCGGCTGGGATGGGCTCGTTGTAGCTACGTTTTCGGTCTCGTGGATGAGGGAGCTGGGTTCCATGCCTGGCGGAGTCGCGCCGATGAAGCTCTCTGGGAGTGACATGTTTTTGGGTTTGTCGGGTGGGACCTCCCTTGTTAAGGTCCCTTGGCTGCCGTGAGCTGTGATTTCCGTCTCTGGGTTGATGGTGGGATAAAGACGACTGGGAATATCTATTTCGATCGTCGACGATGGGGTCGGTCTGGCTATTTTGCTTCTGGCCGCGACGGTTGATGTGGCCGACGCGGTCCCTGTCCCTAAAAAAGGCAACTCGTCGGCTGGGAGGTCAGAGTTGATGCCCTGGGCAGTGCTTCCAGAGGAAGCCAACTCGGAGACAGGAAGTTTGCTTCTCAAGTCTCCTATGTGGTGCGGCTTCCGTCGAATGGTGTCAACGACTTGAGACGTGTCTCCTAAATTTTCAAACTTCGTTTCCTTTTCCCTCCCTTTACGAGTGACTGAAGTCGCCCTGGCCTTGATGGCGTCCTCGTGCTCGTGAAGGCTTGGGGCTGGTGGCGATGTGCGCTCAGAATTTCGACGACTGGGAGTATGGATGACGGTGTCAGAGGAGTCTTGAGCAGGCTCGAAGGGAGACTCATGCAGGGCGGCTTGGTTTCGAGAAGTCGACTTTTCTGCCTTCGAGGGCGTATATCCTGCAGGGTCTTCACTGGTGACTTCCACACCTTGTACCGGAGAGATGTTGGTGTCAGCTGCTAGTGAAACTTCCAGTGTTAATTCACTATGCGGTCCAAAGCAAGAGATACTGTCGACTGACCAGACCGGCCGCTCCTCAGGGACATTATGGGGCTCAAATCTGGTTCCGCGGCAGATGACCATGCGTTGTGATGTTTGTGCCATCTGACACGCCGCTGGAAATCCCGGATGGCGGCCTTCTTCGATTCATCCTTTTCCCACTTTCCCCGTTCCTTCTGTAGCTTGGCAAAGCTAGGCTCCTCGTCCTGAGCTTGCTTGGCTTCCGTGAGCGCGGCACGGATGGCGGGGGCTCTCGGAACCATCCTTCTTAGCTCCTGAGATGACGATCCGCTGCGTGAGCTGCTCGTCGGTGTTACAACGTCCAGTTCTCCAGTTTGAGGGTTGATCCCTTGGACGCCAAGGTAGTCACCGCTCTTCTTGAGGCTGCGACGGAGACGGTGAGCCTTTCGCTTGGTGCTGAAGACATTCCTGGGATCGGCAATTCCTTGAGGTTGGACTTTGTCCACCGCGGTATCTAGATAGCCATCATGGTCGACTTCGATGCTAGCATTACCACTGATCCTATCATTGCCCCGTGAGTCTTCGCGGTGACGCAAGCTGGATATCTGCCAATGTGATTCGTCTACTGGGGGTCTGGAAAATAGGGGGCTTCGGTTCTTTTCGCGACTGCCTCGGATGGGCTCGTATTTTCGGGGCGGGGAGATGGGAAAGTTCCAAGAACTTGAGGCAATGCTATCCGACCTTAGCCTTCTACGTGGCCGGGCTCGGCCTGATTGAGGCGGCGAAGGAGACGTCTTGCCGGACCGTCGCTCCCAGTAACCATGCCTGCGGAGTGTGCCTCCACGTTCAGCCCTATTACTAGGGAGCATTTTGGTGAAGAAACTCGCGAAGGAAGAAGAACGGGGCCGGCATTCCGGCATGGTAGCAGTCGCTTCGGTAGCCTGTTGAACTGTTGGTTCACCTGCCAGGGACAGGGGCGAGGCCGGTAGCGACCAACGCCCTTCTTGAACCCCTGGCATGTTCGACAGAGGGTAGGAGATATTCAAGTGAGTGTACGACTGGTGTGTTTAACCCGACCCCTGAAACTGCCTCTCGGCGGCTGAGGGTTGGGGTGTTGGTCCGCTCAGGATGTTTCTGATCCCGTGAACATACAGCAAGACGAGAAGGGAAATATTGGTAGGTGAGGTGGTTATGGATAGGAGAGTGATAGAACGTTTGCTTGATATCGATGCCATGAGATGCCATGTTTGCAAGGCCAGCAAGTGTAGGAAGGTGCTCTCCAACAAGGGAAAGGAAAAGGGAAGGGGCTTCTCACAGACACTGTCACGGGAATTTCAAAAACGCATTTGCTAAATGGGTACATTAGGTGCCTACCTAGGTAGGTACCTAGGTAGGTATCCCTGGCCTCTATTAACTTCCATCCTCCTGCTCACAGGCCGGGCACTCTCGAAGATAGGTAGGTACCTAGCTTCCATGTCTAGGGATCACAGCGCCCGTGGCCCATGTTGCACATATAAGGTGATAACCAAACGCCAAAGATGCTCTCGGAAGTAACCATGCCGGCTTATCCACCCGCTCCTAGACCCATCGATAGGTTTTGGTCAATGCTGTATAAAGAGCTCCGACCAGTGACTTGAGTCTGCCCGCAAAAGCCATCCCACGCAGGGGATAATTTGCTAGAAAGGTGCGTTCTTCCGCATGGATAGGAGAATAGAACCCCATCTTGGGCGGGTCATCTCATTCCGAACTGGTGACGCACTGAGGTCGGGTACTATGCATGTCCTTTAAGGTGGCGTCTGCGCCCCGTCTTGATATCGCTCCCAAGGACACTCTATTGGAGCGCACTTCGGAATTGAATCTCAAGACCACAGCGAAGGGAACCGTTCTTGACTGAATCGGGCGGGTTTGGCATTCGCAAAAGGGTTGGCGGACTGTTGCTGATCCGATTGACTGGCGCCCCTTCTATGCTCTTTTAGGGGGCTGCTCTGCCTAACAAGTCTTTCAGCAGTGGCGCGTTGTTCGAGGGCTGCCATCTCCCGCGAGTTCCGGGGTAACGACATTCCGGGGTTCTTCATATCTCCCATGCTAGTCGCTTTCTTGAGCGGAGAGTTGGCATGCGAGTAGACCCCAAGGCTCCCCCCCAAGCTAGTCCCTGAATTTGCCGGCCCAGAACCTGTGGCCGCAGCCGAGGCCCCTGTTGAGAAAGATGAGATGGATGATGGTGGAAGACTCTGCCGGAGTCCGGAGGACCTGAAATTCTTGGTAGCCGAGGTGAAGGAGTCTGAGTACCGGGGCTTTGTGGAAGGAGTGAATAAGGTAGGACTCATGACATTTCGGGCCTGAGTATGCGTACTATTGTAATCGGGATCGAAGTGTTTCGCATAGTTGGGGTTGGGGTTTGTCCGGAAACCTCGACGAATGAGCGTGGATGGGGTGCCAACTTCTACTTCTTCCTCTTCAATGCCCAGCTCGCTCATCGAGATTTGGGTGGCCACTTCCCGGACCACTGGGTGGAGTCTAGGATGGACATACTTGGTGTCATACTCGTGCATGACTTCCTTCTGTATGACTGCCGTGTCCTTGTTCTGCTGTGAATACCGAGAGTGTAGTAGGAGAAGCTGGGCTGACAGCATGGCTTGAAGAAGGAGGCAGTTGAAGACGCTGACACTTGGCCGCGGATCCAGAGGTGTTAATGGCAAGAAGAGCATATAAACCAATACATGGCCAGGACTGAAGAAGCAAAGGAACTGCATCGACAGGGGCAGAGGATCCCAAACTGCTATCTCCCACACGTCGCGGCTCTTATCCGGATGAGCTCGGGACTCTGCTGTTTCTGAGCCGATAATATCTGACAGGAGCCGCAACGGGGAGGAAGACACGGGCGAAGAGTCGACCCGAACACGGTGGGCTGAAGGGGTGGACGGGCCGTGCTCGACGTTTGTTTCGAAGAGACGGTAATGACGAGATCGCGTCATGGTATACAAGGCATTCAAGCCCGACACCAAGATTAAGATCCAAACCAGGGGTTGGATCTAGGCTCATGTTAGCAAATGATGTGCAGTCGAAGATATATGCGACATACGAAGAAAGATCCCCAGGACGAGCCTCCACTGTCGCCAAACACATCATCAACCGTGGATGACCTTCCAGAGTTTGCGCGAGCCAAAAGGAAGACGAAGCTCGCGGCGAGGCCGAACTGAATGCCAATGGACTTTGAATCCCAGTCCCGAGTCTCGATCTCCTCTGAGAGCCACAGCAGGAAGTCGAAGGGGTTCAACTTGGCCTTGATCCGCTCGGAGAGAGGCTGCCGCCGTACGAGTCGCTGGGGTCGGGGCATTGTGACTCGTATGCCGACTGGAAGAGCCGTCACATTAGCTAGAATAATGGCGAGGACTGAGATCGGCGCCGGCGAGAGGTAGAGGCAGCAGTTGAGTGGTTGTTGGTTTCCGTGTTGGAAACTCTAATAAGAGAGACGGGAGCTAGCTTGCATTTTGAACATTCCTTCGTAGGTACTGACAGGGGTGCCGCGCTAAAGGAGCCGCGACCTGGTGACGCGCCTCAGAGGGTACTGACTGGTACCTCAGGCGCTGCTCCCGGGTTAGTGGGGTCAAAGCTCCACAGGTTACCTACCTACTTGCCTGCCTCCATTCTCTATCTCCTCTGCGACATACCTAAGGTATCTATCTCATATCCAGCATCTTGCAGCCCTTACATTCTCCTCAAACAACCCAAGCCCCTGAACTTGCAGGACGCGATGTCAGCCACACAGGCAGACTATAAGGACAGGCAGTTTCTTGCAGTGATCGGAGACGAGGTAAGGAGAGCGAATGCGCCATAGCCGCACTGCCACTGATGGGAGGTACAGGATTCCGTCACAGGATTGCTGCTCGCCGGCATCGGTGTGAGTTTATTCCTTCGAATTTGGGTTGGCAGTTTTGTTAACTGTCCCTTGATAGCATGTCACTCCTCCTCCAGATTCCCAAAAGAACTTCCTCGTGGTAGACAGCAAGACCGATAATGCTACAATTGAGGCTTGTTTCGACAGGTTCACAACGGAGCGGAAAGATATTGGCATTGTCTTGATCAACCAACACGTTAGTGCCCCTTCCCCAGCCGCATCTCGGGCATCACTGAATGGCTATAGGTCGCGGATAGGATACGGTATCGAGTGGACACTTACACGGCAGCCTTCCCTACCATACTGGAGATCCCAAGTAAAGACCACCCGTATGACCCAGACAAGGACAGTGTTTTGCGGAGAGTCCGCCGACTGTTTGGAGAATGAGTACGCAAAGCCGGAGACCCTTGAACTGGGTAGTCCGGGTTTACGCGCCCTGCTTCAAGAGGCCAGATGGGATGTGTAATCTCGATGGGTATTCATTTTGAATTTAGGGCGGAAGATAAGAGTAATGTCCTAGGATACTCATTACTGCCGCCATGAGCTTGCGTATGCTTTCAGACAACGATGCAGACTAAGAACTGGAAGAAGACGCAGCAAACTTCAAGAAACCAATAATGCAGACAACAAACTGTCAACAGGCAACAGATAACACCCCATCCAATGCTATGTTACTCTCATCATGGCTCATTCGCCTAAAACCCCCAGTGCTCTTGCAGGTCGAACCGTTAAAGGTCAAAGAAACTAGAGCTGTCTTTTCTTCCGAAGACAACAGTTGCTTTCAGGCAGGTGATGTGCTCGTCGTCGAGGGTATAGACATCCGCTTCAACAGTGTATTTGCCCTGGGAAACCAGGTTAGTCACGTCCGTTTGTAAACGTATATCAAGACAACTTACAGGTGGGATTTCCTTGGGGAGGTTGACGGCTTTCGTGATCGAAATCAAGCCTTTCTCGATCGGGCACTCGAGGTCGACATTCTTGATTTGCTCGCAAAGATCCGCCCTGGTATTGACGAGCCGAATCAGGCCGTATTTAACTTGCAAATTGACGTATGCTCCCTCCTCGATCGTCTCGTATACAGTGCCGACAGCGTTGATGATAAGTTCGGCACCACTAAAAGCCGTTGTCAGCAATTGATACAATGAGTCAACGTCTTCCCACCACTTACGCCTCTGGGGGGTTCGGCAGGAGATCAACGCTCTCAATCTTAATGATATCGTCGGCCCGATCTTCGCGGCAGTACTTGAGCGGAGACTTGCCAGGTACGTCTAGGTCGTCGTCGTCGACGCTTCTCTGGACATTCCTCTGGTCACTGCGGTATAGACGGAGGCCGCTGGCTGGCGCCAAGCCAAATGCCAGGGCGATGACAGCGGCAAACCTCATCGCTGCACAGATAGGTTATAGACTGTGCGATTGTATCGAGACCGGAGCAAGATTATGGCCGATGGGGATGAAGAACTGTTATGGGAGGAGCACGAGTGACAGGTAGGTATTGAAGTTGGCAGAGGTGGCGCTGAACTCAGGAGGCTGAGGAGAGTGCTGGTAGCCGCACGTCATGGGACTTGCCCGCCTTTCCACTGAACCTTGATGATAAGACCGCCTGGACGCCCCAGTTTTCTTTATCAGGTGACGGGGAAAGTGACTGGAATGGAAGGACCCGACGAAGCTAGCAGGTCTGTACCTTACCTAGCTAGGTACGTACCTCCCTTGAAAAATTGCGTGTGCGCACAGACCACTTTTATTCCACTATATAAGACCCTGTCACCAGGCAATATTTGTTTGGTTTCTCTTCTTTTTTTCTTCATACTTACCTTGATCGGGGGTCGCATGCTCATGAATATGTGATTCCAAGTTGGAAAGCCTGCATTGCACGTCGTGGCGCTCACCGTCTTGAATTGTCCTTCGGGGCCATTCCGGTCGCAATTTTTGATGCAAACACTTTTCGTTGTGCTCATCGCCTTGTGCTGTGACACGAAGAAGAGGGTAGATAGTAATTAGTAGCCAGGACGACGCGGCTTCTACGTCTTCTGGATTGAACTCATACATGCTGCGTAGACATCGCCGAGCGGGATTTCAATCTACAAGTGTTGTTTCACTCGGGTCTTGGTTTACATTGGTGCTGCTGCCAGTTACGTAGGACACTGGGTCCTTTCCTGGTCCTTCCCTGTCCTCGAACAGCTGCATTTTCTTGTTGCCTTCTCCTGAGCAGGTTGTTCCTAAAAGCCTGGCATAGCCACAACCTTATGCAAGGACAAATTACAATCCCCAACTGGATCAGCGCATGACATCTGATTCGACGAAGGCAAGAGGGAAAAACCACCCAGCTTTTCTAGGCCTAGCGTACGAACAATGAATTGATCTAGTCGGGATTATCCCGGCCTAAAACCTGTGCGGCTGGCTCTCCGAGGACGGGAAGTTGAACCCATGAAGGTGCCGAGGAGCGGATTAATAAGGAAGAGTTCTCATTTTCGTTGAAGAGGCATGTGCTGTCTCAAGCGACACCTCGGACCTGGCCGCTTTTTAGCAGGATTCCGACGTACCTCTGTTAGGTATCTTAGGTAGGTAGTCCCTGACTGTGCCCGTTGGTCGTGACGTATCCTCGGCAGTGGAGCTCTCCATTCTATCGATGATGATGGCACGATCACGAAGGTACCCTGTACTTCTTCCGGATGCATTGAGCCTGCAACCTGAGCCGAGGTGTTGACCCGTACGCTGTAGCCAGTCACCTCACCAAGTCACCTTAGCTTGCCGGTGCCTACAAGTGTCGGTTTCGGCTACTGCTAAAAGTGCGTCTCAAATTAGAACCTTAACATAGAGCGCCAAGGTTACAAGAATTTGCAGGCAGGCAACAAAAGCCCAATTCTGCGCCGTCACGTTTTTATTCACAGGTTGCTCAACTCATCAGCCTGTTTCTCAGAGCCAAGTTGTTTGCACCCCTCTTCATCCCTTCCCCGGATGGAAATGTTTTCACATCATGGCGGCCAACCTTGCTCCCAGCTCCTAGTTTGTATTTGTCCGTCTCCATCTCTTCCCTCACTTCAAGCCTTCAACTGATAACGGCCCCGATGGTGACCGCCATTGCTTTTGCTTTTCCCTGCTGCATTTCAACCCCCTTCCCCTTAGCTTTCCTTGTTCTTCACCTTATTTTTCACCTTATTTATCACGTTTACAAAGCTTGATATGGCTCCCACAGAAGTCGTTTGCTCAGCCATGACCGGATTGCACATCTGGCTTGAGCAGGCGGCCGTAGCGGCAAATTTACGAAGAATATCGACGTCCACCGCCTTTCCTAGACCCACTCCGACCATGTTTGAGATGCCTAAGGAACCCACGCATGTACTCAGGTACCTCTGCCCGGACGCAGAAAATCTGAGGTGGTGGAGCGCGCTACTACAGTGGTAAGGTAGGTAAGCAGGAGCGATGGGCGAAAGAGTGGCAGCAGCGGCAAACCGCAGCTGATTGGCCCGTTCAGTGGCTGCAACTTTTGGTTTGGCTGTGGCCTCCTGGCACCCTCGCTGTGGCACTCGCTCCCTCTCTCTCTCTCTCGCACCCGCGCCGCTTATCGTGTCGGCAGTAGGCCCCCTCCTACTCCTCTCCTGCAAATCTCTTCCGTCTCTTCATCTTCATCCATTTTCCAAGCCTTCGCGCCCCAGATCTCTATCCCCGCAATCCCTCGAGATTTCCTTGAACACATCCATAATCGCCGACCTCATTCCACCCAATCCGCTTCAAATTCCTTTGTTCCTCGAGGCGCACCTCGCCTCGCCATCCGTTAGTGTGCGATCCCTAATTTGTCGTGACGGCTCGCTCGACTTCTTGCTGGCACCACACGATTTCTCAACAACCGATCGACCCGACAAGATACCTGGGGTCAATCCCCCATTTTGCGCAGCGGAATTCCTGTCGCCACACGATCCGCTTCTCTCTCCCACAACTCGTCGTCCTCGCGACCTATCCTCCTTCGTCTCCTTCGAGTTGGCCACAACAACCAACGCGATTCGCGTCGAGCGCTTGTTCACATTTGCTGGCTGATTCGGGCTCGACGCATGACACAACCCTTCTCATCGTCTCCCTTACCCGAACTTTTCAGTCTCGTCTGTGTCCTGGTGGATCGCGCGTCAGCATGCCATCCAGACCTCAAAGCTAGCCAACTCACAAGCCCTCCGACATCAACCCATCATCGCGAGGTCCAAGATTATGACCGACAAGTTACCGCCACTGTCGACGCAGATCGTGGCTCCCAGTCAGACCGCCTTCCCTACTCCCAGCGCCGTCCCTGCACAACAAGGTGCCACAAAGCAGGAGGTTGTAGAGGAAGAACCGTACACTATCAAGTGTATCTGCAACTACTCTGACGATGACGGAAACACGATCTATTGCGAAACGTGCGACACATGGCAGCACATTGAGTGTTTTTACCCAGACAATGTCGAAGATGCCCTTCGCGAGGATTTCGCCCACTCGTGCGCCGAGTGCAAACCTCGAGCCCTTGATCGACAAAAAGCGCATGAGCGTCAAACATCCCGCCTCACAATGCCTGCAGTGGAGGAAGAGACGACCGATAAGAAGCCGAAACGACCCCCGACAAAGAGTCATAAGAAAAAGCCGAAGCCGACGGACCTACAACTGAATGGTCATTCTTCGAATCCCGAGAATTCCAAGCTCCCCGGCTCTCACGACCATCCTCCATCCAAGAAGTCGAAGCATTCACACAAGGCGAGTCACTCGATCAGTTCCCAGGCGCCGAAGCGAAGTCCCTCATTAAACACCAACGGCCGAGTCAATCAAGGCCATCCGCCAAGCCCTGCGACCACGCCTCCAGATCTCCCGAGTGACTTTAAAATCCACAACTATTCGCCCGGCTTTCTCTCTCTTTACGACGAACAAGGTGTTCAAATCGTCCAAACCAATTCCTTCGTTCGCTTGGAGATCTCCAACACAATGTCTGTTTGGCTGCGAGATCCAGAGAGAATGCGACGAGAGACTGGTCTCGAGTACAACGACGTATTCCAAAAACTTCCCAAAAACATCAACTCCTTGAAACGAAACCTCCACATTGAACACAAGAAGGTTCCCTTTACGCCTCCGGGTACAGTCCTTCACTGGCAGTACCTCACCGCTCCATCGGCAATCGAGAAGGATGTCCCATTGATGGAACTGAATGGCCAAATCGGGTTCCAGAAGGATTATTGCAGCGACGCGGCCAACAGATGGGACGAGTTGACTTCGCCCCTCCCCTTCGTCTTCTTCCATCCAATGCTCCCCCTCTACATCGATACCAGAAAGGAAGGATCCCGAGCGCGTTACGTTCGCCGAAGCTGCAAACCAAATGCTGTGTTGGACGCGTACCTCTCCGAAGGATCTGAGTATCATTTCTGGCTCGTCAGTGACCGTCCCATTGCAGCCAAGGAGCAAATCACAATCCCGTGGGACTTCCGTTTTCCGATGAAGAACAAACCTCGCATGTTGCGTCTGCTTGGGCTTGGCGATGAAGAAACGGCCACACAGGGCGAACCGGAAATCGATGATCTCGAATATCAAACGATGGCCAGCTGGGTTCATCTTGTCCTCTCTGAATTCGGGGGTTGCGCCTGCGATCTAGGGCGCGACTGTGCGTTTGCCCGATTCCATCGAAACTATTTTAGCGGCGCGCAGACACGATCCAACGCACCCAAGAAGAAGTCGAGAAAACCGAAGACCCATCACGCCATTTCGCCTACAAGTACGGGTCATGCCACCAACAGCCGGGCTGCTAGTGAAGGTCATTTGGACGACGTCACAGAGATTGATGACAGATCGCAGTCGGGCTCGTCACGAAGCAAGCCACCGAGCCGTGATATGACGCCTGCACGGCAAGGATCCTTCGATACCCTTGGTATACTCACCGAACCCACTGATAGAGACAAGCGAAAAGTCGCCATGGTCGAGGATTCCTTCCGGCGCATGGAACAGCAGCAACCTCCCCGTAAGAAGAAACGCGTATCCGACGGCAGTGGCAACTCCAAGGCGAAATCCACAAGTCGCGGCTCCTCAAGTTCCCATGGGCCAAACCAGCCAAATGGCGTTGCGGAGCGGCGATATGTCGACGCAGGCACTTCAAGAAGCAAATCAACCTCGCCCCTTAGTGTGGCGTCGCCTCTTGTCCCAACTATCCACAAAGCAGCATCACCGGGCCATGGTTCTGTTCCGCCCCGCTCCCGCCAGCCCTCTGTCACGCCGCGGCCGAATTACTGCGACGCTGCTGTTCAGACGGACCCTATAGAGGGAGAATGGTATAGCGGGATACATCCGGCACCAAAGCCCAAGCGCAGGATAGTTTCCTTGTCGAAGCGACTCCTAGATAATCGGCATCGACTGCGCTTGGACGACGAGGAGAAGCTGAAGGAGAAGGTCCCTGTTGTCCAGGAATGCCCGGCAACAGCGACGGGTATCTATTCGCCAACTGTTGAGCAGAAGCCATCGTTCGAGTCGCCGTCGTTCGGCAAGGATGCGGCTGGGCCAGTTGATTCGACCACTCTGAGCTTAGGCGGCTCTAATGACACTCCGATGCTCGATGCGCCGCTAAGGCCCCCCAAAGAGATGAAACCCCCCTCTGCTCTCGCGGCAAGTCTGGCCAAGCTCAAGTCGCCAGACTTGAGGGTTCAAATGCCTTCGGGCCCAGCGTTTGGGAGCCCCACATCGGCTATTTCGACAGCCAGTACACCGGCGTCTGCTGGTAGCACCATGATGCAAACACCCTTCTCAGCCAACAATCTCCCTATTCCGTTGGGAGCTGCTGCTACCAATGGCACTGCTGTGAACCCCAGCCCCGTTAAGAAGAAGATGAGCCTCAGCGACTATAGGAGCAGGATGAATAAGGTCCAAGCTGCGAGACCGTCGGTCGGGACAACGATGTTGAAGCCTCCGTCGGCAAATGATGACGAGCCCAAGTCGGCTACCAGCCTCGACACACCAGGAGCCAGGGACTCGCCAACTGCCGAGAAGGCAATGATCGACACCGGGGCGTCGACGAACGGGGTACCAGCCCCTACTTTGACGGGCAGTAATGTGTAAAAATATATATGGGGGTGGAAGTGCCACCGGGTGTTTGGGTTTGCTTTTTCGGTGGCGACGCGATGGATTTCTTTGAAGCCACCATCTCACCCTACATATCCTATTGCTTTCGTTTGATGATGAATAGCTGGGCGTTGGGCTGCAGTCGGTCTCCCCGGGGTCTGGTTTGTTCGCGTATAAAACCTTTCACTCCAAAATGGTGGGCGTTGGCATGATGACGGCTGCTTTCTGGCGTTGGGGAAGGAATGGACCGGCAAGGGATATTGGCACGCCCATCGAGGCGGGGGCCCGGGCTACGAGCCAATGGAATGGGATTGTTTTCCAACCTTTTGGAGTCCAAAACCTCAGCCATCTATCTCGCCATGTTTCATTTGCGTTGTGGCAAATGGAAGTTGGCTTTCGTAGTGTACGAGTTTTGTTACGATGATATAGCCTCAAACCTGGTTCAAGGATGAGTGGCAGGGACAGGCAGGCCAACACCGTTTTGTATTTCTAGACAAGACCCATGCTGAGTGCAATGAAAAGAAGCTCCAGGATGGAATGTCAGAGCTCTGTAACCAAAGTATAAAATGGGGCCATTATGAGAATCTGACATGCTGATGCAAACTATGCCCGACTTTGAGATCGATCTTGGGATAGGTACCTAGGTACCGAGCCTGCCTTGCAAGTGGTGGAAGAAAAAACGCTCGCACGAGTTACCTAGCTCACTAACTTCTCTAGGTCATTCCTTAATAATACTCGGAGGGAAGCCACAAGAGATTGTTAGTGGATACTTTTAACCTATTAGTAAACAGGGTAACTCGTGCGAGGGTTTTTGTTTCCACCACTTGGCTTGCTAGGGTCACAAGGCTGAGGCGTCGGTTAATTAAGATAGGTATCTCCACACTAGAGCTGCGTCACTCAGGATAGCTGGCCTTTTTTGACTTCGCATTGCCAGCCTTTGTCCTAGCTCACCCAAATGCGACAGGCCAATTCTCGTCAAGTCAATTGTTGGCAAGTCATGCGAATTCTTTTCAGGCCTTAATAATGGGCATTCATTCGCTGCCAGAACCATGACTGCCACCATCTCAGCTCTGACAAGGGCTGAGACTTTGAGTCTCTTTTCGATAACAGCAGCATGCGTTGGGATTCTCGCCAACACCCTCCAGGGCGATGGTGCCCCCCTTGCCGCATCCCTTGCCCTCAGCGGAATAGCCTTTACCGCAACTTATTCGATGATTCGATGGCTAGGCCCGACATTTATCAAAGCCGGATTGAAAGGGGTGGACATGAGCAAGCATCACAAGAGAGATATACCTGAATGCATGGGGGGTGTATGCGCCGTGGTCTATCTGCTTGTGGTCATTGTCTTCATCCCCTTTCCATTTTACAAGGATATAGTGGCAGCCACGAGTGGTGGAGGCAACCGGGATGTTGTTCTGGAGGTGCAGCATGTTCAGCAAGGGCGCTTCTTACATCGGTTCCCTCATAGCAAGGTTTGTTTCTTTCCCCATGGCTACCTAGGTCCTTCTGCCAATGTTACTGACTTGCCTACCTTCCATAGCTCGGCGCCTATCTGTCTGCCATCATATCCCTCCAGTCTATCGCCCTTCTGGGAATTGGTGATGATCTTTTCGACATCCGCTGGCGCCACAAGCTCTTCATTCCCGCATTTTCCTCGATCCCTCTCCTCGTCATCTACTTTGTCGATTTCGGAGTCACCTCGGTCGTGGTGCCCATTCCCCTACAACCGTACCTGGGCGAATTGTTCAACATCGGCTCTCTCTACTACGCCTACATGGCCTGTGTTGCCATCTTCAGCCCCAATAGCATCAACATCCTCGCGGGAATCAACGGGATCGAGGTGGCTCAGTCTATAGTCATTGCGCTTCTTCTGGCCCTGAACGACTGTCTCTACCTCCTCACCCCCTACCCCCATCCGGCGACCGATTCCCACCTGTTCTCCCTCTATTTCTTGCTGCCATTCCTCGGGGTTTCCTTTGCGCTACTCTGCCACAACTGGTACCCGGCACGAGTATTTGTGGGAGACACATACTGCTATTTTGCGGGGATGGTGTTTGTGGTTGTCAGCATTCTCGGTCACTTCAGCAAGACCCTCATACTACTCCTCATACCCCAGATCTTCAATTTCATATACTCGGCCCCGCAGCTCTTTGGTCTTGTTCCCTGCCCTCGACATCGGCTGCCGCGCTTCAACGCCAGGACCGGGTTACTCGAGGCCAGCGTTACTCTGTGGACTCCGGAGAGGCAGCCCAAGCGCCCCGTCGCTTGGGGGCTGCACCTGCTCCACAGGCTGAGGCTGCTCCGGGTGACAGCAGATGCTGAAGGGAACATTGTGGAGACGAGCAACTTCACCATCATCAATCTGTGGCTCGTGTGGCGTGGCCCGTTGCGGGAAGACCGCCTGGCAATAGAGCTCACGGCCATGCAGACTCTGGTTGGCTTACTGGGCTTGTTTGTTCGGCACCGTTTGGCGTTATTGGTCTTTAAGGAAGACAATCTAGGTGTCTAAGGCTGCCATCCATTACCGGGAGATAGAGGGAATTTCGCTCGGTACGGCGATACATCGTCGAAAGGTGCTCATACCAGTGTACATAGGTACATGCATAATTAAGCATGCCAGGCACCAATGAACATAAAGATTGCACGTGGCTCTGTGGCCAATCAGGAAAGATTAGATGCACATTCTACATACGTACATAGGTGGGGGCTGAAAGGAGCTTGGGCCCAGTCCTCCTCTCCGACTCTGTTGATTTGGCATCACCTCATCATTCCTCTCCCAAGGGGAACCCCATACGAGTTCCGTCTTCAAGAAGAGGAAAGCGTGCCGAGATAACCAGTATCATGGCCCGCCTGCTAGCCGACCCGCCGATCGCGGAGGACCCGTCGGGCTTCGACCTGATCATCAAGCACGGGCACCAGGACCTCGTGCAGGCGGTGGCGTTCAACACGTACGGCGACCGGTGCGCGACGGGGTCCGTGGACGGGCGCGTCCGCGTGTTCAACCGCCACCGCGAGGGCGTCTGGCGCCACTGCGACAACTGGACCGCCCACGGCGGCGAGATCCTCGACCTGCAGTGGCTGCCCCCCACCGTCTACCCGAGCCTGCTCGCCAGCCTCGGCGTCGAGGGCCGGTTCAAGCTCTGGGCCGAGGACCCGGCCGCCGTGGCGGGCCGGAGATTTGCCAGCGCGGCCCGCAGCGGCGGTGGTGGCGGTGGAGGGGGTGGGGGCCCGGGATCCGGGTCCGGGGCAGGGTCGAGCCGGGATGCGCCCTCCAAGGCAGCGTTCGAAATGAGGTCCGGAAGCGGCGCGCCGTTCCGGTCGTTTGCGATGAAGCACGACGAGGAGACGAGGCACACGTACCTCGCGCTCCTGGCGGCGGACGGGACGCTGTCCGTCTTCGAGAACGAGCAAGTCGAGAACCTCAGCAACTACGCCCACCTCGACGAGTGGGACGTCTTCGATGGGCCCGGCGGCGGGGCCCACGCAGCTGGTACCGGTGGCGGTGGTGGTGGCGCGACCGGAGGCGCGGGCATGGGGGGTTCGTCGTCGTCGCAGATGACGTCGGGCGGCCCGCCGGCGCGCGGCGAGGAGACAGCGTTCCGGGTGCGGTTCGACCCAAACCCCGAGGTGTGCTACACTGCGCTGCGGGCGGGTGTGCCGACGGACGCGCTGGGCCTGGTGGTGGCGGCGATGGATGGCGTCAAGATCTACCGGACGCGCGACACGCTCAAGTCGGTGCTGGGCCTGTCGACGCCCGGGAGGGAGTTCTACCTCGCGGCCGAGATCGGCGGGCATAGGGGCCTCGTGCGGGACGTCGCATGGGCGCCGGGGAACATCCGCGGGTACGACATCATCGCGACGGCGTGCCAGGATGGGTTTGTCAGGGTGTTCAGGCTGGATACACCGGTGGCGGGTGGAGACGGGCGGGGGGGCTGGTCGGCTGCGGGGCTGAAGCAGCACGCTAAGAGGGCGTCTGAGGATGACGCCGGCAGGCAGGGCGGCTTGTCGGAGGGGCAGTCGGGCATAAGGGCCGGGCTGCACAGGTCGCGCACGCACGAGGACCGGCGGCCGAGCGGGCAGCCGGGGCAGATCAGGCATGTCGTCAAGGAGATTGCCAAGCTGGATAGCCACCGCACGCCGGTCTGGAGGGTGGGGTTCGACGACGACGGCCAGATCCTGGGGAGCGTCGGCGACGATGGGAGGCTGATGTGTTACCGCCAGACGTCCGATGGTTCCTGGGCGAAGAGCTCCGAGCTTTCCATGGTGAAGATGAAGATGGCTGCTCCCTAATCCCCGGCAGTCTTACCACCTCTGGCCGAAGCGTCAAGGCAAATTCTATTCAAGCGGATAGGGGTCGTTCTCCGGCCCCGCTACGCAACAAACGACAAATTGGCTGGGCTATTCCCAGCGGCAAGACGTCGTCAAGGCGGAATGTGAAATGTATAACATTTTCTACAATTCAAGAGAGGGCTTCTCTCTTACGAGGGGATTGTACGACTACGAGGATGGATGAGGAGTATTCGGTGGTCCTTGGCGTCAGGCTTCACGAACATGGGACTGCGACGAGGAGAAAATAGACGGATTCGTGCGTGCCCCAGAGCAATCAACCTCGCCGTCGGGCAACCCCTTCGCGGTCACACTATGTAAATGCTAGCGTCCCTATACGCGTCAATTTCTTGCATCAGCCAGGCCGTCTGCTGCGTCGTAAGGGGATCGCGCCACGAAGCAATGGACTTGAGCAATCAGCCCTGCGACAAGTCGGGCGCACGCTCGGGCGCCGGGTCAACTTGTTTAATAGATGCCAGTTTATCTGAATGGATTGGTGGAATATTAAACCTCTCAACGTCCTAAATGGAAATGGGTCTTGAAGCAGGCTGGATGTATGATCTCGATCCAGAGCATGAATTACAAATCAGGTGGGAGCAGAACAGTGGTCAGGCGGGACTATAGAGATATGTGATACCAGCTATAGACGGACCTATTTATCTACTATTGTAGGTCCCAAATGGCCGAATTCAGAGCCTTGCCGAGCCCCTGAACTACCTACTATAGTAGTGTCTGACTACCTGGCTCGGTTTTCTATACCGACCTTACGCGACTAACCACCCAACACACGCACAACCCTAGTTAGGCCATTTGGTCTGCAAAAGACACCTTGACAGCCAAGGAAAACCAGCGGATGGGGAATATGAAGACGTCTCTTATGCCGAGCGGTAGCGACAGCCACGACAGAATCCACTCAAGGCCTGCAGCGGCCCATGAAGCGAGGGTACAAGCAGCAGTCTCTGACTGTGTGCTGCTTGCACAGCCAAGCGAGGAAACGCTCCAGCCCGAGACCGTAGCCGCCGTGGGGAGAGCTGCCATACCTGTTGCGAATCTATTAGCCACTAAAACTGCCCGACGCATTGATTTGCTGTTACTTACTTCCTCTGGTCCGTGTACCAGTAGTACGGTGCGGGATCCAGGCCCTCACGCTTGAATGCTGCCATCAGCGCCTCGTGGTCGTCCAGCCTCATCGAGCCGCCGACAATCTCGCCAACGCCGGGCATCAGGCAGTCCACGCTCTCGGTAACACGAGGATCTGCCGGGTCCCTCTGCATGTAGAACGCCTTGATCTCCACGGGGAAGTGGGTCAGGAAGATGGGCTTGTTGATAATGTCCGTCATCCTGCGCTCGGCAGCCTCGGCAATGTCGTCGCCGAATGCGTGAGGGTTGCCGTCCTCGTTGAGGATCTCATGCTCCCGCAGCCACTCAATCGCATCTGAGTACTTCATGCGCAGGAAGGGCCGCTCCGGCACGCTGAATTCCGGGTTGAGGTGTTTGATGTATCCGGCAATGACGGGGTCGGCCATGACGAGCTCCAGCACACGGCAAATCATGTGCTCGATATGCGACAGGAGGTCGTCAAAGCTGATAAAGTCCAGCTCGGCCTCGACGTGCGTGTACTCGGACAAGTGCCGCCTGGTGAGGGACTTCTCCGCGCGGAAAGATTTCTCAATGCAGTACACGTCGCCCATGGACGGCAGGCAGGTCTCCAGGTAGAGCTGCGACGACTGGGTAAGGAAGGCGTCGGCACCGTAGTAATCGAACTTGAACAGAGTCGCACCGCCTTCCACCTGCGTCTGGACGAGCGCGGGAGGGCTGACCTTGCGGATCCTCGACTCCTTGTATGCCTGGTTGAAGGCGAACTCGACAGCGTCGCGGACAAGCATGACGGATGAGGCGACCTCGCCGCGGAGGGTGAGGTGGCGCAGGTCCAGCAAGGTGGAATGCTCTGCCCCTGGCTGGACCCTGTTGGTGATGGCGTCGTCACCTCCAGCAGCCCTCCAGTGCTTGGGGATCTTGTAGAAGTCGGCGTGCAGCTCGCGGTTGAGCGGGGCATGCGCGCCAGCAGGGACCTCGTACATCTCGCCGTAGATCTCCATGGTCGTCTCGCGTGTGAGAGTGACGGCTTCGTACGTCTTTGCCAGCTGGCCGCCAATGACGACCTGCATGAAGCCATAGCCGTCCCTCAAGGTGATGAACAGCATGTCCTTCTGTTTGCGCTCACGATGCACACGACCGACGACGCGCACTCGGGTGCCTTTACTTTCGGATTCCCCAGTGCCACGCAGCTTGATGTGGTCGCCAACCTCGTCCAGCTTGATCTTGACAGGCGCCGGGAGGCTGGTATCCTCCTCGATCACGATCTTCTTGGCCTCCTCGAGCGCCTTGTTACGCTCTTCGTCGTGCCTCTTGCGTTGGGCAGCGAGTTCCAGCTCGCGCGCCGCCTTCTTCTTCTTCTGCTCGTAGTTGTTGGCAGCCTTCTTCAACGCAGACTTTGCCGCGGGCTTCCACTCCTTCGCAGCTTCATCGTCAGCGCTTTGGGACTTGCGCGTGAGGTATTGGGCCTCGGCGGGGCGCTCGAGGTATGCGAATTGGAGTGTCTTGTATGGCGATTCCTCGGTACCCTGCTGGGTAGGCTCGTCTTTGCCGATATCTTCGTCGATATAGATGGTCGCCATCTTGAGCCCGTGGACGCTGCTGATCAGAAGTGGTTACAATAGGAGCAGATAGCGGCGGGAATGCGAAAGTGTTGTTGATTTTGAGTCATCAGGATGAATTGGATAGTGGGATGAGTCGTCGCTTATCTTATCAGAGCCCCGCGGTTTCAGGCACAGACCATACATAACCGTGCATTATGTAAAACTTCTACTAGGATAGTAGCACGTGATACGTGATCTGTACCCCTCTTCAACTTCTACAACACTAATTGCTCTCTTCAACACAGAACAAGCGATTATCCGCAGCTTCTCAACCAGGTCTACGCAGCCCGTCGTCGTACACTGGAGTAAAAAAAGGAATGGTGGAAATAAATGAGAAAAGACGAAAAGGAAAGGTAGGCTTCAGTTGTCGCTTATCCGCAATTGTTCTCATCAATCAAAATCAACATCAACATCAACATCAACATCAACACTGTGCCCTTAATCAATGCTGCGCCCCAGCATAGAATCCACAACTCACACGCAACCATGCGTTTTCAAGGTCTCAAGGACAGGATCTGGAAAGAGAGACTTTGTGAATCCTGCTATCGTTAACTACCTACCCATGCTAACTCGTAGCATGGCATCACCCTGTACCTAGCTTAAAGCTTCTGCATGGCGACGATATCAGAAGACTGGACGAAGTCCTCGATCTCCTCGATCTCCTCCTGGAGCTCTTCCAGGGAGATCTTCTCGTCCTCAACCACCAAGTTGATCTGCAGCTTCTTGATACCGAACCCGACAGCGACAAGCTTGGATGCACCCCAGACCAAGCCATCCTTCTCGATCCCACGGACCGCAGCCTCAAGACCGGCCATGTCGGTCTCGTCATCTGCAATTTAACTGGTCAGTATGCAAGTCGTACAAAACTGCAGGCTCTCCGTTCTTTCACGTACCCCAAGGCTTGACGTCCATGGTCACAATCGACTTGGCAATGGTCTTAGGCTTGGCCTCCTTCTTCTTGCGGTACTCGGCCAGGCGCTCCTCGCGGGCGCGCGCCTCCTCCTCATCCTCCTCGTCGCTGCTGAACAGGTTGTCGTCGTCATCGTCATCTGCGGCGGCGGCAGGGGCGGCAGCAGCAGGGGCGGCGGCGGACGCCTTGGCCTCGTTCAACGCCAGCTCGGCCTCATCAGGCCCATATGCCGTGTAAGGCTTCGTGGCGTCGCCGGCCAGCGTGGGGAACTCGTCCTCGTACGACGCGATGTGCTTGTACCAGCGCGCCACGTGAGGGAGCTTGGCAGCGTCCGGGGCTGACTTGAGCGCCTTGAAGCAAGCGACGTCGCCTTGCGACGCGGTGTACCTAAGGTAGGGAAGGTTGTTGGTAAGGGGTGAGGAGAAAGGGATGGAGGGAAAGCCTCCTATATGCTAGGTATGTAAAGCCGTGGCTTGCAGACTTGCACACTTTGAGACTTCTCAATATCATGAACCAATGAGGCCATGAAGATAAAATGGAGGACAGATAATCTCAAGAAAGCCAGGAACACGACATACCCGGTAATGTATGAACGAGTGGATAGCCAATAGCTCAGGGCTTTGGATGTTAGCATATTCGCCTGGGGCTCGACTGGGTAGGTAACTCACTGGCGAGCCCGGCGTCGGTATGAAGATCGGTGAACACCATTGTCAATTAATCAGTCTCGAGGCTGTTTATACGTGATATAGATGATGGAAATATTGTAAATGACCAGAGGAGAGCGTCTAGGAGCCTCGAAGCAGGTGGGGGGGTCTCCAGCGAATTTTTTTAATATTTTATTTTTTCAAGTGTTCTATTGGTCCGAAGCAAACGACATCTCTTGGTATCGAGCTGGGCACTCCGCCTTGGATCTAACTGATCTTCAACAATTTCGAGTCGTTTTTGTTCAATCGAGGTTTTAGGGGACAAATCAACGTCTACCTGGTGTGTAGTCTTACGGAATTGGGGACCTCTGGTGCTCTAAGCGTTCCCACCTGTTGGAAGTAAGGTATATCTCTTCTGCCCTCACTTCGGGAATGAGTGTGTTGATGGATGAGTAAGTCGTGCTCAGAACCAGGTGACTAGGGTGAAATAAATAGCTTCTTGCAGAATTGCCGTTCTAGTAGTTGTCGGTTCCATCATCATGATGGTGGTCATCATCATCAGAGGATAGGTAGCTGTGACGTCAGTTTGTCTTGTAGATGGATGTTCTCCATTCTTAGGGTAGGGGTGACGGCGTGAAAGCCATGTCCCAGTGCAATCCCTAGTCACCTTTTTCGGGGCCGAGGGGCGTTGGGCAAGTTGACAAGGCCGAGACTTCTGACAGTTGCGACGGATACTTGACGTGTACACGATAGACACCGTTCTTTGCTGGGGACAGGAAGCTTTTTGGAAACTTAGGTATCCGAAACATGGAAAGCACACGTACGAACGACCCAGAGAGCCCCGGTGGAGCTGCAGGAGCCAACAGGGTGGTGATGTTCAACGTCATAGATGAAGCGTTTGTTGAAGCCAGCCTGCATCTCCCCTCGGATGGTTTAAAAGCCCCCAAGGCCACCCCGTCAGCTAGCAGGTCATTTATTTTCTCTCATTTCTCTCTCTTCTTCCGTGTCGTAATACAATTGCAATAAGTATCAAGCCAACTTACTCTCGGTGAGATACGTTTCAAAAGCTCAGCTACCAGGATGACAAAGACAAAGACCATCAGGCTCTCCTCAGGATATGTAAGATAAATAGCATTCCAGTTAACCATCTTGACTCGGGCCTTGACACTCCAGTGTAGGAGATGCCCATTGTTGGCTACGGCCTCTGGAAAGTGCCGAACGACAAGTGTGCCGACTCGGTCTACCATGCGATCAAGCTCGGATACCGACATTTCGACGGCGCATATGACTACCAGAACAGCTCCGAGGCGGGCGCCGGCATCCGCAAGGCCATCCAGGACGGCCTGGTAAAGCGCGAGGAGATCTTCGTCACGTCCAAGCTGTGGAACAACTATCACAGGCGGGACCGCGCCATCGAGATGGCCAAGGCCGAGAACGACGCCTGGGGCCTGGGCTACCTGGACCTGTACCTGATCCATTTCCCCCTCGCGCAGAAGTACATCCCGCCGTCCGAGCTCTCGCACCCGGGCTTCTGGACCGACAGCGCCCAGAAGAACGTCGCCCCGCTGGACCGCGTCCCCGTGGCCGAGACGTGGGCCGCGCTGGAGACGCTCGCGCGGACCAAGGACAACCCGTCGGGCATCTTCCGCTCGCTGGGCGTCGCCAACTTCAACGCCATGCTCCTGTACGACCTGCTGGCCGGGTACGAAAAGGTGCGCCCGGCGATGCTGCAGGTTGAGCACCACCCCTACCTGGCCCAGCCCGACCTGGTGAAGATGGCGCACGAGAATAACGTCGCCGTGACCGCGTACAGCAGCTTCGGCCCACAGAGCTTCATCGAGCTGGGCAGCCAGGCCGCCAAGGAGGCGACGTCGCTGCTGGAGCACAGTGTTGTCAAGAAGATCGCGGACAAGCACGGTAAGACCCCCGCGCAGGTGCTACTGCGCTGGTCGACCCAGAGGGACGTTATCGTCATCCCCAAGAGCAACAACCCGGACCGGCTGGCCCAGAACCTGGATTGCAGCTCGTTCGACTTGACCAAGGGTGACTTGGAGGCCATCTCTGGCCTGGATAGGGGCTTGCGGTTCAACGATCCTGGAACATCGCTCGACCCGCCAATTAGAGTCTTTGCTTGAAGGCAGAAAGAGTAACTATTTAGGCGGGGTAGGGGAAGAAGGCTTGTTGTCACGGCTGCATTGTGTAGTGGTGTTCGCGGGGAAGAATATATCGCAACTGTATCTTAGACAATACATATCTTCCAACTGCCGAGCAGTTAGCTAACACACAACCCGGGGACCTTTTATCTCCTCCGCTTTCCACCACCACCAACCCCGTCCTCTCCTTGCTTCCTTTTCTTGCCTTCCCTCTGCCAGTACGCCTTACTCTCCCTCTTCTCCCTCGACTCCTTCTTCTCCTCGAATTCGGCAACACGTTTCCTGTACTCTCCCCTCTTCTCCTCCTTCTTTTTCCTCCGCTTCTCCGCGACGTCTTTCCTGATCGTCGTGAGCTTCTGCATGAGGTCCCTGGCCTTCTTCTCTTCCCCGCGGAGTATGACCGCCCGCTTCTGCATGTACGTTTCTTTCTTCTGCTTCTTTGTCTGGATGATCTGCGACTTGAACGGCAACTTGGCGGCGAGCGCCCGCGGCACCCTCAGGGGGTTGAAGTGCCTGGCCTGCCGCTCGACCTTCCTGTACTGGCTGTTCTTCTGCATTGGCGTGTCTATCCCCTCGTCGCGGCGCACCTGTCCGGTCAACCTCATGCCCTGCCAGCCGATGAGGTTCGTGACCGGGTTGTAGAACCGATGCGGCCTGATGGGGTACCACGCTCGCAAGAAGACAATGTCGCTCATCAGGATCTTGTCCTCGAAGGTAGCTCGGAAGTGGCCGTCCGGCTTGGAAAGGGCACGCTTGATCTGGCCCCGCACGCCCGAGACGGTCTTGATAGAAGCCCCCTCGAACTTTGCTATCTCGAGTGCCGTGTTGAACATGTCCTTGATGAAGGCCGTGTTCTTGAACACCTTGTACGGCGCGCCGGTGAGCTTGAGCTTCTTGACAATCTCGGTAGACTCGTCGACGCTGAGAACGGTGCCGGTCGCAGCTATTCGGAAACCGGGGTTGGTGGCAGAGAAGGACTGGAAGCACACAAATCCAGTATTTGGTGCGATGAGGGGCCCGTAGAAGGTGCTGAAGCAGTGCATGTGCTCCGGCGTGTACTTCAGCATGCGGTTCCTCGTCCGAGAGTCGGATATGCTGTAGATGGGAAGGGATTGAAATCTCCTCCAGCCCATAGAGAATATCAAGGGGTCGTTTGTCTTGAGGATCTTCTTGTGCCAACGATGCCTCTTGATCCGAGCTTGGACAAAGCCAAAGCGGTCCTCGGTAGGAGAGAGTCCACCGACAATCAGGGGAATCCTGGCTTGGAACATTTCGACGAATTCCGCTGGCACTCCTTCTATGATCATCTTGGCGTACTTCCCGGCCTTGTATCCCTCAACAGCGGTGCGTTGATGCTCGTCCAGGATTCCAAGCTCGGCCTTGTTGATGTCCAGCTGCTTCTGGATCAATGCCTTCTGGGAATCGTACCAGTCATCTTCGCCAAACTCCTCCTGATCTCCTCCTTCTCGCCTGGCCACTGCCTTGTCGTTCTTGAAGCCTTCCCGGTCTTCTTCCTCGAAGCGGAGCTTGAGTTCCTCTTTCCGGCGCGCATTCTTCTCACGCTCTTCCTCGATGCTCTTCTCCGGGACGTGTTGTTCGCCGGTTTCGAGATCCTCAAAAGCACCATCGCCTTCGTCGTCGTCGCCATCCTCACCGTCATCTTGTGAGTCTCCATCACCATCGTCGTCGTCGCCGCCGTCGCCATCCTCGTCAAGTAGATTTGATGTGGCGAACCGACTTCGCAGCGCTTCGATGCTGTCCTCTTGAGACCACTTCGCGGCGAGCTCCTCGTAGTCATAGCGGGGAATCGACCGATCTTCTTCCAAATCTCCCTCAATCTCATACTGGGACTTCTTGAAAAATAATTCATCCTCCTCGTCTTCGATATTCTCTTCCTGGCTCTCTTGATCCTCACCCCTCCATCTCTGGAGAGCTGTTTTCGCTGGCACCGAGTCGTCATACATTAAACGAGCGAGATCATTGGCGCGGAATGGCCGTCTCTTGCTGTGAAGCAATCTTGCCTTCTCGGTCATGTTTTCTTTCCATTTTACCGCGGTGTCCTCGTCGTCAGAGTCAAACTCGTCGACGTCACTGTCAACTTCGTCGTCGTCGTCGTCGTCGTCGTCATCATCGTCGTCGTTGTCGCCGCCCGAGGATAACGACCCCAGATCGGAATCGCTGTCGGCAAATGCCAGATCGTCTTCGTCCACGTTCTTATCTTTACCTTTCCTGAACATCTTACCGAGCTTCTCTTCGCTAAACTCGGCCTCCACTTCAGGGTCGTTGTCATCGCTGGCGAAGCCTTCATTTTCAGGGAGATCTTCCTCGTCCGATAAACCGTTCTCCTCGGCGAACCGCACTTTCCGCTGACTCCTTCGGCCGGTGTCCTCGTCCGCCGGAACACGAGTGATCTGGTCACCTCCTGCAAAGAGCTGCACACCTTCCTCCGTCTGCCCCAGTAGTCGCCTTTCACCCTGCAAGTCGATGATTAATTGTTCGCCTTCTCCACGCTCAACACCATCCGCGTCCTTGTCGAAGGTAAACCCGTTCTCCCTGGTAATAACAATATGGTCGCCCGTTATTTTGAGACCACTTCGGTCGGACATTGGAGCATAGAGCTTCTTTTCCTTTTCATCCAGGCGCCGCCTCCCTGTCTTGCCCGTAACCTTTGCAATTGCTAGCTCCATGGCGGGAGTCGGGCAAGGGTCCGGTAGGGCCTCCATACGGGCGACCGCGAAGTCGCCAAGGCCAGGGATATGAACTCGCTGACCCTCGGCTGAAAAGTTGGTCCCCCTCAGGTACCCAGATAACTCGATCGATCGATCGCACTTTGAATCCTCCTCAATTTTCGTCGGATGGGTGACATCTCGGTAGTTATCGACAACAGTGTAGGGGTGGGAATTCCTCCAAATCAACGGTCGCGGGTTCTTCATGACCGAGAGAAAGCGAGACAGATTGTGGATCTCGCGATCCGGATATCTCCCGTTGATGACGCCGGAGAGATAGAACAGGTGAGCTCCTTGGTAAAGCTCGCTCCACAACCTGTGCTTTAACCTCTTTTTGGCGTCTTTCAAGGCTTGAGGCTTTCGAAACAGGTCCAGATGCGTCAGAATGCCGAAGACATTGCCCGGCATACCAGTAGCAGCCAGGATATTCAAAAACTCCATAGTCTCCATTTCGAAGCCATAGTTTCCATCAATCATCAGCAGCACGATGTCGGCCACCTTCGCCACGTCCACCATGGCTTCAAGCTCGTTCGGGCATTCAAGGAAGGTCAGCCTCTGCTTCTTGGACGTGACCACGGTGATGGGCCCAAGGGGCTCGGAGATCGTTTCTTTGGCATAGCGTCTGATGAGCGACTTGATCAAGGTCGTCTTGCCCACGCCTGGTGGCCCGACAATGGCGACAAGTCGCGGCGGGGGATCATCGGGGAGTCGGTCAACGAGAGGTACATGGAGGCGCTTCTCTTTTATCTAGAGGGAATAGAGGTCAGTAACTGGCGCCAAAGACATTGACCACCCAGACATACGTCGTGAGATCTTGCTGCTGTTCTCGCAAGTTTTCCAGGGTTGGAGAAGGCGAATGCCTTTGGGTTTGGTCCTGGGACAGAGTGTTAGCCGAATGCGCGGGGTTATATTAGAGAACATGCGCTTACCACCCGAATGCTGCTTTTTTTCTTTGGACTTGCGATGAGGCTTATTCTGTTGTGCCTCCATGATTGCGCCTATTGTCCCGAGTCCGCAAGAAACATGGGCAGTTTTCGAGGTCACTGGCGAGCAACTCCAATGCTCCTCTACATCCCTCAAAAATTTCTTGGACGGGAAATCGTCGGGACCAATATTTTTTTTATCTTATCGCTCTATCGATAAGGAATGTGGAAGTGGGGCAATATACTTGGTACATCCGCCTCCACTGTTACATAAGCTGGGGTTCTACCATAGTAGGAGAATGGCGTTCCTTCGGTGCCAAAAGCATTCTATGAGCCACCGGCCAGAGCTTTCACAGTATGTATGATGGCACAAATGAAGAATGTATTTTGGTAAAAGGGTTTGATTATTTACAACTTCCAGCTAACAAATTGGGTAGCTAAACAGCCTTGTCATATTATAGGCCTACATAAGTCGCAACCTTCCAAAGGAAAACCCCTTTACGCAGTACACGTGTATGTTATCCCAGGGCTGACACAAACCACACTCGGACCAGTCATCCTCTACTTCTTCTTTCCACCTTTGAGCGCGTCGGTCACAGAGCCGAGTCCTAGACCCTCCAAGACTCTGTTCAGACCCAGACTACCAAGCAGTCCATCCACGAGACCCCCTAGGCCAAGGCCATGCAACTATAGAAATGTGTTAGTCTCATGTCTTCATGTGCAATGCTGGAGGGCAAACTTACCAGTCTGCCGACGAGGCCGAGCACGCCGCTAAGAAGCAGGCCAACAGCCGCCAGAATCTGGAAGAGGGGCTCGTTGAGGAGACCCCAGAGCGGGTTGAGCTCCTTCTTGGCATGCGGCATGCCCTCGATGGCCTTCTTGGCGTCCTCAATGGTTTTCGTAACGGTACCAGTGAGCTCCTTGAGGACGTCCGCAAGATGGTACTCCTCAGGGGTTGCCTCACGGGCCGCCGTCTTGTGCTTGGCGTTGGCGACGATTCGTCCATCAGGATCCAGACCGCGAATGACGCCGTTGGCTTCGGTGAGGATCTTCCCTCCTTCCTCGATCAGGGGCTTGACGTCTTTGACGAGCTGTTCCTCATCAAGCTCCTCCTTTGGAGTCGCCTGAGCGCGCTGGATTTTCTGTAATAGGTGTTAGCACCTTCCGCGATGTAGCGAAGACGAGTGAGTCCTCATACCTCAGTGATCATGCTGCAGATTGGCTTAATCTTGTCGAGGCATTGCTCAATGCAGGCTGACATTTGCCCCGCGAGTTTCTTGTCTAAAGCAAGCTTCTCGCGCTCCTCCTTCTCCTCGGCTGTTTCCTCGGGCGGTGCTTCGTCGGGGATCTCCTCAAGGAGAGACACATGGCCGATTGTTGTGCCTTTGGCGTTTATAACATCGCCATCGTCATCGATCTCCTTTCCGGAGCAAATGCTCAGTTCGCCGGTGGTCAGCTTGCCGATAAGGTTACCGTCCTCATCAAAGACGTCACCTTCCTTGTTGACTCGTCGGCCAGACAGGGCGTTCTTCTTCTTCTCAACCTCCGGCTCCTCCCATCGCTCAGCCTTGCCGAGCACGTTCCCGTTCTTGTCGCAAATATCGCCGTCTTCATCGACCGTGCGGCCGTAGAGGACTTTGGGGTCTCCGCTAAGCAGCCGACCGACGACATCGCCACCAGGAGTCACGATCTTGCCGTCCTTGGTAACGGTGCATCCAGTGAGCTCCGCAAAGGGACCCTCTTTGGCTCCCTCGCGATCACCTTCTGGGACGACCTCGGCCTTTCCGATGGTGTCGCCCATCTCGTTAACGATGTTGCCCTTCTTGTCGCACATACGGCCAACCATTGCCTTCGCATCGCCCTCAATGACACGGCCAAAGATGACACCGTTGCCGTCAACAACGTTTCCGGCCTTGTTGACACGCTTGCCAGCGAGGATGGACCGGTCGGCTTCGGGCTCGGGTTCGGGCTCCGGCTCGTCCTCAGAGCGCTCGGCCTTGCCAATAACGTTTCCGCCGCGGTCGAGGATGTCGCCATCGGGATCGACGCTCTTGCCCTGGAGGACCTTTTTGTCGCCTTCGACGACATAGCCGATGATCTGGCCGTCGGACACGACGTTGCCCTTGCCGTCGATTGTGTTGTCAGGGAAGGACTCGAAGGGCGCGGGCTCTTTCAGCAGGTCCTCCTTCTCGGAATCAGGGATGGGTTCGGCCTTGCCGATGATCTTGCCGTTCTCATTCCAGATGTCGCCGTTCTCGTCGGACCGTTTGCCGACCAGGTGGGCGAGAATGCCTTCCTTGATGCGGCCGACAAGCTTGTTGTCGTCGGCACTGATCAGGTTGCCGCCTTTGTTGACCTTGGCATTCCTGAGGACGGAGTAGTCAATCTTCTCGCCTTCTTCTTCGGCTTCTCCGGCTTCGCCCTCCTCGGCCTCACCGCCTTCGCCTTCGCCCTCCTTGACCTCACCGGCTTTGGCCTCATCATCTTTAAGCTCAATACCACCCTCAGTGGGCGCGGCTTCTCCGGCTTCCTCTCCTGCTTCCTCTCCCGCTTCTCCGGCTTCCTCTCCTGCTTCCTCTCCCGCTTCTCCGGCTTCGGCTCCTGCTTCTCCGGCTTCCTTGGTCTTCTGGGCCGTGGCAGCTTTGGCTTCCTCGCTGCTTTCGTCCTCTGTCGGCTGAGGCTCCAATTCATCCAAGTCCTCAGTGGACTCTGCTGCGTCCTCGCCTTCTTGTTTCTTCTGGTGGGTGTAGTTGCCCGTCTGAGCCTCATCATCGAATGGGTTCTCCTGTTGTTTATCTTTGGCGATGGCACCTGCGGACCGTGGCGCGGCCTGGGAACCGCCCTCAACGCTCTCTGGGGCAGCAGCCCAGGAACCTGGAGACGAAGTCTCCTGAGCGACGTCGGCCATGTTGAATCTGAATCTGGGATGAAGAGTAAAGGCTTAAAATTGATCTTTCAAGGGAAGTATGAATGTAGTAGGGGTAGCAGTGTGTTTCTTGTGGGCTCTAGTAGATCCCAAGGATTGTTCTGGAGTTGTATTGAACTAAGCCGTGTTGATCAAGCCGGTAGGATCGCGGCTTATATGCTCCCAACAGAGCCAGCCAGACCTTCGTCAAGGCTCCATCTGCACGTCATATTTGGGATTGGGTCCTACGTCACGTCTAAAGGGCAACAACATGGATCATCCGCCTTCGTCGAATAGAAACCCCATCAGCTATGACCCGCGTCGATGACAAGAGGCGGGTCGGAGGGAGTGACTTCATCGTTGTCTACCCGGGGCGCTGCAGCGATGCCTCGAAATCTCGGAGCATTGCCAATAGGCATGCCATTGGGTGAGAGCTCCCAGCGGTAACCCTGTGCAATTCGCGTGGGAGACGAACTAACAGGTTAGAGAAGGGGGGTGTGGCTTAGTAGGTTGATTCATCATGTGGCGAATACCTTACCATGTACTCGTTGTTCTATCCACACCCTCATATGGAGGCCGAGAGTTGTGCAGGTGTGCCACCCCTTTTCCTTGACATTTTTCAACAGCGGCTGATTCTAGCAGCCTGCACCCTTGATCCTGTCTTCTGAACTTTTATATATTTACGTCATATCGTCCTACCGTACACTCTCCCATAGGCCGTGATTCTCCTTGCGTACAAGTAATTCACAAAATCCTGTTTGGCCGAGATTCACAGGGGACACCCTGAGCAGCAAATGCTCATACACACCACACCTGGTATTACAGCCCAGTGATCGAGATTGCTCTCCCAAATCGGCTAACGAGTCGATCGCCGCTAAGGGAGCCAGCCAAGGTCATTGCGGAAGGAGGGAATGGGCCAAGTTGGTCAGAATCCATGACTGTATCCCTGAAAGACTTGTGACTCCTGTTGCGATCTAGCTAACGAACCCTCCAGCATTTATCCATCAATAACCTCCGGGACACGCCAACTTGTCACGCCATAACGCCGAACAGACAACTATGAAAACTGGACCTTCGGCTGGACCGGCGAACCGTTGAAGACGGTAGGTATCCGGATTGTGAGCTGGATCCCCTCTGTGGTCGACTTGACGTCCAAGAATATATCCGACGGGCTCTCGTTCTCCTTCCTCCAGCTTTGGGCATTCTGTCTCTTTTCTGACCGAGGTTGTTCACTCTGTTCCCCTTCTGGTTCTGGCTGCGGTGTGGCCGTCGGCGACGGCTTGGCTGGCTCTTCACGAGGGGTTGAGGTCTCCTCCGCAGGCTCAGGCTCAGGTCCAGGCCCAGGCGCACCTCCATCCCCTTCCCGCTGTTTCTCCTCGCGCTCCTTTCGATGCATCGGGTTGTTGTTGTCGCGGAACTTCCCAACCACATTCCCGTCCGTGTCGAGGATGTTTCCCTTGTGGTCGACAATCAGGGGTAAGGTGCTCTGCCGCATGATCTCCATCAGGCTCCTGGCGGTCGGGAATCGAGCCAGCCACGGAGGAGGCTGCGCGCTACCGCTGCCACCACCGGCGTCACTACCACCCTCGCTGGCCGTCTTATCGAAGCCCAAGTCCTCTACATAGCCCAGCAGCTCGCCGCCGTCGCCGAGGATGTCGCCCTGCCGGTTCGAGACGGTCTTGCCGACGATGGACGGCAGGTCGCCGCCGGCCCGCGCGAAGACGCGGCCGGTCTCGTCGTCTACGATGTCGCCGTACTCGTCGACCCGCTTGCCGACGAGGAAGGCGCCGACGAAGTCGGGGAGCTGGGGCCGCGACGAGGGCGATATGCCGATGCCGATGTCGATGCCGGGCGACACGGGCGGGATGGCGCCTATCCTCGGGATGGGCGCGACGTAGGCGGGACTCGCGGGGCTAGTTCGTTTCCTCTCTGGCGGCGGCGGCGGCGGTTGTTGTTGCTGCTTCTGCTTCTGCTGCGCATCGCTGCTGGATCGCGGGGTTGCTTCCGTCTCGCTGTCCGCGCTCTGGATCTCTACTAGCTCATCTTCGGACAGAGTGGCCCCATAGTGATAGTCTCTGCTGCCTGTCGTGGATGTCATGGTAGGTCGTGATTGTAGATTGTGGTACTTGTTTTGAGGAGCCTTTTTTTCTTTCTCTTTCTACCCCGTAGAAAAAGCCTAGCCGCGCAGTTTTCTTCCACTCAGCAGAAAAAATGTAGGTAGCTATTCCAATCAGAGTCAAACTAGAGCAGTTTCGCAATGCACTTCTGGGATGCTGCTCAAAAAGATAATTCACGGCGCGCGATGTAGAGTTCGAAGCGTGGACGGCTGGCAGCACGAAGTACGAGGCAAGATGATGTCACTTGGGTTTTTGTGAGGCAACATGGGGCTTAGGCTCGGTGCCGTCAAGTGGGATGCTTCTGTGAAACACACACGGCAGGCGGGAAAAAGCAAAAAGATCGAGACCTCCTCAGCCGTGCGGGTGGAGGTTGCGCGTCCCCGTGGAGTGCATTACATCACCGAGGAAGGAAAGGTCCTGAAGATCCTGACATATTCCTGGTTTCTTGCGCAACCCAAAGCAAACGGGGAGCTGGGGGGGTGGTGTGGCCGGACATTTTGTATAGGCTAGATCTAACGCCTCTTCATCTTACAGTGCAATTACCTACCTACTCACTGCCTGCCGTGTTTATAGCATGGAACCTGCTTGTTCATAAAGACCTGGAGCGCCATGAATCTAAGGAACCTTGGAACGCTCGTGGTTCCCCAAAGTTTAGCCAGGATAACGTGGCTTGTTAATGGTTCTCGTGGCGAAACCGGCATCTTTGGAAACAGGCCATGGCATAGATTGCACCGGCCAGTCTCGACTTTCGAGTCATGAGCCCCCTAGCTCTATCGCAGGTCTAGGGCAGGCTAAGTGTGGTATTGCGTATTGCCCGTCGCGATCCTCCAACGGCTTAACGTCTAGTGTGTATTCGGCCGGCTCCATTTTGCAGCCGGGAGAAAAACAGAATCAATCCTCTCTATCTGTACGGATGGACGTTGTTCTGTACTAGACGCGGGAGAGGAGATCTCTTGCCTGCCGCGGTTTAGCGCAGACGGGGGAGTGTGGTGGGCAGCTGCCTTGGAAATAGCGCTAAAAATATAACGGTGACGTCGCTATGCATCTTGGCCGTTGGGAGGGGCGGGTGACCTCGACAAAGTATGTACCTGTACGGATTACACGTGTAGCAAACTCCACATTCAAAAGGCCCTTTTGTTTTTTTATCCCTTATTTTTGTAAATTAACTTTGACAACAGATTGGACGAGTCGTGTCTCTCGTGTCAGGCGTGCTGCTAGCCTCAGCCATATCACTTTCATCCAGTCTTGTAGGGATCTTGACTAGGTACATGTTAGTTTCCACATGCTTGTGGGGTCCCGCCTCCTGGATAAAGTGTGGCGTCACTAAGATTAGGTATACTAGCCTGGTGGGCCCCACTGCTAGGAGTAATTGGACGAACCCGACCGACTGGTCGAACCATTGATGGAATGAAACTGTAAAGAGCCTCTTCATTGGCTACTAGATTGAACATCATCCATCCCGCTCCGCTGCTGATCAACAAATCCGGGAGTCAAGTACGTGGATGGCGGCGCACTAATCGGGGGGTCGGGGGCGTCGGAAAACGGGGGTGTGTAGAAGTTTCGTGCGAGTTAACCTCTTTCTATTATTGTGGTAGGCGAAAGGCCAGTAATGGAGAGAACAACAAATCCACTTTGTGTAAGTTCGCAAACCCAAAAAAAAAAACAAATCCCGGCCTCGCCCTTGTTGTCGTTCGTTCCATCCGAGTCCAAACAGCAAAATCCAACTCCGCTTTCTTCCGTCAGTTCCTAAGGAAATTAGCCTCATGTACTGTACACAAGCAACTCTCGTTTGTTGCGATTTGAGACTAATAAGTTGACGCACACGTTGAAGCCGCCCCTTCTCCCTAGTCATGGTTGTGATGAAACTCAGGTTTCTCTACATTTGACCATTTTAGCCCAAACAATAATCGCGACGGAGTGTATCGTCCGAACTAAATGCTGAAAGGCAAAAAAAGCCGTCTCAGAACAAAGAGATCGGGGGTAGAGTGGAGGAGGGAACTATAAGTAAAGGCATTAAGTGAAAAAAGTTTTACTAACAAGAGGGCAAGTTCAAGATCACCATGGATCTTCGCCTTGAGTGTTATCTCAATATCGAGGTTGAGGTCCAGGCGGAGCCTCAGTGTATCGCTCTTCCCGCCGGCCTTTTCTTGTGGTTGTTGTTGTTGTTGCACGGCACCCCCGGCAACGTTGCCGAGGGCATTTGTCGCCGTATTGGTGAGTCCGCCGGCCGTGTTCTGCACATTGTCGAGGGCGAGGTTGTCTAGTGGCCCGCCGGCCTTCCTCTGCTGGCGCTGACCGCGCCGTCTCCGGGGCGGCTCGTAATCTGAGGACTCCTCGCCATCAGATTCGTAGACCTGCGTCTGCTTGGGGGCGCGCGAGGGCTTCGGCTTCTTCTCGTCAGTGCTGCTATTTGATGCCATGATGGACGTGGTGGTTGGTTGTCAGGGACTTGTGTGACTTGTCCGATGAGGAAGAGGAAGTGGAAGGGGGCAAGAAAGATGCAGCTCTTGGTTTATATAATCAGGGTGTTGACAAAATGCACGAAGGGTCTCTGAAGAATTATGAATGGGGAATAATCCTAGAGAAATCCGTTCCAGGAGGCGTCCGAGACGACTAATAAAGCCGACGTCTCGGTGGCTGCAGTGCCCAAAACAGGATTCAACGCGATTCGAGTACCACGATGAAGTCATATGCCGTCACGGCGGATGAAATTTGAGTACCCTATAGGATTTCAAGTACTCATGATGCTCTACCGATTAGGTAGTAAAGACGTACCAGGCTTGCCAGGATGCGATAGGAGGGGGACCAGGTCGGTGATCTGGTACTGTACATATACAAGATATACCATAGTAATTTTTAGGCTGTATTATGCATATCATTCCCCCACAGCCCACACCCAACGCCCACATCCAACGCCTATGACTTAAGACCCCTGTCCAACACTATCGATCTTTCTTCCCGCCCTTGACATAGCTACTGTCCATGCCAAACACCAAGTTGCGGTGCAGTCTGGCCGCGATCCACCTCGGCGGCGTGTTACTTTCACGCCCCCCCTCCTCCCCTTCCCTGCCCGTCATCTCGCCCCTGCGGACTCGCCCATCTGGATCGTAGAAGAGCGCCCACCTCTCGTTCGCCTGCTCAACAGCCACAAAGCTCCCATCGTCACCCTCCAGAGCCAACCATTGCTCATCATCGCTCCAACCCCATGGCCCGATGACGTGCCCCCCCAGCGTTTCCTGCCTCCCACCGTGTCGCAACATGTGGGTGTCCTTGTCGACAAAAATCCAGTTCAGCATTGGGGGATCGTCTGCGATTGTGCTGACCAACCCCAGCTGCTGGGCCTCGGACGGGTAAGTGAAGTAATACCCCGTAAACTTGTGCGCATCTATGGGCGCCTCCGGATGATCAATCCATATCTGCCACAATGTCAGTCCGTCCCCGTGTCGCCATCTCTTTGCAGATGAGGCGCACTTACTCTTCCAGCTCCGAGGACGCACCAGCATTCCTCAAAACTTTCGCCGTCTAATGAAACTGTCGTCTTTAGGTTGAACTTTGCTTTCTCCTTCTGTGCCTTGTCCGCCTTCTTCTGCGCGCTGAGGGCCTCGCACACGCCGATTGTGGTTGGGATCCCCGCGACTACCAAGAGGCCTATGACCATAGTTTCGTTGCTCGTCCGAATTGCAGGCCAAGTCGAGTTGTTCCGGCAGCGAAGAGTGGCTGTGAGTATAGAAGTTGTTTCTCCTCTTTCCTCCCGAGTCTTCCATCTTTCTCCGTCATATACCCCGGGCCCCCTCCTCCACATTTTACCCTGTTATTTTGAGTAGCACCACCGGGAGGGATACACACACGCCTCCGATCCTCCGCTCTACAGTATACACTATACATACCCTTTAGTTACATCGATGTCATCCGTATGCACCCTGGCCAACAAGGGTCAGGGTAGAGTCTAGGCCCCTCCATGCCTGGTCCCTGATCGGCTTCTGAAGTGAGTGGTGGTACTCACTGGTATCCCGTGTCCTGGATCGACGTCATCGTCCTCCCGGCCTTCCACTCCAATCTACCCAAGTCCGAAAACCTGATGCAGTCCTCCCCAACCATGACGCGAGTGACGCAAGATGTGAGATCTCCCGGCTAGCCCTGGTTGGACCAAGAAAACATGATTCACTCACGTATGATGCGGAAGGGCCCTTGGACCCTTAGCAAATCTCTTGAAGTAATATTTGCGCGAGCTCCTTTTAAACATCATCTTCCGTAGTCCCAAGGCACCTTGTCCACACCATCACCTAACCCCCATTGTATGTACATTGATCAATCAGTCCTCACTACTTTTATCCCCTAGAGACAAGAGACAGCACATAAAACATGTCATCGGTAAGTGCTCTGCCACAGTCACTGATGAGTTGGTCAAGGCCTAACCCGTCTGTAGACACCAAGCCAAAACGATCAAACCCAGAGGCAAGAAAGGGATAAGGAAGAGGATATTCCCGAGCAGGAAGCCGCCCCAGCGCAACAGCAAGAGCAAGAGGACGCTCCTGCCCAACAAGAGGAGCATGAAGCCGAGCAAGCGCCCGCTGAAGACCAACATGACGACAACATAGTGAACGAGCAAGAGGCAGACCAGGACCAAGGAGAAGTTGCCGACCAGGCCGAAGAAGAGGTGCCGGACGAGCAAGACGGCGAAGACTATGAGGAAGACCAAGAAGCCGAAAACAATGAAGTCCTGAACGACGACTATCAGGACGACGGCCAGGGAGAGGAGGAGCAGTACGATGAAGAAGAACAAGAGGAGCCCGAGCAGGAGCAGGAGCCCGAGCAGGAGCAGGAGCCCGAGCAGGAGCAGGAGCCCGAGCAGGAGCAGGAGCCCGAGCCCGAGCCCGAGCCTCAGCGGAAGCCCAAGGCGCGGTCCAAGGCCGGCAAGAAGGCCCCTCGCGCCGCGCCACCCGCCGAGGAGCAGTACGATGAAGAAGAAGAGGAAGACGAGCTCGAGCCTGAGCCCGAGCGGAAGCCCAAGGCGCGGTCCAAGGCCGGCAAGAAGGCCCCTCGCGCCGCGCCACCCGCCGAGGAGCAGTACGACGAAGAAGAAGAAGAGGAAGACGAGCCCGAGCCCGAGCTTGAGCCCGAGCCTGAGCGGAAGCCCAAGCGCCGGACCAAGAAGGCCTCTCGCGTCGAGCAAGACGAGGACGACAGCACCGTGACGTCCTCCTCGGGACCCCCCACGCCACGCGACGCCCGGCAGCCGACGTGGATGCGGGGCGAGCAAGAGAGCGACACGAAGGGCAACCGCCAAGTCGGACACCCGAAGAGGAAGACCCAGACGCGCCGCGACCGCGACCTCGCCCAGTACCGCCAGGAGCAGATGATGATGCAGCAGCAGCAGCAGCAGCAGGTGCAGCCGCAGGCCGACGCCGGCGGCAAGAACCCGCTCAAGCTGCGGCTGGAACTTAACTTGGAGATCGAGATCGAGCTCAAGGCCCATATCCATGGCGACTTGACCCTTGCCTTGCTGTAGGTAACTCCCCCATCTCCCCTTGTCTTTTCACACCCCCACCCTCCCCACTTTTGCTTCCTCCACTGGCTGCGAAATCCCGCGCGTCAAATTGGGAAGTGCTCATACTGTCATTTAGTACGTCGTAACTGAGCCGAAGCTGACCAAGGGATCAACAGTGATGGGTAAGCGCCAAGTTGAATTCAAAAGTGTTGGGAGTTTGCCATGTCCAAATCTATTATCAAATGTAGTGTCCCGAGACAATCAGGGCCTTTTCGTGTTTGTTCTCCCTGCTGTATCACGTCTCCAATAATATTTCATTGTCACAATTCGAGGGATCTGTAAAGTCCCCTTTCTCCTGCCGCGCTTTTTTTTTGTCTATTGGAAAGGGGGAGCGTTGTTATGGGGTTGATCTCCGTGTTAGGATAATTAGGGAGGGGCAGGCTGCATAACAAACCCGTGCCATAGCTATAAAGACTGTATTGTTTTCTCGTCCTGTTGTCCTGTTGTCGCTTGAAAACAGGTTGTCTTTCTGCCTTGACAAGACAATCAAATGTCGTTATGATAAACTTTTTTTTTTGGGGGGGGTTTTTTTTTTTGACTTTCGGTTAATACCATACCCAGCCCTATAGTTCGGTATGGCCCATCCACCGATCTGATGGATCCAAATTTTGCCTGGAATAGACAGGAGTTGGGCTTGGCATGCTGAGGCCTGGTTGGACCCTGACCCGGTCATTGTCGCCGTCGGCTCCAAGACACGATGCAGCCTAGAATTTGTCGGCCCCGGTGATAAAACAAGGAGGGAAGGATATGATAACAATAATAAGAATGAATGCAAGGAGACTCGGGGCAATTATGTCGCCCACAGGGCAAAATTCAAATTTTCTGGTTGGTGGTCTGTAGTTCGGAAATCGGGAATGCGGGACATCAGCTTGAAGAGTTGCCGGTGATCTTTGCGGCCGGGGCCCACTCTCCGTAATCCGTATATGCCCAGGCTTCGGGCCTCGGCTTCCATCCCCACCGGACTGAGCCCCCGGTACAGCCCCGAGGTACGAGAAGGGGAAAAAAAAACCTAATCCATCAAGCCACTTATGTTTGGCAGGTGGCAGCAACGCTCTGAATAGCTACACCTGGGCGATTTGAGGGAAAGAGCCTTTGCGGGACCGCAAGCGTAGCAAAAGTGATGAGTTTGAAGTCGGTTGAATAGTCGTTGATTTGACGTCTTCACGCCAATCCTGCATTTAGACAGGTCGATAAGAAGAGTAAAGGCATGGGAAGTACGATGTAGAATGCCTATGTAAGAAATGGAACTCATCCCACTGTACCTGCGTGGCAAATAGTCACGAGGGCCTCTTCAGATTCTCTGTTGACAGCCGTGATTACCGACATCGTGATTGGATGTGGCTATATGGGGTCCCCCACAGTAAAGGCCCAGACCGCCCTCGGCCACAACTTAGAACTCAGGACTCAGTCCTGGACAAAGGAAAATCTCCACAGAGGTAACAGTTTCCGTGAATGATTCTAGTGATTCCAACTGGACTGGCGTAAACAAAAGAAAGAGAAACTACCCTGATACTGAGTTGGAATTGGGGTTATCACAAGGAAACCGGCGGTGCACGTGGGTATTTAGAAGGTAAAGCCAAGACGCCTGGGGGGCTCTGGATGTCGCCCCGATATCGCGGCAATAAGTAACCTGGTCCGAGCTTTTAGCAAATGTGTGGGGTATGCGAGCCCAAATTTTTTGACTCACTCGCCTCCCAAAACCGGAGTCTCACTTGAACCTTCGAACCGATTTGCGCAACCCTTCCCTCACTTCAGATGCCTTGATGAATCAGACAAAACACCTTCAATTTTTTTGCTAGGTAGCGGGAATCCCTTCGGTCCTGAACTCTGCCGTACCTTTCTACTTCTATTCTTCCGTCTTCCGTGGCCGTTAGGGCTCTCTGTTCACCCCACGATGCTTCGATCCGGCCAGACAACTCGGGCTTTGAAGAAGGCCCTAGCCCAGCCTCCATCATGCTGCGTTCGCTCCTTTACAACCTCCACAGCCGCTTCAGCCATCACGGCTACACGTAGGGGCCCTTCGAATATCAGGAATCAGAGCACTTCTGCGACTGCAAAGTCCCCCGCTCCGTATGTCGCCTCGCTGCGAGACCCCTCACCGATCACGGTGACTCATGGAGAATATGAAGCGACTGACACAATTCCTCGACGCAGTAATGTTCGAGCCAACCCAAGCCCGGCATTCAATTCCGCAGAGACGAAGAGCAGGAATCATGTCGAGCCCCTTGTCAACCCTCGCCAGAGCGACATGGACGAGTCGTACGTTCACCGCCATTGTTTCCTAGCCTCTTCCGCCCGTCGAATCTGCCGACTAACAAGTGCTTCTTTCCCAGGTTCATTGGCAAGACCGGAGGAGAGATATTTCACGAAATGATGCTGAGACAAGGCGTTAAGCATGTCTGTATGTCAATTCTGCCCTCTGCCTGTCCCCGGCACCCAAACTTACGTTCGCAGTTGGCTACCCCGGCGGCGCCATCCTCCCGGTGTTCGATGCCATTTATAACTCGAAACACTTCCAATTCATCCTCCCAAAGCATGAACAAGGAGCCGGCCACATGGCCGAAGGCTACGCGCGAGTGTCGGGCAAACCTGGCGTTGTCTTGGTGACATCTGGCCCTGGTGCTACCAACGTCGTGACACCAATGGCTGATGCCTTGGCTGATGGCATACCAATGGTTGTCTTCTCCGGCCAGGTTGTCACATCTGCCATTGGGAGCGACGCTTTCCAGGAAGCCGATGTGATCGGAATCTCGCGAGCCTGCACAAAGTGGAACGTCATGGTGAAGAGCGTTGCCGAGCTGCCGAAGAGAATCAACGAGGCCTTCGAAATTGCCACCAGCGGTAGGCCCGGACCCGTCCTTGTCGATCTGCCCAAGGACATCACAGCTGGTGTCCTCAGGAGAGCCATCCCGACTGAGTCGACCCTACCGCCGCTGCCTAGTGCTGCCTCCCGCGCAGTTCTTGAGTTGAACAAGAAACAGCTGGATGCTTCCATCCGCCGCGTTGCCCGCCTTGTTAACATGGCCAAGCAGCCCGTCATCTACGCCGGCCATGGAGTGATCTGCTCCGAGGGTGGCTCTGAACTGCTCAGGACCCTCGCGGAAAAGGCATCCATCCCTGTGACAACATCCCTGCACGGCCTCGGCGCCTTCGATGAGCTGGACGAGAAGGCTCTCCATATGCTTGGGATGCACGGGTCGGCCTACGCCAACATGTCGATGCAAGAAGCCGACCTCATCATTGCCCTCGGGGGAAGATTTGATGATCGCGTGACCGGTCTTATCTCCAAATTCGCGCCAGCGGCCAAGAAGGCAGCTGCCGAGGGCAGGGGAGGCATTGTTCACTTCGAGATCATGCCGAAGAATATCAACAAGGTCGTCCAGGCGACTGAAGCCGTCGAGGGCGATGTTGGCTCCAGTCTGCGCCTCCTCCTGCCCATGGTCGAGGAGAGAAGCATTTCGGATCGCCAAGGATGGTTCGACCAGATCCGGGCCTGGAAGGCCAAATGGCCACTTTCAGATTACGAGCGAGCTGAGCGTTCGGGCCTGATCAAGCCTCAGACCATGATCGAGGAATTGAGCAATTTGACCGCCGACCGGAAAGAGACGACCATCATCTCCACAGGAGTCGGACAACATCAGATGTGGGCGGCCCAACATTTCCGTTGGCGGTTCCCTCGCACCATGGTTACATCCGGCGGTCTCGGAACAATGGGCTACGGCCTTCCCGCCGCGATCGGTGCCAAGGTGGCACGCCCGGACGCTCTGGTCATCGACATCGACGGCGATGCCTCCTTCAATATGACTCTAACGGAGCTCTCCACGGCGGCGCAGTTCAACATCGGGATCAAGGTTATCGTCCTCAACAACGAGGAGCAGGGCATGGTCACCCAATGGCAAAACCTGTTCTATGAGGACCGATACTCGCATACTCACCAGCAGAACCCGGATTTCATGAAGCTGTCGGACGCCATGGGGGTCCAGCATCGACGCGTGTCCAAGCCGGATGAGCTTGTCGACAGCTTGAAGTGGCTGATTGACAGCGAAGGTCCGGCGTTGTTGGAGGTCGTGACAGACAAGAAGGTGCCTGTTCTACCTATGGTTCCTGGAGGCTCTGCTCTGCACGAGTTCATCACGTGGGATGGCAGTAAGTTTTGAGACTTGGTTCCCATATGACAAACGGACAAAGCTAACACACTGGATAGAAAAAGATCTGGAGCGACGAGAGCTGATGAGAACGCGCACCGGCGGCATACACAGCTGAGTTTGGTCTTGGTTTTTGTTGGCTTTTTCCTGCGGATAATTTATTCACAAGCTGTGTGTTCTTGCTCTGGCATTCTATCCTACTTTAATCGGCATATACCACGGGCTTGTCGCCTCATCGAGACTTCTCCCTCGGAGGCCGAGGCGCTCTTCCCGCTACTGGAGATCCAAAAAAAAAAAAAAGTTCTTTCATGGGCTTGTCATTTTGTTTTTTGGCCCGCATTGCGAGGCATGCATGCCAATGGTGCTTTTCTGGAGACGGAGGAGAGAAAATATCAAAATTGTGGGCGTATCTGAGCCTGTACATCCTGTTCGGCCTTGCTACTGCATCTGTCCGCCGTGACTGGGTGGTCTCGGTGGGCTATATATATTACGGAATGAGACGGTATTTACACTGAACTTCTGCAGGACAGTTGCTCTTTGATGACGAGCCTTCTCCGTCCCTTGATTTCCCTTAAACTCAAGATCACCACTGGTCCTGGAAGACGGGCAGAACGAGACAGGTCCGGCTAGTTTCATTACTTCCCGGTCCTTCAGCTCAAGTTCGTGGTTGTCTTCCTGCCAAGAGGTCATGCTGCACGTCTTGGGAGTGATATATTCCGGTTACGTTGTTATCTACGAGGAACAGCAGTCTTCACACTTCGACGACGGTATTGCACCTTTACCAGCGCCGGTTTGAGCAGCATATACACGCGCATTATCCACACAGAGAACAAGCCTTGTGCAACCATTGCTGTTCTGGGCTATGATCGTGCTGGAACTCAGCGACGGGAGGCTCTTGCATTGGATATCGGATGCTTGTCTGGCCGTCCCAGCTTCCTTCCCCATTTGCTAGTCCTGACTACACATTGAAGACCCCATGATCACATCTCCCCGCGGTCCGTCCATGTTCCAGGGAAGCTTATTTTTTGGAAGCTTATTTTTTCTGAAATCAACGGTTAGCTTTGAGCCTGCGGTGCGACCGGGGGCGGGGCGGGGGCTGGAGGGTGGGGAATACGAACGGGGCAGTTGGGACAGGTGCACTTGGCGGGGTCGCAGTTGCACACTCCGGTGGTGGCACATCCGCAGTCGTCGGCCATTGCGATGCTTTTTTGATGGGTTTCGCGGTGAGGTTGTTCCTGGTGTTGAGGAGCGGGATTGGTATCTGGAATGTGCGTCTTTTGTTCGGCTTTCGTGGATGGCTTTGATGTCTGGGTATTGAGAAGGCAGGAGAGAGGAGCAGAGGCGAAAGCTTATATAGGGGGAGGGAGGTTTACGTCGTGGCGAATGACGTTGTTAACTCGTCAGAATGTGGGGAACAAGAGTACGAAGTAAGGCCCCCAGCACGTCCCTGCATCGAGGAAAGGTAGCAGAAGTCACAAGCCAAACAGAGGGACTTGCTCGGTCGGAACTTCCCTAGAGCTGTGTTTCAAGTGGAAGATAGTAGTCTGCCCCGGGTACGAAGCACTGCGTTGTGAAGGGCTGCCCCTGAGTGCGTCTGAGCGCTCCCCAGGGGGGTTGCTTAGACAACAACTATTTCTCCGGGTAGAAAGTGGATGTGTCTGACGAGACCACTCCCCTCGGGGGCACGGCGCAGGGCAGAGAGGGCCATGTCTCCTGGTCATTTGCAAAAGACCTTCGACTGCGAAGCAAACAAGGCTGGCTTCTGGAAGCCTACCTAGCTGGGCCCCATCTCGTCCCCGCAGGTACCGTGCATTAGCCCTAAGCACCCTAAGTGCGGCGTGTGATTCTCAACTGCTGGTATTGTGACGAAACTAGCAAGACGGAGAGAGCCGACAACAATGTTGATGTACAATGTAGGTAGTCGATGGTCGTTGATGATGGTTGTTGACAACACGTGAGCCTCCAAATTCCACCTCCTAGATCGGGCTCATGCGTATAGGTACGACTTGGTTTATTATATGCATTTCCCCACTTAACGAACTCTCACCAATTGAGTTTCCAAGAATACCTGGCACGAGCCACTTCTCCCCCATTTTAACCATTAAACCCAGACCCGGGCTGCCGGGCAAGTGAACACCGAGGGAGAGCAGGGGTGTGTTGGTGTGACGTGACACCGGACGGCCTTAACGGCGCTTCTCCAGGTGGGACAAACGACCATCTCCAGCAGGTGGGGGTGGATAAATGATAAGATCAGGTCGCACCCGATTGAGATAAATTTCTGATGCAGAACCTACGGCTTATCGGGCTTGATTGAATGCTTCTGGCTTCTAGCGAACTGCTTTCTCGATTTTAGTGCTTCTTTCACTCTGTGTCCCATCTGCCAACTCCCATCCAGGCTTGGGTACCTAAGGTTCAGGTCATCTGTCGGTGATCCTTGTTTCCAAACTAAACTCTGAGCTTCACTTTGTGTGGGGGAAAGAGTGCGGGGCACAACGTATATCCTACTGCTATATGCGTATTCTGGGCACTCAACCATATGAGCTTTGGTGATACTCAGCAGTAAACGATCCCGGAGCAGCTCCAATCCCAGTGCGAAACTCGCCTGTCGAACGTCCCACCAGTTGTCAAGATGGCTGGACCTGTCCCATACGCCCGTTCGCTGCAGGACATCTACAACCAAGATGCCCTTGCGTCGCAAGGCGTGCGATGGAACCACCTACTATCCAGGTTCCAGTCCATCTACGGCCACCAAGCCGACTTCGTGTCGAGGTCTCCGGGCCGCGTGAACATCATCGGCGAGCACATCGACTACTCTCTGTACTCGGTGCTGCCTATGGCCATCACTGCCGATGCCCTCCTCGCCGTCTCGACCGACACCAAGCCGACCAAGGAGAGCGCTTTCAAGGTCCAGATTGCCAATGTGCAGGATGCCAAATTCCCGTCTCACGAGTTCGAAATCCCCTACGATGCCGTGGACATCGATGCCACTGTGCATGAGTGGACGAACTACTTCAAGTCCGGCCTGCGCGGCGCCCTGGAGCTGCTGAGGAGGAAGCACGGTGCAGACTTCAAGCTTAAGAGCATGCAGATCCTCATGGATGGCACCGTCCCCGCCGGCGGAGGTTTGAGCTCAAGTGCCGCCTTTGTCAGCGCAAGTGCGCTGGCCGTCATGATCGCCAATGGCGAGACGGAGGTGGACAAAACCGAGCTGACGGAGCTCGCCATCGTCAGCGAGAGAGCCGTGGGTGTCAATTCTGGAGGGTAAGGAGCCCCAAACCCCATTTTTATGTCCAAGTTGTTGAAGTTGGCCTAACCTAATTGTGTTCTTCAGAATGGACCAGTCCGCCTCCGTTTTCTCAGAGCGTGGCTCTGCCCTATTCGTCTCCTTCTCCCCGAAGCTCACCGCGCGGCCGGTCTACTTCCCCAAGACCGATCCCGAACTCACCTTCCTCATTGCCCAGTCCTTCGTTGCGGCCGACAAGCACGTCACCGGGCCGATCCACTACAACCTGCGGGTGGTGGAGTGCAGCCTCGCCGCCGCCTACCTCAACGCCGTCCTAAACCCGCCTGGCACACAGCTCCCAGGCGATTCTGCACCGCTCGGCATCAGCCTCCACGGCTTCCACGAGACGTACTTCGCCCTCCAGGAGCACTCCTCCGCGACGACGGCCCGCAAGACCGAGTCCGAGCAGCTGGAGGAGCTCGTCCGCCTGGCCGAGCAGACACTGACCAAGGAAGAAGGCTATACGCGCGAGGAGATCGCCGCCGCCCTCAACATCAGCGTCGACGAGCTGGACGCCCGCTTCACCTCTCGCTTCCCCGTGCGCGCCTCGCGCTTCAAGCTGCGCCAGCGCGCCCAGCACGTCTTCGGCGAGGCGCTGCGCGTCCTGCGGTTCCTCGACCAGCTCGAGGGCGGCCACGGCGGCGCGTCGGCCGGCGGCGGCGGTACAGCCGAGTACAACGCGCGGCTCGGCGCCCTGCTCAACGACACGCAGGACTCGTGCCGCGACGCCTACGAGTGCAGCTGCCCCGAGATCGACGAGCTGTGCGCCATCGCCCGGCGCGCCGGCAGCTACGGCAGCCGCCTGACGGGCGCCGGCTGGGGCGGGTGCAGCGTGCACCTCGTGCCGGCCGACAGGGTCGCCGCCGTCAGAGAGGCTTGGGCGGCCGAGTACTACGCCAAGATGGACCTGACCGATGAGCAGAAGGAGGCCGCCGTCGTGGTGAGCCGCCCCGGGAACGGGAGCGCCGTGTATCTTGTCGGCGAGGGCGATTTGGCTTGAAATATCTCGGATACTCTGCTTTCCTTCTTGACATTGGTTGGATCAAGGGTTTTCTGTCACGGCATAGCTAGGTGCGGGGGGAATCCTCTTACGCCGGAAGCGTGTGCTGCTTGGGTTATCTTTGCCACGATATAGAAAGTAGGAAGGAGGTTTGCCATTTTCTGGATAAAGGGAACTCAATCCTCCCAGTCGAACGTGCCTGTGTCTGTGCCTGTCCAAGCCTCCTTGCTGGTCCACTGCCAAAAACGCCATAGCTCATGCCATCTATGTATGTCTGCTATTTGTACAATCGGTCATCAGGCTGTTCTAGCCACCCTCCCTCTCCTTCTCTTCTCTTGCCTCGTATTGCTCTCCGCAACAGGCATGCTCAAGGTGCCAGGCTACCTCCGCTTCTCGACATTCCTCACCTTCCGGTTCTGCTTCACCTGCACGCGCCGGTATTTCGCGTACAAGACAAATGCATCTTTCAGCACGACGTACAGGCAGCCTCCCGCCAGGCTACGCCCCCAGCGCTCCTGCAGGAGCCCCGTAGGCCTTCCCCAGGCTGGTCGAGTCACCAAGTTGCGCGGGAGGGTCAGGCGGAGGAGCTCGCCCATGCCGAAGCAGATCGAAGGGTAGAGGAGCGATGTCACGATGTTGTTGACGATGTCTGTCAGGGTTGTGTTTGCCCGGTTATCCTCAGCTGCTGGGGCCTGGTCCTGGTTATTCTGGGCCTGGTCTTGCGCCGCCTGACCTTGTGGTGGGTTCTGAGCCTGGCCCTGCTCTGGCTGAGGTGGTGGTCCAGCTTCGCCGTCCGCTTCCACCACTTCCCGCTCGATAGCCTCCTGTGCAGCGAGCTCCTCATCGCGCAGCTCATCCATGGCATCGATCACGACTTGCCGCTCGAGTGCCATCAATTCGGCCTCGATTTCGGCCTCGTCGGCCTCGTCGAGCTCGTCGCCATTTCCGCCTCCCACGCGGACTTCGGCCTCTAGGACAATCTCGTCCTCGCCGAACAGACCGACAACGGCCTGGCCGAGGCCCCAGACTGTCGCCCAGAGGCCTTCGTCCCGCTCCTGAGCCTGTCCCTCAGGCTGAGCGTGCCCCGCGGCTCCGCGATGTCCCGCTGGCTGCTGCTGCTCTTCCTCAGCCGGCCTGCCCCGTAACGCCCGGTTCATACGCTTCTCGAACGAGCCGAAGAATTCGTAATAGATGTTGGAGTACGTAAACTGGAGGAATGGGAATAGGGTCATGGCCCATGCGGGCGACGGCGGCCAAGTGGGCATCTCGTCTCTAGCAACGAGGATCACGCCTGACTGGTTGGCTAGTTCAGCACAGAGTAGACTCAATCAGTAGGGGGGAAGATCCTACCAAAAGCGACGACGGTATCATCACCAAGTTCCCAAGCGGCTGCAGGGCCCGACATATCGTCAGCACCGGCCCGACGAGGGACAAGACCCAGATCTTGGCATTCAGCTTCCAGAACGGCATCCACCGCCACAGGGGCACGTCCGCCCGGCGGCCCGCCAAGGTGTGCAGACCCAGCCACCTGGAGGTGGCCTCGCGGCCGGCGAAGATGTGCGTGGCGGTCAGGCCGTACCAGCCGGAGCCGGCGATGCCGCCGCTCAGGACCAGGGCCAGCAGGATCAGGGGCGACGAGCGGCTATAGGCGCGGTGCAGGCGGTCGCGCAGGTGGACGACCGGGTCGTACGGCTCGTCGACGCGGATGCGGGCGTTGCAGGCCGGGCAGCGCAGGCCGTTCTTGGGCCGCGACGTCGACTGCTCCGTCTCGGCCACCCAGCGGAGCATGCATTCCTCGTGGGCCTCGAGCGTGCACGGGCACGGGTTCACCCAGCTCGCGTCGGGGGTTTCCGAGTCGTTGAGCAGGCAGATGAAGCATACGTGCTGCGTCCCCGAGGCAATCGGTCCAGGAGCCAGGGCTGTGGAGCTCCTGGATAGCCGGGGTGTCGCCGAGGGAGCTACCTCGGAGTCCATGGTAACGGGCGATTCTTTTGGAATAGGCGGTAGAAACCAAGGAAGGGTAGGCGGTATTGGAGTCGTGAACGCCGCCGTTTATCGATGGGATAATGGTATGAAAGGCAAGCGATCGAAACGGTTCTCGAGGCTGTAGAGCTTTTGTGTTAATAAAGCGCATTGTGAGAAGCGGTTCGTGGCCATAGGATCCTTACATCCTAGGGATAATGTGCCTCCAGTGGTTATCACTACTTTCTAACAGTCTCTTTGAAGGGAGACCAAACCCCGCTGGGCGTTGTTGCAAGAGGCACGGCCAAGTTCAACAAACGCTGCCCGGCCTTGAAGCTGCCTTGTGTGACATCAACAGGTGATGGTATCTGCCCCACTTTGTGTGGCTGGAGCCTTTGGCCCATTTTAACTAGTATGTGGCGCAGGAGCCTTGGAAGTTTGGGTCGGTGGGGCCGAGTCGCTCTATTGAATTCCATGTGAATCGGGGTCGAAGCCCGACCCCACGCCCTCTCTTTCATACCTATCTATCCCCATCTTTCCGACGAACTGTGGTCTTGGGACGAGTAAATATCTACTCTCCGGTCACACCAAGTCATTCACAATGGTAAATTATTTCCTGATGTGTGTCTCTATTTGTAATATCCCATCAACAGTTTTCTGACTGCCGCTTGACACAGGCCACGACATCCAAGCAGCGCCTAGCGCTGGCAATTTGCGACTTCCTCTCTACCTCGTTAACAGACGGCACCCTTCAGGCCGACGACAAAGACTCGATCGATGTTGCCGTCAACTGCGTTGCCGAGGCTTTCGGCGTGGACCCGACCGACAAGGCCGCCGTAAATGAAGCCGTCGGCACCCAGAACCTCCTGCAGATTTATTCCGTCTACGAGAAGCTGAAGAAGGCCACCAAGCCTGCCGCCGCAGCGTCCTCAGCCGGTGCAGCATCGTCATCGTCCGGCCCCGTGTCGGAGGAGCAGAAGAAGCAGGCCGAGGCGCTCAAGTCCAAGGGCAACGCGGCGATGGCGCAGAAGGACTACCCGACCGCCATCGACCTGTACACGCAGGCGCTCGCCCTGCACCCGGGCAACGCCGTGTTCCTGTCCAACCGGGCCGCCGCGCACAGTGCCGCGCGCGACCACGAGTCGGCGCGCGCCGATGCCGAGGCCGCAGTCGCTGTCGACCCCAGGTACACCAAGGCCTGGAGCCGGCTCGGGCTCGCGCGCTTCGCCCTCGGCGATGCCAAGGGCTCCATGCAGGCGTACCAGAAGGGCATCGAGCACGAGGGCAACGGCGGCAGCGACGCCATGAAGAAGGGCTACGAGACGGCGAGGCGGCGCGTCGAGGAGATCGAGGCTGAGGAGCGCGAGGCCGCCGAGCCTGCGACCAGGGACGGGGGTGCCGGCGCCGGTGGGCCGAGCCTCAGCGACCTTGCCGGCATGTTTGGTGGCGGTGGCGGCCCCGGTGGTCCCGGTGGCGGCGGCGGAATGCCCGACCTGTCTTCCATCATGAGCAACCCCATGTTCGCGTCCATGGCGCAGAATCTCATGAGCAATCCGGATCTGATGTCAAACCTCATGGGCAACCCGAGACTGCGCGAGATGGCAAACCAGTTCGGCAGCGGTGGTGGCATGCCTGACATTTCAGCACTTATGTCCGACCCAAACATTTCAGAAATGTAAGTCTCTGCCCCAACGAGGCAACTATGGATCGCGCGCTGACAGTCTGCCTGTAGGGCTCGCTCCATGATGGGTGGAGGCGCAGGCGGAGGTGCAGGTGGAGGTGGAAGCGAAGGCGGAGGAAACGCCGGACGGGGCGGTGCGGGCGGTTCTCCCCAGTAGATCCAATGCTCAGGGTTATTCTTCGTCACGATTTGGGCTTCTCGTTACAGATTTCCTCGTCATCTCATATTCTAGACTAGCGTACTTGGGCACCTACGCGGATTTCTGAATCGACGTTTCGAAGTATTACCTGTCTATATGACCACCTTATCAAAAGCAATAGATCTTGTGGCAAGGCCCGCTGTCTAATAGCACATCTCTCGAACCCCACCCAATGCCGTTTGCTTTGTTCCTGCAACGATCACCCAACCATCTGGACATGGTTTCTTCGAGACTCGGCGTCCACAGCCCCAAGTCTCACAGCCCTGCCAACTGTTGTTCTTCTTGATCCGCGATAATGATCTGTGCTAAAGGTGCAAAGTAATATCCGATGCCTCTGCCTCGGGCTCCTACTTCGAGGCACGGCCGCGTCAGAGGTATTTGCTCTCTTGGTTTACCATGTTTCGACCTGGGTTAGGGTTAGGGTCTGACAAACATCTGTTGACCAACTCGGCAGCCAATTGGAGTGGATGCTCTGATGTGCAGGGGGGTTAATGGTAACCCCACATTAAATAAGGTTAGCTTTAATCCTTGCAGAATGGACCCCTGCGAGCCTTGCATCGGTCGAGTGCCCCACAACATCGGGCGAGCCTCTCTAATAATGCAGGCAATTCTTGGGGACGGCCGACCAGCCTTGGTACAAAGGCGGAAAAGGACATGCTGCAATGTGAGTTGAAAGCGTTTGGGAAATCCGATTCAGACTCTCAATATATCAAGGCCTCCCATAAGCCACGCCTAAGCTCCAGGAAGAAAACCCAAGAAGGGCAGAATTCTATAATCTAGCTTGGATGTCTATAATTGTTTCAACTCGCTCTGAAACTGAAAATCGCAGCATACATCTAGGCTCATCACTTCCATGCGGAGATGGCCAGAATGGTGTTCTAGTGTATACCTCCAGGCATAACATCAGCACTGAATATAATGCCCCAGCACACCACGAAACGCCAGGCTTTTACTTCAGAGAGGTAACTTTTGTTGTCACGATACGCCCACAATGATGCACATGGTGGTTAGTACCCTTTCGGGCACCATCGAGGAAGAAAGTCGAATTGACGGGAACCGTTCTCCAGGTAGGACGAAGGGGGACTTAATGTTGAAGAAGCCCCGTCATAACGATTGGCTCCAGGATTGGAAGGCAGGCTTCACTAATATCTTCGCACGCGTCGAAGGCGTGTCCATGTTATTTCAGCTAGTTTCGACAGGCCCTGGAGGGACGATTTGAAAAGTGATGTGACAACGCCACTCACGATCCTCGGTCCGAAATGAAACTAAGATTCTAGAGAATTGCCACAGTTAGGGGAGCTCCGTTGACGTGATCAAATTTCGCAAATGGCCGCAGTTCCACCTTTTCGACCATTCGCAGCTTCGGTTTCGGGGAATTGACTCACGAGAGCGACTTCCATCGGACTACAGTGAATCAACCTTATACTGGTACATTCGTGAATAGATATCTGGATGCGTTAGTCAAACTGACGAATCACGCGGTCAAGTCTGAACTTACGAGACTGATTCTCCGTTATGTGTTCTCCGAATAGCCTTTGGGACATGTTAGTCGTTTGGTAAATGGACAGGAAAACGGCATCGATTTATTGGCATCCCAGGAGAAATGTGCATACCTCAGCAAGTGTTCCGGAGACATCGATGACTTTCAACTTGGGACACTCCTTCACCTTGTCACCGAGGGGAACCTAGGGGAAGAAAACGATGTCAGAATCAACGTCAAAAGTCATCGTTGACGTATTAAAGAACAGCCCCGGGCACTTACCGTGTTAGTGACAATAACAGCGGTCAGGTGCGAATTATTGATCGTGTCAACAGCTGATCCGGACAGGACGCCATGAGTCACTATTGCGATGACCTCTCGGGCACGATGCTGCTTTAGGACCTCGGCCGCTTTAGCCAGTGTGCCGCATGTGTCGCCTATATCGTCGACGACGATGGAGATTTTGTCCTCAACATCCCCAACCAAGACCATCCTCCCGACCACGTTGGGTCGAGGGCGTTCCTTGTGTATCAAGGCAAAACCGGTGCCTAGACGATCTGCGATCGACGTGGCTCTGATAGGGAGTGGTCAGCATATCTGTCACAAACGGCCAAGATGTTTGCCAACTCGTGGGAAACCCTAACGGTGTCCTCGACGAACCTTTTCGCACCGCCTGCATCCGGTGAGACAATGACGCAGTCGTCAAGATTCATGTTCTCCTCGATCCAGCGAACGGTTGATGGCTCGGCATAGAGGTTGTCGACAGGTACGCTGAAGAAGCCCTGGAGCTGTGAGGCGTGGAGATCCATGGTTATTACATGGTTGCTGTTGTGTCAATGTGAGCATACTGCAAAATTTAGGGTATGTGCATAAGGTCTGACCAGCCAGCGGTCTGAAGCATATTCGCAACAAGCCGCGCAGATATTGGCGCTCGACTGCGATCTTTCTTGTCCTACACGAGGAGTTGGAGTCAGGGCAAAGATCACGGGTCTCGTCAGAGTTTTCGGGATAGAGAGTGTTATAAATACCTGGCGAGCATAGGGGAAATTAGGAAGCACGGCAGTTATTCGACGGCTAGACGCTGCTCTACCTGTTGCTCGCGGTCAGCCCATATCCTGTCGGGAAGGGATAGAGGACCGGCATACAGGCGTGAATCATGATGAGAAGTTCCATAAGCGCATTGTTGATGTCGCCTGGGGGCGTAGACTGTATGATGAAGACATCCTCATCCCTAACAGATTCACCAATCGTAACGCTCGTCTCCTGGTTGGAATGCATGAGGCTCAGGGTCTTTGCCAGTTGAACCCCTAGTCTACAGACAGTCAATCTCATCAGCTTTCCATTCGATGTCATGACAGGCGCCATGGAGCAGCGCACCGGTCTGCGATAAGTCCCGCCAGTTCGGGATGGCTCGACCCGCTAAAACAACAACATGATTAGCTGGACGATCAAGGGGTAACCACTACTCGACCAAAAGCCAGGATCGCACCTAAGGATTTTTATCTCGTTCGCCATGTGGCCCATTTCCAACACCCTTCTGTAATGCAGGAGGTAGGTATTTGGAGGAAAGGTCTGTCCAAGGGAGGTTTGACCAGATGTTATATTATCTTGAGAGTTTCGGTGGTTGAGGTCGAAACCACCTCCCATGCTCCTGCATGGCCCCACTTTTTACTGACTCACCCACCACTTTTTTATCACCCTTTAAGCCTACCAATCTCAACCTTCAACCAAAGTTTCCTACTTCAAACCACCTACAAGCCTCTGCAGGGCAATACGGCTGAAATGAAAGAGACTAGAGCCTGCTGCAAAGTCTGGCTTGCGCTTACAGCTGGCGCTATTCGATTAATCTTCAAATAGGCAAAAGAAACAAAGAAAAAGTAACTTAACATCCTCCCAATTGATACTTCGACACTCGGCCGACGAAGGGGAGAGTTGGCGATTTTTCTCAAACTTTTGCAGTAACGAGTCATCTGCAATCCCACAGAAGGAACCGAAGAAACAGACACTCATGCCTGGCCGAAGTCGAACCGGAACATATTGACGGTGCGCTACAAGAGGGAAGCATTCAAGGTTGCCTGAGTTCCTGAGCTTAAACTGAACCGCCGTCTAGGCTGCAGCCACCTAACTATCTAGATGCCGTGCAGTTAATGGTAACAATCGCCACAGCGGTATCAGGCGCCAATTAGTTCGTCTTGTAATTTCCTCCACGGAACGGGAGCACAGGTCGAGTTCAGAGAACCCAAACAGAGTTCGAGACAGTACTGGAAGGTGCTCGAAGCAGCTGCAAAGTGTAAGCCGGAAAGTATGTACATGGGCCAAGTTGTGATTAATATAAGATGGTCTACCCCCCCTGACCCTCTTGCGGCAAGAATATTACTGTTCTGGGAGATTTTCAACCGTTACACATCTTTGAAGGCATGGAGGACTCCGGGTCCAGGGAGATAATTTATCTATCACGTCTATCTAGCGGTGGTATGGAAGGCTGGGGGTTTCATCCGCCTTCGGACTTTTCAAGATAGCTAGCGGACATTTTCTTCGGTTTCTACCTCAGTTAAATGCATCAAAACGAATCAAACCGGAGGTCTCTCTGAGCTGCCACTGATATGGGAGAGCTGGGATCGACGATGAAGATCCTGGCTTCATCCTCAAGATTTGAAGCTAGAAATGCACGGCCACAAGCCGGGGGAGGGAGAATGACTCCTCCCTGTGGTGTGAATGGCAATAAACTATAAACTGAGCGGTTTCTCAAACTCAAATTCACCTCCTTAAGGCTGGAATACCGCCGTCTCAGCTTTGGCACACAAAGCTTGACAGATCAACTTTCGGCAAGAGGATTAAAGCCAGTACGAAGAACACAGGATTCACTGACTAGACTGCAACTGAGACGTGTTTATCTATCAGAGAAAAGACGTTCAACAAAAACATCATACATGTCGATCTTGGACAGTCGCCGTGTTTCACAAGGCTTTCAGCCTCACAATCGTGGAGCACAGACTCGGGAGATCCGGACCGGATCATCGATCTCCCCACCACCCTTGAATGCCCAGACATCACCTGCAAGGGATCCTCTCTTTTCTTCACTAGAACCGCACCCACTTAACCGAAGCTCATCTTCGAGAGCTAAATTTCGAGCAACACTGCCCAACCCGCGGCAATCTTCAGTTTCTCCGCAATCTTCAGTTTCTCCTTCGATTTCCAGATCAGAGGGCACTCCATCAAGCGATAGGGCCCATTCAATTGAGCCAACCGAGACTGCAAAAACAACCACCGACTCGACAGGGTTCGTAGTCTCGAGAGCTACAGGTCGCATTTTTAACTTGTCTCAACGAGGTGTAGCTGTTACGACTTCTGGAGTGAAGAGAGCGAGGGCGGCGAAGAAACCGAAGAAGCCGAGGAAGAAGGTTCAATCAGCCCAGGACGCCGCCAGACGCTACATTCTTTTCTGAACCCGCCAGTCACAAGCACATCACATTCCACGACACCAACCATGGCATCGTCTCTCAGCGCCCGAGGCCTAACCTCGCAGCTATTTCCCCGACCATCCACAGCGTTTCTCACCACCACATCCCCGAGGTTCACCGCCGCACCAGCGCTCATAGCACCATCAGTTTCGCAATGTCTCAACTCCCGAACCTCCTTCTCCACCTCCGCCCCCCAGTCGGCCAAGGGCGCCCCGGGCGGCAAGAGCAGGCGCAAAGGCGAGGCGCCGCGCGACCCCAAGATCGTCAACATGCTGAAGCAGTTCGCCCTCCTGTCCCCGAGGCGGATCCCCCCTCCCCTGCGCATGGCCCGCAACCGCCACCTCCGCCACTGGACCATCCACCGCGCGTGGCTGCTCTTCCGCCGCAAGGAGCGCGAGCGCCGCGAAGGCGAGCTGATGCGCCAGTACCAGGGCATGTACGCCGCCTGCGAGGAGCTCCGCCTGACCGACGGGCCGGGCTCGCGGGAGCAGGGCTACCTGTACAGGGTGGCCATGGAGAAGAAGGGCGTGTATGGGCACAATGGTTTCCCGATCGAGTATACTCGGCCGCAGACAGAGAGTCCGGCAAGGGAGCCGTGGAACCATGACTGGAAGAGATAGAGCTGAGAGGGTCATTTTTCCTTGTTTTTATTTGCTATGTTTCCGGGGTCAACCGAGCAGATAAATTGCATCAGGGGATTAGATTAGAGCGACGGGACTGTATAACTTGGCCGACATGTATCTCCCTCACAAGCTTCTATTTCGTCAGTGTCATTTCAACAACCCTTTTTAAGCCTGCAACAGACTTGAATCGCTCGACTCGCCATGTTTACAAAGCCCCAGCGTTAACATTCCTCTCTCCTGGGGCCCATCCCAAATTTTGCATCTTCCCAGAGAGCATTACCAGGAAAAGAATGCCAAAAAAAAAAAAAAAAAAAAAAAAAAAACATCTATAGGGTAGTAATACAGTGCAAGCTTGTGCCCTGGCAGCACCGTGGTTTCGATTATCATCAGCGGCCGCTTGGTAAGTCATTAGACAAATTCCTCTCCCCTTCCTGGTGTATGCATTGCAGGGATATGGGGGGAGGGCAGAACTACCCATTCTGCTTCCATTCCGACGGCCGGATAATCCCCTTCCTTCGACAGACTGATGAGTTAAGTGCGGCAACGCGAGCCAAGGGGGGCCGGAATCCGATATTCATTCCAACGGCCACCTCCGCCGTCCGGTTCCGTTTTATAGAATCACGCAGCAGCCGCCGCCCTCGCCCTTTTCGAAGGTCAGCAGCGCAGCTCTGGTCGCCGCTTCGAAAACGTCGTCCACGCCCTCGCCGCTCAGACTCGAGCATTCGAGGTACTTCTTGGCGCCGATCTCGCGCGCCGCGGCCTCGCCGTCGCTTTCGGTGACGAATCGTAACGATTTCTTTCGCATCTCCTCGATCGCGACTGGGTCCCCCCGCAGGTCTTTCTTCAGCCCGACCAGGATGATGGGCACTCCTGGGCATCTCTCCGCGGCTTCTTCGATCCACTATTGCGCTCGGGTTAGCATGTTCTGCTAGACCTGAAGATTGGCCATCCCCATCCCCAGCTCATCTCGAGGCCAAAGCTGCTGCGCCACAGTGGATTGCGCGACGGCAGAGAGGAGCTGGCAGGAAGACAATAGTGACAAACGGACCTTGTGTTTCACGTTATCTAAAGAGTCGGGAGTGTCGACCGAAAACCCTATCAAGATGACATGGGCTTTCGAATATGCAAGTGGCCGTAATCGCTCGTAGTCTTCTTGGCCTGCTGTGTCCCATAGTGCTAGCTGGACGGACTTGCCATCTACTCTGCAGTCCGTGACATAGTTTTCGAAGACGGTAGGTATCTGGCGGACAAGGAATCGTTAGCAGCCGAGGTTGAGCGGGCGAGGAAACTGGGGGGAGGTCGTGGCTTGTGCCGGGGTGAGGTGGCATGCTGGTCACTCACGTAGTGCTGTGAAAGTGCATTGGTTAGCCCCGGGTTTTGTCAAGCAAGAATATTATGAGATAAAGAGGTATGGGGTGTCTGGGTACATACGGTTGGGAAGTAGCCCAGAGTGAAGACGCTCAGCAAGCTTGTCTTCCCGCAAGCACCGTCTCCGATGATGACGAGTTTCCTAGATGGATTGCGGAGTAAGCAGGCGGATCGGTAAGGCAAAGCACCACCAGTCCAGTATCGTGGCCATCGCGAATTTGTCTCTGAGTTCTTACCTCCGGATAACATTCTGGAGATTGTTTGCATTTGTTGCCATGGTTGGGGAATGGGCGCCGAGTGCTTGCGCCTTGCACCTGCCAACCGACGTCTTCGGGGAAAGCAATCGAGCTGGGTTCGCGTGGTTGGGGGCCAAGCTACAACCGGACAGCAAGTGAAGAAGAGAAGAAGAAAGGAAGGAAACAAGACTCGATCCAACAACAAGTGGTGCAGCAGCTGGGCCGCCGGGGAATTTTGAGGGGAAACCGGGGACAGGCAGATTGACGCGGGTTGATAGCTGTGAAGTGCCCGGATGAGGGCGATTACATAACTCTAAAAGAGGTGCTGAGGTCGCCTAGCGGGTGCCCAATGATAGGTACCTTAACACGTGTTTCGGCACCTATTCGTAGGGGATTCCCCACTCTCACTGTTTAGGATCAGGAACCAAACAGGCCACAAGCCCCAGCACCACCAACACAAAACCTGGGAAGCTCGTGAGTGCTATATCCGCCTCTGAGGCCTAGACCGATCAGCCCTAGAGGCTAATTACCGTGATGCTATGGTTGAGACAGCGGGGCCTTGTGAGACACTTTTGAGAGTTAAGCGATGCTCACTGGCTACCAATTATAAGATCCAGGTACTACAGGTAACTAGGTATTAGTCCTAGGTAGGTAGGTCCCGGTCTTCAAATACGTAGGATCATAGAAGCTTCGGAGTACCTCCCTAGGTACTTTTAGTACTTTCAATAGGCGCACACACATCGGTGCTCTCAAGGCGAAGCCCACGACTAACACGTATATTTACGGAACATGGACACTCTTGCAAACACACAGTACCACCGAATATTGGATAACTGAAAATGTGTTCCGTACAGCAACCAGTTACCGTGTTCGACGCGTCCCGCAGAGAAGAGAAGAGGGTGTGGACCGCGGAGACCCCTCGGCCATGTCAGCTTCGGCGCGCCCTACTAAGGTTGGGAAAGAGGCTGTGCAATTTTAACAAAGATAGTTACTTCGCGGTACGGATACGCGGACCAGTGCAGGCTAATTTTAATACGTGGCTGAGGAAGATATTTCTGTGAATGGCCAAGCGAGTTGTTGCAGAGCACGAGGGGGGAAAGGACTCCCTATCCCCTATGCACGCCGCCGCTTTTGCGTCGCCGTGGAAGCTGCTGATGTGGGCATTTGGGCATCTGGCGATGCATGTCATACACACTGGAAACCATCAAGGTACCTCGAGACCTAGGTAGGTACCTACCTACCTACCTACCTGGATAGATGAGAATGGGGGGGAGACGCCACGGGCTCCTTCACCTCGGTGGCATACGGCAAGTCACAAATTCAAGAGCAACGAATTGCGGAAGGGGTCGGTGAGTGGTAAAATGTTTGAAATGGTGAAATGAACATACGGTAATGGAAACCAAAAGCTGGAATGGGTTTGTACCCAAACCCATGCCAAGCCCCCGGGAGAGGTAGGATTGGCGGTACTTGGGCAAGCAAGGACCCTGGCCAAGCCTTACAGCCTTGTTGGAGTTGATCAAGTAAGTTGATCAGTGATCCAAACGCTTCTTGCATGTTATAGAGGCTCCAATGGCAAGAATATAGTTCCTTTTTGCTGCTATTGTCGTAAAAAAAAGCGCCAGTATGGCACTTTTCCAGTGCTGGAGCTGGGCAATCGAGTGGAACCTAGCAGCTGCAAGGATCACTTGGAATGTGCCGCTGAGGCTCGGTGAGGCTGAATCACGTGCCTCACCACACACCTGTGGCTAAGATCATCGACTTTATGTTGCCCAATCGAAATTGAAGGCACGGGGTACATGTCCAACGGAACTTTCATTTTCCACCGCAGCAACAGCCCGTGGACTGCATCCGAACGATGTGAAGGAAATTGTCACGGACTTAGCATTGGTTACTGCATTGTCAACCAACGACGACGAACGACGCCTCGCGTTTGCAAATCGCGACGCCGTCTCCAGCAAACGACCGCAATCCTTCAACCTGTCATTTCCAGATTCGACCGTGAGTTGGCCCCTCAGCCAATAATTAAGCCCTCATCCATCCCTTCCCAGGAGGCGCCCTTCCCTGTTGCGGATCACAGCTGCTTGTTTGGCCGTCTTGTTCGCGCCGTCGAACTTCGCGCTGCAAATTATCTGCTTTTCGCCCCTCTGGCCTCGTCCTCCTTTGCCTCCCCCACCTCTCCAATCCTGACTGACAAACTTGGCCTAGACCCGGCGGTCGCACCTGAAAGCCCACTGAGACACATAATTCCGTTCATGATATCGACATTCGCTCGGTCTACATCTTCATAACGCACCAAAATATGGCAGGGAATTCCCGTCAGCATCCGGCGGGGGTAGCGCAGGGAAGTCCAACCTCCCCGCCGACCAAGGGCACGGCGAAATACACCAACAAGGACGGCTCCAAGTTTATTACAGTACCGAAGACTACTGCCTCCACCGAGTCGCCCCAGCCGTCTCCGCCTGCTGCGCCGTCGTCTACCACCAGCAAAACCCCCTCGCAGCCTAGCTCCGCGGGGCCGACGCAACCCGTGAATCGGAAGAAGCAGAAGCGGCGCGCCAAGGCAGCGGCTAAAGCTGCTGCTGAGAAGACTCAGGATCCTCAGCAGGTGAATGGCTCGCCAAGTTCCCCCATGTCCCCGACTCATGGCCTGCCGCCTGTCGAAGCAGACCAAGAGGACAGCGATGACGATGACGAGCATGACTCGGGCCACAATCTCCACCATTCCCATGAAGATGGCTACTCCGCGCCTGGATCCAAGGCGAAGAAATCCAAGAGGAAAAAGAAGAAGAATGCGGCCCCGTACGGCCAAGACTCTGCTGCTGCCATCGATCCTCACGTCCACGGCCCACCACCCGCGGCACACCACAGCTCAGGTATATCAAAGGAAAAGATATGGAACACAAGTTCTCAGGAGGAACGCGAGCGAATCAAGGAATTCTGGCTTGGCCTGGGCGAGGAAGAGCGCAAATCACTTGTCAAGGTTGAGAAGGACGCGGTTCTGAGGAAGATGAAGGAGCAGCAAAAGCACACGTGCAGCTGCACCGTCTGTGGCAGGAAGCGGACTGCGATCGAGGAAGAGCTGGAGGGGCTGTACGACGCATACTATGAAGAGTTGGAACAGTTCGCGAACAACCCTAATAACCAGGGCGAGAGACCTCCCATGATGACTCCCCGACATCTTGGTCCCGTGGGTGGCCTGCATCCGTCGCGCGGCCCACCGTCGAACTACTCGCATCAGCCTTCGCATGGCCGGATAGTCGAACATGTTAACGACGAGGACGAGGACGCGGAGGAGGAGGAGGAGGAGGATGATGAGGAATACAGCGATGACGAGCTCGACGAAGACGAGTATAGCGACGAAGAGCCTTCTGAGGAGCTCCCTCGCCCCGATTACGCCACCGACTTTTTCAACTTTGGCAACAGCCTGACCGTGCAGGGTAGGGACAGCCTTCCTATATTCCCATCCTTTCTGCAGAGCTATGCATTGTCAGGCTCAGATAATGATGTTTATGGCTCATCTTCTCTAGGCGGGATCCTAACCGTTGCCGACGACCTACTGAAGAACGACGGCAAGAAATTCATCGAAATGATGGAGCAACTAGCCGAGCGACGTATGGCACGTGAAGAGGACGCTAAGGAGCAATACGCACAGAGTCGGAACTATGGCCATGTCAATGGCGCTGGCTACGGGCATAACCATCCCCCAGCCGAGGAGGAAGAGTATGATGAGGACGAGGAAGATTACGAGGAGGAAGACGAGGAGGAGTACGACAGTCAGGACGAAGAGGTACCACGTTTCCCACCAGCGAGTCCAACACCCAAGCATATGACTGGCTAACATCGGGTGCTGCAGGACACAATGACTGAGGAGCAGCGGATGGAGGAGGGCCGGAGAATGTTCCAAATCTTTGCCGCTCGCATGTTCGAGCAGAGAGTTCTGACTGCGTATCGGGAGAAAGTAGCAAAAGAACGGCAGCAGAGGCTCCTCGAGGAACTCGAGGAGGAGAGCAGGCAAGATTCCGAGCGAAAAGCAAAGAAGGCCAAGGAGGCGCAGAAACGCAAGGACAAGGCCGCAAAGAAAAAGGAGGCCCTTGCCGAAGAGAAAGCGCGGAAGGAGGCGGAGAAAGCCGCCGAGTTGGAAGCGCGCCTCGCGGAAGAAGCGCGGAGGGCCGAAGAGCAGCGCGTGAGAGCGGAGGAGAAACGAAAGAAGAAAGAAGCGCAGAAGAAAGCCGAGGAGGAAGAACGCCTACGAAAGGAGGCAGAACGCCAACGCCGAATTCACGAGCAGAAAGAGAAGCAAGCCGAGCAGGAGCGCAAAGCCCGGGAAGCCAAGGACCGGGAGAAGAAGGCCCGGGAAGAGGTCCGGCAGCAGCAGGACAGAGAGGCCAGGGAAAGAAAGGAGCGCGACGCCCAAGAGCGGAAAGATCAAGAGCGCAAGGAGCGCGAGGTCCTAGAGCGGAAACAGCAGCAGCTAGAACAAGGCAAGAGGGACAGGGACAGGGACACAAGAACAAAGTCGGAACGGGAACCGCCGAAGGAGAAGCGGAGGCCGGAGGATCGGCCAGCCCACAAAGCCGGCAGCACCACAGTCAAGTCCACCCCCATCCCTATCACCCTTCCCAAACGGCCTGCGCAACATGCTGTACCCGCCGCGGTCCCGGCATTGCCGCAGCAACCTCCCATATCCTTTGCCTCGCCCAAGATAGCCGTTGCAACGCCAGCTCTCCCCAAAGCCCCTACCCCCATACGGCCGCGGCAAGCGTCCCAGCAGGAAGCCAGTACCTCGAACCCGTCACAAGCAACCTCGCAAGCTGGGTCTGCGCCAAGCCAGAACCCGTCACCTCACACGATGACGCCAGTACAAGCCAGTCCAGGTCCTATCGGTTCGATGAGCAAGGCGTCAAGTTTCAGCGGCCAGGGCAGCAGCCAGCAGCCATCGCAAGCAACATCACCTCCCAGCATGGCGGCAGCCAAGCCTTTAGCGATTCCGCCTGGCCCGTTCAACCCGCCACCGATGGGCATGCCGTTCCCACCTCCCGGTATCCCCTTGTCTGGAAGCCGTATGCATCACGATGCGCCGTTCCATCCTTACAACGCCGCATTTAGAGGCCCGGGCAACATGGCGATACCACCTGGGATCAACGGTCTAGCTGGTGGCAGGGGTTACCCGATGTCGCATCCTCACCCTCCGCCCGGATTCGGTCAGCCGATGGACGCCCCTTTCGGGGGTGTCGGCCAAGGTTTCATCCCAGGGCAGCCGAAGGACAGGAGGTCATCACACTCGCGCCACCCGTCGGGGGGGCACGAGCTTGGCACATCCGCACCATCGTCTCACCCCATTGGCAGACCAGCCCCGATCGGGAGACCGGCCAGTATCGTACATGGCCAACGTCGGGCATCGGGTTCTCCGGCCACCGGGAGAGCGCATCTCGATGTTGAGGACCACCACCTTGGCAGCAGTGCGCTCCTAGACGACTCGGACGTTGCAGTGCAGGACCTGAACACCCCCTTACGGCCCAGCAACGCGGCCCCCGGACCACGACTAGGATTCCCGGCAGTCCCCTTCGGGATGGATCCCATGTTTCCTTCAGGCCACAATCCCTGGGCACCAGCGCCCGCGGGACAACCGGCTCTGTTCAGTCCACCCCCACCGCCCGGGTTTGGCCCCAGCCCTGTACCAGTCGCGTGGGGATCACCAGCACCACCGAACTCGGCCTTTGGTTCCCAGGGCGGGCTCAGCCGGCCGAATCAGCCCCGGGCCGTAGCGATCCGCCAGATGCTATGCCGGGCGTGCAAGGCACTGGCTGACGCTGAAGCCAAGTCGCCCGATGCCAACAAGTCCGAGCAGAGCAGAGACGGGTTCATCCGCCTAGAGTCGATCAAGGGCCAGGTCGACATGCAGAACCCCGGCGAGCCCATCACCGAGCTCGAACTGATCAACATGTGCGACACCGAGGGCAACAACTCGAACGGGGGAGGCAGTTTCGATGTCCATCGCGATCAGGCAGGCAAGGTGTCCATCCGCTGGGTTTCCGGGGGCGGCGACACCCACGGGCAGTCGCTGTTGCAGCGCCCCGTCGGCGCCGGCCCGGGAGAGGTTCGCAGCCCCAAAGTCGGAGCAAGCCCCTTCCGAGGGACTAGCCGCTAGGTCCGGTATCTACAGGAAAGGGCAGGCTCGGCTGGCCCTGGTGGATTCTCTGCGGCGAAGGACAAGGACAGAACCCGTGATTTAAGTGTTGGTGGCTCTAGAGCCCAATCATGAAACTACCCAAGCGTGTGTGGCCTGGGATTTGATCTGGCAGTTTGCGTTCGTTCTTGCAAATCTGTGCCCATCATCTAGTTCGCTGGGCATTGACGACCGGGGTCATTCCTACTGCTGGATGGGGGCGTGTGCGCGTGCGCGTGCGAGTTGCGATGTATTGTAGTTTACCCGACTACCTAGTACCAATGGAAAGAGGCGAGGCAGCGCGTTAAGCTCCCTTGATCGTATCAATAAATTATTGATTGCAGATTTCAAGTTTTCGAGGTAGGTAGAATATCATTTTGTGCAAATGAAAAAAAAAGGAGGCGCCCCTTTGCCCAAGTCGAGGGTTGTACAGACTACAAACAAACACCAAAGCATCATCACATCATGGCCTATGCAAAGCAAGGAAATCCCAAATGAAGAAGAAAAAGAGCAGAGAAATGACCGTAGATAGTTATCTAACTCATCACGGCCTCTTCTTCTATGGCTGATCCCAACCCAACAAGCCATTTATGAGCACATTCACCCGCAGGGAGAAATCGGGCTCCAAAGCTTCCCAGACTCGACGATCCCCGTCAAATCCACGTCGTGACTAACTAACTACTACGCTCGAAGCATCACCGCGGCCCGTGCTGGTCCACAAACGGATTCTGCGCCCCGCCATAGATCTGCGGCGCACCGCCAGCAGACCCAGGCTGCGCCGCGCCGCCATACGCGGAGTCGTCCGCGCCGTCGTAGCCGAGACCGAGACCGACGCCGGGGGCGGAGGATGGAATGGCGGGGACGGGCGGGAGGTTGTTGTTGCTGCTGTTGTAGTTGTTGTTGTAGTTGTTGTTGTTGTTCGAGCCAGCCATGAGGGGGACGCCGGCCGCGCCGGCGCCGGCTCCGCGCAGGCGGGCGGCATTCTTGGCGTCGCGGGCGATGGCGGCGGCCTCGGCGGCCTTGGCGTGGCGGCGCTGCTCGGAGCGCTCGCGGCAGCAGAAGAAGACCATAAGGAAGATGGCGGCGGCGGCGAGCAAGGACAGCAGCAGGGCGACGGCGACGCCGCCGGCATCGAGGCCGTTGTGGGCGAACATGCACGAGGAGGCGCCGTCGCGCTCCGTGTGGCAGATCAGGCCCTTTGCGCAGGCGGACGAGGCCGCCTGCGTGGGGAAGCACGAGAGCTTGGAGCCAGAGTTGGGCCCCGTCGACTGGGTCGGGCACACGGTTATGCTGACCAGGCTGGTTGTGAAGCACTGGGACGGGCGGCCTGAGCTTACTGCTGCTGATGCCGCGGCGGCGGAGACGGTGGGGGCGTTGGTGGTCGAGGCGGTCACGATGACGGTCTTTGGGCCCGAGGTGATGGTTGAGGGGGCGGCGGTCGTGGTGGGCTCCGAATCGGTGGTCTCGGTGGTCTTGACGGCGGCCTTTTCTGTGGTCTTTTCCGTGGTCTTCTCTGTAGTCTTCTCCGTGGTCTTGTCCGTGGGTTTGGAAGTTGTCTTGGTCGCCTTCGCGGTCTCCGACTCGTCGTCATCATCGTCGTCGTCGCCGGAAGCCCTGCCTACGTGCCTCCGAAGGTCCGCGGGAGAGTCACATCGCTTCAGCGTCCAGAGAGCTTCGATCTTGGCCTCGGCGGCTGTGCAGCCGGCATTAACGAAGCAGATTTCGAGATTTTCAAGAATGGTCGAGGCCGAGTCCTCCACAGTCGCCGGCAGGTTGCCCAGGCAGTATGCAAGTGAGCCACTATGGCCGCAGGCGGCCTGGCTTGCCAGCTCGCGGCTCTGGCTCCTGAGGCATTGTGACGACCGATTTGCGTCGGTTCCGCACGCGAGAAGGAAGGCGATGAGAGAGGTTGATGATGTCGTCGGGAAGAAACGCATTTTGGCGGTCATTCAGGGTCCAATCAATTGAGTTTCGCGTCTCTCTCACCCATCCACGGGATCGGCAACTTGCAGAAAAATAGGGGTCCCCGAGAGACAAATTTTTGGGTACGAGACGGTCGTCAGAAGGCTGGCATAACCTCAAATCTACAGCCGCCTAAGTTGTAGGGCCGACAAAAAGCAGAAACGAGGCGCCTGAGACGAAAAATCAGAAAAGAAGGACGGGTTGTGTGGGATGGGGGGCTGAACACTATTAAATCCCGATTTCATTTCTTTTTCACGGCCTCATTCCCACCTGCACGGACGAGAAGGCGGCATTGGTACTCCGGCAGCCCCTGCACGGCCGGCATAAGGCTGCCTTGAGGTGCTGGGGTCAACCCCCTAGCTTGGTTGGCATTACCGCACCGCCTCCTCTCTGCTTGCCCGTTTAGGGGGAGTGAAATGAAACCCATGATGTTGGGCTTGAACGAGCGAATCCTGTCAGACCATGCAGTGTTCCTAATTTAGTTTTTCTTCTATGGCCAATCAAAGCCCACCGCTTCCTGTGGATGAACCCGTGGCTTGGGTGCATTCAATGGGGGCGCATTCAGAACATGCAGCTAATGAGCAGTTGCAGATGGATTGGGTGGACTCAAAGGCATTTCAGCTCCGTCTTACTCCAACCTAGTCTCTCAGCTGTGTGCTGTCTGGTTACACTGTTACACTGTCAATGGCAAACAGCAAGCAGCTGCAGGGCTGTGAACCACAGATCCCACGATCGCTTCATTTTCAGTTCGTTATTCGGTGACATAAGTGCCAACAGTTTCGTCTCACCCAAACACCAAGACCCCAGATCCACCCACCCACTCAAACCTAGTGACCTAGTAACCTAGTAACTGCATAGGATCCATACTCGGAAATTTTTATATGTCTTTTAAATGCATATTGAGACCTAATTTCTTGTTATATGCATCTCCAACTTTAACCTCTCCTATTCCAGCCTGCTCACTTACTTTCCCAGGCGATTCGCTCTGGGCAGTGAAGCACAGTCGGGACTTAACAGATCTCTGGCATTCCCTTGGACCCTCTTGGGCCCTGTGTTTGCTATAAGTACCGACCCTATCTACTGCCCTTATTGCCGTCATTCTTGCCCTGGTCGTCAGATCTTGGTGATCCAGCCTCAAAATTACCACGTGCTCTGTTTGGCCAACAGATATCTCTACACAGCAAAGGTGCTCCCCGAAATGGCTTTAATATATGCTGCCTAACGTCAGGGAAACCCTCCCAAGGGCATAACTATGTCCCTAGCAAGAGACATCGATGAGTTATATGGCCAGTTGGTGCATGGTCTTGCTTGGCCGAGCCTGATGCGTTGGGCAATGGCATCTTCAGAGCTGATCGTGAGGAAAACCAAAATCTGCCACTATTCGGCGAGCCGATGAGAAACCGAAGCCGGCGACTACTCGGCGAGTCGTCGAGGTTCTGGATGGCCAGAATGAACAGGCGAGTGCCTTGGATGGGATCACTCAAAGGATGCCCAGACTCCATGATTCTAGACAAACTAGTACCTAGGCATTTCGACTTTCCAGATGACATTGCCTTTGTCTTTATTATATCTTCAGGAAACGCCTTGATTTCGCGGGACATTGAAGGGCTGTGAATGATACCCAGCATTTGCTATTGGCACAACAAAGCACTAGTTGAGTCGGAACAAAAAGAGTTGCCAGTCATCTTCCGAGTCGATATAACACTGCCCAACCAGCCTTCTTCTGCTTGTCTTTTTCTTATCCAGTATAAACCATATCTATCCTGAACGTCGTCGCTGCTCCTCATCCATTCTGCATGCTGTGGCCCAGACTCTCCCCTGAGCAGAGAGCACCTGTCGAAGGCGATTTCAGGTCGAGGTACGACGTCGAGAAGGAGCCATGGGTCCCGAACTTCAAACGGTAAGAAAACGAGGGGATCTCTTTGGGGGGTGGTTGAAAACCTATACATCTGCCCAACGTACCATGTGAGATTAATCCGGTGCTTTCGTTTTCCCTTTCCCGTCATTCACCTCAGGTTCGCCAATGGTGTCCTCAGATGTGCTCTCCCTCGAGCGCCTCTCCTCTCTTTTCCACTCCTCCTTGCACTGGACACAGGCCGATCGAGGGTTGTGGCAGACATTGTGAATGTCGCATCGGACAAGGTGGCCTTTGTGGAAGCACCGCGGCTTAGCGATGGCCTTGCACTGCGGGCTGGGATCTCAAAGTCAGCAAATACCGATAGTGTTGGGTCAAGCAGAAGGGGGTGTGAGGAGGCCTTACCAGTGGTGTTGATTGATCCTATTGCTGGGCATTCTGCCCGCGCATGCGACAGGCCCCTTTGTTATGATGGAATTTTTGCTCCTTACGAGGTGATATTATTACGGGCGTATTGTTTCCTGCTTTTGTTTGGAGGAACGAAAGGACGAAATGGAGGAAGTTCCAACTGCAAGGGGAGTATTTATACGAAATCAGTTTGCTTCCAGACCTAGGTGAATTAGAGATCGAGCTCGGGCCGGAAACTGGATGACGATGAGGCTGACGGTGGTCGCTGGTAGAGAAATCAGTGGCCGCGTTGTGAGGTCAAGGTGTGCTTTTGATTTCTGAAGAGGTGAAACACACGAGGTGCGAGGGACAAACAGCAGTAGGTCTTGCTATCAACCTGCTCTTTTCGAACTAGCCGGGGGATCTGGGTGGCGGCCTACAATTCGAGGGCGTGGCACGTTTGCTATTCAGTGCAAGTTGCAACGAAGTTTTGGTGGTAGTGGTAGTGGTTGCCCTGGCAAGCGACTCACTTCTCCGGAACAGGAGGTAAATGGCCCTCTGATGAACCGATTCTCTTTGGAATTGTTTACGAAGGAGGTAGGTAACTCAAGACGAAGTACAGTTAGTTAGTCGTGAAGAGATTGCTTGTCAGGTGGAGAGAGTGAATCCCTGACGGAAACTTCTGGAATACTGACTGAAGCTGGCCAGAATGGGAACTGATGCAAGGAGTTGTGAAGACTTGGGTGGGCATCAGTGTCAAGAGGGGGATGGAAATTGTGGGAGGCATCAATAGGTAGAACCGAGCCAAGAGAGTTCTGGGGGGGGACAGTAAAGAGCCAAACGCGTTCATGAGTAGCATGTAAGTGAGTAGTTTGACACATGGGTTTCTCCAAGGTGCACTGAGAGCGTAAATACGAGAGGTGTGCTACTGAGACTCTGTCGTGGTCCAGAACGGATATTGTCGCAGGAAGCTTCCCTGTTAAGCACGGGGGCATGACGGGGTATGCAGCAAGCCGGTCACCGATGCTTCGAGCCGGTGCCATCTAGGGCTAGAGTGGCTGTCGTGTGCATCTTGTATGACTTGAGGCCTCATTTCTCCTCGAGATGAGCTTCTGCTTCAAAAATAGGAGCCCTGCCAAGGAGATATGTGCCAGCCGAGCTCCTTCGTGGCCTCCCAACAATCGGACTCGTTGTTTGCAACTTGGGTCGCAGAAGACAGGGGATAGGAATGAGCAGAAATGAACCGGGAGGATACGTATTCATCGGCGAGATTCTTCACCATAGCAATAAGGGTGATCGTGTGTTCCATCGCTGCCATCGTCAGCTAGGCGCTGCGTAACAGCACATTCGTAGCTAAGAGTCTACCTAACGCCCCACGCCTCTCCCAGGCTGGCAACTTATGACCTATCTATTACACGCCGCTTCAGTCCGCTTCAGTAGAAGTAGAAGGATTTCATGCTGTGCTTCAAAGCCTGATTCGGTCGAAAAATGAGGAACGAATGTTAGACAGAACGAGGGAACGGCGTCGCCCCTGGTTACGCAGCATTCTCCTGCCCTGCCAGTCCCCCAGGTATTCAGCTCCATTTTCAGGAGGGCAAGTAATGGGCTTCCCACCGTTCAGCTATGTATGAGTTATATCGAGGGCCGAACGCTGGCGTCTGTATGATCATCACTCGGCAAGGCTGTTAAGGAACAAGTGTGCCACGATATTTGGGATATTATTACCCAAGCTACGCCAAATCCACCGCCCCAAGTCTCTCAACCCTCCTGAATATTATAGCAATACCAAGGGCTCTCATTTTCTCGGTGTTAGAGGACGATACGGCCCTCCGCGCTCGTATACCAGTGCTATGTCAAACACAACGGACTGTCGTATGTCGATGGGAAGGATCTACCTGGTATGCTCTCACGCCCAGCCTGCTCCGTCTTCACGCACGGCGACATACGCCCTGGGAATATCTTGGTGAATAAGCAGAGTCAGATCGTGGGACTCCTTGATTGGGAGAATGCCGGGTTTTATCCAGACTACTGGGAGTACGCCATGACGATGAGACTTATGCCGCGGAGAGGTCATGAATGGCAGGCATTCATGAAAAGTCTGAAGCCGAAGAATTGGGATATTACTGGCATCGAAAAGGCACGGCGGGGTTTATGCATTTTGTCGAGGCTTAGCAGGGCCGGCCGGACCGTCAGGGGAACGTAGGTATATACGTCATCGGTTCTGGCCATTACAATGCTCATACATAAATTGAGCTTCTGCCCCATCCCATGTGCCCATCCGACTCTGCTTCCAAAAGGAATTCTTTGACCCAAAGCCTCCATCACTGTTCTCGTACACTGCTGTCACAATGCCTCTCGTTGTTCCCGGTATCAATAATTCCTTGTCTGGCGAAAAGACCGAAGAATGGACGAACAAACTAGTGGGCAAGACGCTGTCCGAAGACTCTAGCACGGAGACTGTACGAAATCCTTCCCCCGTAATTGAGTTGAGAGGGACAGCATACTAACGTCGTCCTCATCCATAGACATTCTGCAAACGCGACCTCCCGCAGCCGACTCGCGTGGTCCAACCGGGGATGATGGTGACCAAAGATTTCGTCCCCGATCGGATGAATGTATACTTGAAGGATGATGGGACAGTCTCGCATGTCAACCACGGATGAGGGGCAACGTCATCCGCATTCCTGTGAAGATAAGAAGAGGGGTATTTCTGAGCGGGGCTCACCAGCGATAACACCCGCCTTGTGTATCGGTATCAACCCCCGAGAGATGTGACAATATCATTTCTAAAGGCTTATAAGTTGGTCTCCATTGCTCCCGTGATATACCTAGGTAGATAGATGGTAGGGCAGGTAGGTAGGTGCCTTGTTCCCTGCGACCGCCCGGCAGGGTTCCTCTGAGGGCCCCGCGATGACGACACTGCTGGGGGATATCAGATCTGGGCCCCGCCAGATAAGAAACTTAGCCCCACCAACTAAGTGCGGGGCAGCAACGACCACACCCAGCACAACAACCGCGTTCTGTATCATCAACCGCCAGCAAAATCAAGCTTTGCTAGGGGCTGGTTCATATCCTATCCCCTACCTCTCGAGTAAAACCGCCAAGATGTTCAAGAAAGAGTCGGTTCCCCCAGCTCTCTCCAAACCTTCAATCGGCCATTACCCAAGCTAACCCGAATGCCCAAAAAAAAGTCTCTCCCCGACCGCCAAGCAAAAGCTCAAGTCGTCCGTCCAGCGGTCGCTCCGCCAGTCGCTGCTGACGACGTACCCGCTCCTCAACCCGTACATCGACGAGGTGCTGCCGAAGAAGGCGTCTTTGTCGCAGATGAAGCTGCCCGACCGCGCCAGCGTCTACGTGCTCGACAACGGCGCCCCGCTCTTCTTCCAGAACGACACGGGCGCCCCGCTGCTGCCCCACCTCAGGCTCGTCCACCGCTTCCCGCAGGCCTTCCCGACCGTCCGCATCGACCGCGGCGCCATCCGCTTCGTCCTCAGCGGCGCCACACTCATGGCCCCCGGGCTGACCAGCGCGGGCGGCAGGCTGCCGCGGCCGAGGGAGGGCGGCGGCGGGGACGGGGGTGAGGGCGAGGGTGAGGGCGAGGGCGTCGACGAGGATGGCCACTGGAGTAGGGAGCTGGAAAAGGGAGAGCCCGTGGTGATTATGGCGGAGGGGAAGGAGGAGGCTTGCGCCGTCGGGCTGTTGGTCGCTGGCACGAAGGACGTCAAGGAGAAGGGGAAGGGCCCTGTGGTGGAGGAGGCGCATTTCCTTGGCGATGGGCTTTGGAGGTTGACTACGGATTAAAGTGAAGGAGATTGGAGGGTTGGATTCGAAGAAGTTTCCTCGCCTCGGGGGTTTTGGCAAAACTGGGTTAGGGATGGCTGGGATCTGATCGTCGCTCAGAGGAGATCGATGGCAAGGGAAACATATCACACCTGCACGACGGACGGAGAAGGAATTCAAGGGCATGTGCATATTGAGATGCTAACTGAATCCGGGGAGCAGTGAAGCTCCGTCGAAGGCCATCTAATAACTAAGAGAAACAACCCGGGGTTTCCTGGTATTTTCTGCACCTCCGTCGCAAGTATAATCTATTGTTATCCTCCGAACTCTGTCGGCCATAGCAAGACCTTGGAGGAATCACTTCCCACCAGCGTCATAATTATTGACCCTCGAATGAGGAGAAAGAAAATGAAACGACAATGGGTTCTCCAGCGAATCTTCCCAAATCGTTGCCAAAGTGGCCGTTCTCGATGCCGAGCTTAGAGAGCATGTTGGTGAACCAGCTCTCGGCAGATAGCACCTGCTGCGATTCCGTTGATCTGGTGGAAGCAAGAATCGAGAAGCTTCCGAGGGCAGGCACTCAGCAGAAGTTGCAAGAAGTCCTCCGGGAACACGAGCTGCAGATACTGGGCCGGCAGCGTCTTAGCCCGAGCGTACGCCTCGGCGGTGTCCTGGACTCGCATCCGCTGGACTTGCATGCGCGTCACTGACGAGATGACCGAGTGAGGGAAAAGGTAAGGAGCCTCGGGGTCCTGGAGCGCCATGTTGTACTCTCCCTCCCAGAAGTCCCGGAGAAGCGCGATATGGGCCGTGAACGCTCCCTTGATCCAGAGATTGACTTTGTGCATGCCGAGGATGTGCGCCAGGTCCCACGCGGACATCAGCTCGCAGAAGTCGCTGCGCTTGCCGCCGGCAAGGGGAGGGGCCGTCCCACCGCTCAGGAGGATGCTGTATAGGAGCACAAAGCTCCCCGGGTTCACGGTGAAAGGTTCATTCCACATGTCAACGACGTAGGTGACTCGCCCTTCCTGGGTCGTGGCCAAGTTGGGATTGCTGAAGATGTCCCGGAAATACGGGGAGAAGTCGACCAGGAGCTTCTTGCACGCCATCATGGAGAAGTTGCCGTGAAAGTGATGGCGGAACTCGATTTCGACGGTCGGGCCCGACAAGGCAAACACGAGGTAGTCCGACCAAGTCGAAAAGTCTTCAAGCGGCGTACCGAGGTGGGCAATCTTGAACAGGGTCAGTTATATTCGACTCGCCTGGAGAGTTTTCTCAAGAGAGCATACCTCATTTCTAGTCGTGAGAATTCTCGGATAGCAGATCGGGTCGGCCTGGCCAGGTACGGGCTCAGGATCGGGCACAACTTCCATGGCAGCAAAACCAGTGGAACAAGCCTAAGATGAGGAGGTTTGGGACGGATGGGGTTCGGAACCTTCTTATCGTTGAGGCACACGTACTTTTTCTTCACCACGAGGAAGTGGTGATGCTCTTGCCAGCGACCTGAGGTTGAGCCTCTTGGTTTACGAGATGGAGGAAAAGCGGAAGAGCAGGAAATTTTCGAGATTTTATAGAGGAGCCTGTCGTCACCGTGGTTGAGTAATGAATACACCTGGTACCTTTGGTTGAATTCATATTGAATATAAACCCTTGACTTGAATTGGGGCAGGCGACAAGGTTACCAAAGAATAGACTCTTGCACATCCGACCAGCCGATCTGTCTGGGTCGAGATGAATTAGTAGGCGTGTTAGACACTGAATAGTTATACGATAGCTGCTTATGGACCTGGGAGTGATTATCAAGTTTGGCTTTACATCATCTTCAAGTCTTTTGTTTTACTGTAGTTGTCTTTCTTGAACTACCTCATAATGATATTGTCCGTCTGGTTTCATGATGCCTTACAAACAGACAATGTAAAGGGAGCTTTTTGCCCTGATGGGAGCTCATCGGATGGCGTCCAATATGGTGAGCGTTGAGCATCGCTGCAACCACGACAAGGTTACTTACGGTCGAAAAACGGCGGTATTAGGACCTTGTCGTTGTGTGGCAAGGGGTGTTGTTCGATGAACCTGGCGAGGACTTGCGTCTTGTCGGCAAGCAGGCGTCAAGCCTTGTGGTTGGCTTTGTCCTCCTGGATGGCCTTGCCCCGCGCAAGGTAAGCAATCATAGTTATTGTTTTGGGTGGAGAGTTTAAAGATGGTGAAAAGCATTGTTAGACACTTGATGGGTATACAAAGGCCATACTGTAGATCATGAAGTGATTAAGATACTGGCTTTTTGTATGGTTGATTCAGTCTCTTGCTGTCTTGTCACTGTCCAGTGCAGGATTTAGTGTACATTGGTAGGGAATTTACTCCCCTTGATTCAACACAAAAGAGCAAAGAGGAATTATCAAGAGATATCCTAGACATGGCTATTCTGGAGAAAATGGAAGGACCTGCAGCTAGACGTTCGCGCATGAGGCAAAGAAGAGCGGCTGTAATGTCGACTCGGAACTTCGATTCTGCATTAAAATATCACATGGCGTATTACATAGCCAACTCCACTTCATATGGGATTTGGTTTTGTCTAATAGCATGAGTGGTTGTGGCTGTTGTCTAGGTTTATTTGTTTGCTTGTTTCTTGGGTAAGGGGCTCATGGGTTCAGGGGTTCAGGGGTAGCTCGACTACTTCGCGCTGGTCCGCTGGTTATGACTATGCCTGAGAAGCGGCTGGTCAAGGAGACCATCTACAAGATCGGTTGGGCTAATAAATCGGGGCATATCGGTACAAATAGCTCTAATTAGACCAGCTCGCAGCAAGTACTGTGCAACCTGATTCCCTCCACGCTAGGCCAATGCTGCTGTAATTCCTTTGGAATTCCTCAACCATGAGTCTCAAATCCTCATCGTCCCACTATCCCTCCTCACTGCTCAGGAGCTTTCTAAGTGTATGGTTCTGGGAGTAAGCGCCGGCAACTAGGAAATCTAGGGACCGACGCTTGAGAAACAGATGGCAGGCCACTGCATCTTCAGCAGACGATCGTCACCCTCGGCCAGTCTCTCGTCAACTTCGGGTATCTTGGCATTCTCGGTGTCGGGCGCTGCCATTGTTCTATAACCGAGCAACCAAGATTGGCGTCGATAACAGCCCAGCCTGCCCAGCCTGCGGGCTATTTTGTTGACCGAGTTGGTCAAGTCGCGCAGTCGTGTCCTTGGTGAGGCATCTTTGCTGGTACCGCAGGCACTTGTGACGCTCAAACCAAGGTGAGGTCTGTGCATTATATGCCAATCACACCCTTCAATTATGCGGGGGGATGATTTTTGCCTGAGGCACAAGGGTTAAGGTTCGAAGCAGGGGCCGCAGCTGCATTAATTATGACGATATGCGAACCCAACTGCCAATCAGTTGCATGGGAACCCCTCTCTTTCTCGACTGATGTCGCTGAGGAGGAACCCGAACAACCCATCTTCAAGCTGAATCTTTGCAGCCACCTACAGACCATTTCCTACCTGCTGGCAAACAGATAAAATTCCGCGATCATGACTTCCCGAGGTGTTTCCACGTTGAAATTCGTGGGAACTGTCTCGCTCGGTCTCTTGACGGTAAGCACCATCGCGCTTTCCTTGCTCTACAGTCGAGAATCCGGTGTGGCAAATGGGGCAATGGGGAGAAGATGGTTCCGGACATGAATGGGGACCCGCTATCGAGGCGCATGACATGGGAGTACAGGACCAGGCCAAGATAATGTCACGGAGAACGCGGCTGGTTGTCGCTTGCTTGGCCTGTATCGGTCGGAACCGTCGTGCCACCGCGAACCTACACTCGACCTAGGAGCCAGCACAGGAGGACGGCCGAGGCCGAGAGAAGGTGCCAGGCAGAACGATCTCGATCGACAAATGCCCCCCAAGCTAACCTGAACGAGAGCTACCCGTACATTGAGCGAAGTGCGAATGACAATGGGTCCACCTCTGGGCGCTGGGGTCAAGCTTGATGGCTATGGGTTGCTGGGCGTTCATTGGGAAATGATTGTCATATCTCATGAAGAGCAGTTCATCAGCACCGGAACGAAGAATGCTAACTGATGGCACCGGCTCTAGGGACTTTCTTTTACACTCTCGACCTTGACGGTCCCGACCCTCCTGACATTACCGTCAGCAAGTACTGCCGCTCGAGCGTTCGATTCCCTCGCATCGACAGCGAAGAGGCAGCTCCGAACCCTAGCTTCAATTTCTGGTTCGGCGTTCCTGCTGGCATTCCTATTGTCGCCTCGTCCTTACCGCCATCCCTATCTTCTGTACACATCCATTCTGGTCGCTAGCTCAAGGATAATCACATCGGACTTTGTTGCGCCGTACCTCTTCTTGAGCAAGCCGTCGTCATCGCCCAGTTCTTCCTCGCCAGCTGCAGCCCCCCGAAAGCAGAAACAGGAGGCTGTCTCGCATTCCCCCATGGAGGCTAGCTATGAGGTGCTCGGCTCCGGCTCGGATGGGCACAACGAGGGGGCAGGGTCAGGGTCTGCAAGCGGAGAGGAGTTGGAGGGAGAGGATGAACAAGCTCAGCAGATGAATGGGGAGGAGGTGCGCCGCAAGGTCGAAGGTTTCTTGAAGAAGCAGATGGTTCAGACTGCCGTTAGCGGATTGGGATTTCTCATGGCCGTTGTCGGCATCTGGGGTGATGGTGCAAACCAAATCATCCAGAGTGACGTGTTATTTGTTGAAGTTTAGAGAGGAGTCAGCAATCATTTAGGGGGCTGGAGCGGGTTGTTTTTCTCATCGCACTGCGAGCGGCGCTGCTGTGCCATCTCACCTCAGTCAAAGTTCGATGACATGCCATGGCGGTCGTTGCTAACTAAGGAAAATGGAAGATTGACTATTGGTAGTGTCTACTAAGACAAGTTTTGGTTTCGCATTGGCTGTTCTTATTCATCAGATGCTTGGAGAGGCATTTGGATTACTAGCAATCAACCACCAGCACGACACAACGTGGGCTGATCTGTATTGATTATTGTAGACCCTGGGGGTGACGATTGTACATTACTACATTATGCAACCCGCTATGCAACTGGCACTCCTACCCGTGAACGAGAAGGGCGAGGGATGCTCACGGTATGTTCGTTTTAGCCCTGCTGATCGTCACCTTTGTAGGCAGTAGAGTGGTGAGATGGCTTTCGTCAAATGATTTGTATTTTACGGAATCAGCGGCTGTAACATGTGATCTGCCCGAGGCTGATCCTATACTTTCCCCCATGTACTAGCAGTAGGGCTGTCGGCCTCAGGGCCTGTGAGTTGTAGGGGACAAACTCTTTACATGCATACGCATAGTCTGGCGCAGCCAGCCGGGGCGGAATATGTCGGGAAGTTGCGCAGGGAAATGAAGATAGGGCTGGAAACCGGCATTGAGGCTCCAGTCGCAGGACAGTCGCGGCTCTGACAAGTACCTATATTACCAGCACTGTCTCTCATTCATGCTGCCTGAACCAGTGTCTGTAGGTACAGTACTTACCTGGCGATCATCAGTTAATTGGTCAAGTTGTTCGTTGGGTGCCACTGGGTGCCAACTTGCCAAGGCACACCTTCCGGATTGGACCGCAATTGTCAAATCTCGGCGGCGTCTCAGCAAGCGCAATTTGGAGCCAACCTAGGGTGCGCCCCAGCCCAAGCAGCACTAGGTAGTGTTTCCTCCATCCACCGCGTCCCTGTCTGTCTGCCTGCCTTATTAGCACCGCAACCTCCCCGACTTATTCTGTCGATAACGACTACCGCCAAACGAGTTCGCGACAGTCGCGTCAATTCGAGAACCATATTGCAAGAGGGTAGAGGTGCTGCGCTGCACTGTTGCTGCTGCCTGCTGCGAATTTGGGTTCCTTGCCGGGACCATTCTTGATTTCCACGACGTACCCCGCCGGACCTTCACCGACAGCACAGGCAGCACAGGCAGCGAAGAGGGACCACCAGACGCAGAGAGGAAGGAGAAAGAGCAGTCTCTTGAGCGATACATACTGTTTCTCGCCGAACACCGTCCGAAGGTCGGTCATGATAAGCTTCCTCAGGCTGCGGCTTTAATCCAGACCTGTCTCTCCTGAAGGCACCCCGGGGTACGTTCCCCACCACCTACACAGCCCTATCGGTGGCAACGCGAATCGCCAAACCCCAAACCTCCGCGACAGCAAACCCAACTCGAAGCGCAACGATAACTACCTAAATAATAAAGGTCGGGTGGAACCAAGAAAAGATAGAAAGGGATTGCGCCGGGAATCTCGCAAACGCCGTCCCGATTTGTGGCTAGTAAGCCGACACTACAGTGCAATCCTCCCACCCGAATCCCCACTCACTCCCTTGTCTAGGCCCAGAGGCTCTCTGGGTTACGAGGCCTTGCCTCTTCCATCAGACCTAGCAGTCGGCAGTCTTCCTCGGGCGGCTACAGAAAGACCGGGTGTACGCGCAAGTGTCTCATCTTCTGCCGCATTGAGTTTCCACATATTGTTGGTTCTGTGTCAGCGTGCAGACTCGCGTAAGCACAGCCTCAATCGACTGCGTGCACTGCCACGCGCCCCCCTAAGGCTGACCACCGATCTGCCTCGTCTCAATTCTAAAGACAGCAACACCACACGTCACATCCAATGGATCAGCAGCAGTCCCAGGGCCGGGGCCGCTCCCCCTCGGTCCATTCTACCGGTGGAGGGCAATCACAGCACCAGCCTCACATAAAGAACCGACACTCTCCCTCGCCTGCCGGCTTCCCTAATCCGACCGGCGCCACATCCCCCTCGATTGGACTCGGACTCGGGCTCGAAGGCTCAGCACAGTTCGGTTCGCAGCCCGATTACTCCACATACGATTCGAATAACAACGACAGCAACAACTTCTTGAATCCCCAGCAGCAGCCAGCCTTCTCCCAAGGTGGCTTAGCCGACCCCGCACCGTCCTTCAACCTCGATCAAGGCTTCACCCAGCAGCTAAAGAGTGACGACTCTGCCTTCAACCCTCAGGCTCAAGGCAGCTACTCGCAGAGCCTCCTGGCACCGAGCTTTGGCGACGCCGACTTTACCATCTTCCCATCGACAGCGGGAGAACAATTCGGCGCGCCTCTCTTTTTTGGTGACAATCAGCAGCTCGGCACCCCCGACAACAACATGATGGCCTCGTCGCAACCACATAGCCCGACACCTCCCCACCTCCTCAACCCCGATCCGCATCAGCCGTCGTCGGCAAATCACTCGCCCGTCTTTAACCAACACCAATTCTCCTCGCCCCCGGGTGGACATTCTCACTCTCGAAATGTCTCGCTTGGTCCCGAAGCTGCCCTGCTACCCCACCAGGTAGATTGGAGCCAGAACCAGTCGCAGTTCCAAGGACATAGGCGTAGTCCGTCTGAGTACTCGGACGTATCATCTGTAGCACCATCCCCCCACCTTGTCAGTTCAGATACGTTCGACCCGGTCGACCAGAACCACTCGCCGATGCAGCAGCCTCAAGATATTGGCGTGTATAATGAGCTTCATGGTATCTCGAGCTTCAGCATTTCAGACCATGGCACTCACAGCCCAAACCACCATATCGGCAGAAGCCCGTCACATAGCCCCGCCATCTCCCCGCGGATCCTCCCACAGCAGCTGCCAGATATGTCCCAGCAGAATCCCTATTTGCTCCAGTCGCAGGACGGCGGCTTTGGCCCTCCAGCTCCATATGTAATCCAGCCGGGCGAGGCTTTCCCCACGCTCGGCGGTCCGGAGATGCAAGCACCAATGCAAGCCCCCCCAGCCATCAATATTGACTTTGCACCTCCCGCTACAAGGAGCGGCTTTGACCAGTTTGACCAGTCCAAGTCGCTCGATGCAGACTCACTCACGCCGCCGGAGCGAGGTATGTGGCTCCACATCGCGCCCCGTCTTTCCTAAGTTGAAGCTGGGTCAGATGCTAACCGTGCCCCCTCACGCAACAGGACGCCCGAGGTCGCGACCTCGAGCTGTTACGGACCCTTACAACAGCGGCGGTGCCCTGCTCACCCACCGCACTCCGTCTGCATCCGGAAGCCTGTCTCCCAATGCCGGTTCTGATGCGCGTTCTGATTCTTCCCGCTCTCTCTCCCCCTTAGACCGATCTGGCGCTGGCAGCATCGCTACCTCTCCAAGCCGGAGACGGCAGTCGACCTCGGCAGTGCCGAACAATGTGATAGCGCTTCGTCTTGCGGACCCGGAGTACAACGGGCCCGGCTCGCAGGGCGACAGCGTCGCTGGAGGACCCAAGCGGGTGCAGAAACACCCCGCAACGTTCCAGTGCACCCTCTGCCCCAAGCGCTTCACACGGGCGTACAACTTGCGCTCGCACTTCCGCACGCATACCGACGAGAGGCCGTTCGTCTGCACCGTATGCGGCAAAGCCTTTGCGCGCCAGCACGATCGCAAACGGCACGAGGGTCTACACTCGGGCGAGAAGAAGTTCGTCTGCAAGGGCGACCTAAAGACCGGCGGGAACTGGGGCTGCGGGCGGAGATTTGCTCGTGCGGATGCGCTGGGCCGACACTTCAGGTCCGAAGCCGGCCGGATCTGCATCAAGCCTCTGCTCGACGAGGAAGCGAACGAGAGGCTCAGGGTATGGAACGAGCAGCGCATGCAAGAAGCTGCCGCGCAGGGCATGGCGATGCAGGCGCCTGGGATGATGATGCCGGGGATGGATCCCAACGCCGGCGGCGCATACCCTATCGACGCGGGCGGCAACTACGTGCTGCCGCAGGCCCTGCTGGAACAGTACCCAGTATTGGCAACCATGAGCTGGTCGGCTGCCGACATGTCTGGTGGCGGCAGCGGGATGGAAGACGAGATGAGTGGCCGGAGTAGTTTCGATGCCAGTGACTACGACGAAGGGGACGACGGGGGCTATGTCAGCGGCCCCGGAGCCGGCTTTGGCCAGGGAGGCATGACTGAAGGGTTTGGGGAGATGGGCTATGCAAGCGACTATGGAGGCCGTTGAAGCTAAACGCGCTCACGCTTGCTTTTTTTTTTTTCGGTGCTTCTTAAACGGCCGGCTTTCAACATCATCTATTCATGCCTTTAATGCTCGTTTCCTAGGGAGCTGTCTCTTTGTCTTCATGGATGACGAGGTGTATTTTGCCCAGATGAGATAGGGACGGACTGGACTCTCAGGCTGCATCTACCCCATTCCTGTTTTCTGGTTTGTTTTCATTTCCTCGGCTGTCTGCCTCTCTCCTCGTGAGAAATGACTTTTTTCATTGCAGGGTCGTTAGACGTCTTGGGTAGCTGGGCGGTTCTTTTCTTCAGGAAGTGGAGGGGCATTTTGTTATTCGCAACCGCGAGTTTTGGGTATGACGAGGTTGGACTGGACTTGGATTTGAAACCAGCCGGTCTTCGGGATGCCATGCGTATCGTTTGCTTGTTATAGATACCAAATCCTTGGGGTTATGCTTTTGTGGCTATGAAGTATGGACAACCTGGAAGGGGACTCTCTTGGCAAGGTACCTCCTGCCCTTCTCCAGATGGACAAGTGACTGGACCCTGGTAGAAATCCATGGTTGGGACAGAGAAAAGTGGGGAGAAGCAGGTGACTTGAGTACCTAGCGTTATCTAGCCGAACCTACCGAGCGGCGAGCCTCCCACAAGCAGCAAAACCCCTTTCCGAAGTACCGAGCCAGTCGCAATGTCTCCGTGGGACCATGACCCTGCAGCGCAGGCTAGGCGTGCAGGTTTGCGCTTTGCAGGCATCAAAGCTGCAGCAGCATGCAATCTAGCGGGGGAGGGAGGTTTTCTCGAGCAGCAATACATACAGCCTCCTCGCGTAGGTGTATCCCGAAAGTCTACCTTCTAAGGTCGATAGGTGGTGAGCCCAGGCCTGCAATGACCTCTGCAGCGACGGTAGCACAAGCTTGCGAACCCCACACCAGGCCAGCCTGAGCTCCCAAACCTTGCTCCTGCATTACTTCAACCCAATACCACTCACCTCCGCAGGGGCTGAGAGAACGTGGCAGACCGGCCCTGTTTTTGATCTTGGCCCGCCTATCCTTCCCCCCCCTCTTTTTCCCTCCTCCTTCGCGTGGCTTTCCGTCCTTCCTTACCTTCTGGACCCGTCTAGCCTTCCCGGTTTAGTATTATATTGCCGGTTACCCCCAAAGCTGCGCATGTCGCTTATAGTAGGGAACCCACTTTCTCGCCTTAGTCATTGTCGTGTAAGTCACCACGCCCCGCGTTGGAGAGGGCGGGGGAGGTGGTTCCCTCCTCTTTTCTTGTTCCCATGCGTACATTCGCCTTATACTGCATGGTGACTTAACCTTGAAGTCGTCGATTGCCAAGTGTCTGGGAATTTGTCTATATTTCTTCCCTGGTTCTGCCTCTCTCCCGCCTTCTCTGTCTCTTCTGGTTTGGGATAGCAGATGTTGTGTAGAAACTAGGATCGTGTTGGTGCTTCTGAGTCAAACCACCTCCCCACTTTCTGCGTTGATATTTGGGGGAGGGGAGGGGAGGGGAATTTCCACAGCAGCATCAAGATCATACATGAATAGGTAGGTACCTATCTGCCTACCTATGTACATCCATGGATACATACCTACATTCGTACATACACACATGCCTACCTACCTACACAGTTGGATACATGTATATAATATGTGCAGTCTGGCACGCCCGTCCTTGCATATTGCTACTACCCCATGTGGCATGCTTTGGCCACTTCCCCGGCACTCGTTCTGCTTTCCACCCTTCCTCTTCCTACCTTACCTTACTTCCATTCACAGTAACGCCCTCCTACTATACTTCCCACCTCTCATACTACCGAACCGCCGAATAAAAAACCACTCTTCATCTGCAAAGCTCGCCAGGCCGCAGGTTGCACACGCACACACACACTCCCATCCCCCATGTCTCCCCCACCCCAGATAAAAGCCATCACCGTCCTCGCGGGCGGCGGCGCCGCGCTCGCCACCGTCGCGCCGCCCTCCCCCCGCGACGGCTACATGGTCGTGCGCACGACGGCCGTGGCCCTCAACCCGACGGACTGGAAGGCGGCCGAGGGCCGGTTCGGCGGCGCGAAGCCGACGGGCTGCCGGCTGGGGTGCGACTACGCCGGCGTCGTCGTCGTCGAGCCAGTCGGTGCGACCACCGAGAAGTCGTTCCGGACGGGGGACCGCGTCGCCGGGTTCGTGCACGGGGCCAACGCGGGGAGGGCCGAGGACGGCGCCTTTGCCGAGTACGTCGCCGTCAAGGCGGACCTGCAGATCAAGATCCCCGATGACGTGTCGGATGAGGAGGCCGCCACGCTGGGGGTTGGGATCACCACGGTTGTGAGTTTTTGATCTCGTCTCCTTTCTTTTTTTTCCAAATGTTCTTCTTTTTTTTTTGTTTTTTGGGGGGGATTTCTGCGCCAAGTTTTTTAAGCCATTTGGGCGCATTATCCTGTGCCTCTCCCAACTCTCTCCCTCCCTCTTCTTCTCTCCCGTCTGGTTGTCCAATGGCAGCATCTATCGACTTTCCTTCTGCTGGTTAGATAGGAACGCAACACTAAGACGTGACTGCCCCATCCCCTCTCTCCAGGGCCAAGGCCTCTACCAATCCCTCGGGCTCCCGCTCCCAACCGCCCCGGCCACGGAGCCCATCCCGCTGCTCATCTACGGCGGCAGCACGGCGACGGGCCTCCTGGGCATCCAGTTCGCGCGCCTGTCGGGCTGCCGCGTGGTGACGACATGCTCGCCGCGCAACTTCGAGTACGTCAAGTCGCTCGGCGCCGAGGAGGCCTTCGACCACGCCGACCCGGCCTGCGCGGACCGAATCCGCGAGTTCACGGGGGGCCAGCTGCGCCACGCGTGGGACTGCATCGCGTCCGCGGAGACGGCGCGCGTGTGCGCCGCGGCTATGAGCGCCGAGGGCGGCGGCAAGTACAGGAGCTTGCTTTACGTGCCGGACGAGGTGGTCAAGGGCGTGAATCCGGGGGCGAGCAGCGGGTTCACGTTTGCGTATACCGTGTTCGGGGAGGCGTTTGAGAAGTTTAGGAGGTTCGAGGCGGTCGAGGAGGACTATGAATTTGGGAAGATGTTCTGGGAGCTGAGCAGGGAGCTGCTGGCTGCGGGCAAGGTCAAGGCTGCGCGCCGGGATGTGAATCGGGGTGGAAAGGGGTTGGAGGGCGTCCTGGTGGGGCTGAAGGAGATGAAGGAGAATAAGGTCAGCGGCATGAAGCTGGTTTACACTTTGTAGAGACGTGTGAGGATGGAAGATGGGAGGGGCGGCGACAAGGTGCTTCGCTAGAGACTTGTATTACACACCCTTGGCTAGTAGCGATCCCACGGCGCCGGGGAAGAGGGCCGCTAGACAGGGGGGCGTGGACGAGAGCTTCGTGGCCTGCACGCTATGCTTTCGGCAGCTAGAGCCCTCATAGCACCAAGAAGGCCTCACTTTATTCGCCCTCGACAGTGGACACCATGCCCATGCTCATATTCATGTTCTGGTGCGATGGGGAGGTGTCGCCTGGGGTGTGCTCTGCCCATTCTCATGCCCACCTGCCCACGCCGCCAAGAACAAGCTGATCGACAAGGCGTTGCAGAATCTCCTGATGTGCCGAGGCGAAGCTGCGCTTCACAAACGCCTTCACCAGGGTCCCGCACTCTATCTGCGCGATTTCAAGGAGCTCGAACCCCTGTGCTGCGCCGGGGTCGACCGCAGCCGCAGCGACATCGGCGGCGTCGTCGTCGTGTGGGACCTCGCCGCGGCGGCGGACCTCGTAGCTGCTGCGCACGGTGACGCCCGCCTGGGCGTCTGCGCGGCAGCGGACGCCGCGGTCGAAGCTCTGGAACACGCAGGGGACGGTGACGGCCTTGGTCGCCCAGGCGACTCCCGGGATGACGGGGACGCGGTCGTGCACGGTGAAGGCGCGGAGGGAGCGGCCGTCGTCGCGGAAGAAGAGGTCGCCGACGAGGTCCGAGACGGGTACGGCCCGGCGCTCGTAGCCGACGACGTAAGGGTTCGCGGTGATGAGCGGCTCGAAGGCGTGGAGGGCCTGGAGGACTGTCTCCGGGGCCAGGTGTGGGGGTAGCGGGACCCTGGTGGTGATGGTTATTGGGCTTGGCATTGTTGCGGAAGGTCACTTTGTTTGGATTTCTGGCGCTGCCGGGAGCTTCAATTATGTCCGCGGAAAAAAAGACGGCAATGAAATAATATGCTTGTCGAGCCGACGACTATCTCATCGCATTGGGCTCTGATCCCGTGCAAACTGAAAGTAAGGTAGGTGGTAGAGCAAAGTAAGCCAAAGCTCCCAATAGAGTTTAGTCTTCTAGATTGCGGCAGTGCCGTTTTGTCAGGCTTTGGGGCGTGAGACATGATGGCAACTACTCCAAGACGTACTTGTAACGGAGTTATTAGAGTTGACTTGAAACAAGCAATGATGGTATTCTTAGCAGTTTTGATACACGATCTTGAATCCTTGATCCCCGTGACACAAATGTTCTGGAACCCTACCGTGTATGAGTCGATCGTCCAATACGGTCCAAATAACCCGGGCGACTTGCGTCATCACTTTTGGTATTTTAGCAGAACGCGAAATGAAGAGTCGCAAGCCATAATATTAGCCCTTTTTTTTTACCACAGTAATAAGCCGTTGACTCTTCTCAAGCACTCTAGGAACAACTGCGAACGACGCCCTTTCCGGTAGGGCACTACGTAATGAACTCGACGACATGGGACTCCTGGTCAACTGCATTTTGTGTCCAGTCAGACTTCGGTCTAGTGTAGGTTGGCAGGGCTGAATCGAATCAAACATGTACTGCGTATATATGTTCCTAGATGCTCGAAGCAATGAAACAGCAGCAGTCGGGAGGATCTCCTTGATCGGCACAACGAGGCCAAAGAATGACAGCTGCTGCCTAAGCCCCATTATTTCCACTTCAGGTCTTACCGCTTCCACAGCAAACTCAAGAAGACTCAGCCCGACATTCTGGGACCGAAATGCCGGCCCGGACTGCGTCGGGAATGAGAAGGGCATTTTGCCCAAGCGACGAACCCCGGCCCTCTGGATCCGCTGACTTGGGGCTAATTCGACCTCGGGTAACAAAGGTATGTATGGTGGTATGGACGCGCCTCCTTTTCGAGAGACGCGCCGCTCGAGAAAAAATTTACTGTCTCCTCTTTTGCCGTGAATCACGCCAAATTCTTCCACCCAGCCGAAGCGCATCAATTCGACAAGATCTGGCGGTGAGCAGGGTGGATATTACGCCGTTTCCTGTTTTGGCAAGGGACGACCAGGGTCCAATGTGGGACGGCGCATCCCGCGGTCCACAAGAGCTGCATCGGGGCTGACCCAAATTCCCACTGATTCAAGAGCGGAACGCCATCTTTAGTTCCCGAACAAATGGGAATCGAATGTGGAGATTTCCTGTCAAGACTCGCTCGTCCCCTGGCGCTGATGTCAGAGACTCGGTGAGTTGCCAAAGTTTTGAATTTTAAGGGGAACAGGTCACAGGTCGGACAGCCCCTATATTCCGAAAACGGACGACGTTAATACTGGCGCAGCCCTTGGGACGTTCAACTTGCATGCTGCGAATGCGATGCCGCTGCAGGCCAGACATCTTGCAGCGATGCCGTAAACGTGGAGGGCTCGCGGCGCATCATGTAGGGCAAATATGGCCTAGTCTCCTGTGGGTAAGGTAACAAACACTTCGCTAATGGCGCATCGCTGCCCAGCATGCAGTGTATCGGTACCTATCGCCTACGAGGTACGAGCTGCGCAGCCAACCAATTTCGACCCATTCCCTGGCGATTCTCAAGTCCGCGTCGGGTACCTACAAAAAAGTAAGTTGATATGCGTCATGCTGAACACCGATGCGACGCGCGACGCGATTTCGCGGCCTGCAATGACGAATGAACCGAACGCACTGTATGATGGAACAGATCATCATTTTTTCCAAGGGACACGATTCACCAAACTCCTCCCTTGCCTGCCACTCTACCAGCAGCCCAGGTTAAGCAAGGCTGGCGGGTGGAGCCGGATAAGGGCTCAAGCAGGGGTTGTGATACACAAGATCAATGATACCTGCTGACATGGGTGAAGGAGGGGGAGAGGAAAAGAGAAAAAAGAAAAAGAGGAAAGGAGGGGCTAAAAAAGTTTCAGGCGGGATGAAAACCAAGTTTCGTCACAACTCCTTCCCAGCATCGTCCATGTTGGTTGCCCGCTGCTCGAATTGACACTTGACAACCTAGGTAGGTACCTACTTACTTGACAGAGGTCAGCAGGCTACCTAAGGTTCGGCCCCATGTCTGTCTGGTCTTTTGGCTCTTTCCCACACCCGGCCGTGGTGCCCCCATTCTCGGTAGCCCGTAGCCCCTAGCACCATGTCCGTCGTGACCTAGTCTGGAAGGAACGGGTCAATCACTCCCTTGCTTCGTCCAATGACACTGCTCCCCAACCATCCAACAAACAACCCGCATCAATGCATTCACAGTGTCAGAAATATTCCCGTCCACTCTTTGCAGCTTTCCTCCCACCCGGCCTCTCCCTCGAACTCTTGGCCTTATACCTGCCTCCTCCCTGATACTTGGGTCTTCTCTCATTTGACTCACTATTTCCTGCTCACCTCAGTGTCTTCCTGTACGATAGCAGAGGAAGGGGAGCGCACAGGTGCTACAGCTTATTGTCCAGAGTTACCAATTTGGTACGCCGTAATTGACGTACGGATACTTGGCCAGCTCGTCCACTCTCAAATACGGTGTTACTTCCCGTGCATGAATACCTCGGTTTTGGATACCTTCCATACTTTACTTGCACTCCATCTATTCCCTACATCCAGTCCCCCTTTGACCCGGCCTTTCCATTCTCTGGTAGGCTGATTTAGGTTCTTCCCCCCCCTTCCATCTGTGGTGCAGGAAATACTTCGTAGGGAGGCACTTATCTGCAAGGCAAGCAACAGTCGTGTGGTTGCACAGCACCCACCCAAAAAAGCTACACCAATCCCGTGATACCGGCTCGTCAATCCCAGATCCAGCAGGACCATTGGTCCTCGAGACAAAGCCATTTTTTACTCACCGTCGAATCTCAGCGCAAGAATCAGGTACTGTAAGGAGAAAACGACCATCCCTTGCCTCCCTCCCTACTGCGGTACCTACCCATCCGCTTCTGATTCAGCTCCGACAACTCTGCCAACTCCCCTCAGCCTTGCGCCGAACACCCTTTTTTTTGGGCAAGTCCTCGATCCTTACCTCCCTCGCTACACTGTCATCGAATACTCCCTCGGCACTCCGGACTACTTGTCTGTCTTGCGAAAAGCTGCTCCACATGAGTTTGACACCCGTCCGTCGACAAGCCGTCAATCCATCAGACAACCAGGATGGCCGCCGAGGTTCTGCCATTCCACGAAAGCTGGACAGAAGACGCTGCATTTGGCTGGCGAACGACCCAGCGTTTGACGAAGGGGACTGGGTTGGATGACCTCTTGTTGAAGTGGAGGCTGGGCCTCATCTCGCAAGCATGGGTTGAATTGTGCACAACGATAAAGGTAGGTGCTGCACCGCGATATGATGCTGGGCTCTTCTATCTACAATTCATGTATCTCTTCCTCCGAGCTCGCTCAATCTTCCCGAGCTATGCTACTCTCGATGTTACTTCCTGATTAGAACGGCGCCACTCTCTAGATGCCTCAAAAGACATACACTAGACCTTGTCTGCTGAAGCGACTAGCAGTCGCAGCAGTTTCCTTAGCTTTCTCGCGCCAACCCGCCCGCCCCCTCAAGGTTTCGACTATGTCTGTTACTAATACCTCCAGTAGGAAAGAAATGCAACATGCTCAACTGTTCCCAAGCCGCTTGTTATTCTCGACATCCGTCCGAAAGCAGCTCGCTGCCAAGGCACCTCCTCCCCTTCGCCGGCCGAATCCGATCCTGAACTGCCGTCATCTATACCACATGACCCTACGGAGACCTGCGCGCTTGCACAGTCCCGTTTACCACCTTCAGAGAGCCTTCCGGTATCCTCTCCAATTTCTAAGTCAAGCCCCGAGCGTAGGAGAAGACCGGAAGACGATCTGCTCGCCGACCCCTCTACGGGCGCCTCGGTCGACTTCACTAGCGAGGAAGGTTTCTGGCAAGCTGCAAAGAAGAAGAAGGCCAAACAGCCGGTGAAGTGGGGTGACGACGAGCCGAAGGAGGGTGGTGATGGGGGTGATGCCGGGAACAACGGCGGCGATGGTGCTGCAGGCGGTGATTCAAACAACGCTGGCAGCGAGGGCGCCAACGGAAATGGCGACGACAAGAAAGATGACGACAAGAAGGATGCTGGCGACGCCAACCCTGACGACGACTGGGGTGACTTTACTTCTGTAGGCAAGAAGAAGAAGGGCAAGAAGGGGACCGCTGCCACCACGGCGAAGGACGAGAAGGACTCGGGTGCCGCATCATCCGGGTTAGATGCCTTCGATGATATCAAATTGGACGAGACAGGGCCCTCCCTCGATCTGAGTTTCGGTGATACCGCGCCAGACAAGAAGACCTCCTTCGGTTCCTGGGGCACAAGCTGGAACACCGGCAACACCTGGGATTTCTCGGCCGCCAACGCGACCACAGACAGCAAGCCAAAGGAGGAAGAATTGGACAACAACCCCTGGAGTATCAACCGACCCAAGCCCAAGAAGAAGACCAAGACCACTTTCAGTTTCGGGGCCCTGGATGAGGCTGAAGAGAACAACGAGGAGCCCACTATCATTACCGAAGAGAAGGAGGAGAAGAAGGACGAAGATGACTGGTTCACGGCCGCTACATCTAAGAAGGACAAGAAGAAGAAGAAGAACATCTGGGACCCCGAGCCGGAAGATACCAAGGCGGTTGAGCCTGAGCCTGAGCCAACCCCTGAGGCGGCCCCTCCTCCACCTGAGGATGATTGGTTTACACCAGCCGCTAAGAAGGATAAGAAGAAGAAGAAGGGCGCCGCCACGTTTGAAGAGCCCAAGATTGAGGAACTGCCGAAGCCGGCTGATCCCGAACCCGAGCCTGCCGACGACATCTGGGGCACTGCCACCACCAAGAAGAAGAAGAAGGGCAAGGCAACCGAAATCGAAGAACCGCCTAAGGAGCCTGAGCCAGTTCTTGAGCCTTCTGAAGACATCTGGGGAACTGCCGTCACCAAGAAGAAGAAGAAGGGAAAGGCAACCGAAGTCGAAGAACCAGTCATCCTGGAGAAACCTGCCGACCCCGAGCCAGAGAAGTCTATGGAAGCAGATGACGTCTGGGGTTGGGGTGCCGCCTCATCCAAGAAGGATAAGAAGAAGAAAGGTAAGAATGCCGTCTTCGAGGAGCCGCCGAAGGATCCCGATCCGCCACCAGAGCCAGAACCGGAGCCCTTGGCCCAGCCAGAGGAGGACAAGAAGGAAGAGGACGACTTCTGGGGCAGCCTTTCTACCAAGAAGGACAAGAAAAAGAAGGGCAAAAATGCGGCTGCCACCGCCTTCGCCGAGGAGACCCCGCCACCAGAGGAAATCAAAGCCGAGGACAAGACGACCAGCCTTGACGACGAGTTCAGTGTCTTTGGCAGCAAGAAAGACCGCAAGAAGAAGAAAGGTCTTGTCGAGGAAGTCATGGAGGCGCCTGTCGAGGAAGAGAAGAAGGAAGATCCTTTTGACGACTTTGCCTGGGGTACAGCATCTACCAAGAAGGATAAGAAGAAGAAAGGCAAATCCACAGTCATTGAACCTGAGCCTGTCAAGGAACCTGATCCAATTCCGGAACCGGAGCCTGATAAGAAGGAGGAGGACGCCGCCGACTTGATTGGTTGGGGAATCACCACCAAGAAGGACAAGAAGAAGAAGGGTAAGAATGCTTTGCCTGAGCCCGAGCCTCCGAAAGAACCGGAACCCGCACCTGAACCGGAGCCGGAACCCATTCCTGAGACCCAGAACGATGACGACGCTTGGGGCTTTTCCAATTCGAAGAAAGACAAGAAAAAGAAAGGCAAGAGTGCTGCCCTAGAACCCGAGCCAGTCAAGGAGCCAGAACCCGAGAAGAAGCCGGAAGAGGACGACACCTGGAGCTCCTTCGTTACTAGCAAGAAGGACAAGAAAAAGAAGGGCAAGACTGCTTTGCCTGAGCCAGAGCCCGTCCAACCTGAACCAGAGCCAGAGCCGGAACCGATTCCCGAGGCCCAGAATGATGACGACGCCTGGGGCTTTACCACTTCGAAGAAGGACAAGAAAAAGAAGGGTAAGAATGCCTCTGCTGTTGAGCCCAGCCCGCCACCTGAGCCTGAGCCTGAGCCTGAGCCTGCGCCGGAGAAGAAGGAGGAAGACGACATGTGGGGGATTTCGAGTTCCAAGAAGGATAAGAAGAAGAAGGGCAAGACCAAGGATCCAGAACCCGAACCCGAGCCAGTCAAGGAACCCGACCCTGAGCCCGAGCCGGAAAAGAAGGAAGAAGACGACGCCTGGGGTTTTTCGACTTCCAAGAAGGATAAGAAGAAGAAGGGCAAGAACAAGGATCCTGAGCCTGAACCGGAGCCAGTCAAGGAACCTGAGCCTGAGCCAGAGCCCGAGCTGGAAAAGAAAGAAGACGACTTGTGGGGGTTTTCAACTTCCAAGAAAGATAAGAAGAAGAAGGGCAAGACCAAGGATCCAGAACCTGAACCTGAGCCAGTCAAGGAACCCGACCCTGAGCCCGAACCAGAAAAGAAGGACGAAGACGACGCCTGGGGTTTTTCGACTTCCAAGAAGGATAAGAAGAAGAAGGGCAAGAACAAGGATCCCGAGCCAGAACCAGAGCCAGTCAAGGAACCCAAGGAACCTGAGCCTGAGCCTGCGCCTGAGCCCAAAAAAGAAGAGGACGACACCTGGGGATTCACGACCTCTAAGAAAGACAAGAAGAAAAAGGGGAAGGGCAAGGAACCAGAGCCGGAACCTGAACCTGTCAAGGAGCCTGAACCAGAGCCGGAGCCAGAAAAGAAAGAAGAGGATGATCTTTGGGGTTTTTCATCTTCCAAGAAGGACAAGAAGAAGAAGGGCAAAACCAAGGAGCCGGAACCTGAACCTGTCCCGGAACCTGAGCCTGAGCCCAAAAAGGAGGAGGACGACACCTGGGGATTCACGACCTCGAAGAAAGACAAGAAGAAGGGCAAAACCAAGGAACCCGAACCAGAACCTGTCGTGGAAGAGCCTGAGCCTGAACCTGAGCCCAAAAAGGAGGAGGCTGATATGTGGGGGCTCACCACTTCCAAGAAAGACAAGAAGAAGAAGAAGGGTACGGTCGTCGAAGAAACCAAGGTGGAAGAACCCCCGGCTCCAGAACCAGCTGTGCAAGAAAGCACTGACACCTGGGATACATGGGGTACTGCCAGCAAGAAAGACAAGAAAAAGAAGGGCAAGTTGGAGTCTTCCAGTACCAATGACTCTATGTCAATCAACGCTGTGGCCCCCGAGACTGCCGACAATGACGATGACTGGATGAATTGGGGCCAGAAACCCGACAAGAAGAAGACATCAAAGGCCCTGAGCAAGCTTGACAAGGCGGATGACGAAAAGCCTGTCATCTCTGACATTGCTGATGCATTGGACAATGACGACTTCTTCAATTCTTGGAGCACGGGCAAAGACAAGAAGAAAGGGGCCCTGGCGGAGAAGTCCCTCAAGCCTGACACGATCGAGGAGCCGGCAGCCGATGATATCTGGGGAGTTTCGACATCCTCGAAGAAGAAGAAAGGCAAGACTAGCAGCAAGAACGTGCCTGTGGAAATCGTGGAAGAGACCAACCTCGAGTCTATGAAACCCGACTCTGTCGAGGAAACAAAAGACGAGAGCAAGGCCGACGACCACGATTGGGAATGGGGAAGCAGCTCCAAGAAGAAGAAGGGTAAGTCACAGAGAGATCTACTCACCAAGCCACCACCACCTGCGCCGACACCCCCATCTATGGACTTGACAGAGCCGGAAGCTGAAAACGACCCAGAGTCAAACATTTGGGACGAGCCTTCAAACTCCCTGACTCTTACCAAATCCAAGTCCAGTGACAAGGGCAAGGAGGAGGATAAGAAGGACAAGAAGGCCAAGGAAAAGGAAAAGGAACCCAAGCTGAGCAAGAAGGAACTTGAGAAGCTCGAAAAGGAAAAGAAGAAAGCCGAGAAGGAGGACGAAAAGCGCAAGGCGAAGGAAGCCAAGGCGGCTGAGGAGAAAGCTCGTCAAGAAGCCGAAGAACAGGCAGCACGCGACGAAGAGGAGCGCATCCAGCGGGAGATTGAGGAGAAGGAGCGCCTCGAGGCGGAGGAGAAGGCGCGTCAGGAAGCCGAGGCCGCCGAGATCACCAGGGAGGAAGAGGAGCTTGAGGCCTTCAATGCCAAGAAGGCACGTGGTAGGAAGTTGACCAAGCGAGAGCAGGACAAGTTCAACCTCCTCACAGAAAACGCCGACAAGCGCGCCGAAGTGCAGGCGGCTGCCCGCGAAGCCGAGGAGCAAGCCGCGCGGGAGGCCGAGGAACAGGCCGAGCGCGAACGAGAAGAGGCTGAAAGCAAGAAGAAGTCCAAGAAGGGCACGTCCAAGGCCGACAAGCCCGACAAGTCTTCTTCGTCCAAATCCAAATCCAAGGAAAAGGCGAAGGGCAAGGACGAGGACACCAAGGAGCTGGATCTCGCCGCCGAGGAAGTGGAGGAGCTCTTATCGCCCAAGGACCAAGCCGCTAGCGATGCATTCAGTTTCTGGGGTGCATCAAAGAAGGCCCCAGCTAACCCGGTTTCCAGCAAATCCAAGTGGGGCTCAGCCGAGATTAGATCGGCTGAGTCATCCAAGGTTCTGGAAGCTGCCACCGCCGGCGCAATCGCAGCTGACCTGTGGAAGGACACGTCCCACGATGCCAAATCAATGAAGACCAAGAAGGCTGTGGGAGGAAAGATTGCCGATCGACTAAAGGCATTCGAGATTGTCGACAACGACGCGCCTGCACCAGCCGATCTATCTCCCCCACCTCCCCCACCTCCTCCAGCTGCCGAGCTGAAGCAGGACCGAAAGAAGAGCTCCAAGAAGGCAAAGGAGATCGTCGAGGAGCCCGCCGCTTCCCCGCCAAAGAAGAGCTACAAATCCGGCCTTCCGGGTAGTTTCCCAGTTGATGACGATGACGAGATAGTCGGCATCATCGACATGGCAGCGGAGAAGAAAGCGAGCAAGAAGAGCAAAAAGGCCTCGTCATCTGCGAGGGCTGTCGAGGCGCCCGCGCCACCCCCTCCCGTTCCTATTCCACCAGCTGTTCCCGACGCGCCACCATCCCCTCCAGAACCAAAGTCCTCGAAGAAGGAGCGGCCAAAGATAAACCGCGAAGGATCATCGTGGGGAATGTGGTCCGCGTCAGCGACACCCCGCAACGAGGGCAAGAAGTCGTCCTCGAAGTCGAAGAGTGAAAAGGAATCGAGTTCCAAAAAGAACAAGTCGTCATCTTCCGCGGAGAAGGAAGAGAAGACCTCATCGAAGGGCTCTACACAGGACAAGGGCGAGAGGGGGGACCGCATGAGGGAGGCCGCAAAGCCCCCCAGGCTGGCCAGTGTCTTCGCCAGCACGCCCCCAATATCCCGCTCGGCTTCCACCCGCGATAAGCGTCCCGGCCTAGGCGGGAAGTCGAGCTCGCGCAGGCATTCAGCCGATATGTCGCATGGCATTGTAACCCCGCCTCCCGAGAACATGCCAGAGATGTCCTCCAAGGCAGCCAAGATCCTAGGTGTAGGTATTGGGAGGTCTGGCAGCAAGCGCAGCAAGCCGAAGGGTAAGGGTTTCCATTCGGGATGATGCTATGCTGTCGAGTTGCTAATCTGATCTCAGCAGTGTACGATGATGATGACGTCGTAATGGTTGGCGCTTCGGATGCCATTCCGAGTGTCGAGAAGTCGGATCGTCGCAAGTCAAAGGTACACCCAGCCGATATCCCTTCCCCACTCACTCTATGCTTCACTTCTGTGTTATGGCTGTCGATCCGAGTCTCATGATGCTAACTCCAAACTGCAATAGCAATACGAACGTGACGAAGACATCGTCATGGTCAACGCCGACGATGCCACTCCACCTAAGCGCCTCAACTCGAGTGCGAAGAAGTCGGGTTTCTCGTCTCTGTTCGGCGTCTTCTCGACGCCCAAGTCCGAGCCGCGGCCTGAACCATGGCGACGCAATACATACCCCACGACAGATGATGAAGGCCAAGGGAAGCAGAGCGAGGACGTTGGCATGACCGATGCAGACCAAGAGGCACGTCGTGCCGCTCGCCGAGCCCGGCGTGCGGAAAGGGAGGCTGCCGAGAAGGCTGCCGAAGAAGGGCGCCGGGCCAAGGACGATGCCCGTCGTGAACGCCGCAAGAGACAAGAAGAAGCCGAGGAGGCACGCCGACAAGAAGAGAAGGACGCCCGGCGTGCCGAACGGCGAGCCCAGCGTCTCCGCGAAGAAGCGGAGCGACGCTCCGCCGAGGAGAAGGAGGCCGAACGTGCTGAGCGCAGACGGCTGAGGAAGGAGCGCGAAGCTGCCGACACCGATCCCGAGGCGCGACGGGCAGCCCGCTACGAGAGACGCCGTAGCCAGCCGGTCGAGGGGCAGTATGGTGAGCGAGAAAGAGAACGGGAGGATGACGAAGAACGCCGACGTCGCCGTGAGGCAAGACGAATCTCCCGGGAAGCCGAAGGCCGAGTTAAGCCCCGGCACAAGTCCGAACAGGCCGATGAATACGTCTACCCTCGCAGCAAGTCGCGTGATGATCGCAAGAAAGGCTCGTGGCCCCACTCGGGCACCTCATCCTGGGTGAAGGACCACTCAGACGCCCCACCACCTCCCGATGACGGCGGCCATACCACCGAGGCGCCACCGCAGACGGACGATGAAGAAGCCCGACGTCAGGCTCGGAGAGCTCGGCGGAGGTCGAAGTACGCTGATGTCGAGGCGACAGGAGCTTCGGAGAATGACGAGCAGCGCCGGCGCAGGCCTCGTCGTGACGAGCGAGAACGAGAGAGGGATCGAAGGGGCGGCTCCGACGGTAGCGATGAGCGGAGGCAGAGCCGTCGCAACTCGGTGTTCATGGACACTACGCCGCGGAGCAGCTGGTGGAAGAAATTGACCGGATCATAGACGGGCGGTATAGACGGACGGATATCCATCCAGTGGCTGATGTGCAATGTGTCGGGTAATCATTTATTGTATTTGGCCTGTGTAAGGTTGGCGAGCGTGTTGTCTTGGTCTTTATTCGCTCCGGATTTTCCCCAGACCTCCCGGTCATCCTCATCTCTGTCTGCCCTGGAGGAACCAACGGCAGCATGTACGGTTGGGTTGGTCTGTGAGTTGGGTTGCGACCATCTGGACGGGGAGTTGCTTGGTCGGGCATGATGTGATATATACCATCTGTCCGATGCTGTATGTCTGTTGTGGGCGACTGTTTCTGGAGGCGATGTTCGGTTGCATGGCACGCATATATACCCCCGCGCGCATTCACTGATACTGATATTGATACCCAAATGCATTCATTCCCGGCTGGACATTGGCAGTCGCTACTGTTGCTGATTACTTATATTTTGCTCAGCGTTGTTTTCTTGCATCTTTCTGCTCAATAGGGATCATAGTGACGTGGCATGGCTGCATCCATCCCACCACCAAGTCGTGGAGGGGTGTTGAGATTGATGCATTCACAATTGGCAAGCGTAAGCTCATTAGCCAGGTCCTGTCCAATGGTAATGATGGTGTGCTCTGTCACATAAGCTCGTAGCATGAACAGACAGATGCAGTAGAGCTTTCTGTAACTAGTAGGTTTCAACTTAGTTACCGAAAATGCAGATGTTCTCAAATCCAGGAGGTAGTCAAGCCAGCAAGCCTCGTACGGGGGGCTGCCTGCTTCCTCCCATGGACCGATCATGAACCCCACCCCCTCCTCCCTTCCTTCCAACCAGCGCCAACCCGCCCGTCGGGCTACAACACTCAAGTTGGTGCATCGCCCAGCTCACCGACGTGCCTCTCGCCCCGCCATCGCCGTCGCAGTACATGTGACCCCCGGCGCCGACCCGGCCGTCGTGGAAGGAGCTGGGGCCGCAGGCGCCGGAGGGGTGCCAGTAGAGGCGGCGGGAGAGCGGGCTGGAGGGTGAGCCTGGGTGGGCGGAGAGGGAGGGGTGGAGGTGGATGGTCACCGTGCGGTTGTCGGACGTCGTGAAGAGGCGAGATGTGTATGGTGCTGAGGGGATATCGTACTCGTACCCGTCGGGGCTGACTGTCGTCTGGAAGTGGACTCGGGGGGATGGATGGCTGCTCCGAGGGCGAGGGGGGCGAGGGTGGTGAGGAGTAGGGTGAGGAGCTTCATCTTGTGTGGTGAGTTGTCCCTGTTCTGATGTTCTAGAGCTGGAATTGCAAGAGGCTGTATGTTTGGAGGTGTGAGTTGCGAGGAGCTTCTTTTATATGAGAAGTTATTGAAGGCTGTGAGTACTGTCCCTCCCACATTTGAAACGAGTCGGTTCAGTCTAGATGCTCCATCGTCGGCAGACAAACCAGCTACAAACCAGGGCTCCCACGCTCTGGGCCGGGTCGATAGGTTGATATCTGACCTTATGGGAGGTGCTAAGCACCCCTGAATCGTTGTCGACCATGGTGTTCTTGGATGATTCATAGACAGCATCAGGTTAACTCAGGGGTCGGTTTGTTGCTGCGCTTGTTTGATTAAGTCATGTAATGTAGAACTGATTTATGCCGAACTGTGGGAATCATCATCTATGACTGGCAAAGCCTTGGTCGCATACTCTAAATAATCTATTGCGTCCGTTGTGTATGGTCCAACTCCTGGTTCGCCCATGCCCCGTCTAAAGCCAGAAGTTGAGAATTTCAAGGAGAGGAGTGACCTGGTATCATGCCTGCCTGCCTTTTCCTGTCCCCCAAAACGCCGCAAAAGTACTCAAAGACTTTCCCTTGCCCATGGTAATTAATCGTCGCCGTTCAACCAGAACTGGAATTCTTACAAAAGGTGTGGCGCGATGCCCTTCGCCGATCCTTTACCCAATGACCTCCTCTCGCTCATATCCGGTCGGCTTGAGCGCGGCGGACGGTTTCTTTTGATCATACCCGCCCTTGTAATCGCTGACGAAGGGGTTGGGGTCCTCCTTCTGATTGAGGTTACCCAGTGTGTGGTTGACACCGCGATGGACGGCCTCGTCAGCTCGGATGTAGAGGATAAGATCCCTCATCGTCCGCTTCCCCTCGGGCATATGCCAGTAGGTGGTGGCCAGCTCGGGGATCTTGAACTTCTTGTCACTCCACTTGGGCAGCAGGCCCGCATCGATCTCGCGAATGCAGCGGGTGTAGGTGTGCACGGCCTCCTCTTCCAGATAGCCGACGAAGCGGTGGCAGATCTTGGGCGAGACGAGGTAGCTGAGGAACATGGCGTTAAAGAAGACACCCTGGGCGCCGATGATCATGACCTTCATGAGCCATCCGGGCTCACACATCTTCATGAAGGTGAGGAGATGCATTCGCTCGTTATACGACTCCTCGAGAAGGGTCTCGATCCAGCCATTATCGCGCTTGAGGCGCCGCAGGCTACTCAGGTGGCGCAGCATGCCGGCAACCATTCCCGGGACGCCGGCGATTGATTCCAGGAAGATGAAGCGAGTGAGCTATGGGATGCATTAGTGACTGGGTGGATGACGGATCTAGGCTCAAGAAACGTGGCGGACCGTACCCATTGAGCTTCTGTGAGAGGTTTGGAAGCGATCACAGCAGTGGTCGGGTGCTTCTTGTCGACCTGCTGTTCGGGTCTCATGCCGGTAACGAAGTCCATACCCCAGCTGTGGCAGTGTTAGAGTCAGGTTCTGCGGGTTAGCTTGAAGGGGCCACTACGTACCGACACACCCTGATCAGCTTCCATGCGCATTTCTCGCCTAGTGTCTTAGGTTCTCGGTGGTCCGGGACGACAGCGAGCATCTCTGCCTCGGTGTAGCCATGGTGCGGCCAAGCGGGGGGAGTCTGGCGAATATAGGCAGTTTCTTTAGGGGGGAAGAAGTCGCGAAGGCGACTAACACTTGTCGTCGAGAAGGATCGGGGTGTAGAGGAATGTTGAGGTTGATATGCAGCACATGCTATCCGCACTCCGGCTGGGTAGCCCAGAATAGATGATTTGGTTTGGTATATGGGAGCCACAGCTCGGGTCAGCTGAGCAACCTGCTTCGGGGAGCAAAGCTTCGTGTTGGCCCTGGTAGATATCATTTGCAAAGTCGAGGAGTAGATAATATCTTGACGACTGAATAGAATTGCTGACTGTATGTACAGTACTGTTGGGGGGAGAGCAGGAACTGGAAGACTTCGCTTCAGGTGTCTCACCAATTTATACCAAAGCTATGGGCCCATAAGTTATGGATCAATGCAAGAACAAAGCCAAACGCCAAGGGGTAGAGGAAAAAACAGGAGGTAATACGAAGAGAGACCGGCTGGCCAACCATCCCTTGACTAAGATTGCGGGCATACCAAGGACGTCATACGCCGAAACCCCCTAATGAGATAGAGACGAGTCCCCGAACCTACCTGGTTAGCGAGTAAGAACTGTGAACATCGTTACAACAGTTCAGCCTTACGGCAAGACACTAGGGGATTTACGGAGCCGCTGAGGGCCAAGTACGAAGGCTGAGCAATGCCTGCACATCAGCTGGACGGTGACTGCTTTGTTGTCGGGATCTTTCGGGCTAAGTTTGGCATCTCCGAGATTTTTTCGGTATCCTAGACAGGCTGTCTGCCCGGGGGGGAAGGGCTTCCGGGCTAATTCTGGTTTGACAGGTGGCATGCATTCTTTGGCAGACGTTGCGGTCGCCATCGGCGTCTCGGGCGTCCCTGCCCGCGGAGAATCCTAGATGAGGCGTCAATCACCGAAGAGAACGTGACTCACACACACAGCTAGATAGTGGAGTGCGGGACTTAGGTCATGCTAGGCAAAGAGGAGTTTTATAACATTAATAAGAGGTGAAAGCTGGAGAGCCATTTGTCTTGCAGAAAAGGGTGCCAGATGACGTAGATCACTCCTTGTGCCTGGATTTGTTTGGGCTGCAATCAGGCCATTGCAAGTTGCAGAACCTGCAAAGTAAAAAAAAATTAAGTGAGGCGAATTTGTGCCTGAGGCTAAGGGACTGGGTGGCTGAGTCACCCGGATAAGGCAACAAATTGGAAACCCCACTGACGCCCTTTATCGCTGACACCCACAAATTAATCTTATCGCCTGGTAAAGTCAGACACGTAGAAACAACTTTTCCTGCTACCCAACCCAACTTTGAGACCTGATTTCTTTCACACATTTCCCAAATTCCTCCCTGCAACCACCTCTACCGTAGTCGCGACATCGCCAGTTGCTCCTTGTCGGCTTTGGAAATTCTCGAGAAGACGATTAAGACCCTCCACAACCGCAAATCTATCAGTTTCGCTCTCCGCCATGCCAGGCTCCAATAAACGGTGGGGTTAGTAATCATCCCCTTTCTCCCCTTCGCGCGCACCCCGCAGAAACGAGAAATGCCACGTTTTGCCGCCATCAGTTCGCGACGATGAGGCTCTGATGCTGTGGCCTGGACTGCGACCCTAGTGGGGCGGACGGGCATTGAAGCCCTTCCTTGGCCCTATGGGATGGTCGCGCGGACTGGGATTAGCATGCCCTTGATCCCCTGTGCATATTAGGTTACTGGATTAGGCTGACCGCTCTTCTCAACCATGCAGATGACGAGGACGAAGATTCCTCTAGCTCCGCCCCGTCGTCCCCGCCGCCAGCCGCACTTGTCGTTCGACGCGGCAAGTTCGATGATGAAGAGGCCGAGGATAGTGACGTACGTTATCCCCTCCGACCCAACCCCAAACCCCATATTGACCATACCCGCCCTTATAGGTCCTAGATTCGTGGGATGCCGCCGAGGATTCTGAAGTCGAGCGCGAGAAGGCCAAGAAGGCCGCCGAGGTAAAGGCCAAGGCCGAAGCCGAGGCCGCTGCGAACAAGAAGTCCAAGGCACAGCGCGTCGCCGAACGTCAAGCTGCGCGTGCCCGCGAACTTGCCGAGGCCGATGGGGACTCTAGCGAGGATGAGACCGAGGCGGACCGCCGCGAGCGTATGCGACGTAGCGAACAAGACGCTGACCTCCACCACGCCGAGGACCTGTTCGGTGCTCTCGCCGTGAGCAACCGGAAGACGACTGTCGGCACGGCCGTCGTGGTTGACGCCCAGGACCCCAACAGGACTGTTAACCTGGCTGATATGTCTCTGTTCCACCCGACGACGAAGGTTCAGTTCGAGCAGTTGCGCACAACCATTTCACCCCTCATCACCGCCAACGCAAAGAAGGCCCACTACACTCTCTTCCTCCAGGAGTTCGCGAAGCAGCTGGCTAAGGAGCTCCCAAGCGACCAAATCAAGAAGATTTCCAGCGCCCTGACCACCCTGAGCAACGAGAAGATGAAGGAGGAGAAGGCTGCCGAGAAGGGTGGCAAGAAGTCCAAGGCCTCCAAGAACAAGACCACTCTCGTTGGAGTCACCCGGGGACCGGTTGCCGACATGAACTCGTACGATGACGCGTTCGGTGACGATGATTTCATGTGAAAGCAGCTCTTCGTCTCCCTTTCCCAGGGGTTTCCGCTCCTAGAACTACCTCGGCCCTCAAAGAAGACGTGGGAGAGGAACCCCCAAACGTTGCCCTGGTTGGCTGGCAACAACAGCGCAGAGCAGCTCGGCGGGCCTCCCCTCCCGCCCGATCCCGGAGATGCCGGTACGACAAATCCACGTCGGGCCATGACCTCGTGTCCGGTATCTCCCTCTTCGAACAGCGTCGGATGGCAAAAGCGGCAGTCGGTTCGAGATATTGAGAGGTTGGGGGCGCCAGGCGCAACGGTGGGCATTAATGGATGTGGAAAGACGGCGGTGGTGAACGAAAGGGGCCGGAAGGTGGGGATTAGGGCACCGTGGCCGCGCCAAGTTCGGGGCATTTATTTTTGTTTTGATTTGAACTGCACCTTCCAACACGAGATTGCAACTTAGATAGACTGCTGGCTGGCTTATTGTTTCAGCAAAATGTTACCCCCCAACTAGACGTGATTTTCGCATCGCATATGGACACAACATTCCGCACTTTGACGGTGTACTTGACGCAGCTGGGCCAACGTCAAGCGTGTGCTTCTTTTATACATTGTTCCTCCTTGCTCGACTGTTATATATGTATGTGTATGTACAGCCCTGGGGTATCGATTGTGCTGAACCCCTTTACAACATTGCCATGTTGACCAATTCCATCCTGATTGACGCCAATTTCCCGCAAACATGAGCCCACACGGGGCGAGGTAGTACAGAAAATAATAAAGAGGAGAGAGATATTGTTAACAATGCCCAGGCGTAACACGTACAGTTTTTCCTACAGTCCTCCCTTACATCAGGTCCCCCGCCACGCCGGCCAGCAAGGCGTGCACGACCAGGCTGACAGTCCACAGCCCGACCCTTTTGAAGCGCCTCACGCGGCTCTGCTGGTCCTCGACGTTGCGCGCGAACGCGGCGTACACCTCGGCGGACAGGTCGTCCATGAGGCCGCAGTCGTAGACGCCCCAGGAGCCGTCAAAGTCGGCGAGCCGCTTGACGATGCGGCAGTTGACGGGGATGTAGGTGCGCTTGGCGTTGATGTACGCCACGATGGGCCGCACGAGCGCCTGGTTGACGTAGCTCATGTGCGGGTTGTTGAAGAGCGGGACGGCGGCGCGGACGTCGTTGAGGTGGACGCGGAGGTCCATGACGAGGTAGGATGGTGCCTCCTCGGCCTCCTCGGTTGGGGAGAGGTTTGCCGTGAGGGCGTCGGGCGTGAGAGGCTGGCCGGATGGCTGCTGGAAGCTTAGGGGGCGTGTCTCGGGCGCGTCGAGGTCCACGGAGATGCCAAGTCTGGGGTCGTCGATCGAGTCTGCCTCTGCTTGACGAGCCCGGGCGCCATTATTGTCCAGCATCCGGACATAGCGGTTGCTTGTGACGGCCTCCTCCATCTTGTCGTAGAACTCGGCGACGACCTTGCCGATACCATCTTCCACATCGGCCGGGAACATGACGTCCGCCACGATGTCGACATTCCCCTCGTAGATCCATCCAAAGGGGCCCTCAACACCGCGATTCAGGTGATCTATCTTAAGTCCATCGATGCGCAAGCGAGAGAACTTCTTCCAGGCCGTCGGGTTGTCGACGTGAGCCCCGTTGTCATTGGCCGCAACCCCGTGCACCTGCCGGGGATGAATGGTGAAAAGAGAGCCGTCATATGACCCAGACATATGGTTGGCTGATAGGAAGTCGTAAAAGAGCCACTGTTTACGCAGCTGGGGGAGTTCGCAGGAGTAGATGGAGACGGGGAAAGGCCGGAAGCCCGCGGGTTGGTGGACGGTGACGAGGAGGTCTTCCATCTTGAAGTAATCCAGCTCAAAGTCGCCCGGGTTATGTTCATGCCTGTAGGATAAGGGGTCTTCCCCTTCCACTGACCATTCGAGTGAGGTCCTGTCCACAACACCACGGACGCCCTTCACTTCGACGTCCTTCAACAGCCCCTTGCCATTCCACCATTTTATGAATGACAGGGTGACGTTCACCGTGCTAATGGTTACGTCGAACTGCGTATAGTTGCCGTCGTCTTCTTCCACATCTGGAGACTCTAAGTCTGCATGTCGCAACGCTGCCGCCTCGGCAGCTTCGTTGGAAGATCCTTTCGTCACCGACGATCTGGATTGTCCCGGCCGACGGGAGACAAAGACATTCTTAAGGGTGATAACGCCATCCTTCCACTTGGGGACGATGGCCGATTCGAATACGACGGTGAGGCCGGCGGACCCCGTTAGGTAGTCTCCGATCCACTTTGCCAGGGTTTCTGTAGAGTATTAGTATCAGATGACAGAACAACGCCCTTCCTTGACCTTGCTCGACTAACCTTGGGCAAATACGGTATTGATAAACAGTATGATGAGTGAGAAGAATGTTGTCGTCCCAACGAGGATCCAAACCAGGTGCCCAAAAAGAAACCAGGAGACGAAAGCTCCCCATTCGTCGACATTCCATGGGCGCATGCTCCTGATGGAGAACCATTTGAAGCGCACTTTCAACCGGTCCCAGAAGCCGTTTGCCGCAGCCAGCAACTCCTCCTTGGTAGGGCGATGTGGAAGCTTAGGGAGGTGCAGGTATTTCGACATCGAGTTCGTCAAAGACTCATGCTCGGCAGCGTGGGGATCATGGCCTGGGCCTGTCGTGGGTTCCCGGCCCTCCGGCTTTCCCGCAGCCGCAGCGTTCTTCGATCCTTCGCCCTCGGATTTTGAACTCCTGTTCCGCCTCCCGGGCCTGGCTCTTGTTGCTCGCCCACCCGTCTGACTTGTCCGATGCCATGCCTGCCGGGCCAAGCTGCTGATATTTGCTTTCTGCACGCCACCCGCAATGATTGCAGAGTCAGTCGCTGCTGTGCATGTTGCGACAACCGAGGGGCCCGAGGAGGAATTGGAGGTCAGGCCGAGCAGGAGTAAGCCACCCGACGTACAGCTCCTCCTAATGTTTTTCGGGGGAACCTTTGAGCTAGAGGGAAGCGGAAACCATCGCGAGGTGTGGAAGGATCGAGTTGTCGAGGCTTGAACTGGTCGAGGCAAGGACTGCGCAAATCCCAGCCGGTGTAACGGCCGCTGGTGGAGCGGCAGCCGTGAAGCAAGTATATCGACGGATTCGCGGAATGAGGTCCAGAATTGGCGGCCCAGCTGGGTCGTGGTGGTGCTAGAGGACATCGTCGGAGCTCATCCTGCTATGGCATATACATCATGCCATGATGCGAGGATGGTGGGCGATGTTATACTTATTGCCGGTCGCCGTGGATAACTCTCCCCAACCAAGACATTCAAAGCTGGGAGAACTTGAGGAAGCTGCATGAAAGTCCTGTTTCCGGTCAATGACCAATGATGTGAAAACTGTCGGGGATGGCGCTGGTCGCCTCCTCGAATGACCAATAGATAAGCGCACTGATATGACACCACGCTAGCAAGGTACCTCGACTTTTCTCAAAAGAATTTCGACCCCACCAAGAAATTCCTCGTTGTGTGACCGCCGATATATGATCACCGTCGTGTACACTCTCGATTCGATACCCCGACAACGAAGCCGAGATGCCTGCCCCGACCGCCCTTGCAAAGGCGAGCACCGATGCTCCGCCAGATAACGTCCCGCTCCCAGAACCCGACCAAGACGAAGAACTCCTGCTCGATGCCCCCGACGCAGTGCCATCAGACCCCAATGCTTTTCAACCAGCATCGAACGAGGCGGAGGATACCGAAATGGCCGTTGATGAGGAGGGGCGGCCGAGATTCGCACCCGGGAAGGATGTGGTATGCATGACCTTTCCAAAACCCCCCCGGAGGGCACTCGTGTATGGCTGGCGTTCTGACACATGTGCTCCCTTTTGGCAGGAACCCATTCGGAGGTCAGAGACAAGAAAAGTGCCCGTCCCGCCGCACAGGATGGCTCCCTTGAAGGCGAGCTGGCCGAAGATCTACTCGCCGCTGGTCCAGCACCTGAAACTGCAGGTCCGCATGAACACAAAATCCAAGTGCGTGGAGCTCCGCACCAGCAGGTCTACCGACTCGCCCGCGGCGCTGCAGACCGGCGTCGATTTCGTCCACGCCTTCGCGCTCGGCTTCGACGTCGACGACGCCGTCGCCCTTCTCCGGGTCGACGATCTCTACATCGAGACGTTCGAGATCAAGGACGTCAAGACTCTGGGCAACGAGCATCTTGGGAGAGCGATCGGACGTATCGCTGGCAAGGACGGGAAGACCAAGGTATATACATATATGTTTTATCCGCGGTGTATACTCGTGGGATTTGCGATCCAAAAGAGGCCTTATTACTGACCAGTTCCAGTTCGCAATCGAAAACGCCAGCAGGACGAGAATAGTACTCGCCGACTCCAAGATCTCAAGTACGTGTGCCCCGGGATTCCCCGCTCTGGGCAGTATTGCAAGGCGTCCATTTATAGGTTCTGACATTGATGAAACAGTACTGGGATCTTTCAAAAATATTCACATGGCCAGGGAGAGCATTGTAAGTTTTTTCCATCGGCTCCGCCATTTTACGTCTGCGACTCCGAGTCCCACTGACTGAACTGCCTTTAGGTGAGCCTCATCCTTGGCAAGCCGCCTGGGAAGGTCTATAATTCTCTGCGGACAGTGAGTGCGAGGATGAAGGAGCGTTTCTGAACAGCGTCAGGTTGAAGAGATGGAGATAAGGCTTGGGATGTGTGCTCAATAGAACAGGGAGCACTGCGGCGTTGGGATGTTCTACTTCTATTACTTCGTAGTACGGCATGAGACATGACTTGGCTGCTCCCAATCTAGTTACCTGGCTGGTATCATGAAATCGGAACAGGTCACACACCTTCATAAATCGGACTGACGGGCCATGGATCGTACGTGACTCCTATTTGCATTTAGATGCGTATCTCAGTATCTCATATTCATAGCGGGGGTATCTTTATTCAACGACAAACCGGCAATTCCATCCAAAGTGGTCCAACAACGCCAACATCTTAATCATCCATCGGCCACGACGCTCAAGCCTTCTTTGATATGAACTTCCAAGTTGTCCATATCCTCAATGTCGGCCTCCTGAACTGTCGTAGCCTCATCCAATTTTTCGCCGTCAAAATACAGCGCAGTCTCCTTGTCGGGAGGGATTTTGCGCAGCTCGCGAAAGACCGTCAGCATCGTCTCTACAGTCGTGTCCATGTGGACCTTGGTGTTCAGGGGCTTATAGTCCTTCGCCTTCAATATGACCCTAATCAGCTTCTCCGTTTCTTCCTCCTGCTCGTCCACGAGTCCGCCGTCGGCGGAAGAAATCTCATCCTCGTCCAGCTCGCCCAAGCATCGTAGGCGCTCGCGCTCCTTCTCCTTGACGTACTGGGCATACAGCTCTTCCGTCCAGGCCTGGAAGTGCAGCCCGCCGCTATGATATCCGCTCTCGTCCTCGCTGTAGGGATCCCACCGCACTTTGCCCATTGAATCGAGCTCGAGACCTAAGCTGGCGCAGGTGACGGTGTTATAGATTCTGTTTCCCTTCCACGTCAGGAAGATCTGTCTCTCTACATCTTCCGGCATGGCTGTCGCCTTGTGCCTCTGGTAATTAATCCACGCGTTGCGAATGACCGAGAGGGTTTGTGTAAGTTTGAGCTTCGCTAGCATGGCGGCTGTGTTGGGCAGCAGCGAGGAGACCATAATCTTGATGCTGGGATGGGTCGGTCGGGTGGCTGGATTAGAGGACTTCGAGCTCTGTTGACCTTTGCCGGTGTTATCGCCTGCTTCGGATGTTGGGGCTTGGACTGAATTGGCTCTGGCCTCCCGTTCCCGAGCCTGGAGGACATACTTGGAGAATTCGTCGGGAGGGTCATCAGCGGCCGCGATATCATTCTCTTCATTGAATTCTACATTTGGTTCGCCTTGAGTCGGGGTCGATTTGTCCGAGAGTGGGTCATCGTCATCTTCCTTAGTCAGAGCCGGTTCTGTGGTCTCAATGGCCTTGTTCCAGGACATGCGGTTGGGGGTGGCGGAGACGCCGATGTTGTCGTCATCGTCAATATCGATTATAGGATGCGATGCTTCCCTCGACTTCAACACCCTTGGACTCTGCGAGACTGCATGTCTCATTATCTCCGTAGGGTTATCTCCCACACCCTTCTTGATATCCCTGAAGCCAGGTATAGGAGAGACAATCTTTGCCTGCACATATTCAGAAGTAGACCGCGGGGTAGAGTTTCTAATATGAAACTTGTTAGCGGAGTAACATATGAGTCTTACAAGATTCGCACCTCTGTGAGCGGCGTCGACTGCCGGACGCTGAAAAGCCATCATCATCGCTGTCCAAATCCCCAGATACTCTGCGGCGTTTGGCGTCTTGTTTCTGCGGGGATTCCCTTTCAGTAGGGACAGCCTTCCTTCTCTTCTCTTCTCGCTTCAGTCGGCGCTGCTGTTCCTCGATTGCCAGTGGGAAGACCTCATTGCTCCGCCTAAACATGCTGATTCCGTCGTCGTCGTCATCTTCGCCGTCCTTAGCTTTAGAGGCCGCCTTGGCTGGTGACCGGTCATCACTGAAGGGATCCGGAGACTTTCGGCGAGCAATCGTCCGCTTGAAGGGAAGGTTTTTCTTTTTCTTAGCCGGCGAGGCTGATGTAGGCGAAGCCATCTCTGCCATCGAAATTCCGTGGCCGCGATTTCTTGGTTCTGGATGCCCGGAAGAGGGAGATGAGGTAATATGGGATACAGCTGAAGATGGGATAGGCGTCTGATGAGTGCTAAAGCATAAGAAGGGCCGATGTTGGTAGCAAGGCTGAGGCTGCCTTAGAACCTCGCATGTAAAGAGAGACGCGATACTCGTGGTTCACGCGCATGAAGTTCTGGGGTGGGGGCGGTTACTTCCTGATTAAGGTAGCGCCCCATGGACTCCATCAGCCTAGGGGGTACGTACCTACCTTGGCACGCTAGCATCTTCGCTCTACCAGGGACTGGATTGCACCGAGGCTCATTTAGATCGTAAGAGCAAGGCGCCGAGGATGGCGACGGCAACGCCTTGATATTTATTTAAGATACGTGTTAACAGCCTAGCAAAATACAATGATTCCTGAGGTCTAGTTGAGCACTCTATTCCTCTTCTTTCCATTATAGCCGCTGGAGCGCCATTTATCTACTACTATCTCATTTATCGTTGCGCCCACCCCTCTCTACTCCGGCCTTTGACTTCGGCTCGTGATAATATGGCCGTCCCAAGATCCGAGTACCTGAGCCACGTTTGGGCGGACAGCATCTTCAGTGAGCTTTGTCCTAGCTTTCTTATGATTCGATGGTTTCTCTCGGTATAAGGGCTAACTGTACTCTTCTCCCTGCAGCTGACCGGGTCGTCTTTGTGACCGGCGGAGCCGGGTCAATCTGCAGCGCGCAGACTCGAGCGCTTGTCCATCTCGGCGCCAATGCCTGTATTGTCGGGCGCAACGTCGCGAAAACGGAAGATGCTGCGAAGGAGATAGCAAAGGTCCGAAAAGGAGCCAGAGTTATTGGCATCGGCGGAGTCGACGTTCGCAGTGTGCGTTTAACATGACAAGACCCCTTTTGCGCTCCACGCCACTCATGGAATCGCATTTCTGACTACTCACGTATAGTTCGACAGCCTCAAGAGTGCTGCGGACCGATGCGCTACAGAACTAGGGGCCATTGACTTTGTCATGTATGTTCAACCGAGCCCAACTTTCGAAAGTCAGGCGTCGCAGTTGCTCATGAACCCCCTTCTAGTGCCGGCGCTGCGGGCAACTTCATCTCGCCCATCTCCGCCCTGAGCCCAAACGGCTTCAAGGCGGTCATTGAAATCGATACGATTGGGACGTTCAACACCATCAAGGCAACGATCCCTCACCTCGTGCAGTCGGCGGCAAGAAACCCGAATCCCAACCCTTCGGGTGCCACTGGCGGACGCATCGTCGCTGTATCGGCAACGTTCCACTACACTGGCATGCCGCTACAAGCACATGTCAGCGCTGCCAAGGCAGCGGTTGATTCGCTCATGGCCAGCGTGGCCTTGGAGTACGGCCCGTTAGGAATCACGGCCAATGTAGTCGCCCCCGGCGCGATTGCGGGCACCGAGGGCATGGAACGGCTGGCTAGCAGCGCGCTGGACAGCACACAGCGGAATAGTGGCGTGCCGACCGGTAGATGGGGCACCGTCCGGGACATCGCAGACGCTACGGTGTTCGTCTTCAGCGACGCCGGAAACTACATCAACGGAACCAATATTGTTGTTGATGGCGCGGGTTGGAGAAGGCATGGCAGCCTGGGTGTCGGCCTGGATCCGGATATGAAATATCCCGACTTTTTGATTACGGGGGATATCAGCAAGAACGTGAAGGATGGCCGGAAGGCTAAGCTATGAGAACTGGAACTTGAGCCAATCCTAGAAGGCGGAGGTGCACTATCTTACAACGTTGATGTTGAGACATTGGGTAGATATCGCAACTGATATACCGTAGCTCTAGCAATTCCCCAATGACGTCACTACAGGCAATATTGCCAACTGCAACGCGTGCTGCCCGCGGAAAAACCAACAACAGATAAGACCTATCACCTCATCCTGCCCGCGGAGAAACCAACAATAGATAAGATCATCATGCCCGCGGAGAAATCCCCTCGACTACGCCGCAACAACCCGACATGACCTGACCGGCTCTCGGACGCTTGTTCGGACTCATCCCGGCGTTGGCACCCCCTCAGCCGGTACTCGGGTGGGGGTAGGTGGGATTTTATTAGTAAATACCAAACCGATTCAGATAAGAATGCAGAACAATGCAGAACATGCACATCTTATCCTCCAGTCAACACGCAGAACTTGAAAGCGGGGAACCCACTCTTGGAGTCATGATCCAGCCTTGAGCTCAAGCTGTCGACCAGAACTTCGTATATTGCTGTCTCGAAGACCCTGTCAACACGCTCATCTTGTTTGTGCTCTTGTGTTGTAGAAGCAGCCTGAGACGAAGCTAGTCGAAGCTGTAAAACTAAACAATGGAGCTGCCTCTTAAGAGACTCCTCCTCCTCCTCCTCCTCCCCTCGTTGCCCCAGGCAAGCGCCGAGACTGTCCTTGGTGTTTACATCTTCCACCGCCATGGCGACCGGACCACCAAGTCCTACACCCCCGTGACGCTGACCGCTCTCGGCGCAGAGCAGGTGTTCGCATCCGGATCCTACTACCGGGACCAGTACATCTCGTCCAATGCCACGGCGCGCATCCACGGCATCGCCTCCGACGTTGCAGTACTCTCCCAGCTGGCCATCACGAGCCCCATCGACACCGTCTTGCAGAACAGCGCCCAGGTGTTCCTCCAGGGCCTGTATCCGCCCGCGGGTTCCGCGTCGGTCCAGACGCTGGCCAATGGCTCGGAGGTCGAGCCACCGCTAGGCGGGTACCAGTACATCCCGGTCAATGGCATTTCGACCGCGGCGAGCAGCGGAAACAGCGAGGAGAGCGAGTGGCTCCAGGGAGGCAGCGGCTGCGGTAACGCCCTTGTGAGCAGCAACAACTACTTCACCAGCGACGAGTTTGTCTCCACCTTGGCGAGCACCAGGGGATTCTACCAGGACCTGCTTCCCGTGATCAACGGCACTTTTGACTCGAGCCAGGCAAATTTCAAGAATGCCTATACGGGTAAGCACAACTCCGATCCCGGTGGATGGTCCGGTTGGTTTCGAGCGAGGCTGGCTGACATACAAAACCCCCCCAGTCTTTGACTTCATCCACGTCTCCAGCATCCATAACCGCACCATCCCCTCGTCCTCGCTCCTCACCGACTCGACGCTCCACCAGCTGCAGACGCGGGCGGACCAGCACGAGTGGGGCCTCGCCTACAACAGCAGCGACGAGATCCGCGCCATCGCCGGCGCCGTGCTGGCGGGCCAGATCGTGCAGGCCCTCAACGGCACGCTGCGCTCGCCCCTGGGCAAGGCGGGAGCCCAGCGCCTGACCATCCAGTTCGGCGCCTACGGCACCTTCATGGCCTTCTTCGGCCTCGCCCGCGCCCCAGCCGCGTCCCCGGACTTCTACGGCGTCGCCGACTACGCGTCCTCCATGGTCTTTGAGCTCGTCACCAACGCCACCGTCCCGACCAGCGGCGGAGGACCCATCGACCCGGCCGACGTGTCCGTCCGCTTCCGCTTCGCCAACGGCACCGCCACCGCGCCCGACGCCGACCCGGCCAACCCGCCGCGCACGTTCGCGCTCTTCGGCCGCCCGGAGACCGTCCTCCCCTGGTCCGACTTCGCCGCCGAGATGGGCCGCTTCGCCGTCGGCGACACGGCGTCCTGGTGCCGCGCCTGCGGCAACTCGACGGGCGTGTGCGCCGACGCCCTGGGCATCGGCGGAGGCGGCGACGGCGCGGGCGCGGCCGGGAACGGGGGCGGGAAGGGCAAGGGCGGAGGTGGCGGGGTGTCGAGGCCGGTGGCGGGCGTGATTGGCGCGCTGGTCACGCTGGTCGTCATACTCGGCCTCGAGGCGCTCGTCATGGGCGCTGCGGGCCTGAGGCTCGTCAAGAAAGGTGCGTCGTCGCACAAGGCGGGTGAGGCCGGCGCCGCTGGTGTTACGCCTGCGTGAGTGGAGGGTTTCTCCGCGAGAGGACAGGAGATCGCAGGCTAGGCTGCTTCAGATTTTCCATGTTGATTAGGGTAGTAATTTGAAGTGATTAGGGTAGTATCTTAAAAAAAGATTAGGGGTAGTAATTTAAAATGTTCCGTTTGCTTGAGCTGTGTCATACTTTGAGAAATCAGAAAACAAACATATGCAAGATCCCGCTCCCGTTTGCGCCGGAATTGCCCAACTCCTCTCAACTCAGCACGTTTCATTAGGTGGCCTCTATCTCCTAAACTGAGGGCTCGACAAGCTTGGATACTACCTGAGATTAAACCGGTCTAGTAAGTCGTTTCGGTGGAAGTAGCTGCGAATTCGCTTGCCATATATGTCTAGCGACTCAAAGCGTCAGTATCGGCGAATCCGAACGTATGCGTCCTGCCGCGGAGCCCACACTTACACATTGGTATGCTCGTCAGGCAGATTCCGACTTGCACAGAGCCGATGATGTTAAACAGAGGTCTCGCATGCGTTTGATTCTCGATAAGCCAGTCATAGGCCTTGAATGTGAGTGCAAAGCTGAACAAGTTCTTGAAGATGATCATGCAAGTAAAGCCTTCGATCGCGAGGTCTCCTGTACTTCAGAGTGAGCGCCGTTCGAGCACAGAATAAGGCAAAGAGGGCAACTCACGATAGGCATCGACAATGTACAGCGAGCTGGCCACGGCACCAATAACCATACCTGCGACCTCCAAGCCGAAAAACGTCAATGGCACAACCACATTATACTTCCTCAGCAGCATGCCGTCGGCGGTGATCCCCCAGCCGTACAAGCCTATACCGCCGAGGATAAGCTGCGGGATGACCAATAAGATGCGAAATTCTGGCTCGTAGACTCCGCCGTTCCTCCTGGTCAGCGCCTTCGCGCTCCAGTCTGCGAGGCCGCCGGCAATGGCGAAGCCCAGCAATGCGCCGACAAAGGGGCCGACGTAAGCATAACCCGTTTTCACCTCGTTCCACCACAGCGGAGTCGCTATGGTGAACTGGGCCAGGGTGACGCCGATGAACACAGTCCAGCCGATCATGGTGCCCTGGATGAGAGAGGCCCACAGGAAGGCGGGCTGGAGGAGCATGACCAGTGGCCGCAGGAGAAGTTTCCAGAACTGCTCATCTGTCTTGCGCCCATTGAAGAGTGCGAGCCATCGCCAGAGTGTCGGCTTCGGTTGCTCCCTTGGCGCGCTTGCTACCTGGTTGCCACCATTATCAGCAGCAGGTGCGGCCAATGTCGTGGTCTCCCAGTCGGCACTTGTGCGATCGTCCCTGGTCTTGGCTTCCGTTTCGACTTCGTTCTCACGGGCGACCAAGTCCAAATTGAGCGACGCGCTTCGGACGTACGCAGTCTCGGGACAGAAAAGGATGATTGCAATCAGGCTCGCAGTGCAGAAGATGGAGACCAGGTAGAAGGTCCACCACCAATTCAGCGAGTGGGTAATCTTGCCCACGAGGATGGGAGTAAAGAAGGCGCCTCCGAAAACCGCGAGGTTGGTGAAAGCCATGCGAATGCCCCGTTGCTACCGCTTATCAGCCTCGAGAAGAATCCCAGCCCGTGATACTGGTCGATGGACTGCAACTTACATGTACAAAGTACAGGTCTCCAACAGCCGCGTTGACAAAGCTTTCAAACGGAGCCGCTCCTATGCCTTGGAAGATGCGCGACCACAGCATGCATGTGTAGTTCCTGTCTGGCGCACACCCACCTGACCATGCACTAGATGCGATCAGAATGATCGTCCCCAGGATGAACAGGTGTCTCTTCCCCCATATACGGCCGGACGGCACGAAAACGAAGCCAGCAACGCCGACGCCGAGGAGGAAATAGCCCGTCAGCAGCGCGGCCTTGCCGAACGGGATTTTAAACCAAAATGACAAGGTCACGGTATTGGCGGCAAGGATCGGGCCTAGCGAAGTCGCGAAGATGGCCGTCACGGATAGGATAAAGGTGATCAGATCCCGCTTCCAAAGCGGCCAGTTGAGCGGATCGTTGGGGTCATCGGACGGCTGCGGAACGAGGATGATGGGAACCGGTCCGCTCGTATCACACTTCAAACCGGTCACTATGACTTCTCCGTCTATTGCATACTGAGGTCTTTCGGGGTCGTCGAAGTACCTGGTCGTGCCTGGTGGTCGACACTGGTCAGTGCCCAAATCATTCATTGGGGGGGTTTCGGGGAGCCGTTTCCATACCAGGCACATCTTTCATGACATTGTCTTCGAGGATACCTAGCCCCATATTGACGGTTTGCCAAGATGCAGCGCTCTTGCTTGGGTTGTCGGCGGGTTGCCTGTATTACACCGTTCCTCACCCCTCAACTTTCTTGAGGTGAGCCAAGGAGACCCGGAAAGGTAAATAAGGCTGGCTTGTCAGCTAGGCGGAGGATCCCGCTAAACTTCGTCCCCATTGGGTCAAGCAGGGGTGCAAGTGGCTGCCAAACGTGGGGAGCAATCAGCTGTCGTGCCTGGAAACTTTCGACGCCAAGGAGGTACCTTATGTATGTACAGGACATGTATAATCGCCGATCTAGGACTTCATTGGGTGACCTGATATTGCCTCCTTTTGCTCTCCTTCAAATTGGATCTACCATGACAACCTAGCTGATGAGGATATTCATTTTCCAGCTAATCACAGGTGCTGAATGGCTCTGCCTCATGATCTCAATCTCGTATGTAAGGTAAGTATTCGTCCTTGAGCAACACACTGGTACCTAGGTACCTAGGGACTTCCCGTGCAGCAGTGGGTTGACCCCCCTTCTTGGCACATCGTTGATTGGCCGACCCAAGCTCAGGTTAGATTGACCCCTGAGCTTGTCCAGATCACTGATAAACCCCTTATCCTCTTCTTGAGTAGGCCATCTCCCATTTTGCTTGCCTCTCTTCACAGACATATCTGACCGGAACTACGACATCAACATGAAGACTATCTCGGTTATCCTCTCCGTGGCGCTCGCCAGCTTCACGTCCGCCCAGTTCGAAGGCCTTCCCAAATGCGCCGTATGTAAACCGCTCCCCACTCCGTTGACTTCGCACCAGCCGGCTGGACTGGCCGGGCATAGCTTCGCCAGTCTTGGCTTCGTTCTGACTCTGTACTGCTTTCTGCTTTACACAACTTACTAACTGGCCGTCCTTCTGCAGACAGATTGCGCAGACAATGTACGTATCGCCACCATCCACCAAACCGCCGTCTCCAGATCGCGCTCAATGCGCCGAGTCCCCGCTGACCGCGTGTTCCTCAACAGTTCCTAGTCGGCGGAATTGGCGACTGCGGAACTGACCCCAAGTGCATCTGCAACAACAAGACCTTCCTTTCCGATATCGCCTGCTGCCTCGTTGGCGGTAAGCCCTTCCTTCCCCGCTTTCCCTCCAACCCACCTGGGAAGTCATCATCAAGCTAACGAAACCCGCTCCTTCTCCCCCCAAAACAGTATGCGACGCAAAAGACCAAGCCGCAGCCGTATCATTCGCCCAGAATATCTGCACCGCCAACGGCGTCAGCGTCCCCTCCGTCGTCTCCTGTGCCACCGCCGCCGCCAGCCCCACCGCCACGGGCTCCGGCTCCGCCACCGCCATCACCACCACCACCGGGACCGCCTCCGGGTCGGGCGCGGGCGCGGACTCCACCCCCTCCCCGACCGGCACCTCGCCTTCGCCGACCAAGAACTTCGCCCCTAGGCGCACCGCCGCTGCAGGCATCGTCGGCGGCATCGTCGCTGCTGTGGCGTTTCTGTGAGATGCAGGCCGCTGGGTGGGTGAGGTGAGGTGAGGTGAGGTGTTTCACGGTTGAGTTCTGCGCATCTGTTGGTAGACTCAGAGGGTGGGGGGAGCTGTGGTTGGTCGATTGAGCAGTAGAACTGGCGAGCGGATATGCATGCGCCGGTAATCATGTATTCGTCTTGTCTTGAATATATCTATGGGGATTGTGCGGGCTGGAAGTTTTGTTGTGCTTGACACGGAAAGTAGATATCTGACTGGGATCAACTCGGGCTCTGTATATGATCCGCCCGTTGCTGACTTGGCCTAACAAGTTGCATCTCCGTTGGTGACCACGCGTTCGTGAGCGTACTACTAGCTTCAACTTTCTCGGGGAATTCATAGATGGTCCTTTCTTGCCGTGGGCCGTGGCCGAGTTGGCAGTGAGGCGCGCATTGAAAGGTTGTCCTGAAGGACGTGAAAGTACTATACATGGGTGTTGGAAGTGTCATAATCGATCATACTGTTCAAGGTGAGATTCTATACTCGTTCAGCCCAAATGCTTATTATCTATTGGTCATATGATCTATCCCAGTCACATATGCCCCCTTCCCCGTGCAACATATTCATTCCAGTTGTCAAACCCAGACAATTATATGCTCAGGGGGAGAGGGAAGAGGGGCTTCCGTAACGCCACAGCAATGCGATATGTACAAAACCACACCGGGTTCTTCTCCACCAGAAGGAAAATATCTCTAACACCCCAGCGTCCTCACGCGCGCCGCAGCTTCGCCCTCGCAAGACTCCACTTCACCTTCAACCTCACTCCCGACCCGCGCAGGAACCCCTAGTTCCCGCCCCAGGCCCCGCTGCCGTTCCGTGAGGGGCCGGCTCCGGGCCCTGGTCGCGGCTGGCTGGCGTCCCTGGCATTCCTCCTGGCGCCTCCCCTGAAGTAGTCGTACTGCATGGCCTGCTCCATCTGGCTGCCCATCGGCACCGGGCTGAAGTCGTCGTCGGTCTGCGGGAGGCCGCCGTAGCCCTGCGGCCCGCCGCCGAGCATGCCCGGGGCGCGCGGGTTCACGACGCCCAGGCCGCTCATGCCGCCCATGTCGCGGTCAAGGCTCCGGTCCCTGGATCCCGGTGTGCCGGGCCGGCCCGACATGGGTCCCGCGAGCGGCGGCGACATGGGCATCCCCGCGGCGTTGCGCACCAGGTTCGTCCCGCTGTCGTTGCCGAGGTTGTACATCGGGCTGCACGTCCTCTGGGGGGGATCCGTATGACCGAGCGGGGGGGACCCGTAGGCTTGCTGTCCCGGGTAGGCGGAACCTTGTGACGGTGGTGGCGGGTAACCGTACCTTGCGCCGGGGTTGATTTCCGAGGCTGATGAGAAGTTGCGTCTGTTATTCCCGCTCCCACTGAAGCCCATACCGCCAACCGGCGTCCCTGGTCTCGAGTCCGACCCGCCGCTGAACATGGTGCCCGGTGTGCCGGGACGAACCATGTCCGACGGACGTCCGAAGATCTCGCCCGCGCCGTGGTCGGCTGCAAACTCGTCGCGGTTCTTGTAGAACTCAAAGTCGAGGCGTGACTCCGGTACCACCTCGAATCCGGGCAAAGTCGGTGTGACCTTTCCTGGTTTTCCGGCGGACATCGAGTCGAGCGCGTACGTGTCGCTGTAGCCACTCACTGAGGTCAAATCTCCCGAGCCAGCTTCGCGTCCGTCCGACAGGCGACCCTGGTAGACGCTCGCGAGTATGTTTTGCGCCTTCGCATGTACCATGGGAGTGATTAGTGGTCTATAGAGAGCAGGGTGGCCGAATCGAGACGCGAGGCGGTCGTTTCTCGCGCTTTGTTCCTTCACATTCAATGTCGCCTCGAGCTGGCTGTGGCGGATATTCTTGGTTGAGTAGAAGTGGATCTTCTCGTCGAAAGTACGGGCGCAGAGGATCTTGAACCCAATCAATAAGAACGGAAGCGGCGCGACAGCGTATGCCTGGAAGTGCCGCCCGTCGCCGCGGACCCACGCCACCAAAAAGACAATCAGGTTGGCCAGGAAGGTGCCGAAGACAAAGCGGTTATAGAGCACGCGCCAGAACATGCCGCCCGACTCAGTCTTGGTAATAAAGATGTAGAGGAGCAGGTACTTCTTCAGCGCGACGTCGATGCAGAAGTAGAGGGCCGCCGCAGGAAGAACAAGCGGCTGGATGGTGGCGTAACATAGAGCGACCGTTGCGTAGAAGAGGAAATAGTTGTAGTAGCTGGCGTAGTCGAACGGTGGCGGCGCCGTGAGCTCGATGAGTTCGCGGGGGGTTGGGCTCGAAAATTTCCGCATGAAAAAACTGTAGACCAGCTGCCACAGCTGAGCCAGGTCGATGGCCGCGCCGAGTTGGCGCTGTAACAGCCAGGTCACCCAGAAGGGGGAGATGCCACACAGAGAGATGAAGATGGTCTGGCCAAAGTTCTCCTTGACAATCGCCTGCCAGGCGTCCGTACCCTTCTCGGTCTCCTGGATGACTCCAGCGGTGAAGCCCCAGATGGAGCTGAAGATGGAGAAGACGACCAGGTTGTTAAAGACGAAGAACGAGTATAGCTTCGCTGTGACGTGCCTCTCCCGGCCTGTCTTTGTCTGATCACCGGCTCTTACGGACATTCGCCGGAAGGCGATTGGAAGCAGTAGAAAAACGAGAGACGTCACGGCCGGGGAAGCAATACCTTGGACGATGGACCAGAAGGTTGTGCTTGATTCCAGCGATCTTTGGAAAGCGGGCCAGACCTTGCCTAGATTTCCCAAGTTGACCAGGAAGATGGCGATCATGGCATTTGGTGCGATCCACAGAAATGTCAGGAGGGCGATCCAAAGGTTGTTCCACAGCCTCCGCCTGCTTCGAGTCGCTGCGTTCAATGGCATATTGTCCCAGATGATATCGGTCGGTTTCGGCGCCAGGGTGACCGTCGCGCCATGAGGCTTCTGCTTGCGGAAAGTATAGGCAATGGAGTGAGTCTCGCTAATGTCAGCGTACGAGGCAAATCCGTAGGGCATTGAGCTTCGTTTGTCCACGCTCCGCCGGACCTCTCTGATCTCGATCTCCAGCTCTTTAATACGCTGAGTCAGGTATTCAATAGCGTCGACCTTTTGGCCCTTGGGATACGTATCATAAGCCCGGTCCTTCTTGGACGGCTCACAAAGCGGCCTAGAGGCGGGAAGATTTTGCGGATCTTTGAGGTAAATGGCCAAGACCTTCTCCAGTTTGCGGACGGTCTTTTCATGCTCTCTAATAAGCTCAGGGAGAATCTTGACGTTGCGGGCGATGGCCGTCCTGGAGAAGGAGGAGTTGGGCACAATCTCGTCAACAATTCTCGCGATGCCTTCGTCGGTGCTGTAGTTCTTGGGAATATCGTACATCTAAGTATGGTCAGCCAAGGTGCCCCCAGGTTGAAGCGCATCACAACTAACCATCAGAGTCCGAGCATGGAGACTTTGCTGATACTCCTCAGTTTCGAAATATTGCCGTCTCAGGCGGAGGATTTTGTTATAATTCCACCAGAGGAAGCCACACACAACAACATTACTTAGCCAAGCAACGGCAACCAGAGCCCAGTGTGCTTCGCCCCAGACGTTGAGCGGTGTTATCTGGTTCAGCCAGGAATCGCCTTCAAAAACGACAGTCTTGGTGTAGTTGACCGGGATCAGGATGGCGCAGCCGAGGACGGAGAGGGTGAGAAAGATGTTGCGGCACATGCGAGTGAAGAGCATAAAAACAGTCGCATCCATTCCCACCAAGTTCACCATATCTTGCTCGTTTGTACTCCACAACGGGCCAATCCAGGCAAATATTCCCTTGCCCAGGGGCGGAGGAGCATGTTTCTCGTCGGCATGTTTCAACTTCGGGCAATACACAGAACTGTTATACGGTCGGAGGAGGGAGAAGGCGAGGGCGATTCCGGCGGTGATACCAATAGACGAGGCCAGGGCGGCCCAGATGGCAGAAACGGAAAGCTATGTACACGCAGTCTTGGTTAGGCGACGGCGAGTTTGCTATTCTTGGGTCACAAACTCATCATACCTGTTTGGTGAAGGGGTTCTGTAGGAGTTTCAACAATTCATCGGTGGGAGTATCTCCTGAGCCCTCAGCCCTTGTACGCAGCGCTGCAGCAGCTCTATAGAGCATCTCCATCTTTGTGTCCATCATAGTGTATGCCCGCCAAGGGCGTGACAGCGATGAATGAACCCAGGGCCGGCACTCGTCGTCGACGGTCACTTAATGGATGCAAGGCGTTGCAGAGATAGATCCAGAGTTGTGTGAGAGGTGATGGGGTCCTTCGAGACGGGATCTGCTTTGTCTGGCCGCGGCGAAGAACAACGAGCGTAATATGAGACGTCCTGGGAATTCCCGTCGTTTTCGATAGTGGAGGTCAAGGTATAGGAAGCTTCGTAGGTATAGGTGAGGATCAAAGAGAACACGCGGGGAAATCGGGGAATCGGCCAAGGACGTTGGCTGACTGTTTCGAGATTGGAATGTTTGAAGACAAGGTGTCGTACAAAACTAGAGGAAACAGGAAACGAGTGGCGGAAGATTCCTCGAGCCAAGCTCCAAGGTAGAGATCTGCGAATAAAGAAGGGACCTGAGATCCAATACTTCTGTCACAAGCAGACAGAAAGGTCGTAAAGAAGGAAAGTCGCTCTCGAAGGCAACTAGAGGCTTGTTCTTACAAGATTAACGAGTGGTAGAGAAAGGAGCAGAGAAAATAGCGCAGGTAAAAATCATCACCATGTGCTCTCGACATGCAAGGAGAGTATGAAAAGATCACGCCTTGAAGCTAACTGCTTCTCTGTACATTGGCCGGGTTCTGGACCTCGCTCCCAAGGATCCCCCAAAATTTGCAACCCAGCATTAAGGATCAGCCCATGGAACCCCTTGATGCCACACGGCCGATCCGCTCGTGATCGTCTTGTGATTGGTCAGGTGTCCCAACGGCCCCAATGAAAGGGTGCTATTTCAGGATTTCAGGCCATCATTCTCCATCCATGCAGCCGCACCGAAAGAATACGAGTTTCGGTCATGTATCCTTCAAATGAAATGGTAACATTCCCCATGTTTTTCTCTTCGTCATCCTCGTTTCTTCGACGGGCGGCATGAAGCGATATATCAACTTCCTACGTCCGTGCTAGGTACAGATATCCGGCCTTTTCAGGGTCCCATTAATATGGAAGAATGGGCCAAACCGAAGTGTCTGCCCCTTGCTGGGATACATGTCGGTACCGCCTAGCCGTTGGTACCTTAGCGGAGGCCGCCTCAGATCCACCCCAGGGCCAGTGATTCGCAGGCAGATCCCCCCTCCCCGCCAAAACCCAGGATGGTGGTTTCGACCATTCGCCACTTGAACACGGCCAACGAAAAGAGGGAAAGCTGTTTGAGGACTTCAGACAACCTTAACGGCCGACCTAGGTAAGTCTCAAACGCCGGGCTACACACTAGGGAGCGGTTTTACCATGTAACTACCTCGAGGTCGGTAAAATAGGTAGGTATAGGTAGGTACAGAACCTAGAGCAAACCTTTGAAACAGCCCGTCCAAATACCTATGCTTAGTAGGGCTGACAGGCCTAGACTGTCTCCCAACTTCCCGCTTCCCCCAAGACAAACAATCATTCGACTCAGGGAGTCTCTAGGCGCGGAAGTACACAAGAGAGAAGAGCACTAAATAAATTAAATTGCATGTTTTGTGCAAGTCTTATCTCCCTATGTACAGCGCCGAAAATCACAACAAGAGACGTCGCGGTTTTCAAGGACCTGGAGATACTCGTGGCGCAGCTCGATCCCGAGATAAGGATCTATCCAAAGAAAGAAAAAAAGAAAAAAGGAAAGAACACACATGTTTCCCCCCCAGCCTGTTCATTGATAAGTTTACAGCCCATACCCAAGCTCCCCCTGCTCCAAGATAGCCCCGGTCCGACTATGGCCAAATCGTTTTGTAGAGATCAAGGAAAGAAAGTCGAAAGTCATCATGCCGCAACGTTTTCCAAAGTCCCCGAGTCCATTCAGCCCTCGATTGGGCCCTGACTCCTGGTTTTGCGCGCGGTTCTCCCCACAGTCACGGGCTCCTTGTTCTTCTTCGCCCGTCCAGGTTTCTTCGGCCCACTAGCGCCGTTGGTGGCCGAGTCACCAGAAGCCGCGTCCTCCGTCTTGGCCTTCTTAGCCTCGCCGTTGGTCGGCGCATGCTCCTCAGCCTTCCGCTTGCCGTTGCCCACAGGCTTTCCGGCCACCGCGGCCTCTTCGGGAGCAGGTGCCGCAGCTTCTGCAGCCGACGCCTCCTTGGTTTCGGCGCCCCCGGTGGACGTGGGCCCGCCGTTGGCCTTGGCAGCGTCAGATACACCGGATCCCTCGGGGGCGGGAGCCTTGGAAACCTCCTCGACGGGCTTGTCTGATGCCGCCGCTCCCTCTTTGGCCGCGTCGTCGGCAGGGCCGGCGGAAATGACCGCGGGTTGGGCCGGGGGGTTGGCAAGGTTAGGCAAGATTGGAGCTGGCTCGGCCGGGGGGTTGGCGGGGTTAGGCAAGATTGTAGCTGGCTCGGCCTCGTCTCGCAGAGCGCCCGTCATCGTGGGCGGCTCCGCCGTCTCGGGCTTGTCGCCATTGGCGAGGGTGGCAGCTGGGATCGGCTCTGCGGGAGCATTGTCCGCCTTGGGGGGCTCCGACGAGATAGCCGGGACTTGCTGCCCAGCCGTCTTGTCCTCTGCCGACTGCTTCTCTTCAGCGAGCTGGATTGCTTGAGCCCCCTCGGGAGCCTTGGGGGGGTCCTCCAGGTCAGATACAGAGGGCGCAGGAGGAGCGGCCTGTCCATGAGCTGCCTGCCCCTGAGCGGCGTGCTCTTGAGAGGCGAGTTCCTGAGCAGCGACTAAGATGCCGTAGAAGGTCTGATGTCAGCGCTGCCACTCCTTGGGCGGTCGGGGAAGGCTCGCAACAGGTGATGGGTGGTGAGCGCGTTGGGGTCGAGGGAGCTCAAGTTTAACTGGGGGCGGGCATGGATACGACAGTTGCTACTCCCAATTGAGACCCCAGGCCATCAATCACAGACGTTCTCATATATCACAGCGTCCCCATCTCATTTGCGATAGAATCAACGGTCTCTGGCAATGCGCACTCACCTTGGTCAGCTTCCGAAGTCATGGTGGCGATGACGTAATTTATATAAGTGCCGTGGCGGCGCCGGATAAACAGGGATGGAATATGTCCTTGTAAAGGATGCGCCCCCAGTGGAATTGGGCGATGGGATGGATTCGAAGACTATAGTCGATGGAAAGAGAGCGAGAGAAGCTCGGATAGGATGGCAAGGTGAAAGAGGTGAAGATGGGACGACGTCTGGGACAGAAAGGAGATCCATTGCACGGTCTGAGAACATGCGGTAGCACGAACGAATCAGAAAGCAGAACCGGTGAAGCGCGGAGGTGGGCCGAGCGGGTCGGGAGGAGCTGGGACGGTATATTGGTATGCGCATAGCACATCCAAATAAGGTCGGCACAGTAGGAGTAGATTCCAGGTTCTACCACGATCCGTTTCCTTTGACGGATCGGGCTTAGCGCCGTTCGCCGCCTCTTCTCCGTTGAGTTCTCGAGACTCAAGATGACGGGAGAGAAAGCAGACGAAACCAAGAGGATTAGTTGTCTCTTGGTATTTGGATTAATGGTAGCTAGGAATATATCAACTCTTCACTCGCAGGCCGAACACGCCCATCCCGGAACCACTTTGTTCTTGCCCTTGAAAGTACTCAACCGTGTTTTGTGTCGATATCTCGCTAGAAACTCTTAAGAATCTCAAGGCCAATCATTGCCCCCTTATGGTTCCGCGCTGCTTTCTGTTTGCTTCCCACTGAGCAGGCAGATTGGGAGAGGGGGAAAATGATTCTCTCGAGGGCACCTCTAAGGTCTAGGTCTCCGGACCAACTGGGTAGCCTCTGATAGCAATCGTGCAGCATTAATAAGTAAAAGCTATTAGCTATTAGCTACCTATATATCAACGCAAGGGAATGCCGCTGCCAGTACCGGCCAAGGACATTGGTGGCATTGGGTTCAAAGAGCGGGTCCCGAGACACTCTCTTAGCGTGGCTAAGATATGGCGTGCGATTTCTTGCGGAGCCGCGTCATTGATTAGGTGACTGGGTAGGTAAATGTTACCGGGTACGTAGGAAACAACCAAGCCGGAGGGAAAACAAAAGGTTGGCTGGAGGTTTGGAGGAGTGACTTCAGCATTTTCAGCCTTGCCCATGGACCTACGGTCAAGTCCGGTCTGTGGTTCTTGCCCCCCATTCATCCGCTGCAGTTTCCATGCAAGGCGGTCTTCACATGACCTTGCCAAGACAACGTGACTGAGCGGAAGATCAACGGGTTTCTTGGCGCTGTTGCGAGATCTCCGCATTCGCCCACCCCCCACTTCAGAGCCCCGCCCCCTCCGAGGTCAGGAATGCTGCGCCCCAGTACCAAGCCCATGTGCTTTCTAACAATCTAGGTAGTGCTCTAGGAGATCGGAGGCTCCTAATTCGTGCCATGCAGACGGCTCGGCTTGGTAAATTCACTGGTCCACTGTTTGCAGGATGGAAGCCCAGCCTTTCTGTTAGTGCAGGTACGGGCTGAGCAGGGCATGGCAGGACTGGCAGGTGTCAGGTCTGTCATCATCGAGAGACGTCCCGTACTGTCATACCTAGGAAGTCTAATTTATCAACTCAACCACCATGATCACCAAGATATGCAGAAGTGTGCATTATATGAATGAGCACTTCATGCCCGACGGCGATTCCGGCTCGAATATCTTCCCCAATGGCAAGGCGAAAACCTGAAATCAAGGGACCAACCAGTCTACTTCCGGACGGGCTGCACAGATTAATTCGCCAAGCACTCCCCAGCCACTGGCCCGATTCGCCTCTGACGTCAAAACACCAGCGGAAAAAGTTACACATGATTCGTGGGCATTGAGCTTCAATCCGACTGTATCCTATCCCGTCCTCGAGCAATTGAGCGGTGAGGTATGGAATTGGATTAGACTTTTGTCAGAAACCGATCTGAAAACTTCCCAAAAGGACAGCAGTGTGAAATTGGCTGGGCAAGGTTATTTGTAGGCTGGAGCTGTAGGGAAGAGTAGGTAAGTCTCAGACTAACAGAGGAACAGTAGCGAAAAACTGCCAAGAAAACGTGTCGAGATAACGAGTTCTTGGTGTTCTTGGCTACAAGCATGGTGGTGCAACCCATCCTTCTATATATACTGCGGCTCGCTCCAGTCATATCTAAGGTTCTGGAGTCTGAACTCTAATTCTCCCCTACCTACCTTTCAAGACCCCGAAACTTTTGAGACGCAAGATACCCCATCTTGGAAGTTCTTGCAAATGATACCACCACCACATTCTCTTGGAATCCCGTGAATCATGACCGCCGAGTTCGAGAGGCACCCTTTTCTCCTGTCGGTCCAAGAGGCGGCCGACGCTCTTGGTACCAATGTAGACACGGGCTTGTCCTCTGCGCAAGTCACCGAGTTGGCCGAGAAATACCCTCCTAATGAGCTGGACATTGGTGGTGCCATTCCTTGGTACACCATCTTCATTCGACAGCTATGCAATGCCATGATATTGGTGGGTTGTCCTCTGACGTAATTCAACCTCGGAGCCCGCAATAAACTGACCCCTGAACCGCAGGTCCTCTTCTTCGCCATGGCTCTTAGTTTTGGCATCCAGGACTACATTGAAGGCGGGGTGTTAGCTGCTGTCATTGTCCTAAATGTTTCGATTGGTTTCTACCAGGAATATGGGGCCGAGAAGAAGATGGACGCGCTCCGAGCGCTTTCTTCCCCCAGCGCTGCCGTTATCCGCGATGGCAAGACCATCGTCATCCCAAAGTATGTATTCCTCGCCCTTTCCCGCCGGCCCCTTTCGTCATGTGTGCCTCATCTGACCACCACTCCGCCACAGTGCTGAGGTCCTACCCGGGGACATCGTCATGCTCAAGATGGGCGACACGGTGCCCGCGGACATGCGGCTCTTCGAAGCCATGAACCTAACCTGCGACGAGCAGTCCCTCACCGGAGAGGCCCTCCCCGTCGAGAAGGTGACTGAGAACAACATCGTCGTGCCCGGGACCGAGAAGCGGGCCGAGTCGGCGGAAGACGTTGGCATTGGTGATCGGGTGAACATGGCATACGCCACTTCTGTCGTCCGGAAGGGCCGTGGAAGGGGCATTGTGACCGCAACCGGCATGGTCACCGAGGTCGGCAAGATCGCAGCCTCTACCTCGAAGAAGGACCGCAAGGCCGGGCGGTCTATGAACTGGAAGAAGTACGGGAAGAAGCAGCCGATCATCGGTGGTGCGAGGCGCGCGTACGATTTCTTTGGCAAGTTCCTGGGTCTGACCGAGGGAACTCCCCTGCAGATCAAGTTGTCCAAGCTAGCCTATTTCCTTTTCTTTTGCGCTCTGGTCTTGGCTGTTGTCGTGTTCGCCGTCAATAAGTTCAAAGTTCCAAACGAGGTCGTTATTTATGCAATTTCGACTGGTATTGCTATTATTCCGGAGTCGCTGGTTGCTGTTCTTACTATTACAATGGTCGTCGCCACTACTGTGATGCGCAAGGCCAACGTGGTCGTCCGGCAAGTTACTGCTCCGAACTGCTCCCACTGGGAATTTGTCTTTTCTAACATTCTCTTAGCGATCTTTCGGCTCTCGAAGCTCTAGGAGGGGTCACAAATATCTGCTCTGACAAGACCGGCACACTCACCCAGGGGGCCATGATTGTGAAGAAGGTCTGGCTTCCAAAGTCGAATATTTACACCGTCCGGGCCTCGATGGATCCCAGCGATCCGACTGCCGGGACTGTGACCTACTCGCAAGCGGATCCCAAGGCCGTCCAGGAGGAAGAGAAGCGGGATTTCGACCAAGAGCGGACCACCCAAGCCATCAAGTTTGATGTCCCCGACGAGAAGCTGAACCAAAACGCCACCAGGGAGAAGGAGCCGGAGGCCGAGATGACACCGGACCTCGGGTTGTTCCTGCTCTCCGCGGCCCTCTGCAACCTTGCGACGGTGCGGTACGATGAGAAGGAGGAGAAGTGGCAGACCACTGGCGAGCCCACCGAGATCGCCCTGCAAGTTTTCGCGCACAGATTCAAGATCGGGCGGAAGCCGCTCGAGCAGTCCGGATGGAAGCAGGTTGGAGAGTTCCCCTTTGACAGCTCCATCAAGCGCATGTCCGTGATATACAACGCGCCCGACAACGCCGAGGATGGCATGAGGAGCGAGAACAGCTACGTCTTCACCAAAGGCGCCGTGGAGCGTATTCTCGACCTCTGCACCCACTTTGGCATCGGCGATGCCCGGGAGGAGATGACCGAGGAGGCGAAGGAGAGGATCCTTGAGCAGATGAGCAACTTTGCCTCGCAAGGCCAGCGCGTCCTCGCAATAGCGTACAAAGAATTGGATGGCCGGTTCCAGGAACACGCCGATCCGAACTCGGTAACCCAAGCCGACGACCCGCTGCGGACCCAGGTGGAGAGCAACCTCATCCTACTCGGCCTGGCCGGTATCTACGACCCGCCGCGGCGCGAGACGACCCCCGCCATCAGGGAGTGCGCGACCGCCGGGATCAAGGTGCACATGCTGACGGGCGACCACCCAGAGACGGCGAGGGCGATCGCTAGGGAGGTGGGCATCATCCCGCACGACCTGAGCATCCTGCCGGCCTCCATCGCCGAGTCGTGCGTGCAGAAAGCGACCGACTTCGACAGGCTCACCGACGCGGAGATCGACGCGATGGAGGAGCTCCCGCTCGTCATCGCGCGCTGCGCCCCCGAGACCAAGACGCGCATGATCGAGGCGCTCCGGCGGCGGGACGCCTTCATGGCCATGACGGGCGACGGCGTCAACGACGCGCCGTCGCTCAGCCGCGCCGACGTGGGCATCGCCATGGGCTCCGGCAGCGACGTGGCCAAGTCAGCGGCCAAGATTGTGCTCACCGACGACAAGTTCAACTCGATCGTGTCGGCGATCCGCGAGGGCCGGCGCATGTTCGACAACGTGCAGAAGTTCATCCTCCACCTGCTGAGCAGCAACGTGGGCGAGGTGATCCTGCTGATCGCGGGCCTCGGCTTCCGCGACGACTCGGGCTACTCGGTGTTCCCCATCTCGCCGCTGCAGATCCTGTGGATCAACATGCTCACCTCGTCGTTCCCGGCCTTCGGCCTGGGCCGGGAGAAGGCCAGCCGGGCGGTGATGCGCAAGCCGCCGCACGACAAGAGGCGCGGCGTCTTCACCAACCAGATCCTCGTCGACATGATGGTGTACGGCATTCTGATGGGCACCTGCACGCTCATGACCTTTGTCATCGTCGTCTACGGCGCCCACGACGGCCAGCTCGGCTTCGACTGCAACCGCGAGTTCTCGGAGAGCTGCAGGCCCGTCTTCAGGGCCCGCGCCGCCGTCTTCGCCGAGCTCACCTGGCTCATCCTCATCAGCGCGTGGGAGTTCAAGGACATCCGCCGGAGCATGTTCCGCCTGAACCCCGACAGCACCAGCAAGTTCCCCATCTTCAAGGACCTGTACGAGAATAGGTTCCTCTTCTGGGCCGTGACGCTGGGCGCCATCAGCGTCTTCCCCGTGGTGTACATCCCCGTGCTCAACACCAAGGTGTTCAAGCATATCGGCATCAGCTGGGAGTGGGCCGTCGTCTTTGGTATGACCATCGTCTACGTCGTCGGCATGGAGATCTGGAAGTTCATCAAGCGCACGATGAACATCTTGGACGACCATGCTGTCGTTAGAGGCCACTGGTCCCAGGGAAGCGAAGAGGGACGGAAGTTTACCAAGGCGATGAGCTTTGGCAGTTTGCGAAGCTGGAAGAGCTGGGGCAGGGCTGACTCGAGAGCGAGGAGCAACACCAACCTGTCGAACCTCTCGACTCGGCCGGTTGATCCCAGCTCAGGGGGGTCCTGAGCACCAGATATTGGTTCAAGGACGGAATGCGCAGCCTCTCGGTTGTAGATCCCAAGGGCCAGAAACCTTATGAAAATATGGGACATGGTACTGATTCGAGTCATAAGAATTGCAGGAAGTGCACTTGGGCTTTGACAACTGCTGCAGGTCGATGTTTATTTTACGGACATAGCAAAAAATTGTAGAATATTATTCAGAAACTGAACGTCATTTCATCATTTCCCCTTTAGTCTACATATCAGAGGTTAGCTACCCTCATCGCCATCACTGCAACGGTAGGATCGTGGCAAGAGTTGATGGGGTGCAAAAATATGGAGGGAAAGTAAAATGGAGGCCCAAAAATAAATAAATAATCAAAAAGAAGGGGGTAAAAAAACATACAACACCAGGGATTCGCTGGTCGTCACCGACCCAACTACTAGTCTGGCCCTCACTGGCTTATCTATGGGAGAGCGGACGGGATCCCGAGTTCTCCAGTGGGTATGGTCGTATGTGACGGTATCGATCGCTAGGCAGACCTATATAGTGGGTAGGGAAGTTGTCCAACTCAATCTCAACCACCGGATGTGTTGGATACCATCATACCATGAAGCAGGTATATGTAAATATATACGGCGTAGACGTTTGGGAAGTCGCAGTGCCGCCCAAACTCTCCCTCCTATTTAATGAATGTTTATTTACCATTGTCATGTCGCCAACTTTCCCTTGAAGCGACTGTGTAGCTACATAACCTGTCAAAACCTAGATCGCGATAATTCAGTGAAGGCGAGGAGAGCGCACGGTCCTCAAATTCAGGGGCTCGGCTCGGCTTAGTCATTCAAGAGGCTTGAAAGGACAGCTTCCGTAAGTTTACGCAGTAAGCTCTACCTACTATCACAAGCCACTTGCCCAGCTCCTTCCATTCATTCGGTGATACTCGACTTCCGACGCGACTTTATCGATTCTTGACTCTCCTTGACCTCTTTTCAACCTAGTTGCTTTTCTCTCGATACCGTCGCAATGGCTCCTGCAAAGCCGTCAGGCAAGGATCTCTACTCGTGCGCGTTTCCTGCTCTGTAGCATGCTAAAGCGCCAAGTTTGCTGATGGACATTGACATAGGGTGATCCTGCCGACATTCAACGAGCGTCAGAACCTCCCAATTGTTACCTGGCTTCTCAACCGTACCTTTACCGAGAGGTGAGCACCAGCACCCCCCTCGCCGACTTCCCGAGGTCCCATCCCTCCCCCCCGCGCCCTGCTAATAACCGTCCCGCCCTAGCAACCTCGACTGGGAGCTCATCATCGTCGACGACGGCTCGCCCGATGGAACCCAGACCGTGGCGGCGCAGCTCGTCAAGGCATACGCACCGCACGTGATCCTCAAGACGCGGACGGGCAAGCTGGGCTTGGGCACGGCGTACGTGCACGGCCTGCAGTTCGCGCGGGGCAATTTCATCATCATCATGGACGCCGACTTCAGCCACCACCCAAAGTTCATCCCGCGCATGGTGGCGCGGCAGCGGGAAGGCGACTACGACATCGTGACGGGGACGCGGTACGCCGGCGACGGCGGCGTCTACGGCTGGGACCTGCGGCGCAAGCTGACTAGCCGCGGCGCCAACATCTTCGCCGACACGGTCCTCCGGCCGGGCGTCAGCGACCTGACGGGCAGCTTCCGGCTGTACAAGAGGGACGTGCTGCAGAAGCTGTTCGACATCACCGACGTGCGCGGCTTCTCCATGCAGATGGCCCTCGCCGTCACGGCCAAGAGCAAGGGCTTCACCATCGCCGAGGTGCCCATTACCTTTGTCGATCGGCTGTACGGAGAGAGCAAGCTTGGTGGGGAGGAGATCGTCGAGTACGCGAAGGGGGTCATTCAGCTTTGGCTCAAGGTGTAAAATTAGGGGGGTTATTCGTTGACATGACGGGTCCGCAAGAGTTGAGGCGTTGCGTCCTAGAGTTGGGTTCCTCTTGCGAGACATGTGCACAGCTTGTGTCTACCAATCATGCATGGGATTGTGAGGTTCTCGTCGCGCGGCGTTTATGGGTATTGGTTTGCCGCGCTCGCTATATAGATATAAAAACTAATCTCACTCAAGTCACTTGTCCAAAACGACGCATACCCGCAGTCAGAGATATGTTGGGAAACAAATGAAGATGTTCACTGAAATAATTATAGGTATCATACATCTTGGGGGGGGGGGGGGGGGGGGGGGGGGGGGGGGGGGGGGGGGGGGGGGGGGGGGGGGGGGGGGGGGGGGGGGCGGGGGGGGCGGGCGGCGGGGGGGGGGGGGGGCGGCG